ACATCGCGCAAACCCTGCTTCGCCTTCCGCCGTGCACTCGTGACTTTCCCAGCTCACTTTTATCTGACCTTGCGGTTATCGCAACCATCCTCCCACCATGGCGGACGATGAAGCTGAAGCTGCCTTCTTCCAGGCTCAAGCCTTGAATACTGATTCCCAAACCCCCACTGTGGAGCAGGAAGGTGATAACTCAGACGCAGAATCAGATGACTACGACCCCTCACTGGCATTGGGGGATCAGTACTCGGCCTCCTTTCCCGAGCCCAAGCAGCCTGATGCTAGCACCACTGATGCACCTCCCTCGGATAAGACCGAAGATTCTATCCCTAACCCGGCAGTCGCCTCAAACGTAGACGTCGCCTCAGACGCGGACGCTGGCCAGACCAGTGACTCCCCCGACCCTTCTCAGAACCCCTCACGTGCTGAGTCGTCGACCCCCATGGCAGTATCTGCTGCCGAGGCACAACCCAAGACAAGAACAATTGGGGGATTTGAGATTGATGATGACGAGGATGATGAGGGTGATGCGGAGTATGAGCCGCCGGCTGTACTTGGGGGCGAAGATGTCAATCCTATGCCTGTGACCATGTCTGAAGATCCCAGCTCAGGAAATTCAATGCAAAACACTTCCCCTGATGTATCATCCCACCAAGCTGAGCAGAGATCTGCCAGTGGACCAGATGTTGCCAATAGTTCTTATTCTCCCGTTCCTGTTTCTAATATTGATCCCTCTTCTGTTCCTGGCCAATCGCACTGGGCTGCGCAAGACTTGCAATTCGCAAACATGCAGAACAGTACTGCTCCTACTCCTGTACCTGACTCCCCCGCTTCAAAGGGCCGTCTGGCCCATGACCGTGTCGGCATGCTGGAAGACCGGATCCGAGAAGATCCCCGAGGTGATATCCCTGCTTGGTTGGAGTTAATCGCCGAGCACAGAGGCCGCAACAGACTAGACAGCACGCGTGACACCTACGAGCGGTTCTTGAAGTTGTTTCCTATGGCGGTAAGCCTACCTCTGCTCCCTTTCTTTGTGCTACTTTTTTTTTTCTCTCGGCAAGGTACAAGTTCGCTAATGGGATATATCATAGGCTGACCAATGGGTGGCTTATGCCAGTATGGAATCCGAGCTTAATGAATTCTTTCGGTTGGAACAGATCTTCAACCGAACGCTCCTGTCGACCCCTAGTGTTCAGCTCTGGTCTGTCTACCTTGATTACATCCGTCGTCGTAATCCTTTGACAACAGACGAGGCAAGGAAGACCATTTCATCAGCATATGATATGGCCATTCAATATGTTGGGATGGACAAGGATTCCGGAAACATCTGGTCGGACTACATTGAGTTCATCCGTTCTGGGCCAGGTATCGTTGGTGGATCTGGATGGCAGGATCAACAAAAGATGGACCTACTGCGAAAGGCCTACCAACGAGCCATTGGCGTACCGACCCAAGCCGTCAATTCTCTGTGGAAGGAGTATGATCAATTCGAGATGAATCTAAACAAGCTCACGGTAAGCTGGACAGCACTTGAATCTAACTGGCTTGTTTTAACATTTTCTATCAGGGCCGCAAATTCCTTCAAGAACATTCTCCATCCTACATGACTGCGCGGAGCTCATACACCGAATTGCAAAACATCACCCGCGATTTGGTTCGCACTTCGCTTCCCTCGCTGCCTCCTCTTCCGGGGTCTGAAGGTGATGTTGAATTCTCAGCACAGGTTGATATCTGGAAGCGCTGGATCGCATGGGAAAAAGAAGATCCTTTGGTACTGAAAGAGGAAGACCCTGCTGCTTACAAGTCACGCGTGGTGTACTTCTACAAGCAGGCACTCATGGCACTGACCTTCTTGCCTGAAATGTGGTTTGATGCAGCTGAGTTCTGCTTCTTGAACGACATGGAGGATGCTGGCACCGAGTTCTTGAAGAATGGAATTGACGCAAACCCAGAGAGTTGTCTACTGACATTCAAACGCGCGGACCGACTAGAGGTTACCTCGGATTCGGAACAGGATTCCGCCAAGCGCGCTGCCAAAGTCCGGGAACCATATGACAAGTTGCTCAATGCGCTTTACGAGTTGATCAATAAAGCTCGCGACCAGGAAACCCAGGATGTTGCACGCATTGAAGCTTATTTTGCCCCGCAAAATGTGGAAAGCCAACCTCAAAATGAGGATGAGGATGATCCTGAAGCCAAAGAAAGAGAAGCCGCCAAGACCGCACAGATTGATACGGTCCGGAAGGCTCATTCTGTTCAGATCAACATTATCTCAAAGACTGTCTCCTTCGCGTGGATCGCTCTCATGCGTTCAATGCGTCGAATCCAAGGCAAGGGAAAACCAGGAGAAGTGGCTGGCTCTCGTCAAATCTTTGCCGAAGCCCGGAAGCGAGGTCGGATTACCAGCGATGTTTATATCGCGAGTGCTCTAATGGAGTACCATTGTTACAAAGACCCCGCGGCCACCAAGATCTTCGAGAGGGGTGCAAAACTATTCCCGGAGGATGAGCACTTTGCGCTGGAATACTTGAGACACCTGCTCGACATTAATGATACCATCAGTAAGTCGACCATCCCGTATTTATGAGAGGGTTACTAACCATTATCAAAGATGCCAGAGCCGTGTTTGAGACAACCGTCAGGAAATTGACGTCCAACCCGGAGAATGTGCACAAGGCCAAGCCCATCTTCTCCTTCCTCCATGAGTATGAATCTCGCTACGGCGACCTCACCCAAGTGATCAACTTGGAGAACCGTATGCGCGAACTATACCCGGAGGATCCTGCTCTGGAACAATTCGCCAATCGTTACTCGAACTCCACCTTTGACCCTACATCAGTGCAACTGATTGTGTCCCCATCCCAGACACGGCCAAAGACCAACATGCCAGGAATCTCTGCGGAATCCTATGGTTCTCCCATGCCCAGATACATGGATACCTTCATCAATTCACCCAAGAGATCCTATCCCACTGACGATTACGACGAAGATTCAGGCCGCCCACGAAAGTTCGTTCGCGCTGAGTCGCCAATGAAGAGCGCGCAAGCTCGGCGTCTCGATCAGCCGAAACGAGTACAACAGTTGAACGGCCAAAACGCCTCTTACAGACCCCAAGGATCTCCAGCTCCTCTGCCTCGTGAAGTGGTCAACCTCTTGAGCATCCTGCCTTCTGCAGCTGCCTACAACATCACACGCCTTTCGCCCGAGAAGATGATAGAACTTCTTCGCCACATCGACATCCCCTCCGACATCTCACAAATACAGATCCCGCAAACTGCACACGGACCAGGTGGAAGCCAAACCCCGGGAATGAACCCCTACTCTGGTAAGATCATCATCTATTGCTCCCACAATGTCATTCCCACTAACATGTCATTCCAAGGTGGTTACCGTTAATCCCATGGTTATTCGTTTGCTTCTGAGGACCACCATCATTCCACTTGCAGTGTAAAATTTCTTGCTCTCTGCTTTTGCAATTTCATTTCCACGGCGCGCAAAATATCCCGATTTGTCTTTGAGAACTTGATGGCCCAGCTCTTTTTTTCTGGGGGGCATTTCATGAAACATGGTCGGGGCATACGTGGTTGTTCGGAGCCCCTTTTGCATCTTCCATCGGCGTTGATCTATCCGGCATTTTTTTTCATTTCTTTCTCTTTTTTTTTCTTTCTCTTTTTTTTCTCAGGAAGGGCCACACAAGGCCACCAATATTTGCTCGCTGGTTGGGTTGTCCCAACCATGCTTTGTACAGCCAAATAAGCAGATAATCTCACAAATAAATTAAGAAAGCACTCCACGCACTCAATTTGTAGATTTTTAAAAGCTGGAGCCTAGCTGAGGTTAGGTTCTTTGACCCAATCTCCGAGTTCGTTACGCGGCGAACCCAACGTGAGGCATTCGAGGTCAACATTCATAGCAGTTAATTGGCGATCGATCAACTTTCGGAAGGAAACCATTTTCGTGGTCCCATCCAGGGATTACTTTGACAAGTCAGAGCTTCTATCGATGATATCGAAGTTTGGCAAATTTGCACGGCCGCGTATCGTCAGCTGATAGGATATCAAACTCTTTTTCTGGGACTGATTGGGACTTGATGATATGCTGGCTAGTTTCTAGCTGGTGTAGTGAATCGTATTGCTGACGTGCGATTCAACCGGATTGTTACTCCTGGTAACAGTATAGTACTAAGGAAGGAACGACACAACGAATAACGGCTAAATATCTAGATGTAGGATGTATCAGCAGACTGTCCACTTTAGCATAGACGATAAAAGATTATTACACTGACTGTGGGTGTGATGAGAGTGAAGAAGTGTATGAGAATTGATTGTAAGTGAAGCATGATGGCTATGAAGGTAACTGAGCGAGATCTGATATGCAAGGAATAGTAGACTCTGAACAGTCTGTAGATGCATGAAGAGGAAAGAAACTATCTGTAGGATATAGATGCTAAAGGCTCGGAGCGAGGTCATATCCACGGTCCCGGGGGTCCCAATAGTAACACAGCGTATACACGTGACATCTGTAATGATGGAGGTCTGTACCTCCAAGATTGGTGCTTTTATATAGGATATCCATATATAGTTATGTATTTGTCCAAGGTTGCCTTTCTGCCGCTTAGTTATAATGCTGAGAAGTGGAAGAAATATCTAAAGAAAAAGACATCAAAAGGACATCAAAAGGACATCAAAAAGAACATCAAAAGGAAATCAAAAAGACATTACACATATGGAGCTTTCAAGGTTGCCAGGCAGAATATTATATAATCCAATCGGTGCAGGTGTTGCAATTAGGTACTTATTTCCACTACTGACTACATTGTATACGGAGTACATACTCCGTATGAAGCAAGTTTCAATCTATCACACTTGTTGACGCTAAAATCTGGCGATATCGAGGTTGAATGCCGAGAGCAGGACCCTAAGCGCTCGGGAGAAATCGCGAAGCGACCTCAATTCGGATACGTAGACCTAACCATGCATCCGATCACTCCATAGTACCCCGTTTCAAAAGGCTTTCGACCTTTTGGCTGGCCTTCCGCCAGGATACTGTTCTTGGTGGAAGTCGGTCACACACCCATCGGGATTATCTCTGAGGTTCCCTTCACAGCACTCGAATGTAAAGCACTCTGGGAAATTCTCGCGCATTTCATCGGTATCCACGTCACACTCATCCCAATTATCAACAAAAAGGGCTTCGCCAGTGGGCTCACTTTGCTCTATTATGAATTAGTTTATTGAGCAGGTTGGACTTCGGTCTCCACTCTTGCGCGTACCTGGATGATATCGACAGTTTTTCTCTGTTTTGGTCGTGACATCGAACTCCTTCTCGCAATTAACGCAGAACGCGTAGCGTGGTACTCGTCTCTTATTTTTGTCAGAACTCTCAGTTTCGGTAGCCGACACCAGCAGTTGATTCTCGGCTTCTTTGCGAGCCTCGTCGCTTTTCGCGCAAATAGATTTGAGAACCGCGCGTACCGTCTGGTCGGACGCGTCGTTGATCGCGCGATCAAGGATTGTGGCATCGATATCTTCCTCGGAAATTGGCATGATGGTCTGTCTTATGTTGGTGGGTTTGACTTCACTAAAACTTGAGTTCCAGCTCGGAAAGGCTCCTGGAATCGAAAAAAGTCGAGGTACTTAATAATCTGTCAGAAGGAACCTGTTTTGATACCTATCACATTTACGTACCCACGCGGATTTTTATGATCTTGCATTGCCAAGTCTCCTAACGATCCCTTCTTAGCCTGTACCAGACAGCTCCTAACATCCGCGATACATCTTCAAGTGCAAACCTTTTTGATTTTGTAGCATTAATCCATTTGGTTTTGCCATGTAACCGGCCATTGAGATTTCTATAGAATAATTTACTTTAATAGAAGGATTTATCCATCTTCCCACTCTGACTTCATATTTTGAAGATCTATTCCTTGGAGTAGGCCAACCTACCACAGCCCTTATTAAGCCTAAATCATCCATGGATGCCTATGATATCATACACTGTACAATGCCTTATGGACAGGTGGTGAAACAGTTTCAATCTACAACAAACAACCCAAAGAAGGAAAGTAGGTGCAGTAATATATATGAATCACATTGGAAGGAGAAAGATGGATAAGTCTAGGAAACTAGTAGAATATGTATCCTTTGTTTGCTGACAGAAGTCAATAGTCAAACAGACCTGATCGGAGAGCCGTAGGATTATTCTGTTTACTCCACATTTCCATTCAGACTAGCTGTCAGCTCTTTACCCCGAAGAGCCTATAAGGTCCTTTCATCAACCTCTGTTTGACTCGCCAGCCAGTCGCCTACTAGGTAGACTGTTCACCTAGTCCTAGGCTCTTATGTAGCTTCTTCAATAATCTCAGCTCACATCGCACCATGAATTTCGGCTTTTCTGTAGGCCCTTCCTGAGAAACAACTTTTTTTTTTAAAAAAAAAAATTAACAATAATTTTGAGCTATGAATACTTGTTTTGGGACTTTGGGGACCTCAACTGAAAGTGCGAGATGTCTGAGACTAGGATATATGTTATTACTAGGTGCAAATCGATCGTCGAATTTGGGTATAGGGGCGAAAGACTAATCGAACAATCTGGTAGCTGATTCCTGCGAATTCAGTTTTATGAGGCAAACCCTGTTGAACAAAGTATTTTTTTACCCACAAAGGGCGGACTTTGCTCGCGGATGTGAATACCAGGAGTTATGGACATGTATAGAGGCAAAGCTAGCTTACTTCTTATGCCATAGGAGATATCTATGGATATTATAATCCCTAGTACCTACATGTATGTACATAGTATATGCCTAAAATCACAGGTACCACTCCGTATATAGGTCCAACAAGAATAAAAGTGCATATTACCTAGGCCTCTACACTGTACCACTTATATAAACACCTAAAAGAGGCATATTTACTCTTAGATTTAAAGTTGAAATGGCTATTTTAGTATCTCAACTCAAAGTGCGAGATGTCTGAGACTAGGGTGCATGGTATTATTAGGGAAACACTAGTTTACTCACGTAGGGCGGACTTTGCTCGCAGATGTAAATGACTAGGAGTTATCCATATGTATAGAAGTAGAACTGGCTTCTGGCCTATGAGATATAGGGTAAATCCTAGTACCTACCTAAAAGTCTTATGTGATACTCCGTATATGGGCCTAACAAGAATAGAACTGCATATTACCTAGGTACCTATACTGTGACTCTTATACAAGCACCCAAAAGAGGTAATAATATATATGTATGGATATGGTAGAGCTTTTAGATTTAAGTTTGGAAAATTTTGGGATCTCGAGTCTCATCTCAGAGTGCGAGATGTCTGAGCACTGGGGTACTTTTATTACTAGGCAAACCTTAGTTGAACAAAGTACCTTTCCCTCACATAGGGCGGACTTTGCTCGCAGATGTAGATGACTAGGAGCTATCTATGTAGAGGTAGGGTTGGTTTTCCTCCGCCTTCCAAGATTGCAAGATGTTTCAGTGTACCTAAGTAGGTAATCCTTGGCCCTGATTAACTATATAGAAAGGAAGGTGCCATAGCGATATCCATTGATCCTTAAAAGAAATGCACCTTCTCTATACTCCATAGCTTCCCTACCTTCCCTACCTTCTCTATCTCCTCTATCTCCTCTATAAAAGCAGTCCCCTCGTGGATCTCTTCCTTCTTCCTTCTTCCCTCCTCATCACCCTTCTTGACTGTCCCTTTGTCTTTAGCACTTCGGATTCCTGCAGTTCTCTGCAACTCCTAAGCTGAAGGCCTTCCTCACGTTGACGTGCAAAGTTCAATTCAACACGTCCATTTCTCTGTGTGATCACTCCGTATCCCGTTTGACGAAAATCACCTCTGACTCACTGGAGTCTTTGACTCTGTAAGTAATCCTGCTGAGAATACTTGCCCTCTCCTACACGGATTTCAGGCGAAATAAAAACGAACGGGTTTGGGTTCACTTGACATCGTCGAGCAGTGCCACCCCTCTGCTGTCATAACAACCTCAGATTGGCTCACCTGTCTTACTTGATGGCTTCACATATGTCTACTAAACTAAAGGGAAACAAAATAAGAACAAAACATTGACTGACGAAAGGTGATTCATAGGAGTATTACTTCATGATGGCTTCGAAAAAGGCCATGGAACCCTCAACCGAGGACGATGAGGAGCATAGGGCTCGTTCCGGGCATCGCTCTACAACATCGTCGAAACCCCAATCTAACCCGACATCTACTGCTGGTAAAAAGAGCTCTTCAAAGCCTGTTCATTCCTCTTCATCCTCTCGTCAACCCAAGATGAGCCTTGAACTTCCTCTGCGTCCTTCTGCCGCTGCAGCAAAGCCTCTGGACTCACGCCAGGCCCAAGAGCTGCGTGACCACAAGGCTAAATTAGAAGGAGACGCAAAGCGCAAGAAAGAGGAGGAACGCACTGCCTGGATGCGCCGAACCCGATATGACCCTGATGCGACCGAGCCGCGAAAGCCTAAGAGTACTGGTTCAAGTAGCAGTGACTCTCCTATCCGACGAGTTGAGACTCCCCCGGAATTTCCAGTCAACTGGACCGCGGAAGAAAAGGCCAACTATGAGCGTCTTGAAAGAGAGGGCGTCAAAGTGGCTGTTTTTGAGCAACACAGACTCGACCAAGAAAAGGTTGTCCGACACAAAGATTACATGACGGTTGCCTGGGATGGCTGCAAGAACGTTGACATTCCCTGGCATCGATTCAAAATCAGACCGTCTTCTGTAAGTTTGCAATCGATAATTTACAATGGCTCTGCACTTGTGCATAATGAATTTTCCTAACGTTTTTTTATAGGCTGTTCCAGAGGAGACTCAAATCCAGCGTCGTGTTGGCTACAACACTTCAGGTAAAGAGATCGAGGTTATGATGAACGCGTACCCGATCACATCTTTCCCGGACAAAGCAGTCTATCAGTATGAGGTGAGTACTTCTCGCCTCTGTCCAATGCCATTATTTGCTTATCAGTGACTAGATCAATATTCTCCATGGAGACCAAAACGAGACCGACAGGCGGGTCCTCAGAAAGTGCTGGAACAGTGAGACTCGAAAGGCATACATTCCTGATGGTATCTGGGATGGTGGAAGAATCTGCTGGTAGGTATTAGATATTTCTTATTATTGTTATACGTTTTCTAATATGTGTTATTGCAGGTCGCTGCGCAACTTTGATGACTGGAACGAGGTTATCAACACCAAGGGTGACTTGACGCGAGACATCAAGACTCTTGCTACTGTCGATGAGTTCAAGAGAAATCCTACTTTCAGAATGTCTGTCATCCAAAAGCGAAAAATTAATTTGTCCGTAATCAACGCCTGGCTGCAAAACCGCCGTGATCTGGATGAACTTGTGATTGAATCTCTGAGTAAGTTTTCCCTTCTTTCCCTTATTCCTCTGTTTTTGATGCATCAAGCTGATAATCACAGGCTTCCTTGATCATTTGCTCCGTGAATGGCCCACCAAGCAATTTGCTGCAATCAAGCGGGCCTTCTTCTTCGACAAGCTTGGAGATGACGAGGAGCTGAAGCAGGAGTTTTATCAGCCTCTCGCCAATATGGGTGCTTCCGTTTACCGCGGCATCTACCAAGCAATTAAGCCGACTCCCGTAAGGCTCCAATCCGTTTATTCAAATTCATGATTAGAAAGCTGACATTTACTTGTAGCAAGGTCTGATCCTCAACGTTGATGTCGCTCACTGCGTCTTCTTTTCTCGCATCAGTCTCATGGGCTACATGATGAATGTGAACGGGTGGAATGATAAGTCGACTCTGGTGAGAAATCTCCAATCAACCCGCGACGAATATGGTGGTACGAAGGAATCGAGATGGTTTGCACAGGTAAACAAGAAGATCCAGGGCCTTCGAGTGGCACCCAACTACGAAGGGTGCCCTTTCAAAATGAAGAGTTTCATTGTCAAGGGCTTGATTCATGCAAAGCCCAAAGAATTCTTCATCGATTACTATGACAAGGCTACTGGCAAATCGACTCGAATTCACCTCGAAGAGTACTTTATGAAACGGTACAACATCCGCCTTGAATATCCCAACATGCTCTTGGTTGAGATGCAAAAGGAAGATGTCCATTACCCAGCCGAGTTTTTGGTTATCAAAGGCCTTCAGAGATACCGCTACAAGCTCAACGACGTGCAGGCGGCACAGATGATTCAATGGTGTGCATCTAGGCCTCCGAAACGTTTGGCCAATGCTCGCCAGTCCAAAGAGCTTCTCCAGCATAAGGATGATCCAATCCTGAAGCTTTACGGCATGAAGATCAGTGATCAAATGATCAAGACTAAGGCCCGCCTGCTTCCGAGCCCTGAAATTCAGTTTGGAGCCAACCGCAAGCATAACCCTCAGCATTCGGGAAGTTGGGATCTTCGCGGTAAGAAGTTTTACAAGCCCAATGAAAAGGCCCTTCATGCTTGGGGTGTTGGGTTCTTTTCCGGACATCGAAAGTCAATCAGCCAGGACCAGACCTTGAGCTGGGTTGAGCAATTTGTGAAGATGTACAAAACGATGGGTGGTGAGGTGACTGGGCGACCGGTTGTCAAGGGATTGAACGAAGACGTTGGAACCAGTGTCAAAAAGCTGTACGATGCGATTGCTGCCCAGAACAAGCAAGAGCCTCAGCTCATGGTGTTCATAGTTCCTGACAAGGACTCTTGGGTTTATCTTCGCATCAAGAAGTCTGCCGACTGCCGATACGGTACTCCCTCTCAAGTGCTTCAGTCTGCACACTGCATTAGCAATAAGCCTCAATATCATGCAAATGTTCTGATGAAGGTGAATGCAAAGCTTGGTGGAATCACTGCTCGGGCTGTCCCCAAGTCAAAGAGCACAGGTCTACGCCCGGGCTCCATGATCATTGGAGCTGATGTCACTCATCCAATGATGGGTGTGTGGACCCCATCGTTGGCAGCCATGTCAGTTTCGGCAAATTCCACTGCAACTCGCTACATGGGTGGATGTGAGACCAATGGGGATCGAATTGAGATTCTCCGAGACAAAGTGGTTGAGTACATCCTACACCCCATGGTTGCTGAGTGGAAAGCGACTGTTGGGAGTGGCAAGGCTCCCGAGTACGTCTACTATTTCCGCGATGGTGTGTCTGCATCCGAATACCAGAGAATTCTTTCAGAGGAGGTTCCTGCAATTCGATTTGCCATTGCACATGCGTGTGGTCAGGCAATCTGGAACGGCAAGATGTGTGTTGTAGTCGCCAATAAACGCCATCATCTTCGAGCGTTTCCAGACCCCAAGAATCGTGCGGCCGCGGACCCTCATGGTGGTCCCCTGCCAGGCACTCTTATTGATCGTGATGTGACCAGCCCACACGATTGGGACTTCCTGCTGTATACGCACATTGCCCTGCAGGGAACTCCCCGCCCTGTTCATTACCATGTCCTGTTGGATGAGATGGGCCTCAAGCCTAATGACCTCGAGGGCATGATCAATGACCATTGTTACCAGTACATCCGCTCGACAACCTCTGTGTCTGTCCACCCTGCTATCTACTATGCCCACTTGATTTCGGTTCGTGCTCGTCACCACGAGGATGTTCCTATTACCTCTGGCCCCCAGAGTGGCCCAGAGGTGAAAATGACGAACCCGAAGCCCAAGGAGCCACGAGCCAAGAGGTTGCTTCCCATTGAAGGCACCTCAAACAAGCTGGCTCTGGGTATGTGGTACGTTTAATTCAACTGTAACCTTTCTATGGTTTTGGACAAGATTCGCCTTGTTCACTCCATGAGGATGCCGGCTCCCTTCCAAGGAATTGATTGCTCTATGACTGGGTGTTCTCTCTGTTTGCGCACCACCTGCGCACTATCTTGCTGTTACTTTGCGTTTTTTTCTTCTGTTATTACTACATCGAAATTCGATTGCATTACTTCTGTGATGCTGCTCTTCAGGATTGCCTTGATCGGAGTAGTAGGGCTGCAGTGGCTGTTGTTCACAATGAACGACTGGGCTGGTTGCAGACTTGAGACTGATCTCGCAGCTGAATGGGCTATACTTTATTCTGTTTGTGTCTTATTGAATTTGTCTTTGATTCTATCGTTATCACTGCTCGATCTATGCCTGATTACTACAACTTGGCTGTTGTTTCTAGAAACAACTGGCCGATTGTACGTATACCGAAAGAGGCTGGTCTTCAAGTTCATGACGAATTAGGTTCATATTTCTTTACCATGTCGTTTATCCAGAAAATATCAAAATACCAAAAAAAAGCCCTTTCGGGATATTTCATTGGCCTGTGCAAATAGTAGATTTAGGACAATTAGGGTTGAGCAGAGTGGGTTTAGTATATGTTCTACTCTGATATATCGAGGGAAAGTAGTCTTCTATTGTGGAATAAGACTTAGAAGTAGATTCGACACGAGAATGGATCTGGATTGAATAAATTCGAAGAGGTATTCTGCTAAGAAATAAAAAGTCCCATCAAGGGACGTATGTACCTATACGTACCGGATTTTCCCTGGCGGGTGGGGCTTTCCTATTTGAGCTGCCGCCGCTTTTATGAGGGTGCTCAGGCTCAGGCTCACTGAGTAGATGTCAGCACGGGCTCAGATCAGTCACGTGTATAATCACTGATGCTCAGTGAGTGATCATTGGATGCTCTCTGATTACTCAATGATGCTCAGTGTCCAATCAGTGAGCAACACTGCCGCACTCAGCCCGCCGCAGACTACACCTGGAAAGGATTAGCCCCTACATAGGGCCATTTTCGTTGATAGTATTGCTGCTGCCCTCGTTTTTTTAAGCACTATATCTCACCAAGAAAATACGTCATGACTAAGGGGCGTAGGATAGAGCGGAGAACTCCGTCCGTTTCAGGGTGTTATCTCCTTTTGTCTTCTACGAAGCGATATATCTGTCTGCATTCACACCATATACAAGGAGTGTGTTTAGACTCGACAATTTGTGTTTCCGGACGAACAAATGAGCATTATGTAGAAGGCCAGAGTCTAGTCGAAATTCTTCAAGCCAATTCCTTGGAGAAAGCAAAGCTGACATCTTTGGCTCCCAAGCACGGAATACCAAGAGATCAATCAACTGATAATGGATAGGGGAGAAGTCTGTCTTAGTATCTACATGGATATATTCATACTGTAAACGGCGGACCTGTGAATTACTACATCGGGTTAGTTTTGCCTTTTTGGGTTTAGCGCCCCAATACGCTGTCAACCAACCTTCAATGCCGACATAAAAGACCCGTCTTGGCGTCCTGTTCTCTTCTGCACCTTCGGCACAACAGGACGCTAACCCCACGCGTCCGCCACTCGAACCCAATAATCGTTCGGACAGTGGGTTAGGTGATCAGCTTATGCTCTCGCCACAGGTCGATGGCACGGGAGATTCAGTGTATACCGTCCCATTGACCATTCCGTTCAGCGTTGGGACATTGAATATTTCCCGCACAACGGAAACGAAGATGATGGCTCAGCTGTTATTGTGTCAATTGCAAAATTTACATCAGGTATGCTAGGGTCTTGATCGACAGGTCCAGGGTGCTGAGAATATGCGGGGAGAGAAGAACCTATGTGCAGGGTCCAATGCGCAGCTCCTAGAGAAGGTGGGAGAATTGCAACGTGTGTTGGCGGCGGTCTGTACGCAGACACCGATGTAGAATATGTGTGCGACTTTTCAAGAAACAGGAGTGGCATATTGATGATCTGGTCTTTAGTCTCCAGGCTTCCTCTTTATAACGTTCTTCTTCTTTTAGGCTGTAGTCATGGTCTCAATCGTTGGCTATCTGCCCCGGATTCGGACGCCTTTTGGCCACCTGCGCAAACCCGTTTCATTTCATTCCTGACAAAGCCGCGGTCAATCCTGGACACACTCCAGTTAGCCAAGACGAGCGTGGGAAAAGAGGAACTCGGCACAACGAAAGTGCGTTGGCGAGGGCTATCTCGTGTTCTGGCTGGGTCTAGCACCGCTCGCGTTGGCTGTGACTTGGCTGTGACTTGGCTGTGACTACTCATATGATGAAGACGCCGAGATCGAACCCCCATTTAGACTGTCTGCTTCTGCTCATTGAATAATCCAGACTCAGCCGCAATGGCGGCCTCACTGCGCAAGCTCATGGGACCAAGGCATTTTGGGGCGAGGAACAACGGGAGATGAACTCAAGTAAGCTCCATGTGGCCTTGGAACTACGCGAGAGACACCTACGGCAGCGATGGAGGTGTCGAATCGAATTGGGTGGCTACACTTTCCACTGCAAGCAAAGCTAGCTAGGTAGAGCAATGATGACAGGTATATATCTCTTCAACCTTCTACTCCCACTTTCTCCTTCTTTCTCCACTATATCCATGGACAGCTCGTCCTTCTAGTATAACAGCGACACAAAACTGGGAACAGTAACAGCAAGTATGACTTTCTGAAGCAGCTGACCGGCTCTTCCTCTCGGACAACGTTAGCGTGAAGATCTCCGTAAATAGTTCTTCCAGTTGCTCCCTTGTGATTCCTCAGAGGGAGCTGCATATCTTGGCGGCAAGTCAACGATGAGATCCAAAGGGTTTTCGTAACTACCGGCCATCAACCCTAGCAGAGAAGCGGTCTTTATTCGATTGTAATACCATGCACGGATAGATTTGTAATCAAGTTTGAAGGACTCCCGGATTTGGGATTTCTGCTCAGGGTCGAGTGCAAACCCCCGGGCTCTCTCGCAACAAGAACATTCCACGGTACAATGACCAACTGCAAATTTCCGTTCTGACTGGCGATGAGAACAGCATCCACAGTCTCTGCCACAACAGCCTCCTCTCCCTATGCAATCTTCCACAAGTACTTGATGCATATACCATTTTGGCTGTGAGCGCCAGAAATCGATACCTCTGGTCAGCGGGCCGTCGTCATACGAAGACCTAATCTCCCACCAACGTCGTTCTAAGGTCCAATATTCCGTCGAAAGTGTCGACAATTCCTCCTGTAAGTCCTGAAGAACAGTCACGTATGTGTCTTCCTTAGAGAGATGCCCTATTTTCTCTTTCAAGGCTATCTCGCGTTGAGTATTCTCCCGAAGTGCAACTTCTGTCTGCAATAGCCCCCTTAGGTTAATGGGGCACATGGATGGATTATCTTCGTCGGTGAAGGTAGCGTATCGGTATCTTTGAAGAAGACATATATCTCCAGAGCTTTCTAGATCAAGCTCTTCGTCGGATTTGTCACCCCACATGTAGTAGCGCATCTTGAAATATCGTTTTACTCAAGAATATTAGGATGTTGGGTCTGCTAAAGGACCTTCGGATTGGAGGTTGATGTGAAATCGAACAGATTACCTGTTGAGTCCTAATTGCAGTGGAGACATTTCCAGGGATATCGGCTAAAAGTCAAATCGCCGGGACTAAGAAAGGAACCGGCCGTGGGCTAGTATTATCATGAGAGCAATCGTCAGGATGACGGGTATATAAAATTGAAGCCAGTGGTGAGCAGAATATATATAGGTTTCTGCAACTCTCTAAGACAGAAATTTGAGTGACACACACGTAATAACGAACCTATCTATCTATCAGAAGTGGCGGCAAACAGATACATTAGAACGCATGATGTGAATACTGATGTCTTTTCTTTCTCCTTCATGAAAGGAGAGAGGGCACTGCCATGCTACGGGGACTAAGCAAAACGTGACATTATCCAACATCGTCAAAGACGAACTCTACCTAGGTAGTGAGATGCCTATATAGCAGGATATCCTCTAGTCCGGATTACGGCTACACCACGGTTTTACTTCCTCGAGGGTTGTATACTTTACTAGACCGAATATTACTCTATAATATAAACGGGTAGCTACTATCAATCCTCAAAATATAAAGTGTTTACCAGTACGGGTAACAGTGGTTTATGTGACTCTTATCACAATTGGTCTCACTATGGTAAAAAGGTAACCTGGACTAGTGGACTTAACGCTATGCACAAGTAAGGGTAAGAATGAAAGAAAGACTATAGAAGTCAAAATAAAAGTAAGAGAAAGGTGAATAAAAAGTATAAAAAAGTAATATAAAAGTGAATGAAAAAGTGAAAGAAAAGTAAAGAAACACTGAAAAAACTTGACTTTCGGCATTGACGGCTCATCGAAGTCTAGATCCAATGTTAGTCGTTTCTATTGCCAGGCAATTTCAGATAGAGGATTTCGCCGTGTTCAGACCTTGGTATGTATGTTTTATAAAATGCAAGTAAATGGCTTTTATATCTGTTTCATGTTAATGCTTAAGTGTACTCCTTACTTACAATTCAGGCCAGCCTTCCTCCATCGGAGTCATCCGGTTAAACCGGCGATTGCGGCAATCTTCGCAGCCGCAGGTTACAGAGTGGCCGAGAGTTATGGCTGGCAGCTCGTTAATGCGCCGGAGGCGATGTCGGAGGCGGGTAGAGGTAGATGCAGACGCCTGAGGTTCGTTCCGGACGGCGTCCGGAGGGCGGATGGGTGGCACTGGGGGTATGTCGGCCACGACAACGATGTTGGAGCACTCTGGTACTGGTCGGGCTGGGGGGCGCGGGCCAAGCTACCTATGGACAATCAATCAGTAATTATGCACATGAAGCTTGAAACAGCCATCCCCAGTGTGACAGCGCACATAGGCTTTCCGTGTACTTTACCTGAAAGCCCAAGCCCGGGCGATTTCTGCAATAGTCATTGTCATGTTGCAACAGAACAAGAAGACCAAACAAAAAACTGCTTGTAATGTCCTGGCCTTCCAACTGGGGGCCAAAAAAAACTTCGTGCAAGAACTCGACAACAGACTTTGGTGGTTCTGGGGCTGGCATTTCGAAGAATGTTGGTGGTTTACAAAGTCTACTATTCTGCGCATTTAAGATCTGGTCTTGTCTTTTTTAATGGCGATTCTAGGAATGAGCCAATGGAGAAAGTCTTCCGGGTAAATTGCGGTTGACAGGGAAGGAGCGTCTCGATAAATCTGACGATATGCAGTGTTTGTAGCTCTTCTCTGGGACATGTCCTACCTACTGTTTGAACTCAAGTTTTCTGACCGTGGCCTGCACGCTCTCTGGGTATACGACCCAGTAGTATAGATTTCAAAAAGGGCGACGTACTGGCCCAGACAACCTCGCGTCCCGGCCCCGAACTAGTACAATCAGACATTGAACGTACCCGGTAAGTCGGCCAAACGTGACTTACACTAAGCAGACTGGCTTTAAGCTTTCTGGTATACAACGGTTCGCCTTCCAATAAGCGACTGGGACGCCACTGATCCGTATCAACACCCTATATCGGCTTATAGCGGTTAGTAATATATAGACTTATGCCAACCACGGTGCCTCTAGGGTAAAAGTGACCACAGATTGTGGCTCCCTCCGCCGGAACTACTCGTTTAAGAGGTATAGTAAATAGAGTGTTAAGCCGGAGTGACTCTTTAATACAGACGTCGAGGAAGGGGAGGTTCTGCAGCTTATACTATTGCGGGAAAGGTAGAGTGAGCCCGGTGGCAGTGTGTTACTTATCTCGCAGCTCGGCCCGTACCGTTTCCAGTGCGTCAGGGTGACCACAGATCGAAGCATAGAAGCCGTGGAGTCGGCCCCTCCAAGAATATTGTCAAAAGTCCAGGTTGACACAAATCGAAGTGGTACATTATCCTTTCTCTCCTGGGCATTGTGGTAATACCCGAGGAAGTCACAGTCGGTAATAGGTCCGTCGACGTTTGTATTTGAGGGCGATTTAGGACTTTTCCGATGTTCTTCCTGACGCTCTGAAATACTCGCCAAGACGTAGTCCAGCAGAGGGCAATAGCTTCGTGTTTGAAAAGATTTGCTACCCAGTTCTTATACAAGAGCCAATCGAGCTACGGTATCTACGTCATCTAAAAATAGTTAAGTCTTACTCTCTGCTAAAGTCCTTCGTTATATATAACTTACGGGTCCGATAATCAGGTTTACCCTGTTCACGTCGTCCATAATACCGTGTAAGTCTCCTATACTGAACGTAGCCATATGGCCGGGAGAATATTATCAAGCCCATTGTATCGTAGGATAGAGATTTCATCCACTGCGTCACATCGAACTATACTCCGGTGGGCACAAACCGGCGATCAAGCTCGTTAAAGAACATTTGTGAAGTACTATCTATTCTTAGCTCAAAGGAGGATACAGCGTACGAGAGCGAATAATACATAGAGATATACTGCTTCGTCTCTCGATGTTTCTATCGCTTAATTCTACGAATAAGATATTATATAATCTTATTATTATCTAGTTTTATAAACTCTTCTAATAGCTAGTTTTAGGATATATAAGTAGTATTAAGATTAGTTATAGTTATTATTCTTATTAATAGCTAGGAACATAGGCTGAAATAGTAAAATGGCGGGTCAATTGAATAGCCCCACTGTGAGATTTTTTACTTAGATAGGATCGAGACCGCTAGGACGAACGGTCACGTTGATTGCGCCCGTCCTTTGTTGATGGGTATAGGAATGGTTGCACGTGATGGGATTAGCGTGTCGCATTTTATTGATATAGCTTGCTCATGCCGCTTAACCCTATACTCAGCGAGCACTCAGTGAGCAAATCAGAGTGCTCAGATGATAATCAGTGAGTGGATCAGGGTGCTCAGTGATGATCAGGTGATGCTCAGTGAGCAGATCAGGTTGATTATGTAATGGCACGTGATCAAGTCAAAATACTCAGGGGCGTGCTCAGTTTTACTCAGTGATCGAAAAGTGGCAAGAGGTGAGTACTAAAACGGAAAGGGAAAGGTTTTGAGTGCCAGTCATTCTCCGGGTACATATGATACAAATAGACTAAAATGGAGGATTATCCACTTGCTTTTTCTAGCCAAAGAAAAGAAGGGAAAGGAAAAAGCAAGAAAAACCAGTAAAATACAAGGAGTGGGTTATGTATCGCTGCAAGTTTGAGGGTCAAAAAGATACAATCCTCCAATAGACAAATATTGGGTGCTGGCTCCTGTTGCTGCTCGCTCCTTGTTTGTCGATTGTATCGTGGCAAGGGAACACAAAAGTCTGCCTGTTTGTGTCGTGAGACATGGGTCGCGGATATTGAAGGAATAGAAATGCAGGTTGGTAGGTATGCAAAAGTAAAGCATGCGACGCAAGAGAAAAGAGAGATGAAGGAAAATAGGGCCATGTTGCTATTCAATCAACCATAGACCTACTTGATCTTGGAAGTTACACATCACGCTCCGTTGGTCATGGATTCACCAGTAACATCAACGAGGCCGCTATCCTCGGTTTTCATATTGGCATTTGTTGCCGGGTCACCAGTCGTTTGGTCGCCTTCCCCATCGGGGTTAAAGTTGGGCATTTCGAGGGCCATGCCGCTGTTCTTCTTGGATTTCTTCTTACTTGGCTCTGCAGCACCAGATTTGGAGGCCATTGGTGGAGCGGCTCGTTTCTGCGGACTGGATGTAAGACCCGAGAGATTGGATTGCGGGATTTTGCCTGAGGCTGGGAGACGGGGTTTGATCGCCATGGGCCGCTGCTTCGGGGGCAGCTCTAGGTCTTCCACAAGGGGTTCATCATTGTTTGCATCAAGCTTGGCCTTGAAGAACTCGTGTAGGAGTCCAATCTGGCGAGGTAGGTTGTCCGTTGAGATGCGTCCATATGGAGGCGGTTGAGCGAAAAGAGTAACGGTCGGTGAAACACTCGCATTTTGCGGATTAGCCGCATTGAACATACGATTTTGGAGCAGATGCAAGGGCACACTGAGTGTGGAAAGGCCAAACTCCCGATCCAAGCCCAGTTCCTTGAAACCGAAGAAATCCTCGTCAATATCCTCAGCAAAGTCACCACCAACAAACTGTTCACTGCCGTCCGCAAATGCATTTGAACCGTCTTCGCCGCCTTCAAGGGCGGGCCGAAGGAGTTCTGTTAGGAGTGACCTAAGTCGATCATGAGCAGTGGCGAGCTTGGTCCCCAGACGATCCACATCGTCCTTGATATAGGACTCCAGTTCATCTATGTGGATCCCCACGGTAGACAAGGTATGCAAAACAACTTCAGATTGAGTATATGCAGGTTTCCATTCGGCGGCAGAGGGTGTGACTTCATGTGACTCGGTGGTAGGAACCTTGGGTGTTTCCATATAAGACTTGAAGGTGGACCCTAGCTTGTGGAAAAAGTCGGCGGCAATATCTGTGACTGCCTCAAGAGCAGATGGCTGGTATTCCTCAAAGCCAGTGTGATAGAAAACTTTAGCGACTGAGCGCTGTAATGCCGCCCTACAGGTCCAGGGAGCAATGACAGGGCCGTTGTCATTCATGACATGTGGTTCGATGTCTTGCTCTTGAAATGGCTCTGGTTGATATTTTTGGAACTGATTTTGGTACATCTGGAAAAAAAAGTTAGCTGAAAGCTCGGGTTATAGAAGAGTAATGGGCTCACTTACCTGAGATTGAAGCTGCATCTGCTTGACGATGCCAATTTTTGAGCAGATCTTGCGAGTTTCTTGCATCTGTCGCATGTTCGAGTTCATCTTTTGTGTCAATTTGCTGTCTGGCTGGATAAAAAGTCCTTCTGGAAGCATATGGAGGAACTCTTCCGAGGCATCAACAACATTGCCTTGCGCGTCTTCCTTCCAAAGTAGCCGCTCAGGAAGATCAGGAACACCAGACATGACATCGTAATAATAAGGCAGCATCTGGTCTTCTTCCACCTCAATGCCTTCTGCAAGGCTCTCGCCTGCGGCCTCGGGTTCCATGGCTTGAGAGTCACCACCGTGAGACTTATCGGCCTCGATAGTAGCTTGTTTCTGGTGTCGAAGCCATCGGCGCATGCCAGCTTTACTTCTGAGCAAAGCAGGTTCGTCGGAGTTGAGCTTGTCTCCCCGAAGGAGACGATGTCGCTCCGCCGCAACGCGCGCTCTATCTCTCTTGGTAACTTGCTTCCACACTTTGTATTCAGGGTCTTCCAGTTCTACGCCACCAGAAACTGACATGGCACTGAGTGCGGTTGTTGACGTACTCGGACCGTCGATCTCCATCGCATCCTCCTGGCTTGCTATAGGCATCGCCCCTAGGCCAGCAGGGTCAGAAGGTGTATTGAATCCAGGAGGTGGTGTGGAAAATCCATTTTGGCTAGCTTCGCCGGCGGCGTCCGAATCTGCGCGAGCTGGCGCGGGTGGCTGAGTGCTGGGGGCCCTGACAGGCCCCTCAGAGCCACGAGGACTGTTTCGGGAAGGGGCTGTTCCTTTCTTGGAAGACTTCTTTCCAGGAGCCTTTCTACCTCGCGAGGACATGATGGGCTCATCGTCGCTCTCCTCGGCGCCATCATTATCGGCAAGCTGGAGCCGACGTTCTTCGGCCTCAACTTCGGCACGGTCCCTGATAACAATGTCTGGAATGAGAGGGACGAGCTTTTCAGTCTCCTTGCGCATGTAAAGTGCGTGCTTCCGCAGAGGATGTTCAGTGTTGGTATTATATTTCAAGCAATTGGCCCAAATGAGGGTGAGGTCATCGACAAAGTCTTGCTTGGATCTATACTGCAAGCCTTTCAGCTTTTTGGTCATTGATCCGAGGTCCATCGGGTGTTTGATGACTAGTGCGAAGTTAGGAGATGAAACATATCATTCTGTTGAAAGGGCCGCTTACTCGTATGATAGTCCGGCGCATCGCGTTTGTTGACACGAGTCAAAAAAGCAGTTGAATGTTCTGTCATAGCTTTGAGCTCACTAAGAACCTTTTCCGCAGCTTCATAGAGCTCTTCCTGGCCGACCTTGTCTTCGTTCGCCCATTTGCTGCGGTTCTTGCGAACCTCGCTTAGCAAGCTCCGCAGCTCGGCATCCGATGCCTGCACCCGGTCACGCTTCTTGTCAATCCGTGCGATAAGATTTTTCAGAGTCAAACTAGAAGCGCCCAGGTTGGTATTACTCAATGAACTGTAGCCATTGGAACCCCCTGAGACATTGTTGCCGCCCATGTTAGCCTGGCCGGATATCTCTGCCTCAACCTGTCTCTCCGACTCTTCCAAGCGCTGTTGATCAAGCATAGCATCCCGATCATTCTCAAGGGTGTAGAACATAGTATGAAAGCTTCTTCTAGCAGCCTCCTCTGTTGCTTTCTTATCTTCCTCGAGTTGCTTCCGGAGATCCTCCATTGTTTCCTTCTTAGGCTCTTTAAGTCCATCTGCGATGGTGGATATTGAGGTATTGGGACGGGGTGCTAATGGCGCGGCACCACTAGGTTCCTGTGACGCAGCGGTGGACTTGGTTTTCAGAGGGGATTCAGTAGCATCGTCCATTTCCTCATCTTCATCATCGTCATCATAGTCATCATAATCATCATCGTCGAGCTTTCGGGCAGTCTTGCGTGGGGCGGTGGAAAGGGGTGGCGCATCATCGACGCGTTCGGGTTGAGCTTCGGACGACTCAGTAGCTTCCCCAGCTGCAGGGTTATCGTCCGAGTATCGTCCAGAAAACAGGGCACTTATTTTCGCCTCACTGCGGCGATACAATTCGCGGAATTGAGCAATGCGCGGGTCCTCTTCCGGCGCAATATCGGCTTCGGATGTCGAGCTAGGGTTCGGGCCTTCCGCGCCAACAGAGCCGCGTATTTGAGGAGTCCGGGAGCCAGATAAAGTCTTTACTAAGCCATTGACTGGTCGGGGAGAGTCCTGAATATCATCTGGGGGCCGAATGTTGCCCGGAGGCCAGGCGTTGTGGCCGAGCGACATGCTCGCTCCAAAACCCCGGTTCTGGGGCGGGCGAGACTCGATTCTCCGCGATTAGGATTATGGGCCGATCGGACGCGACACAGGGGTCGGGGAAGAGACAAAAGGCATAGAGATAGAAAACACTGCCGGTAAAATTGACTGAAGATGTCAAAACGGCAAAAAATGATAGCGCGGGGGAGAGGTTTGATGAAGAAGGTCCGGGGGAGCTTCATAGGAAGTTTCTCTGTGACGGGGGTGAAGTACAGGGCATGAAGGCGGAGTCATCCGGCAGATCTTGTCTCATTGTCACTATTTTGACTTGCGATCAATCGCTATTGTTCACATCTTGACATATTTCATCGTATTATTCTTTATCTTCTTTTGAGATTACTGTGGATTTACCTGTCCAATCTCAGCTATCCCCCCCTTCTTTGTTGTTGACAACATCTCTATTGCTCCGCATATGACGCACAAGTCAGCAGCTGGGGCCGAACTCCTCCACATTTGACAGCTCTCCCGACGAAGACTGGACAATCACCTTCAAAAAAGAGTTCCAGCCAAAAGCTTCTTCTCACTTTCCTCTCACTGATCCGTTTGTTGACCACCATGCGCATTCGCTACCCTTTTGCAGGTAAGCTTTAGGGATTTATCATTCTGGTTCTGGTGATCTCCCAACTAACCACCTTAGGTGCCTTTATCTTCCTGCTCTTCTTAGCCGGCTACATCGGTCTTCTTCCACACAGCGACTCTTCAACGATACCAACACAGCTTCAACCCAATGACAAGTTCCTCCACCTCGTCACCTTTTTCCTACTCTCAGTAACATTTTACTGGGTTTTGGACACTACCCGTCGGCGCACACTACACGTGACACTCGTGGTATGCACATTAGGGCTGGGTGTTGGCTCTGAAATTGTGCAGGGATTCCTTCCAAACGGTCGAGACTTTGATGTATTCGATATTGTCGCCAATGTTGTCGGTAGTGTAGGCGCCGTCGGACTTTGCAGCTGGTACCACCGGCGTATGATGGAACGCCGCCGACAAAGTCGGTATGGCATGACGGAGGATGGTAATCAGGACGTCGAGCTCGGTGACGTTACTGGGAACTCCCGTCGCGGCTCAGCAGTGATGGGCCCGCAGGAATCCGGTGTCATGAGTCTTGAGCAGGAAGTCGACAACTGGGACGAGAATGCAGTTGACAATTGGGATGCAGCAGAAGAGCCGAGTCCTGAGCGAGAGGCTGCTCCTCCCAGTTATCATGAGGCTGGCCCTGTCGGTGGCCAATCCGCTGCAATCCCTACTGTAGCAAAGCGTATTGATTAAGGCTACTTCTACTCGGAGCGAGGCGTGTTATGCTTTGGAGACAAGGAGCTGCATCCGGATCTTGTTTTGTTGCTATACTCTCTGTTCTTATGATGATGGATTTTATGTCTTGGTCTCATGTCGGTATGATATCAATCTCGATTTTGTGTTCAGCAGCGCTGCGCTTTTGTTCTATTGATTTGTTTATATTGTTATATTATGCCTTGATGGGGATGTATGATGTTCTACGGGCAAGCGGTGATAGGAAAAGAGTGCAAGGAATTTCTTGTTATTTTCAAGGGGTTGTATAGTAGCTTGGATTTATTGCGAATATGTGGGAAGTGCTACATAGCCTTAAAATGCTAATAACGAGAGCTGATTCAAAAAACCCCCCTATGATAGAAATTATTACCAGGTGAAAGTAGAATATCTCGGACTAAATCGGCAAAGCATACAATATCACCAATTGGCTAATATACAGTGACCCTAGGGCGAGACTGACAATGCTAGTCAATAAGCAATATAACTACATCCAAAATAATAATCAAAGTGACAAAACGGGGGGGTATTTCAACAAAAGAAAAAAATATATAGCAGGGGGTTGGAACAAGGAATAATTCAGAAACAGTCGCAAGTGCAAAATCAATAAACACCGGCCATGAAGGGATGCAACATAAACATAAACCTCACGTCCAAAGTTCGTGGTCACAGATTGGACGAAAGGTCAAGATGAGATGAAAGGTCAGGATTGAGCGGCATCATTCGTTATCAGAAACAAAAAGCTCCGGTGTACCGGTCCGACTTCTCGTCGGCGTATGAGCGCGATCTGGGACAGCTTCCAACTCCGGCTTGAAAGTTGGCAAGTAATCTGTCTGGTCATTCAACTTGGGGATTTTCGCAGATCGTTCCTCGCTCCCATTGGGTGAGTCCATATTCCAGTCCGTGATCTTGCCCAGCTTCCGATCGGTTTGTTCTCGGAGCACTTCGTAGATAAATTGCATCTGCATCTCGTTGTAGACCATCATCATCCGTTGCTCCCGCATTTGATTGACAGTTTCAAAAACAGGGTCGTCAGCTGAATTTTCCATATCCAACAGATGTCCTGACTCTAGTTCGCATAGCAAATGGTCAAGCGCGATGAAAGTTCCTGTTCGACCAACTCCTGCGCTGCAATGCACGATTCGCGGATTATCCGAGCTGGATTTGAAAGCTGACAACTTGATCAAGTTGAGAAGGGCTTGGCGATCGCTGCCTTCGGGTTTGGAGTAATCGGCCCAGCCAGCGAAAAGAAAATGCCAGACGATTTTTGACTCCGAACCGATGGCTAGTTCGAGTTTGCGAATTTCAGATCGTGATCTAGCGTCGAAAGTTGACTCTAACAAGGTAACTCTACCCAAGATACCGGGTTCTGTTTGCTCACTCTCGTCGAAGAAAACGTCCGACTCATCTGTCGTTAGAACCATCGAAGCCTGCTCCGTATCCAATGGGAAGTATTGAGCACACTTTTCCCGGCCCGCTTCAAAAGTTTGGGTAAGCATTACGATAACGCCGACCTCCTGGCTTTCATGGAAGACCATGTGCCAAAAGTCCGCAAGATGTCCGAGTTTGGGGCCCTTCAATAATGGTAAGCAAACAAGCAAACCATATGACTAATGACGAATGCGTAACCTACCTGAGTTGCGATATATTTCCTTCTTTCCCGTGTCACCGAGTCTTCCAGTCTGATCGGAGATGCGTTGATAAAATCACACTCGCCCTCGGCCACCCGCAGATGAACACGACAATTTGCCCATGCCTGGACATTATAATACCGGTTTCTCGCTTTAACTCTTGGGTCCGACTCTAGGGCCCAGGGATGCGAGAGATCATTGGCTTGGCTACCCTCAAATATACGTGTGCGCTGCCTCCATTCCAGCTCCTCAAACTTGTCATGGATCTCTGCATAAGGAAGCGGTCAGTCACATTCCACGTGCAGGTTGTATTTTCCGATAGGCGTTTTATGCACCCCTCACTCACCTGAGACAGATTGGCACAGGAATGGTGGAACATCTTCCGTATTCCCAGCTTCCAGCTTAGGGTTGTCCTGATCCGCACCGAGTATATCGAGACCCGCGTCATCATTCTCGGGCAGTCCGCGCTTGGTCGCGACACTGGTGTCGATCTTGATAGTCGGATGCGCCATCTTGGCGGCCGCGATCCGCTGGAATGCTCGGACTTTACCTATCACACCACGCGCTTTCCTCGAGACGGATTTGGCTTTGAAACGTTTTTTGTGCGGGGCAGACTCGAAGGAAGGAGAGGGCGAACGAGAGGGTTCCGTTCTCACGCTTTCAAAGTCCGCAGACACTGACGTTATCTGCAGTGATGACAGATCGGGACAGCTATAGAAGCTGTCCCGGGAAGACGTGTCCAGGGCCAGATTTTTTGAGGATCGCGGGGGTTGGGCGTCGAGGAAGTGGAGGAGAGCGTCGCAATAAAAGTAATACTCGTATAGAGTGTTTTAGGCCGTATACTCCCGAGTCCACCTGATTGATTTTCGGATCAGAAAGTAATTAAAAGGCACCGAAGCTGAAGAAGAAGCCGAGTGAAGATAAAAAAAAAAAAAAAAAAAAAACAAGGCGTTGGAGACGGGCTAAAAGGAGAGAAAGTGGAGGGGGGCAAATAATCGAAAAGATCCGAAATGTCCGAGTACTTTAATAGTATAAAAAGCGATATATACTTATATAAAATATAGAATGAAGCTTATAGAGAAACTATTTAATCGAATATATATATATATACTTATATAGTTCTAGGGTTGTCGCATTGGTTTGCCACTTATTAGCTGCTTGCGGTCTCCCACATTTCATACAGTAGTATCCAAGAGCCTATTAATACTTTGTATATTATTTATGTATCATCTAGAGGTTGTAATTGGATTTTGATAGAAACGGGAAATTTGCCAGGATGTATCTTTACCCCCTTTATGACCTTGTATGACTCTATTGTTTCGTTCTTATACCTTTTAGTTTACTTCTTTTACTTGTTTTGGCGGGGAAAGCCTTGGAAAGTACTACTCTTTCTCTTTCTCTTTCTCTTGGTTCTCTTTATTCTCTTTATTTCTTACTACCTCTTTTGATTTGGGTACTTCTTTTACCTTTCCAATTTCCATCCTCGGTGTCGAATGTCGCCACCCACTTATGCTGACAGGTGTTGAGCACCCACGGTTCGCATATGTCAACAAATCCCCAAAATGGTCTCCCAAGCTCAGATCGTTGATCGTACAAACCAAAGCACAGCTTCACTGGTGTCGCGTCCTTCGAGCAGACGACATCGTTCTGGTCGTTCACACCATGGCGGCTCCTCACATCCCTCCTCGAACGATTTCCCCATCTTCACATACACGGGTGACACTGAGGTCGTGATCCGCGCCGGATCGCAGGAAAAGCGTTATCTCCTCCACCGATTGATATTGTCACAATGCTCAGGCTTCTTCGAGGCAAGTACCAATGAGGACTGGTCGCGCCAGATGGCCTCGGGTCCGTCTAAGCCGGAGGGGACGCTGTCGCGACTGAGTGAGGATGATGATTTGTCGAACGGGTCAACACTGGCACCCTCTGATAATGGACACTCGATGCGACCGGAAAAGAGACGATGGCGGTATGAACTTGACTGGGAGAATCGCGCGGAGGATGAAGAGGCGATCCTTGTCCAAAAGGTAGGCCTTGCGCCAGCGCGTCGCATAACCTCATCTTGCCGACAATGCTAATATCGCGCGTTGAAACAGCAACCAACCTATGCCCCCATGTTCAATGTCGATGGCGACCAAGCTGCATCTCCTCCGACGATGACCAAACCGTCCAACGCCCAGGCAGGCTTCTTTCGATCCATGGCGAACCTAGCAGGGATGCAATCGGTAGCCAATCTACCACAGACCGGAGAGCACGCTGTCGCCGTCGATCCCTTAATACGTGACTATGACAACCTACTACGGATATTTTATAATCATGCCCCCATTATCAACAGTGTCAACATCGCCTCGGCATATACAGAGTGCAAATCCCTCCTCGCATTGGCGGATATGTACGACGCGCTTCCGGTGACGGGGCCTCGTGTGGACCACCACCTACTCGGCTTTGGATCTCGTCTATTTAAACAGATCGCCAAATACCCACCGAGCTACCTGAAGCTAGGATACCTCGCTCGCAGCCGGGTGATCTTCTCCGAAGCCTTGATCCACGTCGTCGGCCAGTGGCCCGCCGCCCTACCATGTCTGCGAAACGGCTCCTACGCGCCTCTACCAGATTCGCTCCTAGATTTGATTGAAGACAAAGTAGAAGATCTCGAGGACCTCAAAGCTCGCGTTGAATCCAAGCTCCTGCGCCTATCCCTAACCACCTCGCGCGGCGAACGTGTCGGCCCCTCAAACGCCTACCTGGACTGGCTCGCCGTATCTCTATTCCGCCAATGGCTCATAGAAAGCACTACGCCGCCCCCTGCCCCTATTCTCAAGAACTCGGGCCCAAGCGATGGTCCCGCCCAGCCTACCGCATCAGCATCGCACCCAACAACCACGCCGCGATCAACTGCATCCCCAGACCCGTCTGCGCGTATCTATAGATTGATCGGCTCCTCTTCTGCGCAGGCTTACCTCCCCCACGAAGAGCTAAAGCGCTTCCTCAAACTCCATCCTACATCCTCTGCTGGCTCGCTCTACACGCGCGAGACTTTGAAACGCTTCGCGCGCAAGATGGACGAAATGAAACAACTGGCACGGGACATCGTCAAGCCGCTGATGCGTAATTTCCTCGAGTTGGAGCTGAAAAGCCCAGATCAACCACCTACTGGCATCGCTGGTCCTCGTGAGAATACCCCGATAGGATTGCCATATCTGACATGCACCCGTGTTGAAGATATAGATCTGCCTTGGAAATAAGCCTGATGACATCTTGGGATTTATGTATTTGGCTTACATTTTGTCCTGCTCATCATATTTTGGGATACCTGTGCCTTACTTGGAGTTTTTCGGCGGCGTTTGGTTATATCTTTCCCCCCCTGTGCCTTTCCTTCTCAGGCTGCTGGTCTTATCCGACGAAAGAGACCAGGTTGTCCTCCTGTCTCTGTGCAATGATGTGATGTTTACTTGATTTATGCTGTTTTCCTTGTTTCCGAATCATGTGTTCACGAAGTCATGAATGGTTCTGTCTCTGGTTTGATTTGATTTGATTTGATTTGACTTGATTTGTTTTCCTTTAATACTTTGCTCTATCCTTCCTCTCTCCTGCTCCCAATAAAGCAGGGGCCGGGGATCTTAAGGCCTCATTTTTGTCCATGTTTTTAGAGATACCAAAAGATCACACGCAATGCAATATTCATGAATATAACTATCTATCCTTCTCATATTACAGGTCAAATGAAGCGACTTGCAATATATGAAGTGTATGTCCACAACTTGCCTAAAAGTACATAATATACAGCCTCTCTACCAGGAGAGCGAGAACAATCCCTCAGCCTCCCATCTAGCTCCGACCAATACTCTCCATCCCATCCATCCAAGGTCGCAGAACCTCAGGGATAACAACAACACCCCGCTCAGCATCCCACCCATTTTCCAGGATCGCAGCCAATACACGCGGAACAGCCATAGCAGTCCCATTCACAGTATGCGGGAACCTTGACTCCTTAGCGCCACCACCGCGCACTCGAGCCGCCAACCGACGACTCTGGTAATCCGTGCAGATAGAAGTAGAAGTAACCTCACCCCAAGCTGACTCTAGATGATGAATCTCAGGATCAACAGGGGTAGCAGTACCACTCGACGCCGCGCGCAGACGAGACGGGAAAAGCGCTTCGATATCTCGCTTGCGCGTCGCGCTAGCACCAAGATCCCCAGTCGGCATCTCCAGTACGCGACAGGGCAGATGCAGCGCTGTGAGGATCTCCATCTGCATCTCCAACAGCTCGTTGAAAATGTCGTCCGAGCTCGGGACGGCCCCGTCCACGCTATCCGTCCAGCCGAACAGCTCGACCTTAGTGAACTCGTGCACGCGATACAGGCCCTTAGTGTCGACACCGCGGGAACCCGCCTCAGCGCGGTAGCAACGGCTCGCACCGACGAGTTTTATCGGTAGCTCGGAGGCGTTGATGTCGCGTCCGGCATACATGGCCGCTAGAGGGATCTCCGCGGTGCCGGTTAGCGACCGTTGGGGTTTGGTGTTTTTGTCGCGCTCGTTCTGCTCGATGGACCAAACCTGCTGCTCGTTATGCTGGTCGCGTGGCTGGAACCCGCACGCTTCAGCGATGTAGGAGTAGACGATTGAAGGTGGTGCGACAGTTTTCCAGCCTCGGCGTCGGGCTATGCTAAGCGCATACTGGACGAGTGCTTGTTCAAGCATTGCGCCTTCATTTATCAGGAAGTACCAGCCCCATCCTGTTGTTGTGGCAGAGCTGGCGAAGTCGAGGAGGTTGAGCTCTGTGCCGATCGTGACATGTGATCGGGCTTGGAGCTCGGTTTGAGATTGTTGGGTCCAGGACGGGGGTTCTTTTGGGTTGAAGTTGATGTAGCTGACGAGAGTTGGGTCGTGTCCGATCGGTGTGAATGGGGAGGAGAGGTTTGGGAGGGAGAGGGCTAGTCGGTTGATCTCTTCGGTGCAGGTTGCTTTGCGCTCTGTCATGGACTGCGAGTCATCCTTTAGGCGCTGAGCTTCCAGCTTGAGTTCGGCAAGTTCCTCACTCGGACTCAGGCCCTTCTCGTTAATGTTTGCATCGCCTGTTTCTTGCCGAGTCGCAATGTGTAACTTGGCGATGGTCTTTTCGAGTTGCTTGATGCGGGATCGAGGGGTTTTCAGATCATGATCAAGCTGTCTAGCCTCCTCTGATAATTGTTGAATTTTGGAAGGATAACCAGCGTGACCTGCGTAGTTGCGATCTATGCAGTTCTGTGCGTAGAGGTCAGCATTTTGGCGGATGTGTTTGACGTCCGGCGTGGGCTTCGGAGCTGTCGCAGGTCGCAAGATGTCTCGATTGCGTCGGGCGGTGGAGAAGTTGCGCAGAGATGCTTTCAATCCATATGAATGCCTGCAATTGAAGCAGACGTATGAAGAGAGTGCCATTGGAGTTGGAGGGGAAGAAGAGAAGAGAACAGGCCATAAGTGGTGGATAGTGGATCTCCCGCCTTAACCCCTTTGAGAGATCTGCATGTTCCATACTCCAACTTGCAAGTATGCAAGGCCACCCACATCAGCAGTAATGAGATTTGCAGAGTTCGAAGTCAATGCTTTGATGTATATCCATACATACTCCCTTTTTATGGATGTAGCACGAAAATGTATGAAGACAGACGCACCGAGGCGTCATGTACCCTCATCAACGAAGAGCCAAAGGAAGCTCCGAGCAAACGACATCTATCTAAATCTCACACGATCATACTCGTTGCAGGTCTGTCATAAATGTGAATGGAAAATATGCATTTTTTAACGAAATTTTCTTAGGTATTCTCATATCAAACCTGGTAGGCAATGATGGATTTAGTCTGCCAATATCACAAGGCTCATTTGAATATAGTCCACGGCTATAGACTCTAGTCTATCAGCATCATCACATGTGGCAGTTGCATCGGCATTCAGTCGAACAAATCTCTCGTCATGGCCTGTGAACGCCTTCCTTCTAATGTCCACGACATTCCAACCATTATATGCCCGTGTATCCGATCATCTCGGCCGCAAGATACCATACCTCACTGCCTCGGTGCTTTTTTTAAGTGGATTAGTTGTATGCGCCAATACAGATATATGGGCTGGTCTTATCTTCGGGCGTGCAGTCTCTGGTCTAGGTACAGCGGGGGTTATGACCATGGGTACTCATATTCTCAATACCATAGTGATGGCAAGAAGATGCGGCTGACTTGTTGTGTAGGGTCGGTTTTATTGACCGATGTGGTCGGGGTAGAGAAACGGGGGTACTACCAGTCGATGAACTATGCTGTCTACGGAATAGGCTCAGGGTAAGTCATATGTCATTATATCTCTCACTATATGATCTTATTTTGACGGTACACTATTTTTTTCAGACTTGGATCAGCACTTGGAGGTTTTTTGGTGGAGCGATTCGGCTGGAGCATGGTATACAAAGTTCGTTTGACCTGATGTAGAGAAATTCTGATCACTGCTAACACCTTTCTTGTCGGTGAAAGGCCCAAATCCCTTTCGCAGCTACAGCCCTCGTCCTCTTAGTGGTCTCTATTCCATCTCGCACTCGCTTGATGGCCATTAATGGTTTCAATAACAGTCGGAGTTTGGCATCCCTGCATAACTACGATTGGTGGGGATCTGTGCTCCTAGTAAGTAATGCACCAAGCGCGTTTCTCTCAGAGTACCACCATCTAACAGCTGTTCATACTAAAGTTGGCTACTTTGATCCTGCTGTTTGCTTTTCTAACTACTGGTGGAAACACACTTCCTTGGAGTCATCCTATGGTGATTACTTTCGGCATATTCCTGATGGCCTCGATGGGGCTTTTCATAATGATCGAGAAGAAAGCAAAATCTCCCATTTTACCTCTTCAGCTCTTTACCTCTAGCCCGACAAGAAGCCTGATGGTGACTGGCTTCATGTTTTCACTGATCAACTACCTGGTAAGTGGTTCTCGTGTCGCTCTTTGGAGTATCCTAACATAGCATCAAGATAATGTACCATACTACGTTGTTCTTCCAATCCGTTCTGCTCGAATCATCCCAGCAAGCCAGTCTTCACCTCATTATCCCATCGGTATCATTTACCATTATTAGCGTTATCACAGCATCGGTTATCGCTAGACTAAAAACCCCTGTTTATACTCTCCGCGGAAGCCAAGTGCTGCTCGGCATCGGCGTCCTGGGTCTTTTCCTTGCGGTTGCCTCCACCTCAGCTCATAGCCGTGTACCGGATTACATATATAATCTAGTTCTGATTTTCCCGACTCTGGGCGTGGGTATGATGGCCCCTAGCACGGTTTTGACACTTCTAAATTCCTCTACCAAGGAGGACCATGCTGTCGCTAACGGGTGCTTCATTATGATGAGATCATTGGGTGTGTTTATTGCTGTTGCATTGGGGACGACAACATTGCAAAATGCTTTCGAGTTCTCTTTAACACACCAGAAGGTCGATGATGAGTCCCGAAAGGTATGTACCACGTGCATTACCCCCGTTCATGTTTTCTTTCTTCCGAAAATCATCATTTTTATGTGAATGAAACCGAGAAGTGAGATGAACTAAACCCAATTATTGAAAGGCAATCGAGCTGGCGCGGCAGAAGGTTGAGCTAATACCTACTTTGCCGGAATCGATTCGATCAAAAGGTATGATGAAGCTAAGCTATTTATTTCTTGTCTTTAAAATGCCAGGGCGTGAAATAAGAAATGATGCTGACTTTGTAACAGTTGTCAATGCGTATTCAACAGGATTTACCATCCTGTTTGGACTGTGCGTGTTGTCGACAATACTGATTATGCTCAGCCTCAGAGGCATCAGTGTGCAGGAACTTGGAGATGGAACCTATAGCAAGCAGACTGGGCTAAATAACGAGGAAGAAGATACGGAGATGGAAATGGATCCGGTGAGAAGAGGATAAAGTGTTTTTTTGAGAAAACCTGACACCTAGTCTTATTATCTATCTGCTTTCTCATCACGTTCAAATAGGAAAATCTTGATAATCTATACAAAAAAAAGTCTGTATATGAACATCCAGCACTCAACGTGCTTCACTAGGTAGGATGTAATTCTCAGCTGGTGAGCAGGTATCAGACCTATAGCATCGTTTATTCCAAAGCACTAATCCTTGTCTTTTCCTCATAAAGTATGAAATACTATTATTTGAATTTTTGAACAATTTGGAGATAGGTTAAGAGTTTCGCATTTCCATGAAATTTAAATATTTATTTACTGAGAAGAGCAAGGCCTAGAACGGAAGACATCTGCATAGTTGTGTGAGAGCAATGAATTAGATGAAGAAACGAAGAGTTCACATTCCCAGCCTTGTCTAAGAACCCGAATCACAGTACAACTAGTCTCCATCTACAAAAACATCGGCAATTTTCATCACTTTCACCCGCCATCGAATCTCGAACTTCCATCTCTCATGATATAGGTTGATCCTCCAATTCATCTGCAGAAACAATTAACAATGAACGCAGCACAGGGAGGTCTTGTTCTTACCTACCTGTTGACAGATCATAGCAACCTACTCCACAACACCTGCGCAGGCCATATCACCCGAGAGGGTACAGGCGAGCTCGTTGATCTTGGGCTCCTCGCGCTTCTCGACAACGCCGGCGCAAGCCATATCACCGGAAAGAGTGCAGGCGAGCTCGTTGATCTCGGGCTCCTCGCGCTTCTCGACAACACCAGCGCAGGCCATATCACCGGAAAGGGTACAGGCGAGCTCATTGATCTCGGGCTCCTCGCGCTTCTCGACAACACCGGCGCAGGCCATGTCACCGGAAAGAGTGCAGGCGAGCTCGTTGATCTCGGGCTCCTCGCGCTTCTCGACAACACCAGCGCAGGCCATATCACCGGAAAGGGTACAGGCGAGCTCGTTGATCTCGGGCTCCTCGCGCTTCTCGACAACACCGGCGCAGGCCATGTCGCCAGAAAGGGTACAGGCGAGCTCGTTGATTTCGGACTCCTCGCGCTTCTCGACAACGCCGGCGCAAGCCATGTCGCCAGAAAGAGTACAGGCGAGCTCGTTGATCTCGGGCTCCTCGCGCTTCTCGACAACACCGGCGCAGGCCATGTCGCCGGAAAGGGTACAGGCGAGCTCGTTGATTTCGGACTCCTCGCGCTTCTCGACAACGCCGGCGCAAGCCATGTCGCCAGAAAGAGTGCAGGCGAGCTCGTTGATCTCGGGCTCCTCGCGCTTCTCGACAACACCGGCGCAGGCCATGTCGCCAGAAAGAGTGCAGGCGAGCTCGTTGATCTCGGGCTCCTCGCGCTTCTCGACAACACCGGCGCAGGCCATGTCACCGGAAAGGGTGCAGGCCAGCTCGTTGATCTGGTTATCAATTGGAGCGGCCATGACGCTGCAAGCGGCGAAGAGAACAGAGAGGACGGCTTGGGACTTCATCTTGTCGGTTGTTGATATGACGTGGGAAGGGAATAGAGGATGAGAATGAGATTGTTGATGTTGATTTAGTGAGACTGAATGATGGGATCTTCAAGACTCTTATATCTCTAAACCATTGATAAAGAGGGATGCATTGAGTGAGGGGAAGTATCCTGTTGGGTTTAGTTGCTATCCTGTTCCGTATATGGTGGTGGCCCTGCGCAATTGGAGGGAGGCGGATATTCTAGACAAACTTGTCGGAGCAATAATTTCGCTATAGCCCTTAGTTTATTCTCCCTAGGTTTTCCGATTTGCCCGGAGCTTATCCAACCGACGCAGTGGGTGGCCTTGCATTCAAATATCACTTGGGCCGTGTTTTGTTGTTTCTAGTGAACGCTACCCCGAAACTTTAGAGAAAATTTGTATATTCCTCCTAGAGATGAATAGTTTCCACGACTCTTTTCGGCTTTTAAGGATTTCATTCATCAACATCAGATAAATAATCAATGGCCTACAGCATCGCCCTCCATGCTGGGGCTGCCGATTCTTGGGCGGGAGACTCTGGTATCCAAGAGAAAACCGAAGCCTTCCTACAATGTTTGATCGATTCAGCCAAAGCTCAATTAAGGAACGGAGAAAGTTCATTGAAAGTCGTTACCGAAGTAGTATCTGCCCTAGAGGACTACCCGCAATTCAATGCTGGCAAGGGATCTGCTCTGAATAATGATGGCTTCCACGAGGTAAACACCCAGTACCAGTCCTTTATTTCTCTCCATAAATGCATAAAGAATTAACAAGCTACAGTTAGAAGCAGCTGTGATCGACGGTCGAACGTGTAGGTACCGAGCAGCAGGTTGCTTGCAACGCACCAAGAATCCCATCAAACTGGCGCACAAAATGTTGGACTTCCCAGCGCCAGCCTTGGTAATTGGGAGTGCAGCCGATGAGCTAGCGGAGACAAATGGCCTGGATATGGTAGAGAACTCCTACTTCACTACCGAGAGCCGTCGACTCTACTGGGAGGCGAAGATGAACAAGCTAGTGGAGAATCACGGCACCGTCGGTGCGGTGGCCCTCGATACTCAGGGAAATCTTGCGGCCGCCAATTCTACTGGCGGAGTTACCTTCAAACATAGAGGACGAATTGGGGATACGGCGATTGTTGGCGCAGGAATCTATGCTGATGATCGGGTAGCGGTTGTTTGGTACGTGAAATTAAACATGGCTATGTCCGCCAAACGAGAGGAACAATACTGATATTATCACCATTTTCAATTATATAGCAGTGGAAGTGGTGATGCCATACTCCAGGCCACTGTGGCTGGAAGAGCTGCAGCTGCAGCGCGGTCAGGAACCGAGCTGAATGATGCTGTGGAGAAGGCAATCTTGAAATCTGCTGAGCTCTACCCGGATTCTTCATGCGGAGTAATTGCAGTGGATATATCTGGATCTATATCAATCCATTGTAATAGTCGAATTTTTGCAGTCGCATCGGCCAGTTCTTTCCAACACTCCGGGCAGGCTGGGATTGTGAGGTCAACAATTCCGATCTTGAACCAACTCACTATCTTCGAGGATGAGAAGATCAAAGCTGGGATGGTAAAGTACCCGACCTTTCCAAACCAGATTGTGGTTCATCCCCGGTCGGGAAAGCCTGTGTTGCCCCTGAAGGCTGAGGCATTCGTGGATTTCTTCATCCAACTAAGAAGAGTGGTCCAGAAGGTACAGAGTTTCTATCAGGCTTCTGATATTGCGTTTATAACCTCTGGGGATTCCCCCTCGACATTTATATTCCCGCTCTTGCTATCCCCTACCTCCACGGATATAACCTTCAAAGATGGAAACCACACCACCACTCGTCCTTTGAACAACGGTCATAGTGCAGATTTTCACTATGTCGCTGACAAGTTGATCAAGGTCAAGATCCATCGGCCGGAAAAAACTCGGTTGTTCTCCACAGAGTTACAGCAATACTCCCAGACTATCCTTGAAATCTGGGGTATTCTCCAGGTTCTATCACAAGAGGTAGGACCTGATGCAGCGCGTCCACAACTGGAGGTTCATCCCCAACGAAAAGGCCTTGTCACTATCTTATTAACTGATCCTCGCCCATCCCTATTTCCTCGGCCAGCGATCTTCTGTGATTCACTTCCGGAATATCTCACCGCGGAACTGGGACCAAAAGCGACAGACATGATTACGCTTGGGCGTTTAGCAGGCGAAGCAGCGAAATATTTGACAAGTTCATCAAGCTAGCCAGTTGATAGATAAGCGAGTTGGAAATGCCATTGCATTCTGGTTCGCTACCTAGGTAGTATTTCGATGTCGTCGGTGAGGTCTGCTTGATGTCCCGCGCCGTTAAAATACCACTGATTTCTTGATTTTGTTATTGGACAGAAAAGAATGAATACCGTGTCATGCCGTGCCAGGTACGTCCGATACAAGCAACTAAATGGAGCGAATCACTGTAGCAATGGTAGCACAGCTCTTGTATCTTACAACAAATTAAGCAGGAATTCAGTCGTTTCCTGAGGGGGCTACCACTTCTTATCCTCAATGATCTCAAAAGTTTATATCTAGAGGCTTAACATCATTGTAGGATGTTTTGGGAAACAACCACTATTTTGAAATAGGTGTTACTTCATCGATCGATCTCCTAAAGTATCTCCGATCTTCAAAGACTATGACATCCCAACGAATCAGATGAAATGGGCTTTTGATTTGCCAAGGATACTTAATAATCTACAAGGTACTCGGCTCATGCGGGCGCTTTGCTAGATCAATCCCAAGAGAACAAGATTCAGAAGATGAGTCAGGATAGGTGTGTAACTGGAGATACACTAACAGTCTCAGTTTTCTATATATAGACGACATAACTGTATCATACGGCTACTCGACAGTTGTTTTTACCCTTGACTCAACCGCCGTGTCTTATTCTATAGAGTCTGGATATATACAGAAAATAGTATATGCGATTATCATCACGAGCTTCTATAAATATCGGATAGGAGTATATATATCGTATGAACTATTTCAGGACGAGCTCTACGACGTCGCTGCGGCTATAGGATAGAGTGGGTCCGGTCGTATCCACGGCTCCGCAGTGGACACTACGTGAGATAGGAGGGTTTCCTTGGAAAGGGTAGACTTCCGCAAAGCTCGAAAAGCCCGAAACCCGACCCGACCCGACCCTCAAAAGGGTCGGGTTTCGAGCCTAGGTCCAAAGCTCGCAGCGGGTTTCGGGCTTTTAGGTTAAGCCCCCAGCTCGAAAGGGGGGGGGCCATCCGAGCCTAATCCTCCGGATCATATGATTTATGAAACTTACAGCATGTTTAGAGGCTGTTTTTTAGCCTTTAATAAATGTAATATTTAAATCAATTTAGTTCTGAATAGTAGATCTAGATTTAAATATATAAATTACAGTTTAAATTTAGAGAAATTAGTTATTTAAGAAATTAAATAAATTACAGAAGTTCATATAAAATTGCAGTTGTAGTATAGTGAGTAAATATATATCTTCAAATTCAAAATAATAATTTTATTACTTTTTATATTCTCTCACTTTCTACCGGTCGCATTTAGTTTAAATTTAATATATATATTTCAACCCTCTTTCTCTTTCTATATTTAAAATTTAAATTAAATATACCTAGGAAAAGCTGAGATACAGTGATTACAGCATTAATAACTAAGCAGTTTTATGAATGCCAAGACCATATATTTATACAATTTCGAGCCTAGGGGGGGGGGGGCCCGACGGGCCCCCCCTTCGAGCCGGGGTCCGGGTCGAGCCCAAAAAGTTCGACCCCCGGCCCGTTGAGGGTCGGGTTTCGAGCCCGGAGCTTGGGCCCAAAGTTGGGCTTTGCGGAAGTCTAGGAAAGGGGATCCGTTGTCAGGGTGGTCCATCCAAAGGGTCTTAATATATAAATTTATAAAGAAAAGAGGGCTTAAATTTGGTCAGTTTTGGTGGGAAAACGGCTAGTGGGTAAAGACTTCATGACAGGTATGTATTTTCGAGTGACTGGGAAGACCGGCACAATGTGATGCATGTGGTAGATTCGGGTTGGTCGTGGATGCGGTATCAGAGCACATGGAGTGAAGAGTCCAAGGGCCAAGGGTAGACCTGGCAGTGACCCTCCGGGTGGTCCATGATCTTGGACTCTCCACCCGACCCTCCACGACCCGCAGCGACCCCTCGTCGGGATACATAAATATATGACGCTAAGCTTAATTGGGATGTATAAATGTATATACTTATCTGATTAAATATAGTTAACTAACATAACTAGGCCAAGATCAATGTTGGAGGCTCCGTGGGTTGCCGTAATAACTATTCTTGTCGCAGTAATTGTCAAACAAAGGTAGGGGATCCTGGCCATGTTTATTGTGCATGACCCGAAGAGTCTCTGCGATTTGTCCATCCAACTCTGGTTTTCGGAAGATCGTGGGTTTTCTTTTCGATAAGCGGAGGACATAGACCGGTACTGGTGTCTTGCATTCATGGGCGGTTTGGTAGTCGTAATCGGTGTTGTTTAGGTCGACCACAAAATAGGAGTGCTTTCCAGGGTAGATCGTGACAGCAAGAAAGCAAGTCTTGGTATTCCTATCGTACTGACGGAGGTTGTCTTGCACCTTCCAGGCAAATGGATGTATGGATTCTAAATAATTGTTCGGATCAAGAATACTATTAGGGGTATCACCTAGTATTCGCATCGTTCCTGCAACAACGTCTGGGAGCAACTCGAATTTAGCCCATAACGTAGCTGCGGATCTGTTGAGTTGAGTTGTCCATAGTGGGGAATATGAATGATAGTATGTGCGCTGAAAAAGTATGACAATAAGTGGTTGTTGCTGGCCTCCCTGTGCATGTGTGAAAAGATGAACACTTGATTGAATGTGAAGTTTATCGTTACTTGTTGAGCGGCAGAATCAATGTTCTTCCATCCTTGCCTTGTCGGGACCGTCAGCGAATTCCCCTGGCACGAGCAGAGGTGGAGGTTGGTCGTCTCAGCGACTGAGAGCCTCACAAAACTGTCACGTGACTACATTGAGCAGCTCACTGAGCTTGAGTCCGGACAGAAATTTACTCACTGAGTCGGACTCTGAGCGCCCTCATAAAAGCGGCGGCAGCCAAGATAGAAAAGCCCCACCCGGCAGAGAAAAAAACACTACGTAGAGGTACCTAGGTAGCCGCAGTCTTGTGAAGTATTAGACTTCCGCAGAGCCCACAAAGCCCAAAGCCCAACCAGGACCCAACCCGCAAATGTATAGGCCTAAGGTAGAAGCCCACTGCGGGTTAATGGGCCCCCAAATGAACTCCAAACAGTACAAATATACCGAGAATTCAGAAGTTGAACCCCCTAAAAGGGTTTTTAAAGTTACCCTTCGTTTTACCCCCGTTTCTAAGCCTTATCCTAAAGGTAATATTTTCTTAATTTGAATGATTTAGAATCAATCACTAGTTATCTCTCTATGCCACGTTTAAAATTTTAAAAAAGCGCGTTATTTAGATAATTTATAAATTACAGAAGTTCACTTAGAAAGTAGAACTCCTATACAAACCCAAAATATATATCTTACCAAAATATTAAGATAAATGATATCTGGGTTTCTACCAGTTAGATTTTATTCAAAATTGAAATAAATACTTGTGTAGCTACTATAATCCTAGATTCCAAATTTACTCCATATACCTAGTGGAAGGTCGTAATACAGCGATTACAGAGGCCTCCTAGGATGGGCTTTAATGGGGCCTTATGGGCCCCCACTGATAGGCTGTGGGTTGGGTCGGGTTTCGAAGGTAGGGCCCATTTGTGGGCTTTGCGAAGTCTCCAGGGCTAAGCATACTGACAGAAATCTGGTGTCATGCAAGGTACTCCGTAGTTATGAGGTCAATGAATATGCATAAATCTAACTAGTAAAATATGACAAAATCCGCTTTTTGACAATCTGTCTACATATATATCGATACATACCTTACTACTACTAAAAAGATTACTACAAAAACCACTACAAAAACCACTGCAAAAACCACTGCAAAAACCACTGCAAAAACCACTGCAAAAACCACTGCAAAAACCACTGCAAAATTTACTATGGGGAAACTCGATTGGAGACTGCCATAGCATACAGACTCATTCTTCTCTCCTCTCTATGCATTTCAAGTAGGAGAATAACAATGCGAATTTCAATTTTAAACCTGCCCACTACTCAAACAGGATAAAACAGCAAAACATGCTCCCAAATAATCTTCGCGACCTCCTCGGGCTCCAGATGAGTCACATCGATCTTCAAAAACTCCTTCCTATCGCTAAATTCGAAAATTGGTGTTCCCTTGCGAAACATCCTTAGCAGCTCCACGTCCATAAGCTTTGCATGTTTTTCGCGCTCCGACTGCGTCATGCGCTTGATATTCTCATCTTCATCACATGTCAAAACAATCGGAATCAGTAGACATCCTCGATCCTTCGCGGCCTGCGCGTATTCTGCACACACACTAGCACCTTGTTGATTTGCCGTTTGGAAGTCGGTGAACATATAGGTTGTATTGAAGGTCGCGGGCTCAGTCGCTAGGGACGAGAAAATAGCAGTGCGCAGAGCGCGCCGAAGTGACTGGTACCCCGGCTGGGTGCGGTGGAGGACAGCGTCGGCGGGATTGATGAGAAGGTGGTTGTGGATTAGTTTGAGATTTGCTGAGAGGGCAACACGCTCGAGAAGGTGTTGGGCGACGGTCAACTTTCCGGCACCGGGGAAGCCATTGATGTGGATGAGGGGATGAGGGGTTGTTCCGGGCATGTTGTTAGGGGCGATGCTGTTAAGTTTGTTACAAGAGCCAGAGAGAAAGGAGAAGGGGAAGTTGATTGGGAGAAGAGACGGGCTCTCAGAACTACCCTAATTAGCTTGAGCTACTAGCCTGAAACCCTGAGACATCCATCTGAATAGATGTAACGTAACTTCGTGATTTGGATTCTTTGTTGACAAGGCAAATTATCTCCAGTTATGCAAGGCCCCGAGGTGAATCCTTCGCATTATCATACATCTCTTGGAACCAAAAGTACACAAGATATCTCAATTTGTTGCCGAGGCATGTGGATAAGGCATGTTTACAGGGATATGAAGTTGGGGTTAACATCTTTACTTTATTTCCGCAGTTATGCAAGGCCTCCACTATCTGGACGAATCATCATGCTACTAATAGTCGTTCCCCTTATCATTTCTATCCACAGAAGCAAAAGTACCTATTTTCTAGCTTTAGTGGGCTAAGCCGGAGGTCGGAGATCTACCCGGTATGACCTCGCCCCCACTGTGGTCCAATACGAAGGCTGAGTCTAATCATATTTTTGTGGAGTACGCCGGATTATGTTCCTTAGATATGGGAATTCATCGAAATAAATAGTAATCCGTATCTAGGTAGTATCCTCTAGGCTTATTTGATTTGACATGTGATTCAATCACGGAATCCTTCCGAGGTTCAGTGAAACCTGTTTTAACTACTGCTCTAGGCTACATGTGCACTTTTATTGCTGAATCTTATCACTCCTACCTATTCTAGGCTGTATTTATACATAATTACAGTATTCATAAAGCGTTATATTCCATGTAAACCACACTCTGTATAAAGATGTAGACAAAGCCTTTGCGTGAGACCCGCAAGGGTCCACGGATAAGTAGCGTCCGAATTGGGTCGGGTAAATAATCCACACTTCATATATTTTTACTCCGCATGTTCTATGCAACTAGCACTAGAACAAAAAAAACAAAAGTACCTTCTAGGGGGCCAAAGGAATCAACCCCCTGTAAATTGACAGGAAGAGAGAAATACCGAGCTTTCAGTAATCCGTGTGGGGTAAGAGAGCGGGGTCGAATGATTCGGACACATATTGGTGGTCAACCACCCATTGCGTCAAAGCATCGAAGTTCCGGCACACCCTTGTACCTCCCTCCCCAGGCCATTTGATATCGTATTCCTTCCAAATAAGTGTCGAGTCTGAGGCACACATTAACGCCTGTCGTACAATGTCCACGCAGTGCATAGTATGATGATATGTGGCTTCACGGATGGTGTAGTTTGGGTCCTGGAAGAGATGCATGATGATAGCTCGCGCTTGGCTCTGATGGGAAGGCCCACAGTTAGTGATAGTCACTAATTGCACTAGTGTGGGGTGACAACAAGAACTCACCAGGCAATGCAGTTGGTGAAACGCAGCCACCATATAGATGTGTCTATTCGGATCTGAAACTCCGCGAACAGAATGATGTACATCCATATCAATGACTTGCTGGTCGGTCAAGCCAATCATGCCTTCTCCCACTATATTTTGTCACCAATATGTGAGTAAGATGAGCTAGGTGGAGTTGGAAGTAGAGGAAGGAAGGGACTCACCAGGGAAAAGATTTCGCCAGTGTTGTTGAGATATCGTTGTATTGAAATTCAAGAAGTCATCATGATAATCATGGTATATTTTTTCCACTATCTCCGGATGCTTCTTTTCGCCGGAAGGGGAGTAAACTGTTGTGTGTTTCAGTAAACCCTTCAGTTCGAGATAGCGATTCGATACTGACGAAAATAATCCAGTTGGCTTGGCCCGTCCGGATTACTGAGGGATGAAGATTTTATCCAGAATAGTAAAAGTCCATTGAGGATCACCAGGACTGCTAGCAGGGCGCATACTGTAACAGATAGCGCCTGGTACCAGACGCTGGATCGAGGTCCCCACTTGGGGCCTCTATTGTTGGATGGAAAAAGAAATCCGCACTCTTCTGGATTATTATCTTTCTCCAACGAATCGGTTGAATCGGAGCATGGGGAGTATTGGACTTGGGGAGTCATGTTTTCCGTCGAGCCAACGTTACCATGTAAATTAGACCTCGATAACTAACATGATATGGAGTAGACATATATATTTCCAATCCCATACTGATCACTATCATGGAAGCATACGATCGTTGGCAGGCTGAAGGGATGTCGAGTGACGGGCCTTGCATAATCGGTTCAATTACTACATGCACTAAATAGATTGCAGCCGAGAGAAACCCCATAATTAAGCCATGGCTAATGAAACCGATGTTAGTGCTAAGCACTAATCCACAGAGAATCCGCACGTCCACTTGCGGACGGGTAGATGCCCGCTTTACCCCCCCCTTTGACCCCTTTACCCCCCTTTGCCCCCCTTTGCCCGCTTCTATTCAAACGACTTTCCTTATTTGGCAAAGTACAGGGATCCCGTCGGGATTCCGGGGCCTGATATCTTCAAAATTGGAATTGTCTTATGATGGGCCATAGAATACTATAAATACTATCCTTACAAGGTACCCCTGTATTTGCATCAATGCACGATGTCATTTTATTCTGACCCTCAGTACCTTTTCGACCTCTCTCACCAATCCAACCCTGGTAATTCATGGCCTGGGGATTCGTGGCCAGATGAAATGGTCACCTTAAACGATATCATCAATCATACCGATCCACCAACTCAGCTAGACCCTGATTTCGACCTCCTCTGGTCCCAAATAAATGAAGAAGCCCGGAACTCCGAGGCCGGTTCTTTTGCACTGCCATCTCTCTCCCCATCGAACTCCTTTGTTTCGCCACCGCAAGCCAATCCGCAGCCCTGGACGCCTCCCGATATCTATGAGATAGGCTATCAGGACACTAATGGTGATTGGCGCTGCAACTACTCGGGATGCCTCTCCAATCAGGTCTTTATGCGGGCCTGCGACCTGCGAAAGCATTACCGTTCCCATCAGAAAACCTACTTCTGCAAGGAACTGGACTGTGAGTGGTCCAAAATTGGGTTTTCGTCGAGCAAGGATTGTCAGCGGCATATGAGGTCTCATCGGCCAATGATCAAATGCTCTGCAGCGGAGTCACTGGGTTGTACCCGGGTGTTCAGCCGAGTTGGTATGTTATTTTTTTTTTCATACCCCGTGTATCCTATATTCTCCATTTCATAGTATCCCAGTGCTAATTTTTGAAGATAATATGGTATGCCGCCCTGGTCGAATTAGATTTTCTTCTATAAATAAAAAAACTTGGCATACTAACAGGTTTAATTACGGATTTATAGAAAGAACATCATCGCAAGATCCATGAGTTTTCGCAGAATAACCTCTTTCCTCGCCCCTGCAGACGCAGTACCAAGAAGAAAGACGATGCCTCTAAGCCATCCGAGATTGACAGTAAAAAATCACTCTCATGAAGTAGGTACATAACAATGTACCTTCTTCCTTTGATGATACATGTAGCATCTACGTGTGGAGAGGGAGCAAAGAGTGATGAATATGAGTATCGCGATGGAGATCACTATTAACTTGAAGCTATCTATATGGCTTCAGGTTAAAGAAACAAAGGCCTGACAGACAGAGGGGCAAAGAGTTCTGACAAACTGCCTGGGCAAGCAAGCAGCAATGCCTCGGTACACTACTTTGTCCTTTTGTATGCCTTGTCCTCGACTAAACCAACAATACATGTACCTAACCAAATAAAGAAAATAAGAAACATTTGAGAAAAAAACAAGATGAGAAAAACATTCACGCAGAGCAAAAGCTGTAAAATAGATCAGTAAAATCAAGGTGCACATTCCAGTCCCTTCAATCTTGGGAAAATCTGTACATCTCGCACATCATCATGTCCCAACACCCAACACATATACCGTTCCGTTCCAATCCCCCACCCAGTCGTATCCAACTCCTTCTCTCTCCGCATATCCAGATACCACTTATAGTCTTCTGGATTAACACCATGCTCACCCAAGCCACGCATAGCCTGATCCACCGAAACATGTCTATTCCCGCATCCAAGAACTTCCCCCATTCCGAGCAAGAAGTCTGCACACTGCGCCTTGGCAATCCCTTGAGTTGGGCTGCCTGGGACATATGCCTGATAAAATGGCACACTCAAATGATCCATTTCTGTCAGCCAGCATGCGCCCCCAAACTTGGCGATAAGCATTTGTTCGCCTTTGCGCGTGAGGAGTCGTCCATATGCTGGATCTCCAGGAACGACAAATTCCCACATTTCATTCGTTAATTCCGGCAGTGCCAGCACCTCGGAGAGGGTGATAGTGGGGAAAGAGTTGTTGTTTGCGCTGTAGAGCTTGAGGAGCTGTTGCATGTGCGATGTTGTACCCGCGTATTTCGCGATCTCGGATCCATGAGAAGCGAGCAGCGATTGGGTCAGGTTAATGATGTATTGATTCGCAACATCCATGCCCGCTTCCAAGCCGCCGAGAAGTTCGCATTCCACGTGGCAGAATTGGTTGAGGTGGGTTGCGTCGTGGTCTTCACCGCGGCAAGATGTGCCGGCATAGTACACACCTCGGGGCACCTCTTGGAGCCGAAGGGCGTACTCGAGAAGGAATTGCTGGGAATCGGCGAGGTAGGTTGGTTTGTTGTTCAGTTGGATACTGACAGGCTGCGAGTCGGAGCCTAGGCCCATTGGGGAACTGATGCTACCAGTTGTGAGGGGAACGACGAGGTACTCGTAGTCTAGTTTCTGGCGGAAAAAGTCGATGGAGGCGTGGAAGAGGGCGCTTTGGAGGCGTAGCATGGTACGGTGCCAGGGGCTGTGGAGAGCCTGCACCGCATAGGTTTGGGGGTTTTGCCATAGCTTCGGAACGAGGTGTTTTTCTTCAGTTGTGTGTGGAGTCTTCTCATCTTGGATGATCTCGGTTGTTTTGACATCGACCTTTTGCTTCTTCGATGTAAGGTAGAGATGTCCTAGAGCTTGGTGACGAGGTGTGGGAACCAGGTTCGATTGGATGCTGAGGACTTCCATGATGTGAAGATTAGGTGGAAAATGTACTAGGTGAGTAATTTGATTGATTCAACTTCCATCTCAGACGGTATTCAAGTAACGTATATATTTTGGAACTGCCTACCCGAAAGCCGCTGGCGAACTGCAAGAGTATCAAAAGCTGAGTGAGTATGCAAGGCCACCAACACCGCGCAGCCCGTAGTGAATGAGCCGGAGGTCTTATCACAGTTAATACCTTTAGTTTCAACGGATTTGAGAACGCGAATGGTCACGAATATTTTTTTGATAACTACGCTAGTGGAGGCCTTGCATAAATGGATCGGACTGAATCTATACTCCGTAGGGTAAATGAGATGGAGACATGATCCACTAACATGGACCACATATATGCAATCCAAATATTTGATCTCTATAGATTTTCCTTTTAATTTGGGCGATATTGCGGGAGTTGTGGCCGTCTGAAGTTCAACAATGTTCGCATCCCAAATAGGAATTAGATCTTACCGGGAGGCTTGACCTTAACCCTGACCAGTAACGAGCCTCGAATACAAAATTTCAGGTCGTCTTTCTTCATACAAATTAATAAAATTAAATACACCATTATGATAGGAGAACTACAGTTGCATGCGCTAGGTTCACTATAATATGTCTCTTTAGGGGTATTACCAGATGGCAATTAACGGATCTCCCGTTTATATCGTTTATATCGTCAAGTTCATATATTCGGTTCATCAATAGTCTGCAGCTCTCTTAGATCCTCTCTCAATCCCCCATATCACAGCCCCAATTTATGCTTCTTAATCCTTGCACCCACTCCAGCAAGAATCAAAACAACAGAAACAATTACACCCCATAGAGGGATATGAATCGCCTTCAAGTTGTAGTCGGTCTGCGTCGCCGCCAATACAGTCGCCATCTCCAGCAGTAGCAAAACATAGCCACTCCAGCGATGATACTTGTAAATGCGCTTCCCAGCGTCCACACTACCGAGGACGGTGACCGGCAAAAAGTACTGGATGACACCGACCACAGCTTGCAGCACGATAGTGATGTAAGTAACCAGCCCTAGAATGCCGTGAGGAGAAACAAAGTGCGGATGAGAACCCTTGTTGATCTCGATAATCACAAAGGCAGATACAAAAAGAATCACACTAAGCAGCTGTAAGGAGTAGTGGATGCGAGTACCAGTACGCTTCTGTTGAGGGGTGGCAGTTGGTTGCAAGATAAGAGCTGCTTGAACTTGAAGCAGAAGGGCAGAGACGCCGAGTAGCTGGAAATCTCCAGTTAGTGTGTCTGTTGGATATTTTGTTCGCCAATTCACCTGCTTACTGGATGCGGGGTGAAAAACGAGAGGGGCAGAGATAAGATGCCCTGCCAGACCAGCGCAGCTAGCTGTGTTATTTATTAGTTCTGTGACATTCTGAAGTGTTTATTAATGCCCTCACAATCCAAATCCCCGCTTGTGCAACACTTGCTGTTCCTGAGTTTGGAGTCAGTCATGGGGTTCGATCGAGAGGCTTTCACGCTCACCTGTGAAGAGATTCCGATAAATAATCTCGTTGGGCTTTTGTGTAACATCGCCTGGATCGCCCAATAGAGGCTCATCATCTCGCGATATAATTGTTTCTGGGTGATCTTGCGGAATTCCTGTTGCCGAGGCCATTATGAGAACGTTGAGTGATGCTTATAAGAAAAAGTCAGCGAAAAGATTAGACAAAGAAAGTGACTGAGGGCGGTGGCCAATAACCCTTGCATTTCTTGCTTCTTCCAAATTAATACCTGCAAGTACAGAAAGTACTGATTACTTTGGAATTATTCGCGATTGTCGCTCTCAATGACGTTTCGATAACATCCGCCTATTTCCGGAAGCTGAATTGCAACTGAAATGCTGCAAAGCTGATTTGGCGGAAAAAGCAAACAAAAAGAAAATATCACAGGCTATGTTACTCTGTTACTCTAAATCAATATCGAGTTTCACAAGTACGTGGTCATTTTACCATACTAATACTACTACACTACTCTTGAATACAATTACTGGGAAAATATTCTGACTGAATCATTTCATTCATATAAACACCTAAACACCTCAATCAACGCCTAGGCTCAGGCGACGGGGCACCACTTCGGTCGCCTCGATCTGGCGAAATCCTGTACTGCATACTTCTAGGGATACAAAAGTCCAAAAAGAGTAACATACTCTCAATATCATTGGCGACTCTGCAGGAGCTGCTTCGGTCCGAACGAAGAGCATCTATAAAATATTCCACTCGGTGATAAATCTTATTACATCTGGATGTCCAACTAGTGTTATCGTGCTTGAAATGAGCCTGTCCGGCGATTCTCAGGCCATTAACTCGTCGAAGGAGAAGATTCAGAGAATCGATGGCCATCTCCACGCCATCATTGTGGTTGTCTCTGAGAATGTGTATCTGAGCATGCAGCGTAGTCAGGAAGTGGCGGCGCTCCTCTTCGTACGTACCGTGAAAAGCGCGTGAAGACATCGTTTTGATAGGAACTAAATGGTGTTTAACAGAGTAAATTGAGAGGTTTAGCTGGAACTTGTGGTTGTGGTTTTGAGGTGGCCTTTGATCTGACTTACTGAAGACTTAGTGGTTGGTGATAGATATGAAGATGGTACATCCGGTCCCTTTTATGTCTCAAGTCGAGTAGTTGGTCAAAGAGAAACAAAGCAACAATGACTATGATCGGATTCTTTATATCTAAACAAGGCACGGCTGACCTGGTTTTGTTCGAGGTAAAGGATTTACATTTTTAATAAAGCCATTGCAGCACAAAGGCGTATCATCTTCTTTGTTGTATGACACACAGATCCAGTCTATATTCAGGATCTTTCATGATATTCACCAAGGCATCTTCATCACGGGCCCTTCCTCTCCAGATCCCACCCGACCAAAGACCACCTCCGCTCCTAGATTCCTTGGATCCAAGTTCATAACGATGTTGAACAAAGTACTACTCCTATTCGAGATATCGCGCGATGGATCCTCTTGACAACATATGGACTGAGGCTGGTTATACGTATCAGAGAAGATGCGTTCTCGCAGCAAAGCAGGAGTAATCGCATCGCCCTGAACACCGCCCTCAATTAATTCCTGTGTCAGCTCTCCCAGCCGCTTGAGTCGGATAGGTGACCCAGACAGCCACGGTGGCTCATTCACATAGCGATTCTCAAGGAAGTGATTGGTATGGCCGATAATCCCCGATGCATCCTCAGGGATATGCTTGTCTCCCACCGGCGATAGCTCAAGTCCCAGAGCCTTGGTACTATCTGCACATAGGATATGTTGAGCAGATGCGACACCGCCAAGAGACTCCAGGGTCTTCACTGCGTTGTCAACTGAAATGCTCTCCAGACACAACCGAAGCGCAACGTGAATCGGGACCTTGTTACTAATCATCGGTTTGGCACGGATTGCATTGAGGCAAATTCCGACACCGTTCGTATTGAACCCAACCTTGCCGACGATTCCTGCCTGAGGATAGTTAGTTGCATGTCAAGATATATACTGCACACAAGATTACTGACCTCGGTAATCATATAGATGGTAGGTTTACCAACCTGCTCAATTGATACCATTGCTAGATTCCTCTTGACAGTCTTTGTCCAATCCCAATTCTGCGAGAGCACTCGTGTTGCCTCGCTTTTCTTCCAGCATAGTGACGTACAGCCATCGGAGAACCTTCCTAGCGCTATCTCGCTTCGGCAGTTGAGTGCGATTATGTCAAGAATATCTAGCCCGGCGCCCTCTGCAATACCCTCCATCTCTGTGAACAAATGAGGCGTTAGGTTCTGGAGCGTGGGCTGAAATTCAGTTGCGACTTCGCGCACATCTTTCCAGGTTAGCTTTGAGGTGTGCTGGAACATGCGGTCGTAGATAGAAATTTGGCTATGGATTTGTTCCCGCAGTGCACCACCATGCTGTAGTCCGATCTAATTAATTGTAATTGATAGTCAGTTGGAGTTCTCATAATATGGAGGTGTTGATATTGGAGAAGGTACTTCTCGAGGAGTGCCCTGGAGCTTCAGCTTGATTGGTTCATTTTCAGACATATTGAATACGTATAATATAAGTTATTCATATGATCAAAATCAAGGCTATCTTTAGCTATTTAATTGATTTGAGAGATATCTCGACAGCCGAGCCGATCTCGGTTCCCCTCAGTTGGAGTCATTCGGGGTATACCAGATAAGGATCGCAAAGTCCTGCCCCAACTGGCTATAATTTGAGACTCCAGCAAATGAGAGCTTGATGTTATGGTGTTATACAGAATAGTAGTGATGTAATAGTCTCCAGTGCACCGCGATATATGGCTTGTTTTACGATATCTACAGTCTAGGTGTTATTAGTTTATTGTAACAAAATTTATAGCACTCAGGCATTTCATTCATTCTATTTAATTACCCATACACATCATTTATTCTTCCTTAATCAAATGCTTGAACAACTTGTCCAAGTAATAGGCGGACTGCTTGGGATAGCGAGTCTTTTCTTCCGACTCATAGTCGATGAATGTGCAACCGAAACGATCTGCGTATCCAGCGGCCCATTCTAGAAATTGTTAGCCAATTATTCACAAGACAGATGAAACAATCACTTACCCCAGTTATCAGTGAATGTCCAAGCAAAGTAAGACCGGATATCAACTCCGTCTTCCTTAACAGCACGCGCCAACGCATTGCCGACATAGCCCTCAAAGAACCTAATACGGAACTCATCATTGAGAACCTCAGGCGTGGGAGCAGTTTCGCCCTTGGCGGTGGTACCATTCTCGGTGATGTAAATTGGCATCTGGTAGCGTTTATAGATCCAGTTTAAGAGCTTTCTGAAACCGCCGGGCGCAGCACGCAACCACGGGGTATCACTTTCCTCTCCACGAGAGACACCTTGCTTATTATCATCAAAGATCTCCACATTTCCCTTATGGTCATTGATATCAGGCTCAGCTGTTCTGTGCTTCACGAAGAAAGTCGTGTAACTATTCATGCCATAGAAATCCGAGCTTCCAAACACAAGCTTCGATTCCTCCTCCGTGAACTTCGGCAGGCGGTCACCGAGCTGCGCCCGCATAGACGCAGGGTAATCACCCGTCTTATACAATGGATCCGCAAACCAAGCGATTTCAAACTCGCGCGCGCGCTCTGCAGCCTCCTGATCGCGTGGGTCCTCCTCATCCCACGCCTCGGACCAGTTACCATGCAGTGTGATACCGATAGTTCCCTTTTGTTCGGGCTGGAACTCCTCACGGTACAAGCGAACGGCATGGCCGTGCGAGACCAGCTCAGTGTGTGCGACGGTGAATGTCTCAGTGGACGAATCGCCCTCGGCATTGCGCTCGCGGAAGGATGATCTAGCTGGCGCGTGCACGCCTGCTGCGTACCCGGCAAGGGTATAGACGCCGGGCTCGTTGTAGGTGATCCAGTGCTTGACGCGGTCGCCGAAGCGCTCGAAGCAAACGTGGGCGTAGCGCACAAAGTCAGGAGTGTAGGCGTCCTGATTCAACATGCCGCCGTACCGATCTTCCAGGGCCTGAGGGATATCCCAGTGGAAGAGAGTGACGAAGGGGGTGATTCCATTGCGGAGGAGTTCATCGATGAAATCGGAGTAGAATTGGATGCCTTTTTCGTTGACGGGGTCGTTGGCGCCGCCGAGGGGGATGATACGGGGCCAGGAGAGGGAGAAGCGGTAGGCATTTACGCCGTAGGACTTCATGAGCGCCACATCTTCGCGGTAGAAGTCGTAAGCTCGGACGGCATCGTCACCTGTGCTTCCGTCGGCGACTTTGCCCGGAGTGTGGGCGAATGTATCCCAAATAGACACGCCCTTGCCATCCTTGTTCCAGGCGCCTTCTGTCTGGGCAGCTGCGGTGGCATACCCATGGAAGAAGTCAGGCCGAAGCACATCCTTGAGATCTTGTACTGAGTTCAAATCCATCTTGCTGTATTGTCACTGTGTTGGGACTGGAATTGTGACAAGGGGATGACAATTTATTTTCTTGAGCTTGGAGCTCTCTCATCGTATAGAGGGAGCCCCGCAAAAGCATATCCGGGTAAAGTCTCATTTTCTTCGATTTATCCTGATATTGGATATGCGGGCATTTGCTCCGTGATGGTTTTGGTTTAGGATGCTCGGGGTTAGTACAGTGTTAGTGCGAGGTTAGTGCATAGTTAGTGGTTAGTGCAGGGATATTACGAGGTGGGGAAGATGCTAACGCGTACAAAAGTACAAAAAAGTACCTTAAGGAAATGAACTAAAAGAATAAGCATATCTCTTTCTATAATTGAAATTTGAATTCGAAATCTATTCTATTTAATCTTATGCTCACCACCCCCGGTGATCTTTACTTGGGAATCATTGAAGTGAACAACCACCGTCTCTCCACACTCCGAAATGATAGTCACTCCACCTACGACACGGCCATTTTCGAAATTAAAATGGAGTTCAAATCCACCTCGGGCCCGCACTCCCCGGATGGATCCCGTCCAGCCCGTCGGACAAGCTGGAAGAATGCGAAGTACTCCAGGCTCATGTGATTGGATCAACATTTCGATAATACCCGCCCCACCGCCGAAGTTGCCATCGATCTGGAATGGAGGATGACTGTCTAGAAGATTGGACAAGGTAGAACGGGACAAAAGCGAGTCTAGGTGACTGCTACATTCATCGGCTTCGAGTAAACGTGCGTGTAGGTTGACGAGCCACGCACGACTCCATCCAGTATGGCCGCCACCGTGTTCGGCGCGTCGGCGTAAGGTTACTCCGCATGCTTCTGCCAGCTGCGGGGTCTGTCCCGGCGTGATTGCGTTTCCAGGGTGGAGGGCCCACAGATGGGAGGTGTGACGGTGTCCGGGTTCGACTTCAGCGTAGTCAGCGGCCCATTCCTGTAGATACCCCGCAGGAGAAATCTTCATTGGTGGGAGCCGGGACTTGGTAGCTTGAACCGTCGGAAGAAGGGTATCTTCGAGACCAAGTCTTTTGGCGCATGATTGGAAGGCGTCCAGAATAGCATCAATGATCTGGATATCGATCGTTGATCCTTCACACAGTACGCCCTTTTGTCCCTTGTGGTCGTAAAACGAGTTTTCCGGAGAAGCAGACGGACTGGTGACGAGATATTCACCATTGGCGTCTTCGATTAGGAAGTCGAGGAGGAATTCCACACACCCTCGCAGAGTGGGGAACATTCGACGGAGGAACGCCTCATCACATGTATATTGGAAATGATCCCAAATATGGTAGCAAAGCCATGCACCACCCAGAGGCCAGATGCTTGCCGGCATCCATCTATCAACGGGTGCGGTATCGGCCCAAATATCCGTGTTGGAATGGGCTGTCCATCCCCGACATCCGTACATGATCCGAGCTGTCTCTTGACCGGGTTCAACCATACGCTCCAGTAGATCAAACAGAGGAAGTTCACATTCTGACAGGTTACACATGTTTGCAGACCAGTAGTTCATTTGAAGATTGACATTGGTGGTAAACCTGGAGCCCCATGCCGGATGGAAGGATGGGTTCCAGATACCCTGGAGGTTTGCAGGAAGCGATTTGTGTCCATCCCGGCTACATGATATTAGGAGATAACGATTGTAATTGTGATAGAGTGCGATGAGACCCGGATCTCGAGAAGACTTGAGACGTTGGTCGGTTGGGATTTCAGGAGAGTCCGGCCCAAGTTGCAATTCCATTCGGTTGTACAGAGACTGGTAGTCCGCAACATGACGGGCACGGAGGTCATCCAGAGAGAGGCTCAAGGCATTCTCTGCATCTTGCTTGGTTCGCTGGTCAATGTCCTCGTGTCGGAATGTAGTTTGCGCAGCGATGATCAGCAGTGTATCACTAGCATTCACCACCAGATTATTTCCAATCTTGGTAATTGTACTATCAGTACTGTCGCAACGAACTGAGACGCTGCAGCACGCTCGGTTGCTGTTCTTGCCTCCAGGCGTGACATGCATGGTAATGGAGTTGCTGGTAGCACAGACATCGTCAAGCCATTCATGTGATTCAAATTCCAAGTCACTCATGCGTGTCAGGCGAATGACGAACTCAGCCTTGCTCGAGGAACGCAATCTGATCGCAAGCACATCATCCGGGTAACTGGCCAGGACTTCACGTTCGAAGTGAACGCCCTGGTACTCATAACTGACATGCGATGTAGCATTCGCAATATCCAGTGAGCGCCGATAGCCTGTAACCTGACTGGGATCATGCCCCAAATCTAAAAACAGGTTACCGAGCGGCTCATAGTTCCGCTGGCTGATCGGGTTAGCGAAAAACGCCAGCTTGGCGATCTTCTCAGCCTCAGCGTGGTTTCCCGCGCGTATAGCCTCTCGCAGGCGCGGCAGATACTCGAGCGCGTCCTGAGGATTGCGATCTTGCGGCCCTCCATACCACACTGTATCCTCATTGAGCTGTAGCATCTCGGTGTCGGTGCGTCCGTACACCATGGCGCCTAGGCGCCCATTCCCGACTGGCAGGGCTGAACTCCAGTCCTCCGCAGGCTGCTGGTACCATAGTTCCGACATATTCAATGGTTCAATAATTCAATAATCTTCAACGGGCCTGGTCTGTGTTGGCTTGATGTAGAACAAGGCGGCAGTTCGGTCCGTCAGCCGCCAATTTTTGAACAGAACAGGCTGAAATACCTTGAATCAAATAAGCTAAAGAAGCTAGAGACTAGTGGACCGATCAATAAACCAATCCCATTTGTGAAGGGCAAAGGATTCCGGGTAATCCTGCTAACAAGCACCAGCTCTAACTCTTTCCCCGGCTGTTCCCCAGATTCCAGGCTAAATGTAACTCCCCGGATTATCATTCGCTCTGTGAGCTGGGGTTGACGCAGCCACTCTAGACTAGCGTTGGGGAGAGCTCGAAGCGAGACTCCCCAGTCCGACGCTAGTTCCCCCCGCGCTTGCATCTCACTGGTGGGAAATCCTTAGTACCGATGTCGAGGAAGGCAATTCAGGAATTGGCGTGCGAAGAGCATAACGTGACACTCACAACTCACCAATCACTGTCCATTCTGAAAGTTATATCACGCCACGAGCTAATCATGCTCCAAAGCTCATACCTTCTCCGTGGCCAAATAGGTCGCTTAGCATCAGCCTGGATGCCGACCGGTAGTTTTATCGCCCCCCTTGCGTCCTGAGAGCTATTTCCCCGAAGCTGAAATACCCCGGCATATCCCGCTCTTGGCTCAAACCTGACTGCAGCTCAAGGGTTCTCGACCCCATACTTCTGGGACGATCATATTGATACTTTACACCAAGTCCATTCGGGTTCGCTAGCAACAATGACCAAGCCGGATACCACCTACGTCGAAGAGACGTTGGACAAGGGCGATGCTCGGGAACATGTGGAGGAGATTGCCCTGGCACGGGTGACAGAAGAAGATCTGTGGAAGTTGTCCCAGGATTCTCTGAAGATCTGGTCATGGACTGGATTCCGCCTGGGCCTCATCATGTTTATTCATGGTTGCAACCAAGCTGGCTTCGGAATCGACTGGGGTGTCATCAGTGGTATCAATGCCATGGAAAGATGGCACGACTACTTCGGTTTCGGTACCAGCGGTGGCACATATGGGTTGATCAATGCTCTAATGCAAATCGGTACCGTCTGTGGAGCACCCTTCATGGGTTTGGCGGACGTGGTCGGTCGTCGTGGAATCAATTTCGCCGGTAACGCCATTGTCATCTTTGCAGCTCTTATGCAAGGTCTCGCCGTGAACCTGCCGATGTTCATGGCCGGTCGATTCTTCATGGGTTTCGGCACTGCGCTCATGTCAAGCTCTCAGTACATTGGCGAGATTTCGCCCATCCATCTGCGTGGTGTTATGGTCGGCTTTTTCGGCGCTTGCTTCCAAGTCGGCAGTCTTGCTATGCTTGGTGCCATGATTGGCCTTACTGATTTGGCTGGCAACAACTGCTGGCGTGTTCCCCTCATTCTTGAGGCTTTGTTCCCTGCTATTGTTTGTCTGGGGATTTACCTTATCACTCCCGAATCACCCCGTTATTATGTCTTGAGAGGGCAGCACCAAAAGGCCAAGGAAGTCATCGCTAAGTACCACACCACCAGCGCCGACATCAATGAGCCCATTGTCGACATTGTTGTGAAACAAATCGAAGAATCTCTCGAGAACGACACGACAGGCTACAGATCCTACTGGGACTATCGGGTCTTCTTCACCAAGACCGCCCGTTTCCGACTGCTGGTTTTGATTTTGTACTCGCTCTTCCAGCAATGGAATGGAGGTGGTATTATCACGTACTATGTAAGTGGTAAGATTAAATCACACCTTATTCGGTCGCTAATTTTTTTTAGTTGGTTCCCTCGCTACAGCAACTCGGCATCGATGGCGAAAAGCAGCAGCTCGGTATCAACATCGGCACAACGGCTGTCTATTTCGTCTTTACGGCCGTTGGTGCGCTTATAGTCGATAAGTGCCGCAGAAGAACCATGATCTTTGTGGGTCTTATCAGCATGATCATTTTCCAAACGGCTACGACGATCACATCGTGGCAATACGAGGTCAAGCCTACTACTGCGGCGGCAGCGCTCAGCCTCCTCTGGATCTTTCTTTACCAAACCTTCTCAGCGACATTCGTCGCAACCATGCACAACTTGTATCCGATTGAAATTCTCTCTCTGCCACTTCGTGCCAAGGGAATGGGTATTTACAGTCTTATCCAAGGTGGTGCCGGAGCTGCGCAGACTTATGGAATTGGCGTCGGTATCTCAAAGGTCGGGTATAAGATTTGGGTTGTGTACATCGTGTACAACTCAATCCAGCTCCTCCTGTCGTATCTGTTCTTCCCAGAGACCAGCTCTTTATCTTTGGAGGAGATTAACACGGTGTTTGAGACCCCGGGAGTCCACCCAGTGAAGATGTCTTTGAATATCCAGAAGGCCAAGAAAGCGAGAAGAGATGCGGCCCGGGATGAGGAGGGCAGTGCTGAGCTATAAATATGTAAGAGCAAGGAACATAGTTTTTTTTAATTAAAGGGAGAGGATAATATGATTTGATATATGTTTCCCATCTTTGTTTCAGCTGCAGGCTCTGGACTTTAGAGCGAAACTTTAGAGCTGGTCATCTCAAAATTAATCATTAATATAGAAAAACTTCAGTCTCCTAAAATATTACATATAAATCAAGACAAGTGGAACAGTTGAAACGCGTCGGACCCGATATGACTGTGCCTACCCGTCGGAGGGGTGCTTGTTCTGTTACACAATTTCCGCTCTCCGTCTTCTCAAACGTATATGAGACATCAGAAATAGGAGCTTTGAAATGCCTACCCCTACCAACTTCCCGAAAAGGCAGTATTGGCTTCAACTCCAAGCTCAGATCTATAGACAATTGGTTGACATCAGATGATCTCACGAACCCTAAAGTACCCAGACCTTCCCCAACCCCATCTATTTCCCGCTGAGACTTCTCACAAAATCTTTCTTTTTTTTCTTCTCCGAGACTCATCGCCACTAGGCCAGAACGCAATAGTGACCCATAGGTCCCCTACATTTCGGCCTGCAGCGTTGTACAAACAAATCAGGTACCGAGTTAGGACCTTTTGCACTCCGATTATTTTTTAGCTTCCTCTTTCTAAGTGGCTGTTACAATCAATAGTTTGAGCCTTTGATCGGTATCATGTGCTTTGCTAAGAAAAAATAAAACGGTCAACGGGCTTCTTGTAGTGTGTAGTGTCACAGATGACCTAGTATGGTGCTCTGCAGCCCTAATATGGTTATCCCTGGAAGAATTGGGTGATGACGCAAGCTAAAAAAAGAGACAAAAAGAGCCTATGTGGCTGAAGCATACATAGTTCAGCTGGTTTATTTCTTTTTTCATTCTTTACACTGAAGAGGTATGTAATTCTCGGATAGAAGAGAAAATACGAATGGTAGCAATTGCCAATTATATATATTCTGGGCCAGATACCATATCAGTACCAGCATTGACGAGATTTCAGCTCATCTTGTCTGCAAATATCGAAGCTTTGTGAAATGGACACTTGTCCATATTGAGATCTTCATGAAGATCATGGAGGAGAGAGAGAGAGGGCGGGTAAGGTGGAAATGACGGGCAGGCTACATCAACTCTATTTTCGTGTAATCCGGTTGCTTGCTCATGTCGAATTGACCCTCGTGGCAACCGTATAGAAGCATCAAACCTCTTTTCAATTGTCTCTCTCGACTGAAAGAGATCTGGATCAGATTGTTTGGTGCAAACAGTCAATCTGTCCTACTAGCCATCAAGATATAAAAAAACGTGTGTACATAGTGGATGTACAACCACACAGCATAAAGATGTCTTCTAATCTACAGACCCTGATACACAGAGATATGCGCACGGCCATACGGACCGAGACAGGACTGCATCTCCCGATTGATGCTCGACCCTTCTAGCAAAATTCCTAGAGTCATGCACGTCCGGTTGCGCAGTCTGGGAATTCAAACACGGTGTTACCATGGCTTTTGCACTAAAAAGGCCAGAGAAGGCGGCAACCCAGATCGATTGGCTCGGCTTCCCATCACGAGACAGATGGCACTTTCGTCAAAAAGCAAACGGGTCATCGCCGCTCAACACGGGATGTGCAGGGCTCTGCTTCGAGTACCGTTCTCAGAAGGCACAAATCAGAATTCTTGTGTGAAGAAGTTGTTGGGTTTGTTGAAATTACCCTTTGTATGCGTATGCGCATGTGTCTTTTGATCTCCTTCTCTTTCCGGGATGGTTTGACCGTGGCCACGCTCCCCCTTTCTCTGCGCAGCGTTGAGGGGGAATTGGGTGTGATACATCCGGCATGTCGGGTATTGGAGGAGCGATGTTTCCTTTCAATGACGGTGAACATGATCTCGTCATGATATAATTAATCGAGATTTCTCTTGCATTTTCCCTAGCTGTTTTGTTGGTCCTTAATTTGGAAATCGCCGTTTCTTTCGCCACTATATTTCCATGTTTGCTTCAGGCATGCTCCAGGTTGGGACATCGTTCATGAATTACTCGCTTCATCTTTGAGATATATATACTTCGTTACCTTGAACATAATACCTTGCATATTGTCTTCCCTTCTTCCAAAATCCCAACACATTCCACATTCTATTTGCCAAAACACGACTATAATACTAGTTTATTGCCTGCTGCATTGACAACCTTTCACTTTCTCTCTCGTTGTCCAGTCCGATATGCCCCCGAAGAGTACACAAGACAACATGGTGCCCGAGGCAAAAGGAATCAAATACGACGAATGCGAGATGGCCCTCTTCCGCGCCAAACTATCTTATCATGCCACGATTGACGAACGAATGGCCTCACAGAACTCAAACCTCACTTCGATCGCGGAAGCCCAGGCTCGAATCCTCAAGGGATGGGAAATACAGATGCAGGGCACAAAGGATTTGACTGGCAAGAATGAAGGTCGTTCTGCAAGTGATAAGAGAGCAATGGCACAGTATGAGTGGAGATATACGGCCTTGGAAAATGCTGCAACAAAAACGACTGGGAAGGGATAGCGACAAAAGTGCTTTTTCTTTTCTTTTTCTTCTTCTTTGATTTTGCTATTTGCGCCCACCATATTGAATGATACGAACGCATTGCTGGCGTTGGTTTAGAAGCACCACAGCTTAGTTTGATGTCCTCATGCTGAAATACTACGTCGATCTTTCACTCTGATGTCTACTCTCATAGTCTGGGGTGCTGACCTCATGGGTCTTTATTTCTAATGTTTTATCTCCCAGAGCAGTTGATTCCTCTCATCTGCTTATGGGTTATGTGTGAGGGCAATAAATTCATTGCCTCCTAATCCCGAATCTCTCACTCGAGGGAGAATCCGTTGGGTGTCACACAGGCAGGTTGGTCAACATTGCAACAGAAAGTCACACCTCGTGTGTACTCATGCAAAGGACTCGGGTGTCCCATTTGGTGAAAGAAGCTCGGGATATATGGGAATCAATAACTCAAGGAATAGCTGCGTCACTGTATAACACTGTGTACGGGCAATGGTAGATACCATGCTTGACTTGATCGACTTGATCGACTTGATTCCCGTTCATTTTACCTCACTTCATCTATACACGTATGCTATATCAATATACTGCATTGTATGGATGGCATGCTAATAATAGAAAATAACCCAAGTTGGGCGGCTAGTGTCGCCCTTATCTGTGTATTAGTAGTATCAAGAGCGCAGTAGAACCAATTGCAAGTCTTATTGGCCAAATTCCAGAATTCCGATGAACTCCGAGTTCTCTGTACAGGTTGTGCAGGAAAGTTATCACTACCACAGTAGACACAGTAGGTGCAAATCGCACCTTTTCAGTTCCTCTGCTTTCTGTGGAGTCTTTGACATCTAATTTCTGGTCAATAAGAGACTTCCATTCAGATATCACCGACCATCGGAGACCTCCGATATGGCTTACCATGTAGTGGGTCAAGGGTGCAACTCCGAAATCAACTCCGAAAGGCCTTAAACCGGCATTGGATCTGAAACTTAGCGCCTAACGGCCAAACCTCCAAGGAAATATCGGGGACGATAGGCTTTGATTGGTTCCGATGAGTAGAAAAGAAGAGGAATGGAGTGTTTTCGAGTAATGGAATTGCATTTCGAGAGGCAAGTCTCTTATCGATAAAACCCCCACTACTGCTATTTAAAGTATATACTCGCCCTCATTTTCGACTCCTCTCTAGACATCTTATTAAACGCATAATCCATACAATTCTATTCAAAATGCAGGTTGCCGCCGCCGATATCGACCAGGTGTTCGCACACACTACCAACCTAGCATCATGCAACCTAAACAGCAAAGTCCTGGCCTGCTCAAACGACTACTTCGCTTCGGTCGATAACCTTCTCACTCCAACTCCCGCTATTTCACGCCCCGGCGTCTTCATTCACACCGGCGCCTGGTACGATGGCTGGGAGACTCGCCGCCACAACCCCGATCCTTACGACTGGGCTGTGGTCAAGCTCGGCGTCGCCGCAGGCTATATCCACGGCGTCGAAGTAGACACCGCATTCTTCGTCGGCAACTACGGCGAGAAGGCAGAGCTCCAAGCTACATATGCACCGGAAGGTAGCAGCATTACAGATGCCCAGATTGCAGACCCCAACTTCGCCGGCTGGGAGACACTGCTGCCCACTTCGCCTTGCGGCCCCTCCCAGCGCCACGGATGGAAGCTCCCTGCCGAGGCCACCCAAAAACCCTACACTCACTTCCGTCTCCTGATGTACCCCGACGGTGGTTTCGCCCGTCTCCGTCTCTATGGTCACGCCATCCCCTCTCCTGCCCCCACTGCCTCGGACTCCGTTGAAGAGCTCTCGTCTGCTCTCAACGGCGGTCTGGCTCTTGCCGCCTCCGATGAGCACTACACCCCCTCCTCTAACACTCTGCTTCCTGGCCGTGGAAAGGATATGGGTGACGGATGGGAGACTGCTCGCTCGCGCGCTGCTGGTCACGTCGACTGGGCTATTGTCAAGCTGGGTCTTCCCGGCTCGGTCTCTAAGGTTGTTGTTGATACCAAGGACTTCCGTGGAAACTTCCCTCGCGCTGTGCGCGTGCACGGCCTGGTTGCTGGCACTTCTGGTGAAGGTGTGCCCTCGGCTGATGACGCCAACTGGGTTGAGATTGTCAAGGGTGACAAACGCTGCCAGGCAGACACCGAGCATGTCTTTGGACCTGAGCATCTCACTGCTGGTGGTGAGGATACTCGGGTGTTCAGCCACGTCAAGCTGACCCTTGTTCCCGATGGTGGTGTCAAGCGATTCCGCATCTTCGGTCGCCGCGCTTAGATTTTTGTCTGATACCATGAGAATTATGTATATAGCTGATATGCCACACTTAAATAATGCATTATGTTCAATTGTCCCAGAATATATATCTAATGAAGAAGTATGCCATTTATCATGATTAAAAGGGAAAAAAACCAGATGCATGATTCTCATAGAATTAAATCCAAAAAAAACACCACATGAAGAACTACCTATGCAGTGAATGTAATGACAAGCCAAAAAAAGAGAGCAAAAAAACCAAAGAGAGATAAACTCATCAACCCAAATGACGCCTAACTTCTATCTTTGCACACTCGGGTATAAATTAACAATGCATGGACTCATTTCTTTTCCAGTGACAACGGCCTCGGTTCATCTGAAGCCGAAGAGGAGTGACTGGTAGGTGTGCCAGCGCCAGCATCAATACTTGCTTTCGAACGCTTTTCTCGGATAGCAAGGCGAGACTTAGGGTAGGATGGCGGCGCAGGAGCGAGATACCTGTCCAATAGTTCGCTCAAAATAGGCGAGCGGACGGGTTTCGGGAGATAATTGTTCATGCCAGCCTCTAGGCATTTCTCGCGATCGCCTTCGATGGCACTTGCGGTCATGGCGATGACTAGCACTTCGTTTACATTTGGGTCGGGATCTCGGCGCAGCTCGCGGGTCGCGTTGTATCCGTCAAGAGTGGGCATCATCACGTCCATGAGAACCACGTGGAATGGATTACCTTCTCGGGAGCTTGCGCGCAGAGCATCGACCGCTTGTTTGCCGTCGCTATATGCGTCGCACTGGAGGCCAAGGCCAGTAACGAATTTGACGGCGATCTTTTGGTTGATTGGATTGTCTTCGGCAATGCACACTCGGATCTGGTCACGAGGGATTTGGGTGAGGTCGCGAGCCGAGGTCCGACGTCCTTCGTTTGCTACATTGCTTAGATCTTGTGACCATGCAGTCTTGACGGCCGTCTTCTTGGGTGCTTTGCTGAAGACTAAGTGGAATGTCACGGTCGTGCCCACCCCTGAAGTTGATTCAAGCCAGATGGCTCCGCCGAGAACATCTTCAATGATAGCTTTACAGATTGACAGGCCAAGGCCACTGCCGCCATATGATCTTTCCGTGGATGCATCGGCCTGGGAGAATGGTCGGAAAAGGCGATTCTTTTGTTCGTCTGGGATACCGATGCCGGTGTCGGTGACTGAGCATTCAAGGCGAACCCGACCTTTGCCCTCACGAGCAACCCTCGCTTTGACCGTAACTGACCCGGCAGGAGTGAACTTGTAACTGTTGCTGAGGAGATTCATGAAAATCTGATGGAGGCGAACAGGATCGCCAAGAACAACGAGCTCTGGCGGTACCTTATCAAGGTTCTCGATGGTTTCCAGCCCTCTGTCACGATGCGTGTATCGTAAAGCCCGGATCACTTCTGATATGGTTTGTTTTAGATTGAGTGGGACCGTGGAGATCTTCATTTTTCCGGCCTCGAGCTTCGAGAAATCGAGGATGTCATTGATAAGGGTGAGTAAGGTATCAGCACACACACGAATCGATTCAACATATTCATCTTGCTCTTTGTCAAGGTAAGTGCCCTTGAGAAGTTCCGACAGACCAATCACGCCGTTCATGGGAGTGCGCAGATCATGAGAAATGTTGGCAAGGAAAATTGATTTGGCCTTTGCTGCATCTTCCTTTAACTTCACGTTGTGCTTGGCTTCGGCCTCTGCATTCTTTGCCTTCTGTTCGGCCTCGCGTGCTAATGCCAAGGCACGCTTTTGTGACTCAATCATGGAAGCATTCTTGGCGCTGACCTTGCGAATTTCACGGAAGAGCAACGCGTTGGACAACGAAATGCCAATCTGGTTGCAAAGCAAATGCAGAACCACTACGTTGCGCTGTGTGAACCAATTTGGTTTTCCTTCCAAATGAATAACGCCGAGAAGGCGATCTCCTTGCACAACTGGCAATGCGATAACAGACCGACCTGCGGGGAATTTTGCCAGATAGGTCTCGCTCACGTTGGAAAACCGTTCATCTTCGAGAACATTGTGAACAAGAACCTCCTCCTTTGTACGCATGACATAGTCAGAGATATGCAAAGCCATTCGATCCTCCATTTCCGAGAAAGGTAGACCTTCTGGGAATGACTTCTGGCCCCTTTCAGAATCACCTGCTGCGGCAATTGCGAAGCCGTTGTCATCAAAATCGGTAGCAATGGTGGCGAAATCGGATCCGTTGCAGGATTCCAAGATGATCTCGAGCATTTTCGTGAAAAGCTTGTCAATTTGAAGTTCGGATGACATGACTTGGCTGGACTCGAGAATACTTGACAAGTCAATAATGTCTAACCCAACACTTGATATGTCTAGAGACCGTTCTCCGGCAGCAACACCATTTTGCTCAATCCACTGCTGTCTCCTCTCATGCTCTTCCATCTTCTGGGGCACCAAAATCTCCTCTTGCACAACGTCACGGCTGATCTCAAGAAGTGAATCAACAGTCTGACAGCCAACATCGACGGTTTTTGCCGATGTGGCTGTCTTAAGTAACCATTCATGTTTCTCAGCAAGCTGCGATGATTTGCCACTGGCGCTAATGGAGCTCCATGAAGCGATAGCATCTTGGATCATTGCACGAGCCGCCCTCTTTGCTCCACGTCTAACCAAGAACTCGCCCTGCAGCTCGAGGGCCAAGGCTTCTTCAAGTGGCCAACCATGGATTTGGCAATGGTCGATCGCAGATTCGTAGCCCTGTATGGCACCGCTATGATCGTTGCGAACCTCGGCGATCAGGGCTTCTAGAATCATAGCCCACATGCCATAGTTTGATTCAGATGCATCTCGAGCAAAATCGATCTCGGCCTTGTATTCTAAGATTGTGTCCATCTTGCCGTCGAGATGTCCTTGAGAGGGGTTATCATTATGAAGCGTGAGGAGGGAGGCTGCCAAATAGAAATAAACAAGGTAAGACACACGTGCAGACCAGAGCCTGTGTGTGGTGAACAAAAGTTGAGTACCGACTTGGATTGCTCTGTTGTGGTGACCGAACAAGAACAGTGGGATCATGGCAAGACCCCAGTAGACATCACGAGGTCTGTCAGCATTGGTGGAGTTGATATCCAAATGCGTCATATACTCAGATGTGTTGTGATTGGCGTCTGACATGATACCGTCCGGAGATCGGGATTCGGTCTTTCCTTGCAGAGCGCGTGAAACTTGCTGGACTGCAATAAGACTAGCTCCACCCCGGGTATCTTGTTGCCACTTGGGAATTTCTTCGGGGGTCTCCACGCAGAAAGTCTCCAGCTGCGCCATGTCTTGACCAAGATACAATCGACACATGGCCATTGATGAGATGCTGATCAAGGTAAGATATGGGTCACCCATTGAGAAAGAAGCCTCGAGCGAAGCTTCCAAGGCCGGTAGCGTTGATGCCATAGGAACACGTAAATGGCTGACGTAGAGATTATGAACGATCGAGCCTCTGGTCTGAGTCGATAATTCAGGGCAGCGTTCGAGCAGCTCCAGCGAAAGCTCGCTAAGCCTTGTACCAAACTCGATATCCTTGAAGCGACTCATGGTGATCATGGCAAGATGGGAACAACCTACTGCGATCTGTGTGAATCCACCCTTGAAGATATGAATGTTCATTACTTCGAGCGCCATCCGATAAAACGTCAGTGCATCGTCCCAGTACGTGACTGTCATCGCCTCCGCCATGACTGTGCCAATAGTTACTACAGTGGGGTCCTTGGAGACTGGCTTGTGGGCAATAGAGCTCAAATCGGCAGTGTCGAGATAGGACTTGAGGCGAATATAGGCAGCATCGCACTCCTCATAAGTTGTAGGTTCACGAATATGCACACCGAGTTCATCAAGGCAGGTGAGAAGTGATTCCATCGAGCGGTGGTGATCGCCTATCTGAGCGAAGATTTTGGCTTTGATGATCCAGGCTCTCGACTTGCTTACGGCGTCCTTGCCATGAACAAACACCTCGTTGATCAACTGGAGGGCCTCGTCATTGTGGCCTTGAGACCACGACATCTCGGAGGTTGTGATAAATAGCCGCATTGTTTCATCGTAATAAACATCGGGTTTAAGGTCATTCCACATATCATCCTGAAGTAAAGCGATACAATGGCGGAAGTACCAAAGTGCAGAGGGTCGCGCGCCCGACTGGAAAGCGGTTTGTCCGGCATCCCATAAGATCCGTCGATATTCGAGGCGCCTGCTGACACGAGACTTGATAGTCCGCGACGCAAGTGCCACATGATGGGCCATCGAATAGCGACTGCGATGGTCGTGGTAATATTTCATCAGCGCTTGTGAAACAACGAAATGCATCTTCTCTACATTTCGACTCTCGCTCAAAGAAAGAGCAGCCTGTGCAAGTCGTTCATTGGCAAACCTAAGGAAATTAGTAAGCGATTTGACTACAGGATAAACCAACAGTAGATGCCTCACCTAAACTCATCGTCGGTCTTCCCCGTGTTCAAGAGATTTGCTTGAACCAAAAACTGCAATCCCACAACCATATCGCCTTCAGATTGTCTGATAAGTGTGACATTTTGCGGTGATGTGAGATCAACATCCTCGTCGTCATTGCTCGAATAGACAAATTCACTTGTCAGAAGCTTTTGCACAAGAGAAAAAGAGAACGGGCTGCCCAGAAGAGCTCCCCAGATCATGATTGATCGAGCAGCTTGAGGGATGTCCTGAAGACGCTTGGTAAGAAATCCAAGTCCAAGCTCTTCGCCGTAGATAGGGGCCACAAACTCTGTGAATATCCGATCAAGGTCGAATAGCCACTTTGAGTCCTTCCACGAATACCAAATACAGTTTGTTCTGTAACAAGTCTCAAGCATTACCCGAACGTAGAAGGGGTTTCCTCGGCTCTTCTCTTGAATTACCGCACACAGTGGTGTCAATGTTTGACCGGGTTTCTGATGCATTGTCACTGCTACAATTTCCATGACATGCTGCTCTCCAAGGGGGTCGAGTGCGATTCGCGTAACCGTTGGTAGATCTTCCATAAATAGAGACCTCACTTGACTAGATGTAATCTCATCCCTACGGCTCGACAGGATCAGCACACAGGGGAGCTTTGCTTTGATGATTTTCAATACCAAGTCCAAAGTTTCGTCATCTGCATGTTCGAGATCATCAAGGCATATGGTGATAAGTTTGAAATTACACAATGTTCGCAGAATCTCAAGGAATGTCTCCATGAGCCGCATGTTTTTCGAGGCGGCATTTGCCAAAAAGAAATCCTGGGAAGTCTGCCCTTGATCCAGCCCAGGGATATTGACGTATGTGGATGGCTCGCCCTTCTCTGGCATGAGCAGATTGGCTTTTGCTTCAGTCGGTCTGTATTTCGCGCCAGGGGACATCAACTGCTCGGGAAGATCCAAGACTCTGTGCAGAGTAGGCCACATTGGTCGCAGGGCCATTCTAACACTGTTGTGGTAGTCAGTAGTGACATCGCGCTCGGAGAAAATCTGGCGCAAAAGACTGGCCAATAATTTTGCGAAAGGTTCAAATGGGACACGTTTGGCTCGGTCCAGGCGAGTAATTGCTATGCATCCGAGTTTGCGAACTGTTGGCTGTATCCGATTTAAAAGATCCGTTTTCCCAATCCCAGCGGGACCGCTGATTGTGATCACTTCACAGCGCTCACTGCGGCGAGACTTCCCAACACTCTTCTGTTTATTCAAGGAATGGAGTGATCCCGATTGACTAACAGTATGATTTGTTGATGGCTGACTGTGTTGACCGAAGGAGGGATGACTTTCTCGGTCTGTGTTATGGGAAGAACGAGAGTGCGATGGGCTCTTAACTCCGGTTGAAGCCGGTCTTGGGCTTTGGCCATACACATCGGGCATAAGTGTATGTTTCGGAGTAGAAAACGAAGTGTCACTATCCGCCGCAGATTCATAGGTGTTTACTTGTGCGAGATGATGAGGAGTCAGATGAAAGGAGCCAGAACCACTAGAGACAGAAGCAAACTCGAGGCTTTCGATACGGCTTTCAGAGATGGATGAAGCCGATGTGAGAGCGTGGGCTGTGCCAGGACTCTGTATTCCAGCTTTGGCCAAGGCAGCCGCCTGGCGCTTATTGACCTTCTCGATGATATTGAGAATTTTGTCATATTCTTGTTTCCGGCCAAACATTTGCGTTGGGAGAGTGAAAAATGAAGACACGTCTCCTTGCGCGACTTGGAAATTGCTCAATGCTTCACCGTCACCATCGCCAAGCAATTTAGCAATATGGGTCAAGTCTCTCTTCACAGATGAAATTGTGTGGTAGCGATCATGAACCACCTTCTGTGTCATTTTTTGGATTACAGCGGAGAGAGCATCGGGAATATCCATTCGTTTCCCAGATACTGGTATCAATCTTTTGCCTAGTACATTTTGTACGACTTCAACAGGGTCGGTTCCTTCGAATGGTAGCTTCCCTACCAGCATGGACCAGAAAAAGAGGCCCAGCGCATATATATCAGTGCGACTATCCGGTTCTGTGGGCATCCTTCCAGTCTGCTCTGGAGCAATAAATTGCAGCTTGTACTTGGCTCCAAGCTCGCGCGAAACGGAGGACCAGCCCTCGCTGAGTACGTTATCGAATGATCTAGCACCATTGCCGGTGTTTGAGAGCTTCACTGCACCAGTCTCTGCACAAAAATGGAACGCATCACCTCTGATCTCGCCGTGCACTGTCTTCAGGCCATAGTGTAAAATCTCCAGGCAATCGCATGCCCCGATTGCGAAATCAAAAAAGGATTGTAAGGAGACCTGCTCGTTGGGGGTGGCATTGTTGTCTTCACCTCTAGACCCCGCCACAAATGAGGCAGGGCCAAACGTGACCAGATCTCGCAACCTGTCATGGCCTGGAGACTCGAAAATCGCAACCAGCAGCGTCTTCGATTGTCCGTCATCTGGCTGCAACCTGATCAGGTCGACTGGTCGTATTGTATGATTGCAATCCGGATCCGACGATTGTACAATTGACCTGAGCATGTGAAACTCTCGCTCGAGTCGAATAATGTTGGTGGAAATTCGTGCGATGACCGGTAGCCATGTTTGGTCTGTTTCTAGGCTATGTTGGTTGGAAAGTGAAATGTCACTACTGGCATCGCTGACGCTCAATCTTCGCAAAGCACGGGTGGATGGTCGGGTTTCTGTGCGCGGGGAGAAGCGCGTGAGGCTCGACGGTCCGGAGGAGGCGGGATTGGAGGAATTTGCCAGGGGGGTTAAAATATCTGGCTCTAAGGCATGCCGGAATCCTGAAATATGCCAGTGGTTGTATGTTGAATGAAACGGTTCGACTGTCTGATCCCAGGTATAACCAGGTAACTGGCCTAATCGTTCGAAAAGTCGGGCCGGTGGAAGCGGCAGGTCTTCGCCGAGCAGAGTACTCTCCTCCATCTCCCAAATTATTGAGTCGTGTAAGCCTGGGTTGCTACCATGAACATGTCCCAAGGCGATGGGTCGAATTCAGTGGGGGTGGTGAGTTTAGGACGACGGGGGGGCACGCATGAAAGATGCAAACAGCATCCACAAGATAGATGATGCTCAGTAAAATGTACAGCGAACAGGTAGAGAAGGGTCGCCCTAGGCGTGCAAAGTGAAGACATCAAAAACAAACGAGTCTAAAACAAACCAGGGTAACTTAAGAATTGACAATCATGAGAAATGTTGATGCCTGAGGCTGTAAAATTAGTCATCTCTTACAAGCACCGGATTAGGGTAGCTGATTGGATGGGACCTTATATCAACATTCATATTATTGATATTAATAGGATATTTTGGGGGAATATGACTTACAAAGTACTGTTGGGCTGGGCTGCATGTTGTCTGACATCATTGAGAAATAGGCTATGTTTTCTTTTTTTGTTTTTAAATATATGCGGCTCAACTTATAATAGATAGGAGGCCAGGAACCGCCGTATTTCAGAACTATAGAAAATATGGAATCATTCAAAAAGGATAGGCTTGAATGTGTCCTTAGTATCATATGTATCTCCGGGGCAAAGTTCATCATGGTATGTAGAAAGAAGATACTAGTAAGAATACAATATTAAAAGGAAATCGTACACATAACATATATCACCTCGACTCCTGAGGATTGAATATAATCTAACTTGGTAGATTCAACATCTAACTTCAGAATCTGACTGATGCAATATTAATAGTATACAAAGTAGTATACATACATAATTTGTATTGAAGCAGGCAACTCGGAGTTATTGTGGGGTATGGCTCCACGAGTCCGGACCTCGGCACTGACGCCACTCAGGAACTAAATTGTTTTGGGATCCCAAACATCTAGATCCTCTCATCCCAGCCCTCTTTTTGTAAAAAAAAATACAAATTTCGCAGGAGCCAGCAAAATTGCTCTCCTCGCACTATGAGTTCACTCAAGGAACCTCTCGGTCTCTTGAAGGCGCTGCTAGCCCGCATCCCTTTGATCCTCAAGACGATCCTCTTACATGGCTTTCAAATGTCTCCTGTCAAGGGGAAACAGGACATGCGTACCGAATTAACAGTCGCTATTATTCGCTCATTCATGGCAATAAATGCTCCACTCGGTAAAACCCAGAAACAAGGAATACGTGACCCTGGAGTCAAAGGACCTATGTGGGTATCCAAGGTGACCCTTCCGCAGCCCGAGATCGAAGTGCGCGATGCAGTACTACGCGCAATCGAAGATCTTAAGACAGGCGATGAGACATACGATGTTCCGGAAACTATCGCTGTCGAAGCCGAATGGACCGGTTACCGCGGCGGAGTTGGAAAGAAAACACCAGAGCCCGATCTCTCGGAAGAGGAGAAATACCACAAGCTGCGCGAGGAATCGCCATCTGATATGACGATTTTGTATTTCCATGGAGGTGCCTACTTGTGAGTTGTCGCTGAACCCTCTAACAACCCGTGGACGGTACACATAGCTGACGCATCCAAAACATAAAAGTCTTTTGGATCCTTGCAGCCATCGTGTCCCTGTCGCACACCTGTCTCACCTAACGGGCGCCCCGGTCCTCTCCGTGCGATATCGCCTCGCTCCTCAAAACCCATTTCCAGCCGCACTTGTCGACGCCTTAACAGCATACCTCTCGCTCCTCCACCCGCCTCCAGGCTCTCTCCACAAACCCGTACCAGCCAACAAGATCGTATTCGCAGGCGATTCTGCCGGCGGGAACCTCTCACTAGTCCTCCTTCAAACACTCTTGACCCTCGACCGCGCATCGCACACAATCCGCTTCCACGGCAAAGATGTGCCCATAGAACTGCCCGCAGGCGTCGCAACCATTTCCCCGTGGTGTGACGTGACGCGCTCCATGCCATCTACCAGCGGTAACGCACACCTCGATTACCTTGAGGCGCCGCTTGTGCCCTCCGACGACCCAGCTATCAAGACTCCATTCACCCCGCTCCCTTTCACGCCAGATGATATATGGCCCACGTCCCCACCTCGCGCTGATGTCTACTGCAACGCCAGCATGCTGAGTCACCCATTGGTATCTCCACTCGCCATCCGAGCTGATCTCTGGAAGAACGCACCGCCTATCTGGATCTCAACTGGCGAGGAAGGCCTTACAGACGAGGCTCTCGTTCTAGCGCGCCGCGTCTACCAGGCTGGTGTGCCCCTCGTTGCGGAGATGTTCGAGGGTATGCCGCACTGTCACGGTATACTCATGATGGGCAGGCCAGCTAGTCATCGTTTCTTCGAGAGCTTTGCTGGGTTCTGTCGTGATGCGGTTGCCGGCCGGGTCGTGTCAACGGGGAACCTCACCTGGTTGGGCTTCAAGCTGCAGTTGATAAAGAAGATACCGATCGAAAAGGCCTGTGAAACTAGTGATGAACAGGTTGAGGCCCTTATGCAAAAAATCGCTGCTTGGAAGCTGGAGGGAGAGATTGAACTACAGAAGCAATGGCGTGCGACAGCGCGGTTGTGAGTTGTTTTATATGGTGTTCTCTTTCCATTTCGCCTCATCATACCCTATTTAGATGTTTAATGATTTTACGACGAACTTTGTATGTGATGACCTCGGGAGTAGTCCGATAGGGCCAGTCATACGTCTAGCTTATGTGGACTCATTGCGTGCTTATGTGGTTATATGCATATGCAGAAAACTTTAAATGCTTGGTTACTTTCTTAGAGAAACGCTCTCTGTAGCAATGAATCGCTACTTGGGATTGCATTAGATAGTAGCTAAACTAAAAAAGCAAACATCTGGCAATTTGAGGAACATGCCTGGGAACTAAAGATATTCATCATTGTCCATTGCATCCTCCCCCGACAGCTGATTCTCCCACATCTGCGGAGGCGGGTTCCGAGCTGACCAGACAGGCTGCACTGGTTGCACAGGCTGCTGTGTATATTGAACCTGCTGTGGTTGAGGCACAATGGTTTCAGGTGTGGGGGCCGAGAGCCAAGGGAACGCAACAGGCGTTCCGTTGATGCGGATTTCGCCAATGATATTTCCAAGCTCTGGCGCATCATCCACGTAGCCATCCGAAAGACCCATCAATTGCGCCACGAGACGAGAGAAAGCAACACAGATAGCAAAAAGTGGGGCAAAAACAGTTGATAGATGTGACCAGCGCCACAACATTGTGACAGTTACCCAGGGGTATTCAGGTGCATCGGGCTGCAGGCAGTAGCCTTCGCATCTTTCGGATATCTCGGGATGACTATACTGGTCCCACATCAGACATTCGATGATATACCACGAGAGTGAAACGATGATAAACCAGCCAAGGTTGGTGGGGTGAAGGCGTTGGGATCGCGGGCTCCGCTTCCACAGCCGTGGAAGAGGTATCGCGGCGTAGACTCGTCCATCAGAGTGCGTGCCGCACCCTTTGCATGATTCGCCCGTGTGCAAATGTGATGGCTGTGGGCTCGACTGCAGGCTCTTCTTGATCGAGGAGCTTTCCTGCGATACAATTGCGGTGTCTCGTGTAACTTTATCTTCCAGTCCGTCAAGCCCTTTCTTGACTTCGTCGATATGTCTCATTAGAGAGTTGAGCTTGAGATTTAATGAATCCAAGTTGACCACGGCATTCCCTTTTGAACTTGCATTTTCCAGCTGGGCGACGACGGCCTTTTCGTAATCTTCATCATCTTGCTCGATTTTGGGTTCGCCTGGCCCAGCGTCCATAAGTGCTTGAAGTGACTCGATGGTATCATCTCCAAACTCGAGGTCCTTGCCGGAGCTGGCATCCTCAATGACGGTCTCCAGGGCACTTTTAGGTAGATGAGGCCGCTGCAACGGGGGCCTTGACTGTTTCCCAAGGGGTGGTTCCGGAAGAGGATCTTTTTTGGTAGTCTGCGCGGGCTTCGGTTCCTCGGCTTTCAATTTGACATCTGTGGGTTTTGTAGGAGGTGTAATATCGTTGGGCTCATCTGTTATGCGTGGAGGAATGATGTCTTTAGTCAGATCTTCGGGAAGCTCGACCTTTTCAGCCACCCGCTGGGTCATGGGAGTGTCGATCCATGCGCCAGTTACCCGAGGGGTTTTATCGTAGATTTTGTTTTCAAACAGTTTGAATGGCTCGGGAGTTTGAACATGATCAATTTTGGGGGTTTCAGTCCGAGAAAGTTTGCGTAGTAGATCCCGGGAGTCGCGCTTGCTAGGGTTGGGCCTCGCGAATGACAAGTTTTTGAATACTGTGATAGGGGAATTGGGAATTGCCTCGCCACCACTAATGGGCGAGGTCAGCTTTGCACCAGACTGCGTTTCCCCAAAGTCCTCCTGCTTTGCCTGCATATGCGGATTGGCAGTGCGTTCTTCCAAAGCGCTCCTAGCAGAAAGTGTGCTCCGCGCCGGAGAACGAGGTGAGGTACGCGTAAGCTTGGGGGCTTCGGTTTCTTCCGTGATAGGTGGCGACCAGAGTCGACGCGCCTTTTCCTTTTCTTCTTCAGAGAGACTACGTTGGATGGGTTTTCTCTCCCATTCTTGTCGGTAACCTGCCCGATGACCCCAACCAGTGGGTATATTGGGCGAAGGAACACCGTTCCTGTCGGCCTCTTGTGCATGATTGTCTGCCTCAATATTATCTTCCATTCGCCTTCTCAAATTATCTGCCGTTAGAGCATCCCGTCCGACCTGAGCCCTGCTGAAGACCGGCGAGCGTTGTCCTGTGACGCGCTTTAGGCGCTCTTCATCCTTGGTATAATCCCTGCTCTTGCGGGCTCGATGGTCACCGAGTTCATCGCTAAAACCAGCGTCGGATAAGGGCCGTCCATTGGCAGATCCTCTGCCGTTATTTGTGTCCTTTGCTTGGGGGCGACTTCGGCTTCCGGAGCGTGCGCTGAACTGTGGCTCCCAGTCATAGTCGCGCACCAGATCGGCTAGAGCGTCATCTTCATCAATTCGCCTATATGCGTCCTCAAGTTCCTTAGGAGGAGGGGAAGTCTGAGATATGGGCGAGAACGCGTTAATCGGCTGCCGCTTCGATCGCGGGCTTGGTGTTGTCACATATTGGTATTCGTCGTCGTATGTGGTGGACATTGTGTTTTTCGATACGTCTCTATATGCATCGGCTAGAGATCTTGGGCGAATAGCGTGCCGTGGATGCGGACCATCTTCTTGAGGGGGTGATGGGAGCTTTGCGGGTATATCGTAATGGTCGAATTTCGAGGCGCGTCGGAAATGTGACGGTTGCCTGTCTCGCGAGACTCGATTGTTTTTCTCAAATGACATGACCGAAATATCTCTTGCGACCTGCAGAGGGTTCACATGGAGGAAAGGTAGAGGAAAAAGGAGAAAGACGCGATTCTCCTGCACTGTGAAGAAATGACGGAGGTAAATACGCTCTCATTCCCTAATGTGGTTAGGCCGTCTGAATTATTCCGCATTACGTCGATACTTTCAATTACCGACAACTCGAATTGTCCTTTACTCATATTTGCCCTCATGACATTCAGGGGAGCATTTCCAACCTCATGATGCTCAAATAATCCTCATATTGTTTTGACATGTGACCATTTCACTTGCCCTGCCCTCGAAAGCTTCAATAAAAGCAATAAGACTCGCATTCTAAACCCTTGAAAAACGTTCAACTCAGGTCATATCGAGCACTTCAGTGAAATATATACCTATCAACCTCCACCATGGCAAAATCATCACGGCGCTCAGGTCGCGGCAAGACGCCAATCTCATCCGGAGCCTCAACACCAAGCTCCGCATCCTCAGGGCCGATCACACCATTCACCAAAGTGCCGCAAGACTTGCAACCGTTCGTCGAACCACTATCCCCCGACGAAGTATATCTAGTCCACATCGACATCACAGCAGAAGAACTGAAGCGGCAGACCTTTACCGTACCCCTTATCGTGAACTTGGTGGTAGCTGCTGTGATTGGCCTGCGGGTGTACATGGGAATCAGTACATATCCAGCACTCGTGGCAACGCTGATCGGGTACCCAAGCTCCATGACTGTGGATACGGCAGCTACCCCGTGGACAGAAGCGGTACAAATTATCCTACGCCGGACTGGAACCGTGTGCATCGACTACTTCCTCGTGACCCTACTCTGGTCATGGCCTGTTAATTTCATCCGAGGGCCCGTGCGCTGGCGTCGCGCCATCGGTTTCCGTGAGCGCGAGATCATTGTCCGCCGCAGTAACCGCAGCTGGAGCAAGGAACTCGAGCGCAACAGGTGGATCCGCGAAGACGATGTGCATCGCGATAAGATCGTCGCCGCTGTGACCCCCGAGCGAATCGGCAAGACTGGTTACTTGCTCGTGGACGAGGATTGGAATTTAGACTATGCGGCTATGGTCCGCGCTCATGCTCTTGTTGATCGCACTCGCAAAGGCGATGGTATACAGATGGATGAATTCCGCACTGCCGTGCTGGTTAACACTGATGCTGACGGTTGGCTGATCTGGCGTGTCGGGGATGATAATACCCCCGCCGGCGAAAAAAAATCTGCTCAGCGCGACCAAATCCTCGCCTTCAAGGAGAAGTTAACTGAGATGGGCAAGGAAGATCTCTTCCTGCGTTGGGTCGAGCTAATTCAATGGGAGAGCTCGCAGCCTGGTGGCTTCACTGCAGAACGACAACGGTCTGCGATGATGCAAGCGAAGCAGATGTTCCAAGATGAGAATGTGGATTTCAATCAATTCTGGGACGACATGGGCGGCATGGAAGGCGTGGAAGGCGTGGAAGGCGTGGAAGAATTAGACTAGTGATTGATCGGTTCATGGTGATAATCATACCTCTCTTACATTTTGCTTAATCTCGGCTTACTTGTAAATTGCTTTATGTACCTAATTGTGTTTGATGTACGTTTCATAGAGCTCAACTGACACACCATGCCCTACACAAGTAAGGAGCTCGATATGTTCAAGTGTAGATTGCATTGTTGGGTATCTGGACTAAATCAATGTCAAAAGCAAATGGGGACTTGTATGGATGCTCAAATAGCGCAAAGTTGGCGCTGCACGTACTGAGGGGACAACCCGAAAAAAAAAATCCAAAAGAAAAAAGAACAATGCAAGGCCCTAATACGCCAGGGCTTGTAAAAAAAAGAAGAAGAAAAAAGCAAACGATCTATGGTGCATCACCCTCAAGCCGATAGTCGAGAGACCACAATTTCTCCCACGGGCGAGATCGGCCATTGTATCGACGATCGGACGTCAATCGAGCGGGAGAAGAAGGGCTGTTAATTGTGTTTGGTTGAGCCGATGCAGAGATAAGACGCTAAGTCGAAGGAAACCATTAGCAGCTGATACCAGATCATATAAAAACAGACCCGGAAAAGACGGAAGATAAATAAGTCAATCCCTACTTTTCACGGGCCGGAGAGCAGGTCACGGCGAACCTCGTCGAAGATCGGAGCAGCCTCTCGTGGCTGCGAGCCTGCATCAGCTTCGGCGGGGCGCACAAGATCAGTCGTGGATTCGCCGGCGTGCTGCGACGGCGTGGGGGTGCCCCGCTTGGAATTCGAGCTCTCCCGGCGGCTATCAAGGCTCCTAGATAGGGTTTTGGCAACACCACCCTCCTCCGTACCACGTTTGAGGCGGATACTACCCTTGGCATCGACATGCGCCGATGCAACTGTACTCTTCGCTATACCTGGTGTAGCAGGCGCACCGGGTTTCTCTTCTACGGCATCGAGGAGATACCAACGGAGGCCATCTGAAAGCTCGAATGGATTCTCGTCTTCAAGAGAGGCGCCATCGCTGGCATTCCCGAGGGAGCGACGGTCTGGTGTAACACCGTTCATTGACCTAGACAGATCTACAACTCGTTCCTCGATCTTAGTGATGCGAGCGAGAAGCCAGTCTCGAGATTGTAGCTTGTGTGAATCTTGCTCGCGCAGGAAATAGTGCGGCGCACCCACGTTGAAGGCTGCCCAGGAGCGAATGGCCTGATTCCGTGTAGGCAGGAAGAGAGCAAGGTCGCCGTCTTTGAAGGATCTGTAAGCAATCTTGTCATGGGCCTCGCTCTGAACTCGGTGGTATTTTTCACGATAGCCTCGAGCTTCTTTTTGCCATTTACGGGCTAGGAGTTCAATGTCCTTGACGCGTTTGACAACAACATCACCAAATAGGGCCACGTCGAACTGGGCTAGACTTTCCATGAAATCTGAAAATTTGGTCTCTTCATCCTCCAAGCTTTCAGCTTGCATCCAGTCCAGAAGCGCTGTATCCGGCTTTAGGGATACAATACCCGACTGAGCGAGGCTTTCACCCAGTCCCAACGATGCACTGAGCTTCGAAGCACGCTGAACGAGGAGATGACCGTCTTGCCGGATGATGGTGAACCCTAATTGCTCAAGCATCCGACCTAGCTTCTCAACCTGCGCGAAGAGTTGATTTGAAAGCTCAAGGGACTTGGTACCCCGAGCTTCGAACCACGTCACAGCCTGCTTTTCGGTCTCCGAAGTGACCCCTGATTTCTTCTCCCATTCCGCAGCCTGATCTTTCAAGTTTCGAGCTTCGCCCTCAGCTTCAGCCAGTTGTCGTGACAGCTCTGCCTGTTTCCGTTCATCTTCGGCGATCTGTTGACGCAGGGCCTCGGAGCCACTCTCCCCGGCGGCTATTTGAGACTGCAAGGAATTGAACTTAGATCGCTCTTTGTCCAGCTCATCAGACAAGTCCTCTGACTTTGACCGCATGCATGAGAGCTCTGCAGTTAGTCGCGATAATTCGGCCTCGCATTCTTCGAAGCTCTTTGTCCGCTCTTCCGCCTCCGACTCAAATTTCACAATTTTTTCTTCAAGGGCCTTGTTCTCGGTAATTGCCTGGGATGCATTCGATTCCGCGCTCTTGGCATGGATCGACAAACCCTCAGACAGAACCTCAATGGCTTTGATTATGTCGGGAAGTTCGACAGGCACAATGCCTCCAGGCGAGAGGTTCATGAAGATAGCTTGGAGATCTTGGTAACTTTCCTGGTGTTTTTGCTCGAACTCCGCTTGGCGTTGCTCAAGTTCATAAATCTTAGCCTGGAGGCTTTCTTCTCGCTCTTGCCGATTTTGAATATGTGCATTAAGATCAATTATTTTCTGTGCGTCGTCGGCGGAATTTGCCTGAGCATTTTGGAGGTCGACCTCGAGCTGGTGCATCCGATCATCAGCCTCTTGTCTTCCATGCTCTCTACTATCCATAAGTCGATCAAGCTCCTCTTCCATTTCCTCGGCACGGAGTCTGAACTTCTTTAACTCTGAGTCAAGATATCGGCGCTCATCTTCGAATTCGCGTTGGCGCGCTTCAAGGTTGCCTATGAGGTCCTTTTTGGTGGATTGGGCTTCTTGGAACTTGTCAGAATTGGTTTGCCGCTCAGCATGGGCCTCCTTATGGAGTCGCTGCATCGCATCTCTCTCAGCCGCCAGCTCTGCTTCAAGCGTAACAATACGCTGGATGAGTGCTTTGTCTTCGGGAGACTGAGTAGCTGAAACCCGCCTCGAAGAGACGGATGACCGTCTAGAGAGTGCATCGGGGTGTGGAGATGCAGGTGAACCGGGGAAGTCTGGGCCAAAGTTGCCGCTGGATGGCCGGCTGAACTGACTCTGACGATGTAGAAGGTCTTCCAATTTCCGAACACGACTGTCAGATCCCTTCAATCTTTCTTCTAGCTTTGTCTTTTCTTCTTGTAAGCTACGGACAGAGTCATCGGCGCGTAATATAGAGCTCCGGCTCAAGTCAAATACGCTGCCTTGTTTAAACGCTTTGGCCCGTCGCCTTTGCTGCCGAGTGGGCGCATCCAGCTCCTTGAGTTGATTTGTAAGCTCTTCCGCCAAGTTGGTCAAGGAATGAGTGGTCTTCAAATCGTCGATGTAATACTCAATCTCTTTCCGAGCTACATCAGGCCATTCGTCATCCCGGCCCTGAAGGTTGACTTCAATTCCTGGAGCGGTGCAGTCAGTCACAGTCGTGAAATCTCCCATGTTTTTTAGCCATTTTTTTCTGCGACGTTGCTCTTCATCTCTCAACACCGCCATCTCCTCGGCCAGCGTCAGGGAGTCAGTCTTAATCTTATCACTCCATTCTCGTCGCCGCACGGATTCAATAAGAATCGACCCATACACCATTGGCATGTGGAAGACAGAGTAGATAACATCAAACGCGTTGCTCTCCACATCGAGATTGACCATTCGTGCATGGGCGTCGGCAAGTCTAGACTCAAGGGAGGAAATCGTGCGCATATGCTCAATAGCCGTTTTCTCCACTGACCCTCGGCGCTTCACAGCGTTATCTAGGGCAGCTTGAAGCTCGACGCTGGTCTCCGCCAACGATGGAAGAAGGTCCTGGGTATGGCTGAATGCAAGCCTTGATATATTGGCCAAAGTCTTCTGGTTGTTCGGCAGGTTGCGAACATGCTCATAATCAGACGCAATCTTCTTCGCAATAGTCTCCACTTCTTCCAGCAGCCCATCCACCCCGTCAAAATTTGACGCAAGGGCCTCGTCCACCAGTTGCTGAGTGTCCGAGGCGATGTCACCGATTGTTTTCTCGATGTCCTGGACGCTATTAGCAAAGGCCGTCGACACAGTCGCTGCCTCTGATCCAGCCCGTTGGACTTCGCCTACGTCGACAAAGTCACGCAGCGTTCCGGTTGGTCGATCCTTATCCATTTTGGGTGTGGACGGACGTCCAAGAAGAGGGAAGTCTTTACGCGCCGGGATGTTATCCAGGGTGGAAAGAGCTCGTTGCCAGCCATCTAAAGCAGCCTGCTGCTCTTCTAAAAGACTATTCGCCCACGACTGTGCCTCCTGGAACCGATGCTCTAGGTTACCCACATGAGACTTGAGATTCTCCAGAGCCACGCCCACCGCGCGGTTTATAACATCCGTTCGATCGTTATGTTCTCGGATATTCTTATCAATCGGCCCACAGCGACTGGACAAGTCCAGTGCCCAGTTGCGCCGTGCCATGTATAGGTTCCGCCATGCCTGAAGGTCGTTCTGGTCTTTGAGCGTAGCTGGGGGGCTACCGGGTTGAAATGGTTCAGGAGGAGGTAGTTCTGGAAATTGGACGTCGCCTGGTTCACTAACATATTGTCGGTCGTATACAAATATCTCGTTCTGTGATGGTTGCCTACGAGTTAGCATATTTCCCAGTTGTGATTGGTATTTATCATGTCGCACCTCGGTAGCGAGTGTCTGGATCTTAACATTCTTTCCCCGGGCGGTCATCAATATTTGCCGTGGAGGCGGGATGGATGTATTGTGAACGATCCATGACTTCAAAGCATCGGGACTAGAGACAATGGGCAAGGGTCAGCTGGAGTTCGGATAGGTTGATTCAAATATAGATAAACAGGTAGTAGGCATCATCATCGAGATAGTGGGAACATACGAGGCAAATGCCACTGGATCAGCCAGGAAATGCTCCCCAGTGTGAGCAATGTAGATGTGCAACGACATTACCCCCCTCCGCACTAGGCGAGCTCTGGTGCTCAGTAAGAGAGAAATATGAGAAATATTCCCCGAAGAAGGAGATGCATATAAGGGAAGAAAGAAAAGAAAATCCCCGAAGCCCCCAGTCAGGCTGGTCAGGACGTTGAAGGTTGATCCGCAACCTCATGTGGCCGGGGAAGCTCGCCCACCGCCTCGGGTCTCATCTTCATATCACCAGATGCGCCCGCGTCCACGGGATCTACGTCCATGGCTGCAAAACATGGCCACTCACTGCCTCACCTGCAATCTGGTGAGGTGACACTACTAGATTACTCTGCAGATGACTCTCGCGATGTCGTGACTCTATCGGATAAAGAGACATTGGTGCTACAGCTCTACAACCAGGTCCAGGAACAACGGCTAGAAAAGGCGTTTCTCGAACAAGGTACGTCTGATACAAGCTTCGTTATATTGATTTTATTTGCCTCTTTTTCAATCAATGTTTTTGCTAATGGCTTTCATCTTATCAGAACTGGAATCATTTTCGGGTGCAGATCCTGAAGAACAGCTCGCAATCGCAGAACGTGAGCTTTTAGAGGCACGATCTACTTACACAGTCAGGAGGAAAGCTGCTCGCACCATCCTCATCACTGAACCTATTCTCAAAGCTGTTCATCTGAAGGCTGCCACCCCTGCTGAGAGGTACGTAGCTACAGAAAGCCCTTGAGCTAGATCACATCTGATAGAAGCATACACAGAGCCCTTCTCGGTCTGGTGAATCGTCGCGATGTGCTTGCACTTGCACATGAAAATCTGGCGTCAGCACATGACTTGGTGATGAGGCAGCTTTCAGCCCTGGAGGTAAATAATCTACAGATTAATCGCGAAAACCAGGAACTGGTCCGCCAGCTACTAGATCTCACGAAAGAAGATTTGTCATGGAGAGAGAAGCTTGAAGACCCCGAACTGTTATCACAACTGGAAAGTTTTGAAACAGATTTAAAAGCACGCAAGGCTCAGTGGGAGACTATGAAGTCCATCGCAAGTGCCGTAGTTGTTAGCAGTGGACTAAATTGGGCCGATGATGACATTCTGCGCGCGTTGGTGCTGGATGAAAGCGATGACTGATGTTTTTCTTTTTTTTTTCGCGTGGACGCGTTCCGCTGCCCGTTTCCACAATTCTCTTGTACTTAAGAACAGGCGTACAATAATACCCAGGTCTCCGGAACATTCGATTCCTATTTCTAAGGCGGGGGAAGAGAATGGTAATTTTGAACTAAATAATGTGGACTAGATAACAATTATTACCTGGGCAACGTGTTGAATAAGTACTGCAATAATGACGGCTATACACAGCGGTGTACGGAGTACGGAGTGCGGAGTGCAGTATAGCCCTAGAGATGGTCGCGTAGAAGTAAGGGTTATATATGCTCGGACAAATGCATAACTAGCACCCTTTGTAATTACATATTATACAAAGCAACTATTAGGTAGGTAGATATAAAAAATGATTAGTTCACAATACAGACGCGAACTCTATGACGCTTTCCTGTCGGAAGGCGTGGAACTGTTACGGAGTACTCCGTACATTACAGGTGGATTAGCCCATACACTGCCACACTACAGTACTGCAGTATCAACGGTAAAAAAAGGAACTTCGTTGGTGAAAGAACAGAACGTGGTCTATGCGTTTTTATGGATTTCACAATCTCTACGGAGTACGGAGTATGGAGTACGGAGAACGGACTTTTGCTATTGATCTGTCAATCTGTCAACTCTAGGATATTAGCCTATAGGTTAGTCTGATGGTATCTGCATAATAAATCAGCGATCTGAGCGACTTCAGGGGTAGGTGCACACTAGATAGAATATCTATGCTATAACGGTCTATGGAGTACGGAGTACTTATGTTAGAGATATCCATTCTGAATTTAGCTTGTGATAATGGTGTGATCCGGCTCTGTAGGGAAGGAGTCTTTAAGATCACCTATTCTAAGCTGTTCCATCCCCATACTGTTTCACTAGGCATAGGTAATCCACGAGCTAAGAAAACCGCAATAACTCGGTGCCATATTCATTCATGCTTCTGGCTCTAGGGCGCATATGACCTTTATGAACAAGGTAATAATCAATGTCAGTACTTCCCTTCCTAGGTACCTGTCCAGCCGTGTTTTCAATTGGGGTTACGCTAAAAGGGTACGCCACGCTTATGATTGAGCAACCATCCGCCCTTGCCTGAAGATGATAGCTGAATACTAGCACTGTGTTATATACACACATGGAAACCCGTGCTTTGCCGTAATAATTAGGGTTTGTACTATTACACAGAATTCTCTACCAAATGAAATAGTTTTGACACCGAGAGCTTAAGTAGACATTTCTGAATTCTTACTTTTATCGACTACATATGTAGAGGGAATAATGGTACCAATGATACCAATGACAGTGAGTTGGGACCTATTTTTCTACCGCAAAGGTACCCTGTACAAGTCAATATATACGGAGCACCTACGCATGACCTTGCAATTCGCGACCAAAGCCATTATACACTATGCCATATGGAAGCAAGTCGATAATATCAAACGTTTGTATACAAGAATCCTGCCCCAAACGGAATACCTGATAAAATGCTTGCTTTGTTTTTCTATCTCCTTAACCCTTTTTTTGGGGGGGGAATATTTATGATAATACATCGTAGCCTACTTGCAACAACCGTAGGCTAAAAGAGTATCGTTGCCTGTACGGAGTAGCATTATTCAATAGGGAAATGCCACCAAAATACATACTTAACTTGCCGGTGGCTATTTTGTATATATCGAATTCAACCACAAACACCATGGTAATGACAGGTATGAGATACTTACCGAGCAGATACTTTTATTATGGAGTTACAGTGTACTGTGTACCCGTACGTTTGCGCGGTTTATTAATATGACGGAGCGCAATCCACAGCCCGGAATGATGGTTGTCGTTTCATAACGCCGTATTAAATTCTCTTAACTCATTCAACGAATATTTCGCTTTAGAGGAAAAAGAGAATCTGCATGAATATATCAATAGCAAATAATCTGAATGGAATTTAATGGAATTTTTCAAGATTAATTGAGGAATTAAGAGGTAAATTTCGAGGGGATTGTAGTAAATAGTATGGTGGACAGTGTTAAATTACTCGTACTGATACGTTTCTCTCAGCCAGTCAGCGAAACCAGACTGTGCCTTTCCCTTGCTGTGGCCCCCCTCTCTTTGCTACTACTACGGCCCTCCCCCCTCTACTCTTCTCTTCTCTTACTATCTTCCTACACTACCAAATCCCCCATACAAACTTGCTCCCATACAAAAAAAAGGTACTGCATATCAACTCCGAGCTCTATAAATCAACACCTCTACGCATTTCTACCACCACCACAACCACCCCCTTTTTTTTCCAGTTCTTTTAGTCCTTGAAATCGTTTCTTTTCACCTCATTTCCTGTCTTTTTTTTCCCATTTGCGCCGACCTCGCGGTCGCGCTGCAGCTCAATCTATGTTTTTGGTCCACCTAACTAACATGGAAACCCACAGTTCCCTTTTTTTTTTAAAAAACATATTCTAATTCGTGATCGTCGAATTCATGTGAGTTGATTTTATCCCAATCCTCTCCAAGCTTTGTTTTCCCCCGGTCGCAAGTGCTTAGTTGCGCGCAACGCGTCTTGCAAACACTCGCGTCCGGCCTCCTTCCCTCTCACTTCCACACGATTTCTTTTAAATTACATGTCAATTGCGCACACAAACCTTCACTTGACCCAATTGCACCTTTCTTTTCTCCTACAATACATCATTTGTGGCAAGAATCATCAAAAATCACATCTAACCTTCGACAGTCATCATGCCTAAGGAAAGCACCACCAAGTCCACCCGCAAGGCTCCCGAGAAGCGCGTCCAGCGCCGCAAGAAGGGTAAGTCGACGAGAAAGTAAAATATTACTGGCTTATACTAATTTATTTACTAGACCCCAACGCCCCCAAGCGTGGTCTCTCTGCTTACATGTTCTTCGCCAACGACAACCGCGACAAGGTTCGCGAGGAGAACCCCGGTATCAGCTTCGGTCAGTGAATTGGTTTCTCGGCTTCGTTGTACATTATCTAACAACCCTATAGGCCAGGTTGGCAAGCAGCTTGGTGACAAGTGGAAGGCGCTGAGCGAGACCGATCGCAAGCCCTACGATGCCAAGGCTGCCGCTGACAAGAAGCGTTACGAAGAGGAGAAGGCCGCCTACCTCGCCAAGGCTGAGGAGGAGGAAGAGGAGGAATCTTCTTAAGTTGCCCTCTAGCTTCACTTCGTCTTTTGCCTCTGGGCGTTTGTGTTTCTCTAATGGTTCTCCTGCTTTTTTTTCGGATGGTTTCGTGCACGGTTTCTGGGTTTGGAGGACGGGTGGGGTTTACTTGCTTCTGAACTGTTCCTCTTTGCTCTTATCGAGGGTATTAACTTATCAATGGGAAATCTCAACCTTTTAACTGCCAAGTCCAATTCCGTAGCTTTAAACGTTATAAGAACAGCAAGCAAGGGCTGGTAGCTTCACTTGCTTGTGTGGATGATTCAAAAGCAAGCCTTTGTTTGTTGTGCAAGGATTGTTCCATACATTGCTTCAGATTGATCTCACCTGATTTTTTGGGTGCCAAGCCTCGGGGAAGCTTCGGAGAGCTCCCTAAGCTCCTGAGCTTTTTTGCCCCGCAAAATCAGGCTTTTCTCACCGCCTGCGTCATTGACCGCCCCCAGAATCCGGGGTCGAAGCTTGAAGCTTAACCTGAGTTTGTCAAATGCTGTCTATGAGCGTCTTCCAACCGATACCACTTCACCAAGAGTCATCCGATGACCATGAAACTTTCATCAGATACCCCAAACACAGATCAAAGCGGAATTCAAACAAACGGAAAACTTACCGAGGTCGATCACAAGGCGTCGAAGACTACGATGTACTAGGAGCCGAAGGCTATCTGGAGATCAAATTCTGTGAAAACCCCGACCCTAAACTTCTGGACCCTCGCTTGGGAGTTGTGCAAATGTTGAGCACTGGTTAGCTCTTTTGGGTGGCTTGGGATCAGCTATACCTTAGGGCTAGCGCGAGTGAACGCACCTGGGCGCTTATGGCATGCTTATTCAATACGGGTGTGGGATACGACGATGCGATACATACGTATACATATGACATGACATATCACGGTGCGATGATACCGATATATGACGAACACGGTGACAACTTGAGGCGACGTGGTGATCTCATACGGGACGTTTACAGTTAGGGCTCACGATGATACGCGAAGACATCCGGGCCCAAATACGATATTACGATAATACATACGATGCGCTGGGGTGTGACTATACGTGACGGGCATAGTGACAAATTAAAGCAGCGTGGTGGCCATACGAGACGTTCACAATCGGGACTTACATTCAGACGCAAAGACAGCTGGGCGACAATACAACATACGATAATACGGTTTTGTCAACTAGGCACAACACCAAGCTCAAGGGTAATTTAACAATACTGGTGCAACACATTGGGGTGGGGACCTTTAAGCCGGAAGACGCCGGTGAATGGACAAGCTTTGCCAATTTCTTCGCAGAAGTTTGGGGGCATCATATACCAATCCTAATGGTCTGGTACGTGTGTCGGCAATTTTCTAGGCACCGGGCAACTGTCTCCAATCCCCGTGTCCTTTGGTACATCAATGTCTCTTGCGAATATATTCACCCAGTTCCAGTCAAAACCTGGGGTTTATGGATGCATTGGTGGCTTTCAATAAACTACTCCGTTAAACGAGATTTTGCTAGACGTGTCAACGCATATGCGCGAGCATTATAGAATTGGGCTAATCCCAATATTGACATGCAGGCATCGCCTTAATGCATGATTTTATTGCGCCATACCTAGCGCACCAAACTACACCACCGCTTCCACTTTCTCAATCAAGAGGGTACGATAGCAGACATGCGCCAGCCAATGAACGGCTCCCGCGTCGGGTCTTGTTGGATCTATGGAACTAGCCTGCTTCTAGAAACTAGCACAGGTGGGCCCAAACATCTATGTCATCCTGGTTCCATAGCGGCGTTTGTTTCAAGGTCTTGTTGTGTTGATCTGGCTACTACAACTATGGCCTAACCCTTCCCAGACATAATTGTGCGCGACGCCTAAAATTCACAAAGTCTGAAACCTCCAAATTCTGAAACTTCCAAAGTTGAACAACATTCCTAGTGCTGACTAGTAACTTTGTACATTGCCTGAAGTCACTACATGCCAGACATACCCTTCATGTGGGTGAGGAGGGCCTTCGCATCGTATAATACGGTATCTCGAGGCGTGTCAAGCGGTCCATGTGGTTGATTCCAAGGTTCCTTGAACATGCTCTGTCAAGTTGACCTTTCTACAATTCTTCGCTATTTATCAAGTAGGTTCACAGTGGCAATGGAAAAAAAATAAGATATGGATTACGGGTTTATCTTTGCTAAATGGGGCCGATGAGCCCGGTGCAATTAGAAAACTGCAATATGATCAAGTAAATTATATGCTAATATATGCGAAATTCTTTCGATATTATAGAGCTATGCAGCCTATACGGATCTTTTTTCAAGGTTCAACTTCATTGCATAGCGTGGTTTCCATAGGGACAGATTGATGTTCTAGTCCCGGTCGAAATTCAAGCTTTGCATATACATAGTGTACTAATTGTTCCGCATTTTGCAAGGTTCTATATGCCTGGGATGCATGATTTATTGTTACACGAATGGATGCAACTAGGGTAGAAGAGATTCGTGGCCACTATATATCTCATAGTTCGCAGCTGACTCGGATTCCCAGTTTATCTTATATGAGAATCCAATAATAGAAGATCGGTGAGGCAGTCCATCTTACAGAGTGAGTATGCACCTGTTGATGTAAGGTCGTTAGGAGATTTAAAATACTGGCTTAGCGACACTGTAGACTTCGAACTGTGGAGGATAAAAAGGCCGAAAACGAGCGCATTTAGTTAGAGGGTTTAAACTGAACCCAAATTACTCAGATTGCTATGTAGCAAACCAAATGCAGTACTCGTGAAAACTCGAATCTATACATACATATGGATGCAACCTACCATGTTCCTTTGATTGGTTTCCTCTTCGACTTTTGCGCAATATATAGGTTCCACTATTATGGAAGCAACCAGATCTAGGAACCAAGAGTTTATTTTCTCGGTGTGTACACCGTCGGTACTTTCTGTGCATCCCAAAACGCTTGGTGTATGTTATGATTGGTCTAAGAGAAGGGGCAATGAAAATGATGAGATCCCCACATTTAGGGCTGGGAAATACCCTGTGAACTATGGAATCTGAGTCAACTAGACAATGCTTACTCCATATAAGAGTATAAATATATTCTGTATATCTTCAACAAGCGGTCTATTATTCAGAAAGCTGAATGGATTATGTGCCGGAGATAGGACTCCACCAAGCCCCGCCATTCGCGCGTGAACACGTCAGGTCTTGGACGCAAGGGAAGACCCTGTCTAGAGCCTCATAGGGGGGTGTTTTTTCCACTTTTTTTTTCTTTTTCTCACCTTTTTCCTCCTACTCTTTATCTGTGTTAAAAAATCTTAATTTTCTGCATGTGAGAGCCTATTGGCTATTTTAGTTCCTAATTTTTCCTTGCCCCTCTTACTTCAAGGGCACTCCCCACCATATCTACCCCCCATCCCCCCCAAAAAAGAGAGAACACAATCCCCAACCCTTATGGCCTAACTCTGTTGACTCTAAGATGTCTCGAGCTCTGCGCGCATCTCGTCAGAGCGCTGACGATGTGGCAGCGGGATTTTATGCATTCCGTGATCCTCTTCCAGAACATGCGGGCGAGATCGCATCGCTCATGTCCGAGTTATTCGCAATCAGCGCATCGTTATCTAGCTTGGAGCGTTTAGCTGAATCTCCCAGAGATCGCCGTGCTTTTACAATGATCAAATCAGATTTGAACGTGGTGCAAGCCAGTTACGCATATACAATCGAGGATATCGGCGATATTTTTAGAGGTCTCGATGGCGGCGCAGATGCTAGTTCTATGAGCTACGAGCGCACATGGAGAACTATGAACCGGTTTTTTTGGGATCAATCACAGTATTCCCTCGCAACCCGCCTAGCCAAGTATAAGACGGTCTTTAAAGAGTTTGATGACTTGGTAAGAGAGTAGGTCATCCGCAGCCACAAGTAGAAAAAAAGCGCATGCGTATACTTATCTGTGGTTTTTATTAGTGGCCAATATAATTCCCCGCTCCTCGCGGGACTCGTCAATGGTTTCAAGTCTTTACTCTCAATACAAGACGGCCGCTTTGCTGCTCGCTTTGAAGGCATGACGCTCCGCCCGAATGACTCACCTATCGGTAACCGCTCGAGACCCCCCAGCCCGGCGAGGGACCGTCCGGCAAGGGACCGCCCAATGAGGGATCATGCAGTAAGGGACCATCCAGTGAGGGACCACCCAGTGAGGGATCACCTAGCGAATGACCGGAATGCACGACGGCGGAGATCATACGAGCGCACTCGACCCCCGCATCTGTCTCTTCCACCGATGTCGCCTTCTTCGGGCACTTCCTCGGATTTCCCACCATCTATACCGGATATCCCTACCTCGCCGGATACTTCTACTACTAGCCGTTCGAGTGCCCCTGATATTATCAAAGAACACTGGGCTAAGGATACATTCAGGTCTGGTAGCACCAGTACTCCTCTACCATCCGTGAGGGAAAGGTGAGATATAAATAGCTTGGCTTACTTTTTGTTTTTCAAATGTGACTAATATACTTGGCAACAGGTCATACTGCCGTGGAGAACCTCACCCAGGTGTTAAACAATCAATTAAAGAAAAGGGCTATGAGGAACTCCTCCAATTGTAAGTCGAGAATATTTATTCCTTTTGAGCGTGTTTAACACAGTATAGATCCCTGAACGATGAGTCTGATATGCGCGTGTCCTTTTACTTAAGGAGAAGAGACTATCGCGTCCGTATCCTTTGCAGGGAGCCCCACCGGACGGGGCCTAGTGACTACTACTGCTTGCCGCTTAACCTACTTGAAGTCTTGCGAGAAGGCTCTTGTCTCCGACTGTGCAGGCGGCGGAATCGTGGAACAGAGCTTGTTTTATGGACCCAATTGAAGTTCACCACATTGGAGGGTAAGTAATACCTATTTGAAAGTATGCCTTAGCCGTTGAAGTGACAGTGCTTACAGCTTTTATCTCGCAGATCTGGTGCTATTCCATAACACATTTCTTGCCTTGCGTTCCCAGGATGCAGGCCACCCTGTCGGGGAAATTTTAGACCACGAGCTGGACGACGAAGATGAATGCTTTGGGGGGTACGCAATGCATACCAAGAAGGGGAACTATGCGCAGAGAGGCTGACATCTTCTAGTACAATCGTAGATGATGAATATGTTCATGCGCTACGCGTATACAAAGACTTGGTGACTGGAGCCGTAAGACTCCAGGCATCGGTCCACCGAGGAGAGATGAACCAGTATGTGAAGCATCGATTGTACGAATCAAACATTAAATTCTAACAATGAATATAGTACACCCGTCTGGACTGCGTTCGTTACCCACAACCTTCAGAAACATAGTTGGCTTAGGCAATATGATTCTAGAACGGTAGTTGTCCGTGATATCAAGCCCATAACCTTTATATCTATGGATGATTATACACCCCCGCAGACTTCACAAGGGCATCATGTCCTGAAGTTTGAAAGCTCTTCTGGTAAGTGGTCAGACCTGAATGAAACCCGATCTCGAGTATTGTTGACTGATTTGACTTTGATTTAGATGCTAGGATGTTCTTGGATATCATGGATGAAATGGGCGATTGAGTAATGATGAGCATTATGGTGGGACTTGACGATCTTTATGATTGGAATCTCTGTTCTGACATTATGAGTTATGAGTTATGTTGATATGACTGCAATGATTCAAGATTTCAAAAGCCGTGGATTCCTTCTCAGTAGTTCCGATTGCTAGGTTTGTCCCTCTTTGGTACTAGTATGTATGTCTATAATGGATTGTTCACGCCATGGATAGAACACACCGGGATATGCTCGGTGTTACTGCTTGGCTACATCCGTAAATCCCCTATATACGATGCGATGCATCATCCATGGCTTTTTTCAGCACTCGATCATCATGCATTACATCCTGTACTCCCTCGTATAATTCTAAGGCCTCAATGTGTGATTCATTTGGCTGTTTCGAAGCTCATTCGTGTGAGTGATCATTTTATCTCGCCATCGTGCTAGCATTTACGAATGCCAGCACTATTGACTCCCATACTTCCGCTGAGCCTAAGCGCTCGATCTTGTCATACAACATCAAACGGGCTAGTTGCTTGGGAACAACGTACAGAAGGCTTCAAGTTCGTTGTCAAAGCTGCTCAACTACTTGATATGCTGAATAATGAGCTTGCCAGATTAAATTAAAGCACCCTAGCTTCTGAGATCATCGTACTTGTTAAAATTACAGACTCACAGGCTAATTTCAAACAAATCCATTTGAAGTAAACGTGGAAGTTAACTAGGAGGGGTATCATACATAAAAACACAAAACATAGAAAGCATATTTTCAGTCAGAGCACATGTAAATGCGATGAAAAGGTGATCAGGCATCACATGGCCACTGCGAAAAACCACGAGAAACCTAGGATTTGTCCTTGTTCTTCGCAGACTCGGCAATATCGTCTGGGTCAGGATATACTGTGACCATGTAGCGTCGCCATAGTGGGCATGTGGTTGGGTCAAATGGGGTATCTGACTTGGGGAACAACCGTTTTGTGGGGGGTGGCTTAGGCTTAGGCGGAGACTTTTCTTTTGGCTTGGGTGGATTGCGTTCGGCCTCAAGCTCCTCTAGGCGCAATCTCTCTACCTGCTCGTCATGAAGTCGCCTGATCTCTTTGAGTCGCCACTGTATGTGAGCCTCGCGCTCAGCCATCCGTTCTTCGACCGTTTTCCGCTTGAATAAAGTATGCTCTCGCAAAATCCGGAGTTCATCCATCTGCTTCTTGCGCTCCTCCTCATCGGTGGAAAAGTTATAGAATCCAGTTCCACGGTTGCGAACCTCTGCTTCGGCGTCGTAATGCTTCTTCTCTGGTGGGGTAGGTGAGCGGTCACGACGAGCAGCAAGATGGGACATGTGCGACGCAATGTTAGCATCGGGATTAAAGGCTTCACTCTGAATGGCCTCTCCGTAAATTAAATTGTCAGGACGAGCAGGGCGCCAGCGTTCTTGGGCAGCTTTGCCACCTGCTTCTTCATCCTTGGCGCGAGAAGCTTCGGCAGCTTCGGCACGAGTGCCACGGCGAGAACGGCCAAATTCGTCTTCGTAGGAAATAATGGATGCATTGTCGTCATCGGACTCATCTTGCTGGAGCGACTCCTCGTTTGCATGTTTGAGATCAAAATCAACCAATACGTCTTTCTCCTTACGTCGTAGTCGGGCAAGGTAGGCGTCCGGGTCGGATGGATCAGTCGGTATGTCATCATCATCACTGTCAACGGCAAGATGTAGTCCCTTCTTCATATCATCATAAAGGCGTGCTTTTTCCTGCATGCGGCGTCGAGACCGACCAAGCGTGTTGGCGTCGACGGAGCCAATGTCCTGGGTGCTCCTGTGGACTTGCTTGAGGGCTCTGTTGTCATCTGCGAGATCGGCAGCTGCGCGCTTCTGACTGCCTTTGTTGTGCTTTGAAAATATATCTGACTTTGGATTCTTGGAGGGACGCTGGCGCCCACGCGACGAAGCGGAAGCTGCATCTTGAGCGATGAGTGAAGAGAGTTGAGAGCTGAAGGCGAGACTTGAGGAGGTGGTTTGTTCAGTTTTGTTCTTTTTCGAACGGGGCTGCCCGTAGAGGGAGTCCTGATCGGCAGGCATGATGATGTGAATATTATGTATTGGCAATGTCGAAAGGAAGTTACAAGTTGCACAGAAGTCCAACAATATCACCTCTTATCGATAAGCCCGATGGCTAATCTACACCGCCAACCCTTCCAAGGATAGTATCAGGTATTTTCTGCCATCAGTCCTTGATGACTAAGGCCGATGTTCGGGGCAGCCCCGCACCCCCACTACTCAGGTGAATAGATCGCGCCGTGACTCAATTGATTGTTCTTCTAGTTTTGATCGATATTGAACTCTTTTCTGAGAATCAGAAAGTGGAGCTGATCAAAATAATCAAGAAAAATCATTCAATCAGCATCATGTCTAGCCCTATCTACCTTGGTGTCATTGGTAGGTGCCCCTCACAACTGAGCTTTGAAAGTCCGAATCAATTGAGTACTAACGTTGATCAATTAGGTGTCGGAGGCGTTGGCACTGCCTTCCTCCAGCAGCTTACTCGCCTCCCCAACGCGCCCCAGCTTGTCGTCCTTGCTCGTTCCTCCCAGACCCTCCTTGCCCCGGCCCCCGCCTACTCGCCGGCCATCCCTGCCGCTGACTGGGCTACAGCTGCTGCTACACCTTCCTTGACCAAGACCGGTGCTCTCCAGGCTGAAGAAATTGCTGCATACCTTGCCTCAGCCCCTGGCCGAGCCATTTTGGTCGATAACACTTCTGATATTAGCCTCGCCCGTCAATACCCCACATTCCTCAAGAAGGGTATCTCAGTCGTGACACCCAACAAGAAGGGTTTCTCCGATGACCTGTCCTTGTGGAAGGATATCTTTGCCTCTGCAGCTGAGGGCAAGGCCCTCGTGTACCACGAGAGCACCGTGGGCGCCGGCCTGCCCGTATTGTCGACCTTGAAGGACCTGGTAGCCACCGGTGATGAGGTCACCCGCATTGAGGGTGTGTTCTCTGGCACTCTGTCCTTCCTCTTCAACAACTTCGCCCCTGCGTCAGGCTCTTCCGATGCGCAGTGGAGTGCCGTCGTCGCCCAGGCTAAGGAGCTGGGATACACTGAGCCCGATCCTCGTGATGACCTGAACGGCATGGACGTTGCACGTAAGCTGACCATCCTGGCCCGCATTGCTGGTCTGGAGGTTTCCAGCCCCGACTCTTTCCCTATTGAGTCGCTGATCCCCGCTGAACTCGCATCTCTACCTTCATCCGCAGACGGCATTACTCAGTTTATGACCCGTCTCCCTGAGTTCGATGCCCAGATGTCCAACATCAAGGACACTGCTGAGAAGCAGGGCAAGGTTGTGCGCTACGTTGGTAGCATTGATGTTGCCGCCAATGCTGTCAAGGTTGGTCTGCAGTACTTCGACAAGGACAGCGCCATCGCTGGTCTGAAGGGCAGTGACAACATCATCAGCTTCTACACCAAGCGCTACGGTGACAACCCCCTAATTGTCCAGGGTGCCGGTGCCGGTGGTGATGTTACTGCTATGGGAGTTACAGCCGATCTTATCAAGGTTGTCGAGCGCCTGCGCTAAATTGCCGAGCCTTGGAGGCCTAGAAACATAAAATCCAAAATTTGACAATCTATATAAAGAAACGCCCTTCTCTAGGTCCAAGTCTTGCGTCATATCTAGTATATAATTCATTCACACCCCCAGCATACGCACGCATCGGCCTAGGCCCTTAGGAAGTCCTTCAATGCATCTCCCCAGACATCTCCCTTCTTATAAATATGCATTTCTGGCACATTTCCCCTTTTCAAGCCATCAATCGCATTTGCAAGGTCCTCACCAGAACCCTCATCTTTAATCTGCCTAACTGGATAAACATAGGTGTGGAGGGCAAAAATAAGAGCCTTGGACACCGGCAGCCGATGCAATGTCTGACGCTCGCATCGGAGAACAGTCTTCAGTGCTATCAGCATTACTCCATCAAATCAAATTCTCCGCAGCCAACATACCTGATCAACATTCAACTTCCCGGGCTCAATAGCCTCCTCCTTTTTCCCTGCCACGGCATGTGTTCCACCAAAAGCAGCGAACAGGTCAGTGTCAATAGTAATACTCCAATTGTGTCGCTTCACAAATTTGCCAACTGCAATGCGCGCAAAGAACCTGTCCATGCTGCGCTCAATCTTCTCCCGATAGCCTGGCACTGGCCCGTGAATATCCACTAAACGCAACCCGAGTTTCTGGCGCGTGTTGAAGCCAGCTGGGAAACAGGCTGCATATGCCTGCAGTACATATTTAGGCTGTTCCTCACTATCAGGTGAGACTTCAGGTAGTAAGATCAGGAAATCCTCGTCTACTGTCTGGGACAGGATTTCTAGGGCTCGGATGGTTGGCGTCGTTGACGACAGGGTCGTTGGCCAGGTTGCGCCTGTTACCAGGTTTTGGAAGAGCGAGCTTTCATCGTTCAGCTGGAATATGCTCGGATATCGGGCTGGTAGGTATGTCTCCAGAACAAAATTGTATAATTCACTAATGGCGGGGCGGATGCGAGGGTCCTCTTCTGGGGTTTGATCATTGTTGATTGCCACCACGATGTCGTGGTGCTGGTCAAGTACGGACTTGCGGAGAGCGACTCGGTTCTTGTATGTTTTGTCCATCTGGATAAGTTCTGAAGGATCGAGGTTCTCAAGTGCTAAGATGAGTTAGTATGGATATGATGCTGTAATAAGACACTGTCATATAAGGTAGAACGAGGAGTGACTCACCCATAGTCAAGTTATATTTGTCTTTTCCTTTGAAGGGCCGGAATTGTAACGGCTCGGTCTCCTCCCAATTAAATCCCTCCAGGGGTATGATGGGTGATTTCTTGTTGTCCGAAGAAGTTGTCTCGGTCCGAACGTATGCAGCAGCCTTGCGACATTGTCGACCCCTCCACATGACAGCACACAACCCCAGGATAAAAACACAAAGCAGGTGCCTGGAGGATATGGGCCATGGTGCAACGGTATTTAGTTTATCGTAAAGAGCTTCTGCCATCCTGCTCAAACACCGTGGGGGGAATCTGAGGGGTTGAAGTTTACAATCCTTGCTCAACGGAGAGCTTTATGTTCAAAAAACTACTTACTCCGCATGAACTCCTCACTAAAAAGCAACCCTATCTTGGAGACTTGTCTTGGAGCTTATCTCTCTCCGGTTTGACTGGCTGGACTGTCCGTTCATGTTTTCTGATTGACTCACAAGGCCGGGACGACCTGCGGGGTTCAAGATAAGACAGTTGGGGTATCATTAGATCGGCTACGCATTACCTATTTAGGTAGGACCGACCTTGTATAATGGACTAAACTCTGCGACTATGGTACAATCTTAGATGTAGTATAAGTGTATATGGCGTGCTTGAATCCTCTCACATGCAAATTTGGAAGACTCGCAGTGTTGCACAGCGATGATGAGACTAAAAGGCAAGAACAGCAATGTGTGCTTGCTCGTGTAGTCAAAGCCACGGAACCCACAGGCGAGAGACAGATGCAGGTAGTATGATGAAACAAGACCAACTCCATAACCCTCGATCCCTTCCTCGCTGTCCAGATGGAATCCCAGACATAGAACAACCAAACGCAAAACTAACATAAGATCATACAAATCATCATTTCTGACGAGGAAGGGGGCCTGATCATCATATTTGCCCCAAACTCCTTTGTTTCAAGATCCTATCTCCACTCAAATGTGGATTCAATGCGACAACGGGGCTCACGTTCTCCTTGCGGAAGTTTTCGCGATCCCTCTCCCTTTGTGACCCTGGAGCGTCGTCGCTATCACCGGTATGTGTCTCCACGCCGCGCAGCCCAAAAGCCCTCCGTTGCCCGCCCGGGCGTTCATTTAAGCTTGGTGCACGAGGGCGCTGCCGACCACGTGCTCGTCCACCAACCCAGGGGAGTTCCCAAAGGATCAGTCGGTATAGCCAGAGTGTTGCATCGAGAAGTATGAGGAAAGCCCAGGGGCCAATGGTGATGAGACCGAGGAAGAACTGTAGAATCCGGGGTAAATTAGCGCGACTGCGTCATAGGGAAGGAGTTAAGGGCTAAAGTCGGAGGAAAAGGGGAAACTCACGAAGACGCGAGCTGCCCAGCTCTCGAGGTGGGTAAGCTCTGGTGGGAGAATGGAATACCACGCCATTTTGGTGTGAATCTGGAATCTGGTGTGCCTCGGGAGGTCACGGTTACTGGTGGGTTGGAGCTGTGTCAGTGCTTTGGCACGTTGCAACTCGGTCCACCACTACTGACAGCGCCCTTTTCACGGTTGCTTCATTTTTCATGATCAGTTTAGCATTCGAGATTCTCCATTATTACATGAAATATAGAGAACCAGATTGCACTGGCTCAGCTTCGATTCTACGATCAAGGTACTTCGATCTGATTGGCTAGACCCTGAATATTGAGGTCACGTGTTATCAAAACGGCCTGGCAGTTCAGGTGTCTACAGACATTATTAACGTAACTCAGAAACCTTCCACACCTGGGTGACAAGGTCTTAGCCGATTCGCTGGTGGGAATCTTAGATCTTCCGCCAACATGGTACCCAGTGAGATTACCACTTTGCCACACGCATCCATATGTATTTGGGGGCCGGGCCGGATTTCATTGAAACGGAGTGGCCAAAGCCCTAGAACTAGAACCAAGTCTAGCTTATCTGGTGAGATAGTAGGGTGGGATTCTATGGAAAGGCCTCGAAGGCCAACCAAGCCTAACCAAGCCTAGCCATTTAGGGCCGAGCTTTGAAATTAACCGAAGGGAAGCAGGAGGAGTGGACATGCTATTCGCGCATCGTCTCCAAGATCAGTACTTTTCCTTCAATCTAGAAAATCAGCCACTTCTGCGCCTGTTAGTACAAGGCTACGGACTTGTCTAATTCTGCGACTAAATAAGCTTTGTAGGTGGAGATAAGTCATATCATAACTTCACCTTCCTCCCGGTATCTTACTATAAACCACATTTGTCAAGCTGTTGACAAACTCAGCGATGTATCTGCTCACAGCGTATTCCGCCTCGCAGAAGCTTGGCTGGGGTCAGTATATAAAGAATCGCGCAAGATGGCATACTGACTTGGCCTTCGAAATTGGAGAGCCCCAGAAACAATATGCAGAGTCGATAGCGTTCATTCTGGAGTTGACTAAAGTGCAGGAAAGTAATGATAGAACATTTAAAATATAGTAAGGTAAAGGGGGTAAAACTCGCGTTTATGCATAGATGGCGCCAGACGGTGCGTCCAGAGGCAGCCTAGAAGCCCTACTTACGATCGTCAAGGATGTCGAGATTACACCCGACGCAGCTCATCTCGGTAAAGACTAAAAGGGGGAACTAAAAATGTACTAGCATTTTTACATTAATGCATACGAAAATGGCCATTATTACTAGTGGACTATACGGAGTTTTATATATATAGGTGTTGCTTGGCAGCCATTAGTTTATATTCTCTTATATCCCTCCCTTCCACCCCATATATTTCCGGTCCAACTATGAGAATTTTGATGATCCACGGTATCTGACGCCAAAATTCCGCAGTAAACAAACCTAACCACTATAGGATCCCGCCAATCGGGAGAACTCTTTCGGGCAAAACTCCAGGGCTTAGAAAAATTGATCCGTCGAGCTCTCCAGCCCGGCGAAGTTGAATTTTTGTACCCGATAGCTCCCTTTCGGCTAGAGCCCTCTAACGGCACGTCCGAACTGCGCAATCGGCACGGTGAATGGAGCTGGTGGCAATCTGAATCCATCGACGGTCTTTACCCCGGGCTAGAAGACGGTCTAAACGGTATTGGGTCTATTCTTAAGGATTCCGGGCCATTCGATGGGATCATTGGCTTTAGTCAGGGGGCCGCTGCGGCCGCTATGGTCGCTTCGCTTCTGGAAGAAAATCGAAGAGATACATTTGTCCGATTGGAAGCGGAGGCTGGTACCCACTATCCCGCTTGCTTCGATACCCTTGAACATCCGCCTCTCAAGTTCGTGGTTAGCATTTCGGGTTATGCCGCCTCTCACCCGGCTTATCGTGCTTTCTACGATCCCGTCATTCGGACGCCAATGCTGCATTTTCTGGGGAGTATGGATACCATCGTGGATGAGGCTGCGTCGATGAGGCTGGTACAAAGTTGTCAGGAGGGGAATGAAAAGAAACAGACCGTTATCTGGCATTCGGGTGGACATGTGGTCCCAAATGGAAAGCGAGAACTCGCTGCAGTTGCACATTTCATAAAGTCTACCGTGAGCTGCAAAACATCATAATGCAAAATATAGCGGTAGGCCGACTAGCCTGAAAATAGCAATCTCGTTTCCGTTCGATAACTGCGTACAATAGGCTCATAGAGATGTGTTTGCTAGCGTCTACTAAGGATGTTGTTGGATTAAGGCTGGACTAGTAATCGAGAACCATGGGACTTGGAAAAGTTTGTTGATATTATGACATTTAAATTGTTCATATGATGTGTACAGGGTAATATCCAAGATATGCCTTAAGCAGACAAAAAGATTTAGTCGTGACCTTCGTGTTTAGAAATGACGCTGAGTTCCCCCCGAGAAATGTTGTTCGCCAAGTTAGAATACAAAAAAGCTATACAGATGCAAATGTTTGGCCCAAAAGGCCTGATATGAACAAATCACAGCTTACCGATGTGGGCGGTAAGCGTCGTAGGGGGTGTACACGGGCTCGTCATCCTGACCGACAGGTCCATAACCACCGGTCCGCCAGCGATCGAGCGGATTCGTGATATCTGTCTGCGCGGGAGCCTGTGCATGGCTAAGTAGTCTGGATTCTATCTCGTCTGTGCCTGAGTATGCTCCTGGTGTCGAGTAGCCACTGTCGCCCCGCGATAGAGGTACACGGAAGGCCGGGTGGATCAGGCCTGTCGGGTCGGGTTGTTCGTAACCATTGTGCACATTGGGCGGTGGCATTGGTGGCAGTGAGGGTGCCGGTGACGAGGCACGAGATGAGCCGGGAGACCATTCGCCTCTCAGAGTACTGCGGGGTGTATGCGAGCGCTCTGTCATCAGATCCTCGGGTCGACCGTAGATGCCACCTCCGAACTCGTCTCGGAAGTCTGCTCGATCCTTGTAGTACGAGAAGTCTAGATGGCTCTCCGGGACGACCTCGAATGGCGAAATTTCGGCGGACTTGCCGGGCTGGGATGCGAGCATCGGGTCCATGGCAATGTCTGAGTACTCGCCGTTCATGTCTCCCTGGTCTAGACGACCCTGGTAAATTTCCTTTAGTGTTGCGGCCGCCTTGGCATGCACCATAGGTGTCAAAAGTGGTTTGTACAAGGCAGGGTGTCCGAACTTGGAGTTCAGGCGGTCTGACGCTTTCTTGTCGGATTTGTTCACGCCCAAGGCCTCGGCATCGCTTAGATTTGCACGATTGTAGTACTCGCAGTCGGAGTCAAACGTCTTCATGCAGTAGATCTTGAACCCAATCATCAAGAAAGGCAGGGGGACCACACAGAACACCATGGTCCACGTGCCGCTTGACTTAGCAACGAGAGCGATGATCACGTTGGCAAGAATAGTAGCAAAAATCAGGCGATTAAATAAAACTCGCCAAAATGCACCGCCAGACTCATTTTTAGTCACAAACACGTACATCAACAGATACTTCTTCAACATGGCATCCACACCAAAATACAATGCCGTTACCGGAAGTACAATTGGCTGCAAGGTAGCAAAACAGAGAGCCACGGTGGCATAAAAGAGGAAGTAGTTGTAGTAACTGGCATAGTCGAATGGTGGCGGTGCGGTCCACTCAATTGCCTGTCGCGGTGTCGGCGAGAGGAACGTCTTCGCGAACCAGACCCAAGCCATGGTAACAAGCTGCACAAGATCAATAGCAGCGCCGAGATTGCGCTGCAAAAGATACGTCACCCAAAACGGTGACACGGTGCATAAAGCGCTTACCAACTTGGCATACATCCGGCTTTCCAAGATAGCTTGCCAAGCGTCTTCATGGTTGTTAGTTTTGTCAATCACGAACGTCACGAAGTACCAAGCAGCCGAGAAGAGCGAAAAGACGATCAAATTGTTGAAAACGAAGAACGCATACAGATGCCCCAGCACGTGGCGCTCTCGAGACGTTTTGGTTTTGCTGCCACCTTGAATAGAAAGCCGACGAAAGATGACCGGAAGTGCCAGATACACGAGCGAAGTCAGTGCAGGCGACGCAATACCCTGGACAGCAGCCCAAACGGTTGGGTGCCCTGAAAGCGAGGTCTGGAACGCCGGCCACAACAAACCCAGATTTGACAGGTTGGACAAGAAAATGGCAATCAGACCGTTAGGAACAATCCACACAACTGTCAAGCATGTCACCCAGACAAAATTGACCAGTCGCTTCCACCTGCGTGCTGATTTTGTGAGCGGTAGATTTTCCCAGATGAGATCGCTGGGCCGCGGTGCAAGTGTAATAGTGGTGTTATCGGGGTGCTTGCGGCGAGCGTTCCATGCCACAGCATGGGCGTGCTCGATATTGTCCCAGCTAGCAAAGCCGTAGGGCATGGCGTTTCGGCGATCGATCGACGCCCGTCCATGCTTGATTTCCTCTTCCAAAACGCGAATCCGGACGGATAAATAATCGATCGCGTCCACTCTACTCTCGGCGAGTTGGTTCCGTTGTTTGCGAGGGGGGCGTAGAGTAGGTCTTTTCGCAGGTAATCGATCCGGGTTCTTAAGGTATTTGGCCAAAATAGACTCTAGTTTTCGGACAGCCTCCTCATGTTCTTTGATGATCCGGGGCAATTCTCGGACATTACGACCAATAGCAGCTCGTGGGAGGGCCGCAGTTGGATTGACCTGGTCCGTCAGTCGCAGGATACCTTCATCAGTACGACCATTGGGAGGGATGTCCGTTATCATTAATGTTCGAGCATGCAGACTACGCTGGTATTCAGAACTTTGGAAATATTGCCTCCGCAGATTCCGTACAGCACGATAGTTCCTCCATAAGAAGAAAGCAACAATGAGATCAAAAGCCCAGGCGCACACGACCTGACTCCAAATAGCTGTGGGGTTGGTGATGTTGAGAGGGGTCATCATGTTGAAGGCAGCAGACGCCGATGAGTCAGTGCTATTTTTGCTCTGTGTAATGTTGACCGGTATCATGACGAGGCAGCCGATTATGCTGAGAAAGATGAAGATGTTGCGGCACATTTTTGTAAAGCGGAGAAAGATTGCGGCATCCAGGCCGACTGTGTCGATCAGCACCGGTTCCCGTGTATTGATGACCGGTTTGATCCAGGCGAAGAACCCTTTGCCCACCGGGGGAGGAGTGTGTTTAAGGTCTGCATGCTTGACTTTGGGCGCATATACAAGCGAGTGACGGGGTCGAATAAAGGAGAAGAGGAGGGCGAGGAGGAGGGTGACGCCGATTGAGGTGCCTAGCGAGGCCCAAACCGCAGTAACCGTAAACTATAGCTTGTCAACGTAATGTTCTCTTTGTTCGCCCACAACCAACTTACTGCAGAACGAAATGGATTCGCAATAAGCTCGAGAAAAGTATCTGTCCCATCATTACGGGCATGCAATCTCAAGTGATCCAGATCCATTACGTCAAAGCAGAAACGAGTGGCAATCCGGCATGAATAAATGGCCGGGAGAAATCAAGAGCCCAGCATGAAGGTGAGATGAAGGAATTGATTAAAACGAGGGGAAGGTTTGAGACGGGAAATTCTAGAAAGATGGGACAAATGAACAAGCGGAGGTGAGACAAAAGATAATGAAAGAAAAAAAGGTGGACTTCTGTTTGGTCTGGACTGGTTATTATTAGAATTGGGTCATTAGATCATTAGATCATTGGTTGATTTAGCGTCGCTGATCACAACCGTTCAGAAGAACAAGCCCACTAGTGAGCCACTTTTCTTCAGATGAAGCCCTCATATGCGAGTACAAAGTACAAAGTACAAAGTGCAATGTGGTTCCCCTCTGGAGATCGGATTTTATTGCAACACATAAACTGGCGTTCCTGTGGCGCACGACACGTTTCAACCCTTCCCCGACCCCATTTACTGTTGTATTATTGGTAATCCACCGACCTGCATCAAGTGGTACACCAATGAATTCCCCGAAGAAGAAATAGTCTGGAACATTGTGATTGTCGTGTCCAAGGTACATGTGTAAGCATCCGTGGACTTACACAGGGACAGACATGGAAGTCATGTTCCGTTGTCTGACTTGTTTGATGGCTTTGTCTCTGGTTTGTTGCCTGAGGCTATAATTGATGCCTTAACGTAATCCACTACCGAGTGACGCACACTACCGAGTGACGCACCCCCTCCCAAAACGCGTCAATTAATATAACCCTCTCTCTTCAACCACCCACTATGCCACCAATTCGTTCTCGATCGTCTAAAGATTCAACCGAGCAAGAGGGTAGGATCTTATTAGCTATCCAAGATTTTAAGAATGAAAAATTCTCTTCAATTCGTGAAGCTGCGCGCTGTTTTAAAGTGCCTGAGGCTACCCTCCGCCGCCGCCTCCGGGGTGTTCAAAACCGCGCGATTTTACGCGCTAACTCACATAAACTGACTGAGCTTGAAGAGCAATCTCTTGAAAAATGGATACTCTCTATGGATCTACGTGGAGCAGCCCCCCGGCCTGCTACTGTACGAGAAATGGCGAATCTTCTTCTTGAAAAGCGCGGATCTAGCCCGGTTCTTTCGGTTGGCGAAAATTGGGTTACAAAATTTGTTAAACGACGTCCTCTTCTCTCCTCTCGTTTCTCGAAACGTTATAACTACGAGCGTGCGAAATGTGAGGATCCAAAAATTATAAAGGAGTGGTTTGATCTTATTCAAAAAACTATCCTACAATTTGGGATCGATCCGGATGACGTTTATAACTTTGATGAGACGGGTTTTGCGATGGGATTAACGGCGACTGCGAAGGTTATTACGAGAAGCGAATACTACGGTCGGCGAGCACTTTTACAACCTGGAAATCGTGAATGGGTGACGGCTATTGAGTGTATAAATGCTACTGGTTGGGCCCTTCCACCGTGTGTGATTTTTAAAGGCAAAGTCTTTATTGAATCCTGGTTTGACGGCCTCCCGGACGATTGGCGATTTGAGGTTAGTCCTAATGGATGGACCTCTGATGAAATTGGACTTCGCTGGTTAAAAAAGCTCTTTATTCCTACCACTTCTATACGTATGAAGGGGGTATATCGGCTTTTGATACTTGACGGCCACGGAAGTCATTTAACCCCGAAGTTCGATGAAATCTGTGAAGAAAACAAAATTATACCGATCTGTATGCCTCCGCATTCCTCTCACCTTTTACAGCCTTTGGATATAGGCTGTTTTGCGGTGTTAAAACGCTCGTACGGCCGGCTGGTTGAAGCAAAAATGCGGGTTGGGATAAATCATATTGATAAACTTGATTTCCTCGAAGCATACCCTCTCGCACGAATTGAAGCTTTTAAATCAGAGACTATTAAAAACAGCTTCGGAGTAGCTGGTTTAGTCCCTTTTACACCGGAGAGAGTGATTTCGAGGCTTGATATTCGTCTTCGAACCCCTACCCCCCCTTCTAGCCGGGGTAGTGATTGGGATCCAAAAACACCTTCGAACTATGTGCAATTGCAAAAGCAAGCCTCCTCAATAAAAGCACTACTTCGTACGAGATCAAGGAGCCCCCCTAGCCCGCTCAATTCCGCTATCAACCAGGTTTTAAAAGCCTGCCAGATCACGATGCATTCCGCCGCACTACTAGAGAAAGAAGTGAGCGATTTACGCGCTGAAAACGAGAAGAAAAAGCAAAAGCGAACCCGATCTACAAGGACGATAGTCCACGAAGGGGATCTCTCAGTTCAGGATGTTCGTGAGCTACGTTCAGAGCCATTTGAGGCTCAAGTAGCGCGTATCAACAACTATCGTGAGCAGGTTTCGGAAGGTTTAAGGCCGCCCCCCAGGCTGGACGAGCATGTGGAATATGTAGGAAGCCAGGACATAGGAGAGAGACATGTCCAGATAGATGATGATTTTAGTTTATTTAATTTAATGGCGTTTTGGTTGAGATAAATGCATTTGAATTCAGGAAGTTGGGTGGGGGTGCGTCACTCGGTAGTGTGCGTCACTCGGTAGTGGATTACGTTAATCTATGTTTCATAGTAACTGTTGTATGGATAATTCTCTCGAATTTTATAGTCTTTTCAAGTTTAATGTAATATAGCTATAATTTACTAGTTAGTTAGTTACTTGATTCCTCCTTATCATGTAAACACCCCATGTAGCCCTGGAGGTCGCAAAAGCCTTACTACCAGCAACGGAGATATATATACCCGCTAGAAACGTTCGTAATGTATAAACAGCGACCCTGAGGACAAATCCCCATTTTTCGACTCCTCAATAATCCATGGTACTGTGGTGATAGGGCCACGAAGCTTCCGCACGGGCAGGGGTGGTGACCAGTTTCAAGACCCCGTGCATCCTGTTTTGCACTTGAAGCTTGAGGACATATCCGATTGCTCCTCATCGCACGGGCAGATGGTCGACTGTGACTTGAGGGTATGACCGCAGGTATACGATATCATATTATAACACATCGTGTTGGAATGGAGAGTAGGAGGTAGGGCAGTACAGTAAGGCAGCCGGTAGACGTACTCTGAGATTTAATAAATAAATATATTTCTTATAGGTTCAAATCGGATGGAAGAGTGCTGAGAGATGGAATCTAAAAAAGAGCGGGCGGGTTTATTTACCTTTTATATATCTAGTCTATGATAAGTCAAAATAACCTAGGACTAGATAGATGGATGACCTCCTCACCTTGGCAGATGGTCATAAGCCCGAATCAATCTGTGTACATCGCATTTGGAGCTAGTTATTGGTTGGAAGGCTAGATCTAGTCATCCAAATGGGAGCAGCGAAGCGGGGTAAGCAAGGATCGCGGAGGCTCATTCCACAAACCAAGTTCTTACAGCACATGGATGCTGAAGGCTGCTTACAGGGAGAAAGCCTATTATCGCAAGACCGGCAAGAAGCTACCTAGGAGTCTCGATTCTGATTCATGCATTCTGCCCTAATAATGAGTCTGGTCGCACTGACCATCCACCACTAGACAAGAGTCTGTTGGCACTAGCAATCCGCAGGTGCGGAGAAGAGCCTGAGTACTTTGTATATACTCCGTACAGTAAGACCTTGCCCATGCCCAGTTCTTGGTGGGTTCGAGTGAGGGCATAGACCCATAGGCCGGGTGCGGATTGATATGTATCTTCTCTATTCTCTTTGTATCTTTAGGGTCTGGCTCGAACATGATATTATTCTTCTCTTTCTAGAAAGCACGTTCCGAAGACTTAAAGAGTTTCCAGGGTTGCCGATTAAGCTTAAATAAGAGCCAAAACCTCAGGCACCCACCTCAACATCACAGTACCAAATGATGCATCCATGCCTAGATGTGTGCTGTATGACTTTGTACTGAAGTGTATATTTTTACGATTTACAATTCTGTTCGTAAAAGTTGTGAATCGTGTATGGTATTCGCTATTTACATCGTAAAATCATCAGAAGACAGTATTTCTGCCTAGATGGTGTTCAAAACAAGTGGCATGGAGTTCTGGCACTTTAGTTCTTGGCAGCCTCTGTAAGAGAGTTAGTACTATTCTTGAAGCAGCTTTGTTCAATGATTTTAGCTTACCCTTGTGGACATCAGCCTTGGTGTTGTGGGAAACCTCGTCCTTCTTGTCGACAAGTGCATCCTTGGCAGCGCTGGCGCGGGTAGAGACGTTGGCATCGCTGTCCTTAGCGACGCTCTTGTGGGCCTCCTTGGAAGCCTCAGCTCCAGTGCCCTGGATGGTCTCAGCGACGTAGTTAACGGCTTGCTATAATTTTGGTTAGTCAATGATATGAGGCAAGTATCAAGGGAGTTTGTGTTGATCACGAACCTTGGCGGTCTCCATTGTGAATTTGAGGGTTGGAAAATGTGGTTTGTTTGAAAAGGTTGTTTGTAATAGTGGAAGATGAACTGTGTTGAATAATGATCGGACTTCTGGGGAGATAGAAGACATATTTATATTGTTCTGGGACTCCTGCGGCAAGGGCAATGATGCCATGACGTCATAAAATGAACCCCGGGAACAGCCCAGTTTTCCAACAGATTCCAACATTCAGGTCACATACATTGCCAAGTCTGGTTAACCCAAACCATATAAATCCTGATTCTTTGTGTGGCTGTAACCCCAGCTCTATCCACAGTTTACAGTTTCTGGCCTTTTTCTAACCTTTCTGACATCACCAATCAGCCATATCAGCCATACTTAGTATATGAGATTTAGATCTACAGTACTTTTGCGCGAACATGATTTGCGGCTCTGAAGACAAAACTCGAACATTCTGTTTTCTTCCATAGCCCTTCAATTGAGAGGCATTCCACATAGATATTCGATTAGTTTTAGCCTATCCAAGGTCCGCAGACCCCGTTCCTAGACCCACCAATATGGCCATGACGTATGAGCGTTTACCCCAACAGTACATACAAAGTATGTAGATTCCATGGAATATTATGTCATAGGGGTCCATGGAGCCCTTGGAGAACCTTGGAATAGACCTCAATTCTCACCTGACCTGGGCAAAGTGAAGCTATGCACAGAGTAACCATATATCTCTGATGAATTCAAAGACTTGTGTCTTGATCTTTATTGAACGATACAAAGTATACAAATAGGAACTTCTGGTTATCAGATCTTGTATCGAAGTAAAGAAAGCCACGATCACAATGTGGCTAACTTGGCTAACTTGGCTAACTTGGCTAACTTGGCTAACTTGGCTGACTTGGCATACACAATTGCGGGGTGCAGCCACAATGGGCTTGTCTGATGCAGGTCATGATTAGCCAAAGCTTTTTTGTATAATGACGTATGTAGTTCATCTTGAAGAAACGAGGTTGTAAGTATGTTGTATGTACATACATAATGCATCTCCAATCATATCTGGCCTAGACTACTTTTGGCATAGGTCGGCCAGTTACCTAAGAGTCACCGGTATCTGAATCCACCCATAATAATGAAACATGAAATTCAATCATTTGTAGGTAATATTATTCATGGGGAAGTCTTATGCCCTGTATCAGTTCTACCACATTGGAGGCGTCTGAAACAACTTCAATAAGAGATAATATTTTCATTGATTTCTATCTGATGAAATAGATTTTATAAGGAATAGAATTTCCAAGACGGCTTGTGCTCCCGCGATAACGGTTGATCTTGCATCAAGGCGCGCGCCAACTCTATCGGCATACAATTATTCCTCAAAAACCGGTCATGGAATTCCTTCTCGGCAAGATGCCCTGTCTCGACAGTCTCCTTTCGCAGCGCATATATTTGCAATGCACCCAGCATATACCCGGCTTGATATAACGGCGAATAATCGCCATTCAATGATCGCCTCACTTCTCCTTCTGCAGTGGCACGTTCGTGTCCGACTTGATCGACGAGTAGATCAATGCACTCCTGAGGAGCCATCTGGCCAAGATGGAACTTAATGGAGAATATGATTCGGGCGCACCGATGAAGTCGCCAAAACAGCATCCCAATCCGGTTCTGCGGCGTCTTCTGGAACCGTTCGTCATTCCACAGAAGGAACTCCCAGTACAGAGCCCATCCTTCAATCCAGAATGGGGTGTCAAATAGTTGGCGATACGGTCTGTACCTCGCAATCATGTGCATCTGCAGATGGTGTCCCGGTATCATCTCATGGAACACCGTAGCGCGGGAGAAGTGGATATTGTTCCCGCGCATGCCCATCAGCTTGGCTTCATGATCCATCTGGTCGGTTGGATATGACACAATGATACAGTCGCCTCCGAGGAAGAAAGGATTTACTTTCTGGCGCTCGGGCGGCATCATAAACATCTGCCAGTTCTCCTTGGCAACCGGTGGAACGGTGACGAGTTGATGATCTTCGACAAAGGAGATTGCTTCGTTCGTGAGATCTCGGACCAATTCGATTTGTTTTCCGGGTTCGACAAATTCATTCTTGACTTCTTCTAGGGCCTGCTTCCAGTTGTCCTGGTACCCCATGCTGTGTGATGCCTTTTTCAGTTCACCAACACACCATTTGAACTCGTTCTCTCCGATTGAGATTAGTTCTTCCGGTGTGTAGGCAATCATTTCGCCTAAGAGCTCGCTAAGCAAACCTTCTCGACCGATAGGATCGCCCACTATCGCATCTTCATTGCCTGGGCGGATACCAGCCAAGTTCTCTCGGATACTTGCTGAAACATCTTTCAAGCCCTTTTCCACAATCCCATATGGATGCGACACCCACCAGTTGAATGATGGATCGTAGCCTTTGTAGAATTCGAACCATTCCTCCAGGCTGGCGTGCAATGAGTCTATATTTCTCGCCGCTCTAAACGCAATTGTTTTCTCCATCCGAATCTTGGTTGAGTTGTTCTTGACCATATCTATCACAGCTGCGATTTGCAATTGGGATTCGATAAGCTTCTGGGCAGCATCTTTTGAATTCATTGACACTACCCTAGAACGAGCCTCACACAGCTCGAGCAGCTTGTCTGAAAATGGTAGAAGCAGTGCGGTCTTTTCATCTTGTTTACGGTCGAGTTCCAGCTCGCGGAGCTGCCTTTCTAGGTAGTTTCTCACGAGAAGATAATCTACCTTACCTTGCTGATCATAAATATCAAAGGGCAGGCTGTGGAGTGACTCAAGCTCAGATGTAAGGAACTCGCGTAACTTCTGTGTTCTTCTCGGAGATATTTTGATTGGGAAAAATGTCTTAATATCTTTGAGGTCCTCGGTAATGCGCTGAATCCTGTCGCGCATTGTGTCAACCTGTGCACGTTGGATGGCGATGCCCCTGGATGAGGTGACAGATACCATGACAGGCAGAATTATGTTATCGTTCTGCTTCGTTCGGAAATCGATTAGGTTGGGTATTTTTTTTTTTAAATTATTTTCTTTTGAAATTGGGTCCCAGGAGTAGGAAATCAGAACAAGAAGAGAGGCGTAGTCTAATCCCAGGTTAAAGAAAAGAACAAGATAGGCTTGCGGTTAAATCATAACCCGAGCTGATTATCCTAGCGATGTAATTGATCAAAATAGGTAGGTCTTACCACAAGCTGCTACCCCGTGAACCGGGTAGTGTCCCTACTAGACCGGGTAGTGTACCGGAAACTCTTACCTCCTATCGCTGTTCGATCCGAGTGGTTGGTTTTTGTTCATATCACGACGACCAATCTCCCGAGACTAGCTCACACTAGGTTGCATGGTCTTTCTCCGCACTTATACCTAAAACAGGACGATTCTTATCCCGGTAGAATCTTTCCAAATTAGCAACAGTATGACAATCGTGATAGCCTATAGTTTGTGGCATTCTAGGCGTGTGAAAATGCGGAGACACGAATAAAAAAAGCCGCATTGTTTTTCGAACTTGTCTGTATATAGCAGTGTCACGTTTAGATAGCAATTATATTAAAACTTTGCTGGAGTGTCGGCTGTTTACTATGATAGATAGTCTCCTTTTATCTCGCTCTTTTTCTATCTCTTCCTATCCATATAATTTTTGAATCTCTCCCTCCTACTGTTATGTCTAGAAGTTTTTAACTCCGATTGTTCAACTAAATCCTAATCAGGTTACCCGTTGCCCCATTGTTTCAGAATGGGTCCAGATCTGCCTGTCACGGAGGGCCTTGACCCATCCCAGCTCGGCAATCCAAACGACAATGGCAAGTCAGTAACAGATACTACAATCCAAGAGTTACAGAAAGTCCAAATCGCCCACCAGTGGGATCCAAATTTGCCACAGGAGAAAATCGATGCTATCAACGAGGCAGTCAAGACAGGTGATCAGGAAAAGGCTGCCGAGATAGAAAAGGCTCTTGCCCAAGATTCTCAGTATGACTTTGTTCGTGCTGCGGTGCGTCCTACAGATGGTGAGGAAGTTGCAAACACCGTGCGTGCTTGGGTGCTGGGCATGATTTTCACTACTATTGGAAGTGGACTTAATATGTTTTTGAGTATGAGGTAAGTTATTCCAATGCAGCCTTTGGGTAGGAAATAATTTAACCATCTTGATTAGGAGTCCTGCCATCTCGTTCCCGGCCATCGTCATACAGTTGCTGGTCTATCCGATTGGTTGTTTGTGGGCCAAGACAATGCCTACTCGGAAGTTCAATACATTCGGACTGAAATGGACATTGAATACTGGTCCTTTCACTATCAAAGAGCATGCAGTTGTCACAGTAAGCTCTTGGAATTTGGATAAAAATTAACAAAGCTAACCATTTATTTTCAGATCATGGCAAAGTCAGTAAATTTCGATCATAAACTTTGACAATGCTAAGCAATATATAGTGTGTCGATCGGTTATGCTTATTGTACAGATGCCCTCTTGGCATTGGAAGCAAAGCGTAAGCAATATCTCTTGTGCTAAATTAATATCGGCCTAACACATTCAGCGCTCTACAATATGAGACTTGGATGGGGATTCCAACTTTTGTTTGCTCTGAGCAGTCAGGTAGTTGGTATGTCACTGGCAGGCATCTTCCGCCGCTTCCTCGTCTGGTAAGTTGAGCCCTTCTCTGCCAAGACTAGCATATGCTTACGATGTCAAGGCCCGCTGCTATGATGTGGCCGGGCCAATTTGCGAACACTTCCTTGTTTTATGCTCTCCACGACTGGAGCTCCGCAGATGGATCAGAGACTAACGGATGGACCATCTCGCGGTACCGGTATTTCGTATATGTGACAATTGGGTCTTTTGTCTGGTATTGGTACGGCTCTCTTGCTCCAACATAAACTACATATGCTAATTCCTTTGAACTTCAGGGTACCAGGCGTCCTATGGCAAGGACTCTCTGTTTTTGCTTTTGTCACCTGTAAGATCCCGTTAACTTATCACATTCCTGACTCGCGCTGACTCTTCCTTTCCCTGTAGGGATCCGACCCAACAATGTGGTTTTGAACCAGCTGTTTGGAGGCTTTACCGGGCTATCCCTCATTCCTATCACATTTGACTGGACGTAAGACTCATAATCCCCGGCAATCGCAGAATTGCTAAAAGGATGCGAAGCTAATAATAACCAGCTATGTTTCTGCATATCTCCTAGATCCACTTTTGGCACCTGTCCATGCTATTGTCAACACCTTGGTCGGGCTTATCATTTTTGTGATCATCACCACCATCGGGATCTCTTACTCTGGGGCTTTGTGTGTTCCAACGTTTCTTACCAGACTCATTTCAAAACTGACAGCAATATAGGTACTCCGACTATCTCCCTATCAATACGTCCAGTACCTTTGACAACACGCAAAATTACTATAATGTATCCAGAATTTTAGGTACTGGTTTCTCTTTTGATAGCGAGAAGTACAAAGCATATTCACCTATGTTCCTGGCTCCAACCTTTGCCTTGAACTACGGACTGTCGTTTGCCGCCCTTACAGCATCTATTGTACAGGTGCTTCTCTTCCACCGAAAGGAGATCTGGCATCAGTTCAGGACATCTCGAGATCAGGAACCTGATATTCATCTTACTTTGATGAAGAAGTACAAAGAAGCACCTGACTGGTGGTATGCAGCCCTATTCATATTCTCGATGGCGTTAGGGCTTGCAGGCATTCTGGCATATGATTCACAGCTTCCTTGTACGTGACGCTCCTCTGGTCTGATGATCAAATCTGACCAAATTCTACATAGGGTGGGCCTTTTTCGTCTCGATCATCCTCGCCGTGGTCTTTATTGTAGGTTATGTCATGACCACTGGGAGTTTCTTTCTGACCAAAATAACAGATTCCGACTTGCTTGGTTCTTGGTATTACCAATATTATGCTTTGTACGTGCAGTCTTAATCCTTTTGTGTGTGGGTGGGTGTGCTCAATGCTAATTTATACAGCGCTCAATGTTATATCGCCGTTCCTAGCAGGTTTCATGATTCCAGGAAAGCCAATTGGGGTCATGATATTCAAAGTCTTCAGTACCATCACCTTGGGACAAGCGTAAGGTTCAATCCTATATTTCTAGAATGAAGGCTGACTTTATCAATAGTCAGGTATACTGTGGGGATCTCAAAGTAAGAAACTTCCTCTCGATGTCAGTGTGCCAGATTGCTGACTCTTTTTCAACAACAGCTAGCTCATTATATGAAAGTGCCACCCCGCGTCACCTTCATGTGTCAAGTTGTTGCCACATTATGGGCAAGTATTGTTCAAATTGCAGTCATGAATTGGACTTTAGGCAACATTGATGAAGTTTGCACGACGTACGTTATGCACACCTTTGGAAAGAGAGCATATATTAACTATCCATTTGAATAGTACTCAGTCAGCACACTTCACGTGCCCGAACGGAAGAGCATTCTTTTCCTCCAGCATTGTGTGGGGTCAGTTTGCTTTATCTCAAGTATATAGCAACATACGGACATATTGCTGACTATTTATTTAGGTGTCATTGGCCCACAACGCATGTTTGGACCAGGTGGCATGTACGTGCAATTCCAATGGTTCTGGCTGCTCGGCGCTCTTCTACCGGTGGCATTTTATGTCATGATAAGATTGTTCCCTCGGTCTAAGCTCAGGTTCCTAAATGCACCTGTGTAAGTCAAGGAATATTGCCTTTGATGGAATATGCTAATAGTATCAACAGGATGCTCGGTGCTATGGCTTGGTTGCCTCCGTAAGTCTACAATATTCAGGATGCTATTATTCACGGTTACCTTTTTACTGATTATTTTACAGGGCCACACCATTGAGTTTCTTCTCATGGGCTATCTTTGGCCTCATCTTTAACTACTGGATTCGACGCCGGTGGGGCGGTTGGTGGCATACTTACAACTATATCACAGCTGCAGGACTTGACTCAGGCCTCATTCTGTCCACCATTATTATTTTCTTCGCGATTACTCTGCCGAATGTTACGATACCCCAGTGGTGGGGAAATGTGGATGTATATGAGACTACGGTATGTGACTATATCCCGACATGTATTGAAGTGAATCCTAACGAGAAATTTAGGACGCTCTTTATTCTGCAGTTCGAAAGACTGTCGCAGATGGAGAGATATTTGGACCAGAGAAGTGGTGAATTACTTACTCACTACGTACATTGATTATTTGGAAATTACATACCAGTGCAGATTGAAAGTGATTTACTGTTGTATAGTGATTTATAGTGTTGAATAGTACCCTGACCCTACCCCTCGGGATATTTATAGTTCCCTTGGCCCACGTGACTATAGTAAGACCCGTTAATAGGGAAGTTCCCCAGGGTTGTACGTAGCCAGGTGGTGACGTGGTCACAGCACCATATATATTATTATATGCATGTAGTATATGTACTCCCTGAAAATATAATATATAGTAGCCTAAACCAAAAGAATCAAAAGAATTTCTGAAATATAAAAAAAAGGGGGGGGGACGTAATTGGGGTGAAACCCAGCCTCAAACAGAATTTGGGTATCAACTCGAAAGCTTTCAAGGTTAGTTGCAAGTGCCCGCCCCTAGACGATCTCCGCATCCCAACCTCCCTCTTACTCTTACCCCCTCCATCTCCATTTTAGTATCATCATCTTTCATCGCATTCACATGGGATTTGTTTCATCCCGTGAAACAGTCCTCGCACCGCCTCAACTCTGTGATTAGGGTCGAGTCCTGGCCGCGGCTTCCCTCATCTCTCCCCGCCCATTTCTTTGATCTTTTAACCGGTCCAAATCCCTCAAGGGGAACCATCCACGATGTCAGCACCGACAACTAATACGCCAACTGTCGTCCGCAGTCAGTCAACTTCATCTCGTTCCTCTCGAGCTCCATCGGATCTCCCGCATCGGACACGGAGTGTGGCGGTTCGATCGTCAAATACAACCCAGCCTCCTACGCCAACTAACTTGTCACATTCAAAAACTCCTTCCCAGGATCGACGTCCTCCCTCAAACCATACTGCACTTGAGGGTGCATCTCGGCGAGAATTCGAGGCATCCAATGTCGCGCGCATGCCTTCTCGTCGGGAAGCGTCATCGGACCGATCTCAGGAGCGCCCCTCGACCGCTCGAACCGAAACTGCCCGAAGGCACCAAAGAAATCTCTCATCGCAAAGCCGTCAGCGAGACAGTATTGATATGACACCGAGCTCGGCTTCACAACTACCACCGCAACATGCGACCGCAGCGAGTGTCCCCGCAGTCGCAGCCGCGCCTAAGCGACGGACTACGATCACGACGCCAACGGGTCAGTGGGCTCTAGGCAAAACAATAGGTGCTGGAAGTATGGGAAAAGTAAAATTGGCGAAAAATACGGAGACTGGAGAACAGGTACGAATATTCAACACTTGCTGTCTCAAACATTATCAACACAATACTGACTATGGTCGCAGGTTGCCATTAAAATCGTGCCACGACTCTCCACCGAGGAACATCGCACTAGCCGGGAGACGGAGAGAGCTGATCGTTCAAAGGAGATTCGGACAGCCCGAGAAGCCGCCATTGTCAGCCTAGTGAACCATCCGTATATCTGCGGCATGCGGGACGTCGTTCGAACATCATACCATTGGTATATGCTGTTTGAATATGTCAATGGTGGCCAGATGTTGGATTATATCATCTCCCACGGCAAACTCAAGGAAAAGCCGGCGCGCAAGTTCGCACGACAGATCGCCAGCGCATTGGATTACTGCCACCGTAACAGCATCGTACATCGCGATCTGAAGATTGAGAACATCCTTATCAGCAAGACTGGTGATATCAAAATCATTGATTTTGGCCTCAGTAATTTGTTCTCGCCCAGAAGTCTTTTGAAGACATTTTGTGGTAGTTTGTATTTCGCTGCTCCAGAGTTGCTTCAGGCCAAACAATATACGGGACCCGAAGTTGATGTTTGGAGCTTTGGAATTGTCCTTTATGTCTTGGTTTGTGGAAAAGTACCTTTCGATGACCAGAGTATGCCTCAGCTGCATGCCAAAATCAAGAAAGGTGTGGTGGAGTACCCACCAGGTCTCACTGCTGGTAAGTCAACCTTGAAAGGATGCTTTTTATAATTCCATTGCTGATAAGTTTTCACAGAGTGCCGCCACATTATATCCCGCATGCTGGTCACTGACCCCAAGCAGCGTGCCAGCTTGGCCGAGATCATGAACCATCCCTGGATGAATAAGGGCTTCAGCGCCCCTCCAGAGAATCACCTTCCTCATCGTGAACCTTTGCAGCTACCTCTGGATCCGGAGGTGGTTGAAAAAATGACCGGTTTTGACTTTGGGCCTCCGGAGTACATTACAGCTCAGTTGACCAAAGAATTGGAGTCTGAGGAATACCAGCATGCTACCCGGCTCCACTTCCGCGAACAACAGCAGCCTGTTTCCAATCACCCAGAGCGCAAACGAGGAGTGTTCGATTTCTACAAACGACGAAACTCTGCGGCCAGTCGTGATACTCTTTCCGCGCCTTCGGCCGAGGCGGTTCAACTAGGAAACGACCCTTTGAATGCTTACAGTCCGTTGATTTCCACATACCATCTAGTCAAAGAAAAGCTTGACCGAGAGCGGTCCGAAGCACGGCCTGGTGCCCTTGGTCTTCGTCAAACTCCCAGTGAAGTCCACGTGCCTGAATTGAGGCCCCCGGAAGCCGCCCATACCAACCAGTACCAGTTACCAGGAGACAAGGATACAGGACGACGATCTCGGCCACGGGCCCGCACCCATGGTGAGGACGAAGCCTCAGAAGGAATGAAGATCCTCCATTCTTCCTCACCATCTGCGCAAGTAGTTCCAACCCCGCAGCCCGACATGCCCGCCAAGAAAGAAAGCACTGCTGCTGGAATATTGAGACGATTCAGCACTCGCAGGACCAAAGATCGTAACCGCGATGCGGATCGTGAACACATAAGTACCCCCAACACACCCACACTCAACGTTCAACCTCCTGCAGATTCAGCATCTCCGATGCACCGCGGCTTCAGTGTGAGGAGGACCCGACGTGCAGAGCCATCTCCAGGTGAAACCTCGTCAAATGACAGCCGGCCACAGCAGGATCTTCTGGCAGCGCCAGGATCGCGGTCCAACAAATTCCTGGAGAGATCGACGAGTGTAAATTCGGCAGACTACCGAACTCGGAGAGCCACACGGAGGAGTGATGCCGACGCCGGCGCCGATACCTTGGATGCTACTGCAGACCGTCAACCACCCTCTACCAGTGACTCTGATCAAATCGTTCCGAATAATCAGAAAGATCCGGCTAGCGTGAGGACTGGTGGACGCACACACACGGCGCGCACCATGTCGCTGGGACACGCCCGGCGAGAAAGTATTCAGGCACGTCGGGCCCGGCGAGACGCTACCCGCGAGGCCAATGTACCCGAAGAGACCGATGCAGATATCTCCGGCGTGGGGACAGCACTGGAGAGCGCCAACGAGGGAGAAGATCTGTCCAAGCCAGTGTTCCTAAAGGGTCTTTTCAGTGTTTCCACCACCAGCAGCAAACCTTTGCCTGTTATTCGGGCTGATATTATTCGAGTCTTGAGGCAGCTCGCGGTTGAGTATGTCGAGATCAAGGGTGGGTTTAGCTGCCGCCACGCCCCCAGCATCGATCTCGACAAGGTCATTGATGTTGCCCCTCCTAGTCCAGAACGACAGGGGCAAGTATCAGGGCACCGCCGTCGTATCAGCTTTGGCGGCCTCCTCAGCCACGACGACAGCCGAGATGACAGCCGCGCTGGGCCTTCCAAACTTCGTCGAAGTCAAGCTGCGCCGGATCGCAGTTTCACCACGAACTCGGACGCCTCAGATGAATATGTTGCACGGGAACAGGGCGGTATGGTCGGCGAACGTGTCGTTGGCGAAACCACTACCCGTGTACAGAGCGATACCGGAGAGAACCTTGTTCTCCGATTCGAAATCCTGATCGTGAAGGTGCCTCTCTTCTCCCTACATGGTATTCAGTTCAAGAAGGTATCAGGCGGGATGTGGCAGTATCGAGAGATGGCGAAGAAGATTCTTGATGCATTGAGACTGTGACCTGTCCTATTTGACATAGAATCCTTGACGCATTTCATGACAAGACCTCTTCCCTTGTCTTTGTGGCACACAGTTGGCGATTTGTTTTGACTTACATCCACCCACGACGCATCCGCGCGCACGAGCATTCCTCATTTTGCCCCGTTATTATTGCATGTCCATTGATATTTTTGCTTTCCTCTCATCTTTCATAGAGGGGTCATTTATCTTCATTAGCCCGTTATTTGCTTTTTTCATCCCGGACCCAAGTACTGCTCGCCCATTTTAATACCTATTAACCTAGCTAGACTTGCACTTTGGTCTTCATGGTGTATATTAAAATCGAGTGCAGACATTTTTGGTTTGCTAGCGTTTTTGCCTTAGCTTTTGCTTTGCCCCTGTCACCTATTGGCTGCCGTGGCCTAGGGAGATAGTGTGTACCTTTCTTTGGACAGTTGATTATAAACTTTACATCCCGGGCCCAAAAATACGAAATGGTTGCGGCAATCTTCCGGATCTTATGTTCGTAACCTGCCGCGTACGTCGCAAAGAGGTTCAAGTTCAATTATTGATCTAACTCACCATCCATTAACTTGCTTCCTCCCTTTGTCATATAGTTCATACCTACCTAGGTAGGTATAGACCTTATATCCATGGGTGGCCTACTGATGATTCATTAATCAGAACTTTATCTTAACCTCGGTCTCCCGGGGCTCAACCGAAAAACTGGTTATCGAACGTGATAGCCAGTAGGGCAAGCCAACAATAGGTCAAGTAGCCTTTGAAACCCCCACCAGAATCATTCTACTAAGGGTAAAGATAGATCACAGCACCTTACATTACATTCTAGGGGCTCAAAATCAAATCTAGAAACGGCGTCTACGGTTTCTAGGGTGCATACCCCTGTTTTATTTATCCAGACGGCAAGTCTATGTGTATGCAATAAAAAATGACGATATACATGGAGTATACATGAACATGACCTTGAATTTGATAGTCGTTGGTAATAATCGTGAACCCGTAGAGCCAAATGCCACGAGCATATCTAGGTAGCACCACCCCGCTGTTGTGGCACGGGGGACCTAGGGTCCAGGACCCAGGGCCCAGGTGCTGTGTAACCCCAACCGTCCAAAGCCGCACCCTGCCCAATCCTACCCAGACTAGGGAGCAGTCGGGGCAGAATGTACAGGCGCTACGGGCGGGGCTAGAACGCGCCCGGACGCCCAGGGGAACCCCATCAAATTAGCCAGTTGGTGGAAGTGACGAATACTTGCTCCGAGTAATTAAAACCGGGGAAGTTAAAGTACCGATGGCTAAATAAACGAAGGGGGAAAAATACAACAAAGCTTCTTCATGATCAAAATTATCTATAATCTTTCTAGAAGATACAAAGAACTCGTTTTTTTATTAGGGTGCAAAGGTAGTTCTACCGCCGCGCCCGTCCTCCAACTCCATCCAGCCTTGACTACCACCAAAAACAGTCTTTCTTCGGGAGATCAGAGCCGGAGGCCCCTAAAATCTGACGACTCTCAACTTTCGATTGCACCGGAATCCTTTCCAAGGTTGCTCAGGTGCGTATATGTGTGCTTACTAAGATATTAATAGGAGGCCCCTGTGATCACGTGATGGATACTATACTTCGTTTTTCCCTCAACGCACGCGACGTCTACGAATTCAAACGTAATCTGACACATTTATGATATCGAATATAGGATTTTAGATAACTATACTACCTATGCTCTATGAAATATGTAGGCGATACCAGATGCTGAGTCATCAATAATAGGGCGGGGTGTTGATTGGATGAAGTGTGGTACGCCGCGGCTTGAATGGTCCGACCTTGATGCCAAGACTTTATAGTAGCCATAGCCCTCCAACCTTCAAAGTCCTCTATACGCTGTTCCCCTTGTCTAATTTGGCTGATAAATATACTAATCGATCGCGCTCAATGAGCTCTACAAATTAGGGTGTTTTCCCCTGCGCTTTCGGGCTCCTTTTACGCGTGGGAGCTGCCAGGTAGTTATAAAGTGATTTAAGACCGACAACTGTCCCGGACGCTGTTCCCGTACTTCCCAACAACTCCCCTTTAATGGCCAACCAGCGGCCACCAACCGGAAGACCCCTATGAACACAGGATACTGCAAAGTCGAAATTGAAAAGCCCAAATTAACTCATTCGATAGTGGAAATTGTGAAGATCATAAAAATGATAATATAGGCATGTTTTTCTTTAATTTGAGGGCACAATGAAGGCTAGCACTGGGGGGTCATTGCCTATTTGAGTAAGAGTGGATAACGTTGCTTAGTCAGCACCTGTCAGGGGCCCGCCATGAGATCTCCCGTCCTCGTTTCTCAACCTCACTTCTTTAACCACCTCAGGTCCTCAATCTTCAATCACGTCTCCCATCCGCCACGAACGTTGGATCTTCCTCTAGTATCTTTTAGTTTTACCGGAGCTTCTTGGACATATTGTTTCGTGTTTTTTTCTTCATCATTCAGAACTTTATTTCCCTCTATCCCTCTCTCCTCGCTCTTTAGGCTAGGATATTCGAGTCGTCTATACTTCGAGGACCTCAAGGGCCTCTCTTTGCTTCATTCATATCCTCGTTTATCATATCTGCTATCCTGGAAGGTATCGTAATTGCAAGAGTCAACGCGCTTTCGGACGTGTTCTGAAGCCTGTCACCTGCTAACACCTACGCGTTGCTTAAGATGGCGGGACGCGTCCCCCCTGGCTCGGGGGCTAACCAAAACCGAGTGTTCATTGATTTGACTGATGACAATGAGCCGGATGATTCTGAGGTGGCAGTAAGTGCTTGCACCTATACACCTCGATCTTCTCAAAACTCCTCAAGCCCGCAATATTTCCCCTAGGCCCGTGCCCCGCTATGCCTTTCTTTGTCTCAATTTTTCCCTTTCACCCCCAGCCAACTATTTACCTAATTATCGATCTGGCAATCGAATCCCATATGCACAACCTGCTTATGTGATTGTTACTAAATATCGCTTCTAGCCAAAGACATTGGTCCAAGGCAAGCTTCCATTTGTGACAGCATTAGCCTATCGGTCACCAACTGTGCCTCTGAAGCGCAAAAGCTTAGATATATCTGAGGGATTCTCAGATTCTTCGTCAAGCGATGTGCACAGATATGTACCGCGTATGCGCCTCTCGCATGCGCATCCTGATCCTTCTACACCCAGCCCACCGCCAACCGTAAAACAATCTCAGATTAGTGTGGTGATCCCATCACCAACATCGAAGCAAAAACGGGAAATTGCGCTTGCGCAATCCGTCTCGAATGTGAATGGAATGGACGTCAACATATTTCCTACAACTGATGAAGAGGAAAGAGTGACTAAAGCTGCATACCCTACCAAGGGTCGTGTTGAGCGTCGTTCTATCCCTTTGTCATTCAAATCAAGCTCGGTTCTTAATCTACCATCCCCTTCGAAAACAGACCACCTTGCAAAGCTCCGCCACACTCTTGACGAGAAGCTAAAGCGCATCGATGGGCCTATGGTCACTCCGACAGTGGATTCCCCACAGCGTCTTGCTAAACTAGCTGATAATTTTGAATTCGTCAATAGTTATCAGTATCGCGCGGGTGTTGAACGAATTCCCGATGACTCTGATTTCAACATTGGCTGTGCTTGCAGTGAAAATGATGGATGTGACCGTTTCGAGTGCGATTGTCTGAGTAAGGAAGAACATTCGGAAGATCGAATCGTCCCATATGAAGTCTGCGAAAAAAATCGTAAATTGATTGTGGCAACCAAAAGTTTCCTTAATCGCAAGGCAATTATCTATGAATGCAACTCCCGTTGTGGTTGCAGTGGGAAACGATGCTGGAATCACGTCGTCCAGAAAGGACGAACTGTCAGATTGGAAATCTTTGACACTGGATCTCGTGGCTTCGGTTTGTCTTACTTGATCTTATCTTTCCGTACTTATATATACTGATCCCGGTGTTAGGTCTTCGGTCCCCCGATCTGATTCACCGCGGACAGTTTATCGACCTCTACCTCGGTGAGGTCATTACAAAGGCCGAAGCCGATGAGCGTGAGAACCTTACCGATGGTTCTCATACGCAGTCATACCTTTTCTCTTTGGATTGGTATGTGAAGGACGATGACGATGAGGAAGAAAACATGAAAGTGATCGACGGCCGCAAGTTTGGCTCAGCAACTCGGTTTATGAATCACTCATGCAATCCTAATTGCAAGATTGTCCCAGTTTGCACCACCAACCACGCCGATGAATACCTCTACAACCTTGCATTTTTTGCAAACCGTGACATCTCCCCTGGTACTGAGTTGACGTTCGATTATAACCAAGGCGAGGAGAACACAACGCCTCAAAAGATTGACCCTGAGGCTGTGCAGTGCCTCTGTGGTGAGGTCAAGTGCCGTGGACAATTATGGCCAAATAAGCGCAAAGGCCAGGGATCTAGGCCTTAACAGGCTTACCTTTGTGTCAACTCCACTTGTGACTATCCTTGCTGCCAACCGGTCAATTGCCTCCTATCTCTATTCCTTTGACTCCTCATACCCCCAGCACGTGTGATTAGCGACCTGGTTTTCTTTTCTTTTTTTTTTTTTTGCACAATCACGACAATAACGCAAGTGCATGAAAGCATAACATACCCCCTTTCGGGCATTCCTAACTATCGGCGTCCTGATTTCTTTCATCTCTACTATTTTTGTTTGCCTTCACGATATGTTAGATTCACAATACCCTGATGAGATTATGTATGATTAACAACAGACAACATTGAACCAACAAAGCTTATTTTCAAATTACTTTCAAACTAATTAGTTTCAAACTACTTGACTTCGCCCTGGTGGTATCATTCAGTGGTGACCTCGTCTCTTTGGTAGATAACAGTAAGTCGGTCATTTGACCAAATCTGGAATCTAATAATTCAAGACAAATACTAGATAGATTAGACTAATTTCGATATGAATATAGTGCTAAATATGGCAATCTTTGGCTTCAATTTGGTCCTAAAGGAGTAGATTCAATCTAGGAGCAAAGGGGGTATGATTAGAGAATGATATTGAAAGTAGAGAGAACGGGAAAAACCACCTCGGTTTCTAACAAAAGAAGCGATGACAATGGTAGAATTCTCCTATTAGGGCTAGAAAAACTACAGCCTATAACTGGATATATATATACCGATGGAGAGACGTTGACTGTGGCTAAACTATGTGCTTTCTACCTTTTTTTCAACTAACAGACAACGTAATATTTGAAGTATATAAAAGTTCTAGGCTTCTAGCTAATGATAATTCCCAACAGGGATCATCTAGATTGAATATGTAACGTTGCTAAGAACAAGGTTATTATAGGTTAAGTAAGTAGTAAGCTTGTCAATCCTTGGAACCGTGTCATAATCCATAAGCCTTCCAAGGTTCCTAAGGTCGAACCTACCTAGGTAGCTCCGGGGCTTATTCAAAGTTATGAATGGTCCGTGCAACAACGCATTACGACCTTTATTATAAGGTATAATGTAATCGTGCCAAGCGCCCAACACGCCTTTATTGTGTAAGGCGCTTGGCACGATTACCTATAAGTTGTTAGCAACCATAAACCGCAAAGATCTCGGGAACTATTAGTTGCCATTAGTGTTGATTTAGTTATTTCTTTCTAGTCATTCTTCTACCATGACAGCCAATATCACTACCCATTACTACAGTTCCTAGGCCACGAATAATAAGCCCAATAATGAATGCCACGACCACAAATGCATATTGGGCTAATCCAGCTGTATACCCGACAAAGTGGCTGTCGCTATCACTAGCGCGTATGGGGTGGACTAGAGCAGAAAGAAATAGGTAAGGCTGAAATATATATTCTGGAGGCAAAAACGTCCTACCATCCTAAGGTATTCAGGTTGCTAGCAGTATGAAAACGCTTGGGCCTCGGCCTCTAAGACTCCTAACAGTCTGCCTAAATTTTAGTCTTAGGAAGAATTGACAATCACATGTGTTCAGCTATAAATTTCAGTTCGAGTATATATGTGTTAGCCTGGAGGATCGACCGTATACCTCTCACGGTAGGACAAGACCAATATAGGGCAAGCCTAGGACATAAACGATATCAAACAAGTATGAACACAAAATATCATTTGAATTTTGGAAGAATAAGTATTCATTTGGGCAGTTCTTGCTGCAACAAGGGCTCAAATGTAACCAAAAAAAAAAAAAAGCAATCTTGACATATTTCCAACATCCAGCCACTATATAATATCCCTTATCCCACATTCTTTTCCGAAAGCAGTAAATCCAACTATAATGCAACAGAGACATACCGAAGCAATTAAAACGAATAGAGTATCACAGCTGAAGCCCAATAAAAAGAAAAATAAAGAAAAACAACAAAATAACGAAAGTGTAAAGGAAAAGAATAGTCAAGCCTAAGCTCGCCCCTCCATAACCTCAAAGATACCGCCCATCACAAAGTTAGGCTTCACCTCCCCAACTCCCAGATCCACCGGCCGCGGTTCCAATAGCCCCAACCCCTGCCTCTCAATGGAATCTTCATCACATCGCGACCGCTCAGCGCTCAGCGCCATATCTGTCTTAGATGGTCGGTGGCGGAGGACCATCATTGATGAGCGGCCTCGTAGGACAGCGCAGGGCAGCACGCTAAAACTGTTGGCATTGTGTGGGACGTCGGAAAGTGGGCGCGTGCGGGTCGCCGATTGATTTCTGGGGTGACTTGTGTGCCCGACGCTGTCGGGTTGCCCTCGGAATGTGTGGGTGTGGGCTTTGGAGTGGAAGGATAGGTTGAAGAGGTGGTGCGGAGAGGTGTGAGGCGAGTCGGTGGAATTTGGGGAGGAGGGTGGTGAGGTTGCTATTGAACTTGGGCTTGAGGTGCCACTGCCTGATTTGGGGCTTCGGCTTCTAGAGCGGAAAGATGTGCCCAAAGAGAGAAATGGTGAGGCGATATGCATTGTTGCTTTCTTGCTTTTGATAGATGGAATGTGAGGCTGTGGCTGTTGTAATTGGAGATGACTATGCCATAGTAGAGGATATATGAGGATTGAATTGGTTATTTGTAGAATTGAGAGGGAATTTTCCTGGGGATTACTTAGGTTTATTAATCCTATAACGGGTTGACTGCAAGGACCGTGCTGCAGGGAGAGTTAAGACACGAATTGAACGCGGGTGACGCATGCGGATGAATGTAATTGTCTCTGAAAACGGATACAATGCCTTTGGGGCTTTGGTCAGATGTTCTCTTTTTACCGGTTATAAAAAGGTATGTACTTATATTCCTACATAGATGTAGATATGAGTATATATGTTCATATACGTCCGAGCTCATCCCCGAGGTCCTCTTTGTCAATTTCCCCTTTCGGCATCAATAGTAACTAGTCCGACCCACTTGATTTATGCAGTCTTTTATAGTTTAAATAATCATCTTGAATGTACAAAGTATACCTATGTAGTCAACAATCGTATATTCAAGGCTATCGGAGAATAGGTATTGAAATCGAATCCCACACCGCTGCTATGCAAAATGCTCCCACGCTAAGGAGAGTGGTATACAACACAATGAACCCAACTCTAATGGGCCAGGAAACAGGAAATCCCTATTTGAGGGGAATGCCAATGAAAAAAATAATGAGTAGAAAACCAAAACCGCCCCATTATCCACCCACTTCGTGATAACATCAAAATTCACATAGATCAAATATGCACAGCATTTTATTCAGAACTGCGATCGCCCGATCGCCGTTGCGTGAAGCTTCGCCGGATACTCTCACCCCAGGCGGAGTTGTCTAGCGAGTTCATGACATCTTGTACATTCATACCATTGCTCTGACGTGAAGTATCGATACCGGAAGGTGCCTCGTGTGTTTCGATAGTATCTAGCGAAGTACCTTCCCCATACATGTGACGTGGTGTGATTGAGGGACTGATACTCGACCACTCCCTCGTAGGTGTGTTAGAGCTAGATACCGATCCACTCAGATTTGTATTGATGCGAGGTAGAGCATTGCGGTGGCCAATTGGACTGGACTCAGCCCGTCTGTGATGCGAGACCGGAGAGAGCATAGGAGGGAAGTTTCCGTCCAAGTCTGGTTGTGTCTGGGGTGTGATCGCGCCAGAACCTGGCTCGTCGTGCTCCTCGGAATCATCGACTGGGTCGTCGACATAGATCTCTGGCACAGTGAATGTCGGGACCACGCTCATCCGGCCGCTCTTTTTACGGTCAACCTTGCGACGGAATTCTCGTGACCAGTATAAAGTATCAAAGAAACCGACAACGGTGTGTCGACGGACAGCCTCTTCCACCCGCTGCAGCCGTGCTCGACGACGTAGGAATTCTTCAAGGCGCAGACTCTTGCTGTCACTAATCACATTGTGATGTGCGAGGATCATCAGGCACTGGTGGAAGGAAATGCCGCGATCGGGGTCTGCTGACACAAGGATTTCTTCATAAAAGGTATTTAACCGTTTGCGCCGCTCTCGGATACTTTGGACTGGAATCTTCGATATGATTCGAGAGAGCTCGTCGAGGTCCACACCAGACGAGACACGAGAGTTTCGCCATGTTGAGTGTCGTGGCTCAGCCAGTGAGACTGTCGAATTTCTTGCGTAAGAACTCAGCGAGTTCCTCTGAGGGTCGACTCGGCATTTCTCCAAGATACTTCCAACCATGAATTCTCCCTCGTATATTCGCATTGCAAAGACACCGGAGAGCTCACCAAGTAGGCGAGGGAACTGCTCCGTGGATATAAATCCCGTCCCATCTGGATCATACGTGGCCCAAGCCTGTTTGAACCGGCGGATCTCTTCGCGACTGATCGCATACAGCCCGCTACTCCGTTGATAGACATAGGAGAAACTTTCGAAAATCAATGAAACAAACAGTGAAACGAAGATGTACATGCTGATCAAGTTCCATGCAATGAAGAGAGTTCGGGCCCACGGCGCGCTTCCACAGTCATCGTCGAGGAAGTTAGAGTTATGCGTGCACAAGGGCGGTGTCATAGTAGCGAAGTCCTCCATGTATTGATTCCACCCTTCTCCGCAACTTGCCCGGAACAACAAGATCAGCGATTTAGGCACATCGCGGAAATTCTGGTTGTGATCCTCATTGTCGCCGAACTTGGTAAGGCCAAACGCCTGGTTCATCGCAATGCCAAACACCAAGAACAGAACGAACCAGGTAGCTAGAAGATTTCCAATAACAGACAGACTGGCTGCCGCTGTCTTAAAGAGCTGATCAAGCTGGTTGTTCCTTGGAATAAGCAGCAGAGCAACAGACACAAGGAAAAGTTTGTTTAACTCCACCACAACATGACTTGCACTGTATGAAAGGTCAAGTATGGAGGTGACGAAAGCGCCGGGGACGGCAATGAGAGAGAACAAATCCCATGAACTTCGACTAAATCGATGCCATCCAAGGCCAATCAATCGAATCAAGACATTCGCAACGTAGACAACCATGAATGCCAAGAATATAATAGCTAGGTTGACCAATCAGTAACACGCAACATTCCAAATCAAAGGTATTAAAAAACTTACATCGAACCACCTCCCACCAGTCAGGCTCAGGATAGTATTCCAGCACAAGTAACAGTAGGTGAACTACAAGGACGCAAGTCACGAACCACGCCCACCGGCCATGTTTCTTAACTGAAATTCGATAACACCATAGCCGCAACTTCTTGCTCTCGTCATCAAAGGATCGCTTAGAGGGCGATATCTGTCGGAGAAGTTTTCGCAACTCTAACCAGGAACGTTGCTCAGCGGTCAAAAAGGCAACACCAGTTTGTTCTGTGTAGTTGCGCATAAACACAGACACAAACAGTGTCAGAACAAACACGGCTCCAAGCAAGTTGAACACCACGAAGAATAACCCGTTCTCTGGCGCCCTTAGATCTTCTGGTTGGGTCATCTTTCCAGTGATGCCCATTGCTGCTTCTTGTACATCGGTCCAGCCTTCTTGGGAGACAATTTGGAACAAAATGAAGAGGGCATTACCAAAATTATCGAAGTCATAAAAAGAGTTCCCAGCCACTCGTGGAGCGAGTACCTCCCAATTGTATGGCGAGCTGGAATATTCATTAACGCAATTGGTTAGGTTCCCAGAAAAATCACCGTCATTGCAACTGGACATCTGTCCGTTGAACAGATTGACTCCATAGATTGCGAACGGTATGAGGAAACTCATAGAAACCGCAGCGGCAGCAATGACCTTCCATCCCCCGACAATGATGACAGAATGGAAAGTGTCTTTGGCGCTGTCACTGACATTCAAAAGACGCAAAGCCCTTAGCGCTTTAAATGCGCCAATGGCCCTAGAAACACTCCAGTCTTGTTTGAGCGAACCGCCGACACTGACCCACAGCGTGATCAGCACGATTCCGTCAATGAATCCCCAGGAACTACGGAAAAATGCGTTCGGCGTCCAGAAGAAGCCATCGGCGATCACTTTGATCATCGCTTCAATGGTAAACACAGCGGCAAATCCCAAGTCGGTATAGACGAACCAATTGCGGTCAGTACGGAAATTTTCCCGCTGATACAAGGGTGTTGTAATGCAGGCAAGAAGCACCATGGCGACAATAGCTGTATAAATGAAAGCAGAGAAGGCATACCACACTGGCTTGTATGGATCCACACCCTCAACTCGCTGGTGGCCGCGTCCTGGGCCGACAATTCGCTGACAGCATTTCCGGATGAAATTATCCGGCAAGAAAAGAAACAATGATTTGTTATAGGTAGGGTGTTTCACGAGATAGTCCCGCTGGTCTCGTTTTCTCTGTTCTGCCGCAGTAACAACTTCTCTTGCCATGGTTCTCGGATCCAATTCCTCGTAAGCACGTGAAAACTTCAGCTTAGAGTAGAAAGGATTTGGTTCTCTTCGCATAACGAGTGTCGTGGCTTTCGTCCATAGGAGTGAGATCCAGCCTGGTTGAATGGTCTCTTGAGTGGCACTTTCTGGCATTGTGCTCACCCTTCGGGGGCCCTTCGGTCTTTCTCGTTCTTGTTGCCTGCTTTCCTCATCGTCAAGGAACTCTTGAACTACAGCATCTTTCAACAACATCTCCAACGCTGCAGGGCCATGGTCGAGTGGATCTTTGTAACGGGCTGAATCTCGGCCCATGCGAAGGATTTTCGAAAGTGCTAGGTTTCCTTGGGGTGCTCCATGGACTTGTTTCTGTTCCAAAAACGCCCTGACCTGGTGCATTCGTTTTTCGTCTTCTGAAACATCAAAGCTTTCCTGAATGACAGCAATGAACATGTTTAGGATAATGAAATTGGACACAATAAACCAAAGTATAATAAATGCTGCCGAAATCCAGGCTGTGTTGAAGTCGGTCGTATATGCGGTAGCATTGTAAAGAATCGTGGTCCAATTCTCACTGGACAGAATCTGATACATTCCAAGGAATGAGTTGTAGATATTCGAAAATGTGATCATGATCGGCGCACCACCTGGATCTTTATCTGGGATCTGGCTTCGAAAAAGCTGTGTTGCGAAAATTGCAGATAAAAAGGTCATCAAGAAAAGGAAAAATATCAAGTTGAGCAGGCCAACAGCATTGCGGAATACAATCATAATCAGCTTTCTGGTCACAGAGAAAGCCAGTACCACTCGGTAGACCCGAAGGATCTGGAACATGGTGAGAACTGTGTATGGACGACCTGAGTTCCTGATAGGCGGTAGCTGGATGATGCAGGTAATGATTACAAGCGAAAGATCTACCAAGTTACGGCGCTTTCGATGAAACATGCGCCAATCTGAGGCGAATCGCAAGATAATCTCAACCAGGAGAATGATAGTAATAACAGTCTCGGTAGTATCAATAAACCGGGTTCGATGGGCAGACATAGATGAGCTCCTGAGAGCCTGTGCGATAAGGCCAAAGGTGATGAGGCAGACCCAAACCCACTCAGTTTGATCATAAATACGCTTTAGGGGGCTGACTTTGCGAGACATTGCGTTATCATCGTCGACAGCATCAAGTTTTTGGACGGCAAAAGCGCTGCGCTTGCTCTCTTCTCGGATCACTTGAAATGAGTGTGTAATCACTGCGACCAGCAAGTTCACCAACCACAAACTCAAAATGACAAACCCACAAGCAAAGAACAGAGCCGCTGCGAGGTAGTCCGAGTCGGTTGTGTAGTAGAGCAGGTCGGTAAATGTATTGGAGCTCATGATCACAAAGACCAACTCCAGGGAGTGCAGGATGTTGTCAAAGCTCATAGTTCCGTTGTAAGGATTAACACCTTCAATGCATACCGAACCTCGAGGACAAAGATACCCTTTGGGTCTGAACCCTGCGCCAATACCATTGCGGTCAAGCCATTGCATTTCTTCTCCCGTCTGCTCGTCAAGGTATCCGCCACAAAACTGCAGCGTATCCCATGCATCATTCAATGTGTAATTGCTCTGCCCTGCAGGATCAATCCAAACACAGGTTCTCTTAAAACTGGATTTGAAACTCTGGATGCCAATGATAGCGAAAAGAAGCCAGAAGAAACCGATGAGAAATGCGACATGGACGAGCAGGGGAGCTGCTCGCTTAAGACTTCGAAGAATTACCTTGAAGCAATTGGTCAATATCTCGAAAGTAATATTTTTTGCAATAGAAGACTTACCGAAGTGCCATTGGTCATAGCAAGGAGACGTAAAATTCGGAGGCAGCTTAACATGCGAAAGATGTACAGTTTGTGTGTGTTCTCAGCGCCTGAAACTGAAAGGAAAAAGGATACCCAAAAAGCAACCACGGCTACAAAATCAAGTCGGTTAAAAGAGTGTCGAAGGAACGCGCGATGGGCAAGCCTAATGCGACGTTTGTGTAGAGGATCATCATAGACTTCGGGGTCCAATCCGTTCATCCCTGTGAATGTTCGCAGAATTGAAGCTTGGGGTTCAGCCTGAAGCATCGATGCTTTCTTGGTCGTCGTCTGCCGATGCGGTGTGATGAGGTTCCTGCCCTTCTCCGCGATTGCTTTCCTGATACCGAGGCTGCGATTAAGTGTGCTATACTCGACAGGGTTGAGAATAAGCCCAGACACCAAAATCTTAGCGCCTATTTCAAGTGTATAAATGGTGAAAATGGCTAAGAAAACCCAATCAAACTTGCTGCTTCCCCATGTCACTGAGTCCCGGTCATTAGGGAGCGCATCTTCAACAGTCAACAAGATGGTCTGAATGATGATAACAATCAAGATAAAGGGCTCCATAAAGGAATTCACTAGGATGTCACACAGCCAGAGTCGGATAGGGTGATTCGGTCCCATGATTCCAAGTGACCTGCCTCGGAATGGATTATTCCGGTCCTTCCATGATCTACCAGAGGCACGCTTCTCTCTAGCTGGTTGAGCTTCTTGGCTGGAGAGATGCGCATAGTCTACCATTGCGGGCAAGGCCGGTGGCCCATCCATCCGTGCATTTTTATCAAGCTCTTCCCTCTCAATCGATTGCTGTACGACTTCCGGTTCGTTACTCAAGTTAACCACGCGCTGCGACATGGATTTGACCATTGAGCCTGCGCGTTGCAAAGCCCCACTGGACGCCGAGGGAGACAAAGAACGCGATCGATCCCGGACACTGCTACCACGACGACTTCCCATCCCATCCTCCAGGTGAGGAAGATCATCGCCCAGTCTTGAACCACCAAAGTGCACAGAGTGATCGGTTTCCGTACTATGTCGCTCTCCTGAACTAGCAGCGCCGCTCATTGGTTGTAGATATCGAGGATCGGTCAACCGCACCCTATCATCATCGTCGGCTGGGAGGTTGTAGCCGTGGGGGTCGTGGGGATCATAAGAGTCAAGAGGTACGACGTCAAGGTCGGAAGCCGCATCATTGAATCCACGGCTTGTACGGCTTGCCGATGGATCCGAGGACGATGTCCTTGATTGTGGCCCATTGAAACTGAGGCCAACCGATGATATCGCTTGCGCAAACCCACCCAGGTCATCAAGCGGCGAACCAATCTCTGTATAGCTCGTTTGTGACGGTTGAAATGTGTTTCTGCTCGGTCCAGCCGAATCAATAGGAGACTCTTTCGCAATACTCTCATAGTTCCTCCGCGATCCCCTCCCGATCAATGATTGTCGCGAGAAGAGACCGGTCCCCGCGCGGCTTCTCCCACGCTCGTTAGGAGCATCTCCTGGTTTCGAGAGGTCTTGGAGAGGGATCTGGTCCGGCGGAGCGTTTTCATCATTATCAATGTTCTGGCTATCTGGCGCCATCGTCGGGCAGGATCAGATATTATGAAATCACAGACATTGCAGGCTGAACGGGGTTCTCGGGAACGGTGGCGACACGTGTGTTGAGGGGGGAGAAAAGATGTATTCTATAGGAAAATAAACGAGTGTCAATACTAAACACAAAGAGGAGAGACGATCTTGCGAAGCTGAATCTGGGCGAAGGACATCTGGATCGCAATTGCACTAAAAAGGACAAGTCCCGGTATGCGCCTCGCCATATTCAACGTTGTGGCTGACATACCTCGGCGATCCATTCAACATCATACATTGATATACTACATGTAATAGGTATCGTACATATTCTAACAATTACAGAATTATTTGCTTTTTATTCTTCCTTTTACTATTTCAACTGAAATAAACAAAACATCACAAACAGTTTCAAACGCTGACGAAGCCCGAAACAGTGTTGCCTCCAGGGCTAGTGGGGTTCAATTTTTCCAAAAATAGTTTTACAAATTGGAAAAAAAAAAAAAAGAAAAGTCATAGAAGTCTTGTAGGTCTCGGAATAAATGTAATGTATTGATGATGATTCAATCGGTATCCATCTGAGAATCCTTTTCTTTAACGTGTTGCCGAACGCCATCCAGGAACGCGTCTACCGCATCGCCGCCGCCAAGGGGTACTCCACCTCTCCGCATAAATCCTCCATTAGCCACGGGGATCTGCAAAGCCTCACTGATACTCGGAAGCCCACCATCACGGAGGGCTATCGTAAGACTAGCCAAGCTTTGCATGAATTGGGGAGAACGAAGAACTTTTCGGAGAATATCTTTTTTCTGGGAGAGGTCGAGGGACAGGAGAGCAGCTTCGGCAAGTTCCGGATCCGTATCAGCTTCCGAAGCCTCAGCATTGCCCTGGGCCAGCAAAAGCAATGCGGGGGGCAAGAAACTCAAAAGATGATCGGCAGTAGTGGTATCAGCAGAATCGATAAATTGCAATGTGGTCGAGGGTGGAAGGAGGTCTTGGAGTGTCGTAGATGGTCGTTCGGGATCTTGGGATTGGCTCTGACTCTGGCGGCCGCCCAGAGACTTCAAAAAGTCTTGGACAACCGATGCTGGATCTTCCTCAGTAGCTTCTCTGCAAAGAGAAAGGATAAATTAGCTTGGATGGCCCAGATCAAGGCTATCAGAGATATGTACCTACGCTCGTCCACCGTCGGCGCCACCCTCTCGCGACTCTTGTCCCTCCTCACGCACGTCGCCGCCGGTCGCATCGGGGCCAGCACCGCCACTGCCTGTGCTGTGGTATCGGCCACGGTCATGGTCGGTACCTTCCACGTCCTCCATGGTCTCATCATCATCACCGCCGGGGGACCGGCGGGGAAGGTTGGCGATCTCGTGCTCCACATCAACATCCTCGCCCTGCAGCAGGACATCGACAATCTCTCCAAGCTTCAAGTCACGAGGACTAAACCAGCTTGGATCGCCGTCCTCGTGCTGGGACTGAGACTGCATCCAAAACAGGTATCGCTGAGAGCTGGAGGAGAACTTCAGAACAAAGATTCGGCCATTTGTAGCGTTCCTGCCGGACGGCTTGTAAGGAGTAAAGCTGCCATCTGAAGGAATCATCACCAGGTCAAGCTCGGGCTCATCTAGTGAGGCGCTACGCGAGCGCCAGCAGAAGTGGATAAGATCATCTTCGGAGTAAAGGTAGACATAGCCTGGGGTAGGCTTCGGCTTTACGGCGGCAGGAGTGCTAGAGGTCTGAATTGAAACGGTCAGCAAAGTTGCAATGTATATGTGAGTATATCTGGAGAACGGATTTGATTATCGAACTATCCCAGTCGGATCGGGAGAGCTAAGCTCACGTACATCCAGGTCGCAGATACCTGCTTTGAAGGTGATGATAGGAGCTATCGACATGCTGGGAATTTGATTCTGAACAGGGATCCAATAACAGAAGAGACTGTATTGACAGAATTGGCACCCTCCAGATAGATAAAGAAAAGTGTCGTGGAGGATGTGAGAGATAGACTATATAGCAAGAGAGAGAGGCTACGAGCGGTATACGTCAGTTGTTTGTTCTCGAGCAGTGCTTCTGCGTAAGTGGTTTTAAAGTCGTCCGTATATAATGGCCTTACTGATATGGCATCAATGGTGTGAGTTACCGCTTTCCAAAATTGGCTAGGGCTGTCGGTTAAACACGTGATAGGGCTTCGTACACACAACCCTCGACGAATTCCCGCACTGGAGCCGACTCCGCTTAGCAGTCCAAGTCCTCACCCAAATCTCCAACAACCACCCCGACAACCATTCATCCTTCGCCAGCAGCCATCATGTCGGACGGCCAGACGAAGCAGTTCGGGAAGAGCCAGAGGGTCGTGCCCGCCGACAAGGCCCAGAAGTGGTACCCCGTGGACGATCAGTCGCAGCCCAAGAAAGTCAGTACACCCTAAGAAAATGGGACGGCACAATAAAGAGGAGGGCATACGACTAGCACACGATCTACCCCGATGATTGCGACGATAGCACCGGTATTCTGAGGAAGAGCCTTTGTGAATTACGGGGCGACATCCAGCCAGACATCGGTGTCAATCGATGACACAAAGTTCATCAAATCTTGTGATCTTGTGCGACTCGCATATCATCTGGGGAAGATTAGGCTATGGTCATGGAGATACTTGGGATTTACGGGAATCGCTGGGATTTGTGTGACATCAGAGACTAACTACTTTGTGTGTTTACAGGTTCGCAAGACCCTGCGTCCCGCCAAGGTCCGCGAGACCCTCGTCCCCGGCACCATCCTGATCCTCCTCGCTGGCCGTTTCCGTGGCAAGCGTGTCATCCTCCTCAAGTCCCTCGACCAGGGTGTCCTCCTTGTCACCGGTCCTTTCAAGATCAACGGTGTCCCTCTCCGTCGCGTGAACTCCCGCTACGTTATCGCCACCTCCAAGCGTGTCGACATCACCGGTGTTGACGCCAAGTCCATTGAGAAGATCTCCGCTCCCGGATACTTCACCAAGGACAAGAAGGCTGAGCAGAAGACCGAGGAGGCTTTCTTCAAGCAGGGCGAGAAGGCTCAGGTACGCATCTTCTCAAGATTTCACATTTTCAGTGATGAATACTAATTAATTCTTCGCCTTACAGAAGAAGGTTGTTGCCAGCGCTCGCGCCAGCGACCAGAAGGCCGTTGACCAGGCTATCCTTGCCTCCATCAAGAAGGAGGATTTCCTCGGCAGCTACCTCGCTACCACCTTCAGCCTCCGAAACGGCGACAAGCCCCACGAGATGAAGTGGTAAATTTGCGGTAGCCGCGGGTTCGGTAGATAGTTGGGGAGGACCATTTTCCAACGAGGGGCGGCTCGATTGCAGATCGGCATCCTTTCGCGACTTTCGGGGGGCCGGTTTCATGAACCATGTCATGTAATTCCTACGGGATCCGTCAAAACACGTTTTTCACTTTTCATTTATGATTTGCGGTTAATTCGGACATCCGGAATGTCGTTCATGTTTCAAGAAACCCGTTCCTTTTGCGCGTGGCTGATTTTGCATGAAGCTACGTTATGAAGAAAGACTTCAAGCAAAAAAAAAAGATTAAAAAGCACCTCGTTCCAGCAGGCGGGCTGGATTCTCTTTTATGTTCAGTATGACCTCCCATTTCAAGGTTCAGGCGGCAATCCAAAATTGGGCAATTCCTTCGATTCATCTATACGTCCCGAGGTCATGTAATATCTGTAAGACACTAAAATAATAAGGTTGCTGGGCCTTGTTTCTAATCTCTGTGGTGGATATCCCCCGTTGTGTGGAACTGGAGTAAAGATCTCGAGGCTAGGCATAGACGACTAAGTACATATAAAACAAATTTCATATTAGGGCACACTTTCGGTGCTCAATAGTTATCACAATGGCTCCTCGGCTGTATTACTGTAGAATTTCGATGCAATATGGGGTTGTGTGACAAGTCACTTTAGTTTTCTAGATTGAATTATCCCATCTGTAATGATGAGTCTAACTAGTGGCAGCCATCACTAGTAAGATATAGAGTGCCACCAGCCATGTATACACTCATCGCTTCTTATTGTATATCGCTTTAATATCGCTTTAAAGGTATTTAATTGTGATTATATCCAACTAATTTTAACATTAATACTGGTGGAATTTAGAAAATACCACTAGGCCCAAATTCTAATCTTCTCAAATATATATTGCACAATCCTAGCCTCACACTCCAAATAAACCCCACAAAATCGATTTGAATCTCTAGTGCTGCAGCCCAAATCAATGATCTATTATCCTCGTCAGTGATCGTCTCATCGTCGCCCCTTTGGCTTTGATGAAGGGTTGATAGCCTTCCGCTTCGCAGCCTCATACGCTTTACGAATATCCTGCTCATCTGCCGACTCGCTCGAATTCCCATCGCTAGTCGATTCTCCAACAGCGGTACTCAAAATCCAATCCATAATACCCCATGGGCCATAATTCCCCCTTCCACCCATCAACAGATGCATATCTGCGCGACGGGAGATCCCACCCAAAAAGAATTTTGTCGGCATGACAGTATATCCAGAGTATGCGAAGGTCTCCTCAACAGAGATAAACAGTAGGTACAAGAGATACGTGAGCATATGGAAGCGGAAGATGATGGCCGGCGCATAGGTCGGGATGAACTTGAGAATCAGGTAGGGGATCGGGTGGTCGTAATGCGCGCTCAATGGGAACGGAGCAACCAACGAATGATACCAAGACCGGTGCCATTTGGCAAGCAGAGGAGACCTCCTTGAGTGAAGAGCGTAGCGGTGAATGAAATATGTGAGGAACTACCAAAAGGAAAACCAGAAAATCAGCAAATTGGACCATCAAGGAAAGCGTATTACAGAAGTGTACTCGGGAAATTCCAATAAACTTACTTCTCGCCCTAGCAACGCCATACTCAAACCCTTACATACTTCAAATGGCATAGGAAGCTTCAGCGATACTTTCAGCGCACTGCGCTTGCCGAGCGTCTGGACAAGTACCATCTCAAGTGCCCCCTGCACAGCGATACTCAAGAATAAATTGAACAGTGCCCACCCGGCGACCTTGAATTCCTTCGCGCGGATCCGACGTCGCCTCTTCCCACCTGGCAAGCCGGTCGTGCCATGTGCCTTGATGAGAACCGCAGCTGACGGGGTCAGGATATCGAAGAGAAAGAAGATAATGGACGGTAATACATAGAATAGCATGCGCACGGCGATCGTTCCGAAAAGCTCCACGCGGAGTCGGGAATGTGACAGTACTAGCGTTGACCAAGTTATGTAGAAGAAGAGGAGGTTTAGGCTGGTGCTGTAGGATGACAGGACTGGAATTAGGAAGACGGATAGCATCGGTAGTGATAAGAGGGCCTCCATATTGACACGAATTTGTGCGGCGATTGCTGTTAATGGTGTTGAAAGACTTGCGGGTGAATTTTGTTGTATCTTGTGTTATCTCTATCGTCGAGTCTTTTGGCGGGGGAAGGAGGGTTTTGTTTCTGTATGTCCAGTAATTTCTCTTTGTACCAAGAATAGTAACCTTCGATCAGTTACCATTCATTTTTAGGACAAAGACTCTTTCGAAATTCGGCCTGAGCAGAGTAATTGGGGACAAAGAGATTTCGAGGTCGAAAATAGAGTGGCAGGATAAAAGATAAGGTTTGGTTATCTACATCCTACGTCATCCTCCATGGACTAAAACTGTGTAAATGAAAGGCTCGAATTGATAAAAATACGAGAACAGCCGTGCCATTATTTTGTACTGTACAATAAGAATATGTAACGAAGGCTCACATGAACCGAAGGTGTATAGGTGTTTGGCGGGGGTAACTGAAGGGGGTGCCGTACAGACAGCGATCAGGGTATCATCATACATGAAGCAGTCGACAGATCATATGAAGAAAATAAGAATATACCCGATGGTTATGAAGCCGGAGTACTGTTCGGAAGTCCGTTCTGTTTTCCCCAAGCAAATGTCTTGCTGCGAAGGTCCGGAATGACCTGGAGGAATACTAGGTTGCTGAGCCAGCTGAGCATCGTGTCACCGATAATGCTATTTTTTGGGCTAGGTCCAAGCGCAGTGCCTTTCATGACGGCACCAACAAAATTGGTAGTAATCAGGTACTCCCCACGCTCCAGGCCACGGATAGATATTTGCGCGACCTCCGATGGCGTTTGGGGCTTGTCGGCTTCTTCGAGTTTCTTGGTCAATTCAGGTTTAGTCTTCTGCTCGTTGTCATAGCCTGGTGTGAGGATCCCCATGGGGAAAACAGTGTGGATCCTGACATCCGCAGCTGGGGCATCACTGCGATGCCGTTGGGTATAAGCTCCGTTGTACATTTCAATTTCCTGGCTCAGAGTATCGGATAAAGAACGAATGGCTGCCTTGGCAGGCGAGTAAGGCGAATACCCAGCGATGGGAACGAACGCAAGGGTAGAGCAGGTAAAAATGAGATGTCTCCGGGGGGTTTTCATTTGTCCACTCGGAGCAACGGGGTCCAGCCAGTTGCGCAGGGTTGCATGAGCTGTATTGGCCGCTGTCCAATAGATTGTGTCCATTTGACGTCGGTGCTCTTGGATGGGCACATCGACGAAGAATCCTGGACGGGAGAAGCCCGCGCAGCACCAAACAACATCGGGGGCAGCTCCAGAATTCCATGCCGTAGCTTCTGCGATGACTCTTTCGCACTCGGCAGGATCAATGAGATCGGCACCAATATAATGGAATCTCTGCCTCAACACATTCGCCGCATTGGCCTGGATGATAGGTGAGTAAGATAGTCAGCTGCCCATTGGGGGATGTCTGACCTTCATCTCCTCGACGGTAGTCTGCAGCTTGGAGACAGTGCGTGCAACTACGATAACATGTGCGCCTTTTGCGGATAGCTCGAGTGCGACAGCTTTGCCCATGCCATCGGAGCCACCGGTGACTACCACAGTCTGGAAGACCCAGTCAGCATGTATCATACTAATTACGTAGTCTTGCACATACCTGCCCATCCACATTGAACTCGTTTCGGGACCCGAAACCAAACATTTTAGCGATAGTGTAAGCAATAATAGTGCAAAGGAGTGCGGAAGCGCCCAATATCGGGGTTGGTGTATTGATATATGAGGAGTGCAAGGAGGAGAGAAGTTCAGGGAGACGAAAACGGGCAATTAACTCGCGGGGATCCATCTTGGATGAATGGCAGCTGCGCCTGTTAGTTGTCCTTGAAATGGAAGGCACAAGGGGGAGTAAATTAGTGACAAGAAAATACCAAAGGTACTTCTGTTTCTGATATTTCAAGGTACGAAATCGTAATATTACCAGTATCTGGATTCTCACAAGTGCAAACAGAGCAAAAGCCCCACTCTGGTCTAGCGCAAGGAAGGCGGTGAGAGGCCAAAAAATAATTTTATCACAGTTTATCGGCCGGACTGACTGGACTGAGTTGGTTCACTGTCGCTTGATTTCTACACGCAACAATGGGCAGCAAAAAGAGAAAAGCCGGTCGCCCGGCGCAATCGAAAACAGCCCCTGAGCCCTCCAAGTTCGATATCGAAGAGCGATTTGACGACTCGGAAGATGACTTCCAAACCGGCCGTGACCAGATCCTACTCGAAGAAGGTCCAGAGGCAAAGAGACGGCGGAGAGTTGCCGAGGAAGGTATGTGCCTATAATGATGATCTCACCTGGTACAAACGGTGTCTTACTGATCGCTGCAGAGGAATTGATCCAACCCTCCGACGAAGAAATTCTTGGCTATGAATCCGTAGACGAGGATGACGACCTCGAAGACTCAGAAGAAGACGAATATGATGATATGGGCCAGCCAAAGAAGGGTGGGGCTGAATCTGAGGAAGAAGATGAAGGCATTGCCGCCTGGGGCTCATCGAAGAAGGATCTTTATAATGCAGATCAGATCGAAACCGAGGTTGACGCATTGGAGGAAGAGCAGGAGGCCAAGCGACTACAAATGAAGCAGTTGCAGGCTATGAATGAGGCCGATTTCGGGTTTGACGAGTCCGAATGGGTGGAATCTGGCAAGGGTACCGAGGACGGCGCCGATGCTGGCGTGGTGACCGAAGTGCTTCCGCAGCTAGAGATCACCGAGGAAATGGATACTGATGAGAAGCTGAAGATCTTGAAGTCAAGATACCCTGAGTTTGAACCCCTGGCGAAGGACTTCGTGGACCTTCAAAGCATACTCAAGGATCTTGAACAAGCAGCCTCCGAAGCTTCCTCGACAGATGACGACTCAGAAGAGCCACAGCCGTCTCCAGTCCCCGTGGTGAAATTCCGTGCATTATCTGCATACCTCGGCACTATCAGCATGTATTTCATGCTCCTTTCCTCGCCATCACCCGATGCAACTAGCGAAAATGTTCCGATGACCCCCGCCGAACTCCGACAACACCCTGTCATGGGATCACTTGTCAAATTCCGAAAGCTTTGGAACACCGTCAAAGATCTCGAGGAGCTCGAGGAACCCACTGAGGAGCCTACTAAGGAGACTAAGATCGATACAGCCAAGGCCGAGAAGCAACCAAAGACTAAAGAGACCAAGAAGCCGAAACAGAAGAAGCTCAGCAAGGCTGAGATAGCACAGGCAGAAGCCGAAGCTCTCCGCGACGAGCGTCTCCGCCAAACAGAAGCCGGCCTGGTCGATCTTGACAACCTGGTCACCGAGCCTTTACGGAAGCGCAAGACACAAAAGATCAAGGCACCTCTCAAGGATGATGACTCCGACTTCGGTGACGAGGATGCTCTCACAGCTCACGAGGCAGAGGAGAAGGCCAAACAGAAGCGCTCGCTCCGTTTCTACACCTCGCAGCTGGCCCAGAAGGCTAACAAGCGCAACGCAGCAGGCCGGGATGCCGGCGGAGATGCCGATCTCCCATACCGCGAACGTCTGCGTGACCGCCAAGCCCGTCTCAATGTGGAGGCCGAGAAGCGCGGCCGCAAAGAACTCAATGCCGACCAGCAGCTGGGTGGTGATAGTGACGACGAGGATCGTCGTGTCGCCAAGGAGCTCCGCCGCGCCGAGGGTGCCAAGGAGGGCACCCCTGAGGACGAATACTACGACATGGTGGCGTCCCGCTCCAAGAAGCGCAAGGACGACAAGCAGGCTCGTGCAGATGCCCACGCTGAGGCCGCACGCCTTGGCGGAAAGGTCTTTGAGCAAGAGGTGGTCGGTGCGGATGGCAAACGTGCGATTACGTACCAGATCCAGAAGAATAAGGGTCTGCACGCGAAACGCAGCAAGGACTCGCGTAACCCGCGTGTCAAGAAGAGAAAGAAGTACGAAGAAAAACAGAAGAAGCTTGGCAGTACTAAGCAGCTGTACAAGGGTGGCGAGGCACGCGGTGGATACGCTGGTGAGCTTACAGGTATCAAGAAAAATCTGGTCAAGAGTGTCAAACTGTGAATGTGTGCTTGATCATAAACTTCACGGTCTTGTGTGTATGTTTTCATGGCGTTCACTGCGGGCAGTTTCAGGCATTCGATGTGTATATAACCCCGATTTCATCTTCTGGTTGACTCCAAGTTTCAAAAACCGTTTATTTATCTTCATACGTCTTCTCCTAGTAGGCTTATAATGCGCTTGATGCATCGGGAATTCCACCGAACCTGTTGCCATATAGAAAGCCAGGACTCTCAACAAGCTGGAAGGCCCCGGGGTAAGAAGATGCTTGGCTAATTGCGTATAGAATCGGGGATGCATGCCCAAGATACTGTCAGCGTGCAAGCTGGGAGCCTCATTCTTCCGTAATACTACATGTCACACGGCTAGAGTAAAAGTCAGATAAAAATCAGGGTAAATTCATTATCATTTTGGCCCTAGTTACTAAGAATGTAGTGGAGGTGGGCAGGACTTCATTCTCCTAATGAGATAAATCGACCTTGCAGGTTCGGTCAATTGATGATAAAATAGGGCGTAAACTTATCCATGGATGTTGTAACCCGTAACGATATTTGGGGTATCATTGATCTCCATGCACTTGATCCCAAATCCTTTCACTCGAATAAGGCTTCGAAGACTGCCTTGATATGGTCTGAGCCACCTTGTGAGAAATCAACCTCCAGAAAACCTCTTGCTAGAGAGTTCTTGTAATCAGGCTGTTAGTTACGTTCTTTTTTTGAAGAAAGTGAACTCGTACTGCTTCTTCCAAGTCTTGCATCTCCTCTGGAGATAAAACAGCACATGCTGCGACAATGTTCTCCCCTCGCGCTGAAAGAGATGCAATCTCGTTTGCACGAGATACAATAGCTGGGTCAATACCGTTGATTGCCGCACAACTATACCGCAAGTCAATCAATTTTAAACCAAGGGAATCTGGGTATGATAAGAATTAGTACGTACATGGTACCGAAGCTCTTGTTACTTCGTCCCGGACGAAAGCTGTTCAAACCGTAAGCATCATTCACAACCTAGTAACCTGGGAGCCAGTGTTCCTGCACATACTTATAAAGATATGTGATCTGGTCCTCAACTTCCTGTTTTTCTTCACAGACTTGAACTTCCATATAGCCAAGATGGAGTCGGGGTCTCAAAGCGAGGAAGTTGTTCTCGAAAATCTCATGGAAATGGGTTGCTGCAATGACTTTAGCGGGGCTCTCGAGGCCCAACAGATAATCGAATATGCCACATGCAAGACCGATGCCATCTGAATGCATTAATTAGTCTGTATCAAAAGCTGTAGCTAGATAAGAACATACCGCTTTCATTGGTTCCCTTCCCAAACTCATCAATGATGACCAGGCTTCGATTTGTGACTTGTTTCAGGCAGAGAGAAATTTGCTGCAAATCATTCATGAATGTGCTTTGGATCTAAAGACAGGTTAGGCTGCCAAATCTGAGACTTTGTACAGAGAATTTGAAATACCTTGGACACACTCTCTTGGGTATTGATTTTGGCCAAGATTTTATCTGTGATTCCCAATTCTGCGCTGTCTGCAGGAACGAAGCTGCGCTAGTTAGCCTGTGTATAATCACCTTCATGGAAAGAAACATACCTCCCAATCTGTGCTAGATAGACAATCAAAGCAACCTGATCCTAGGTCAAAAAATGAGTTTCACAAAGACAAAATACAACTTACCTGCTTGATATAGACGCTTTTTCCCGAGTAGTTTGGTCCAGTTAAGAGCAACATGCTGGGATTGCAATCTATGGATGAAGCAGCATCATTGGATTCGCATTCAATTCCACCAGCAATCAAGGTGTCATTTGGCACATAGGACGGAACTGTCAATTCTTGAAGAATGTGCCTGCCATTTGTCAGGGATGTCGATGGATGATCGTCAGTGAGCTCTTACCGGCCACCTTTGATTTTGATCACGTTTTGCTCCATCATCCGTGGCCTAGTCAGCTTATAGAAGCCGGCTGCCTGTGTGAGAGCAAGAAGACTGCGGACTTTGTATCAGCGGACCTCGCCTCATGTCTCACAAGAACTAACCTATCAATATCCCCACAGATATCAGAGGCATCGACGAGCACATTTTCGTATCGAAGAACCCTCTGCGCCAAGTCGTATACAATCTCGATTTCTTTTTCTGTCAAGTTGAACTTTGAGTTCTCCATCTCCATGGCTGCCCATTAGTTTAGTAAGCTTACCACAGATAGTACCGTATATGTCCCCCAACTTCTCATCCATCTCTCTCATGCGGAAGTCTTTGAAATACGCCCGATTCTCTGTGATGAACATCAATTCCCACTCATTGTCGGCGCCAGTATACGCCGCGATGCCACGATCATTGAGTGGAATGGCAATATTGAATCCAAGCTGAGGGAAGTAAATGACATTGATGTCAATGTCGAGAGCTGCCGGGATTGTTGCGGCAATGTCGAGGGCGACGTGCTTGAGAAGACTACTGAGACCATCGTATCTGTCTTTGATTTTGTCAAGATCTCTATCAATTCCTTGCTTAACCACTGTTCTTCCTTGTTCTTCAGAGTTATCAATATCGACCTAAAAGGTCAGATGCGTTGTTCATTCCTATTTAGAAAAAACTTACAATTTCTTGAACCATACGACCAACTCTGTACAGCTGTGCTGCCTCAAAGACTCTGAGAGCCTGCAAGATGTCAGTACACAAAGGATCGGGATACTTATTGGGGATTGACCTTGCTTCGGAGAGTCAGAATCTGCGCGCCCGAGACCTCCCGTAGTGCATCCTTGATGTCGATAGAGTAGAATGCAAACTGGTCAGTCATATAGTTAGCATCATGATGCAAGAATTATTACTATAACATAGACGGATGATAACAAATCAAACATACAGCAAGAAGACTAGCCCAAACCGTAGTTTTGAACCCAGTAATCTTAGCACTGCCAGTACTAATTCCCTTGCGAAGATTGACCATGATAGGCCTGAGGTTTTTAACGTGTTTCAATGCTTTGGTCATCTTGTCCAACGCAGAAAGATTGTCAGGGCGAGAAAAGACTCCTATAAAATCATGCCGTTCACGAATCGTATCCAGATCCACGCTGGGACGGAAAAATATTTGCTTGAGCCTTGCCCTACCCTGAGGGGTGTATGCAAAGTGCTGGAAGAGCCCATAGACTGAAAGACCCTCTTTGCCTGAAGCTGATTTTTTCCCAGGGCCTTGATTGAACATATTCGGGTGTGACTCCGACTGGATAATCTGAAGAGAGGTGAAGGTGTTGCTGTTGACCCACATCGTATCCCGTATATTGAACATCTGCAGTGCTCTAATCCGATACTCGTTCCCTTCTTCGAGGAGGCTAGATGATGCAGCTCTTCGTCGCTGCAGATAGCTGAGTATGGCTCCTGCGCAACCAATAGTTACGGGGTTCTCCATGTCAACAGAGCTTGAGATGTGCAGCAGTCTTCCTTCTTGGAGTGTGAAACCCATCTCTTCTGGGTCCACTTCTTCTGGTCCGGCAAGGCCGTTTTGAGGCACGAAAAACCGAATGCGCTGTTCATGCGTAGATGAAACATCTAGCGCAAGGATTTTGCTTTCTGCATTAGAGTAGCTGAACTCCGATGTTGGACGAACGTCTATCTGGTAAGGAAGGTAGGCAGAAGAAACTGGACGGAAATTATCAGCATTTGCTTGCACTGGAAAATGTCAAAGAGCTCCAGGGTAGAGCAAATATACCATCGTCTTGTGCCAGATTTTGATTTTGATTCTGCGAACTAAGATCGACACGAGGAGGCGTCAAAACCACTGTAGGTTTGATTTGGAGAAGCACTGAAGATGGCCCGATTAGCGCTTCACATATAGATCTAAAAAGATAGTATACCCACGAGTTTCGATTGTCTCTATATCCCCTGAGCGACTGTCACCAAGCAGATACATCTTTTCTTCTTCAGTTGAGTAGTATGAACACCCCACAGTTCCATGATCCTTCATGTCGATAGCAGCAATGACATGATCATCGAAGTCATCATCGGTGGCCCTCACCGACCGATCTGTTTCGATCTTGGTATCTGTAGGAAAGGGAGTACGCAATTGACTTGCTGATGAAATGATAGGGGTTTGAGGAGGACCACTTGAAATGCTGAGGCTTTGACTTGATGGCTCCCTGTGGCCCCGTCGTCGCAGTGAGGTACGAGGTGTAATTGGAGGGCGGAAAGCTGGAGTCCTCTTTCTTTTTAAAGAAGACATTTTACAGAAGTCAATAGAATTGGGATACCCAGAGGCTTGACAAGAGGGGGAGATGAGGAGGTAGGATGAAATGGTGGTTTCCCATTGTATGGGCAGTCGGCCTAGTCAGCTGTCCACGGATCGTTCTTCGGGCTTAATAAGAAAGCAATTTGAGCAATATTCATAGAATTGAATTATTGTACAATAAGTAAGTGGACTAGTATACAAAGTCATTAGATGTACAGAGAAAAACTGGCATGTAATCCAAAAAGATCCCAGAAAAGCAGACGCAAAACACCGTATATACCACATCAGAACGCTAGATTTCATGTTTTCATTTACTCTTGGGTGGTTAACATCAGACCAGACTTAGCTTCATCAAGAGAAACTAGAATAGTTTGGCCAGAGACAACTTCGCCTCGAATGATCTTGTCAGCCAAACGGTTTCCAATCTCCTTGGCAATGAGACGGTTCAAAGGCCGGGCACCAAATCTCGGGTCGTAGCCTTTCTCGCACAGCCAGTCCTTGGTTTCACCATCAACCTGCAGGGTCATGCGGCGATCATCGAGTCTAGCCTGAAGCTCTTTGAGTCTGATGTCGACGATGTCCCGTAGAGCATCCTTTGACAGGCGCTTGAAGATGATGAATTCATCAATTCTGTTCATGAACTCAGGAGGATATGCGCTCTGAACCACATCCATAACAGCCGATTTGATCTTCTCTGGAACTTCAGCATCGTCGGAGTCTTGAATCGGGTGCAAGGGATCCGCTCCAACTAGGATGCTAGCTCCAAGATTCGAGGTCAACACAATCAGGGTGTTTCTGAAATCCACCTTGTGGCCTTGGGCGTCTGTCAGGAAGCCCTCATCGAGGACTTGCAATAGTAGCGCTGAGATATCGCGATGCGCCTTCTCGAATTCATCAAATAATAGAACAGCGTAAGGCTTTCGTCTGACAGCCTCGGTGAGCTGGCCAGCATCATCATATCCGACATACCCGGCAGGAGAACCGATGAGACGACTGATTGTATGCTTCTCCTGGAACTCACTCATATCAAACCGTAAAACGGCAGTTTCGGTGGAGAAAAGGAACTCAGCCATCTTCTTGCAGAGCTCAGTCTTTCCAACACCGGTGGGACCAAGAAACATGAAAGAGGCCATAGGGCGATTTTCTCCGCTGAGACCAGCTCTCTGCATCCGCACAGCGTTTGCCACAGCAGAAAGCGCTTCGTCTTGTCCGCGGACTGATTTTCGGAGTGTGTCCTCCATATGAATCAGCTTCTCCACGTCTCCAGCCATCAATTTGTTAACGGGGATGCCTGTAGTCCGAGAGACAACGTTTCCAATGTCGTCTGCAGTAACTGAGTCATGAATCAAAGTCTGATTTTGGGGATCTTGTTCAGCGCCTTCTTTGGGTAGCTTGGTTTCGAGCTCCGGGATGGTAGAGTACCTCAACTCTCCAGCCTTGGCAAAGTTTCCTTCGCGTTGAGCTTGTTCAAGTTCAAACCGAGCGCGTTCCAATTCCTCCTTGGTGCGTTTAATAGTATCTATTTCGGCCTTCTCCTGCTCCCATGCCTCGGTCAATTTACCGGCCTCCGTTTGCTTGATCCTAAGGTCTTCCTGAAGCTTCTCTCGCCGTTCGCGGCTGGCAACATCTGTTTCCTTGCGAAGGGACTCAAGCTCGATTTGGATGGTAGTGATGTCACGTTCAAGTTCCCGAATTGAGTCAGGCTTCGACTCCTGCTGCAAGCGAAGAGCCGATGCAGCTTCGTCGACAAGATCAATCGCTTTGTCAGGTAGGAATCGATCGGTTATATAGCGGTTGCTGTAAGTAGCTGCAGCTACCAAAGCGCCATCTGTAATTCTGACACCATGGTGCACTTCGTATTTGTTCTTGATGCCTCGTAAAATGGAAATAGTCGAAGCGACCGATGGCTCACCCACAAGAATAGGCTGGAAACGTCGGGCAAGAGCCACATCTTTTTCAATCAACCGATATTCGTTGAGAGTAGTGGCACCACAGCATTGGAGTTCGCCTCGCGATAGAGCAGGCTTGAGCAGATTACTAGCATCAATACTTCCCTCAGCCTTGCCCAGTCCCAGCAAGGTGTGAAGCTCGTCAATGAAGAGGATCACCCCACCTTGCGCATCCTCCACCTCCTTCAAGACGGATTTCAGACGCTCCTCAAAGTCACCCCGGAACTTGGCTCCCGCAATTAAAGAGCCCAGATCCAGTGAAACAACCCGTTTGTCTTTGATGCTCTCCGGGACATCTCCTTGTACGATGCGCTGAGCCAGCCCTTCGAGAACAGCGGTCTTACCAGTTCCAGCAGAACCGATCAGTACGGGGTTGTTCTTAGTTCGCCGCGACAAAATTTGAATGGTTCGATGAATCTCAGCGTCTCGTCCAATGACTGGATCTAGCTTCCCGGCTTTAGCTTTTTCCGTAAGCTCAACACCATATTTTTCGAGTGCTGATTTCTCGGGCTCTCCGCTCATATCCATTGTATGGGTGCCGCCTGGAGGGTGTGGGCGGCCCTTAGCATAGTGGCGGACAGAGACCGGGCTAGGGTTGACGGCTGGTAGAATGATAGAGACCCGGGGCAGTATGCTTGATCTTGGAACCGGAGACAGAAGACGGGTCGACGATAGGCGAGGCGTTCGCAGAAGCCGACTACGAGCATTGAGGGATAATCTCGCCGCCATGGTGTAGATAATAAGATCAGGCCTTTGGTGGGGGGGGAATAAGAAGCCGAAGAATAGTTTCAAGACCCCATATGGTCACTAGTATAGCTTAAATACCAGCAACGAAGGTCCCTCGGGAGGCTTCTCGAAAGATCCACATAGCGAACGCTAAGTGGCGGAGAGAGCTGAAGCTCCGTCACCAGTTAATCACATGACCAGTCCAAGCTCCGTCACCAGTCGGTCACCTGACTAGTTTCAGCTTTATTGCCAGTAAATCACCTGACTAGTCTTCGCTCTTCTACGTTTTTCCGTGACTCCGTAGAGATTTTCCGTAACAAAAAAAAATCCTCCCTTTTTAACCCCTCCCTCATCTACTTTCTTCTCCTTTTCTTCTTCTCCCTCCAGATACCACCACACCTCTCTTTCACAATGGGTTTCACCGACTTTGTCTCTGATGCCGGCCTGACTCGTAGGCGCCCCTGAGATTTTGTATTTCGAATCAATTGGTGACTGACTGTGCCCCTCAGTGGCCAACCACTTCCTGTCCACTCGGTCCTACGTTGTTGGGTATGAATTCCCCCCTTTAATTGCTTTTTCCCCTTTTTCCTTTTCCTTTCCTATTATGCTTTCATGATGAGAAACATTGGTCCGTGTTTAGGAGGTGGACTTAAGACCCCGCTGCATGACTACAACCAATCGCGAGCAATCGCACCTCTGATCTTGCTTTACTATGTTATATTGTTGAATACTATCTCATCTGATATGAACATCAATGCTGACTATGTTCAATAGCAACTCGCCCAGCCAGGCCGATGTCGTGACCTTCAAGGCCTTCAGCGCCGCCCCTGACGCCGCCAAGTACCCCCACGTTGCCCGCTGGTACAAGCACATCGCCTCTTACGAGAGCGAATTCTCCACCCTCCCCGGTGACTCCTCCGCAGCTTACACTGCCTACGGTCCCGAGACTGTCGATCTTCCCTCCAACCCCAAGGACAAGCCCGAGGAGTCCGATGATGAGGACCTCTTCGGCTCCGACTCCGAGGAGGAAGACCCCGAGGTCGTTGCTGAGCGCAACAAGCGTCTCGAGGAATACAAGGCCAAGAAGGCCCTCAAGACCAAGCCCGCCGCTAAGTCTCTTGTCACCCTGGAGGTCAAGCCTTGGGGTATGTATTTTCTAACCTCTTTCGTAATTCAAATGCTAACAAACATTTGCAGATGATGAGACTGTTCTTGAGGAGATGGAGGCTAACGTCCGCGCCATTGAGCAGGACGGCCTCGTCTGGGGTGCCTCTAAGTGGGTTCCCGTCGGCTTCGGTATCAAGAAGCTCCAGATCAACCTTGTCGTTGAGGACGATAAGGTTTCCACCGATGAGCTCCAGCAGAGAATTGAGGAGGACGAGGACCACGTCCAGTCCACTGATATCGCTGCCATGCAGAAGCTGTAAATTTGCGATGCCCTTTTATGAAGCAGGAAATGTGTGATGTCAAAGGAATCCTTTACGAACCTAGTTCAACTAGACAGCTGGTCCAGTAGTGACCGGTCATTGATGAAAAAATTAAAAAATTCATGACCATCTATATTTCCAATATTCCGCTTTACAGAGTAGATTTTTCCCATAAATCTGTGTTTGTCAAACAATTGTACAATCATTCGAATCAAAGCTCCCTTTGCCCCTCACTGCCCTAATACTTATGGGCTTGTTAATTGCTCCACTGCTTTTTTTTTTTGACAAATGTCAGCTTTTGGATATTTGAAGTCTCGTATGCCAATCTTCATAATACAGCTTTATTCTCAGAACATCAAACACTTCCCTAATCTACATATAGTCAGAAGGTGATTGTTTCTATTGACGTCGCTGACGTCGTTGTCTCGTCACTATTTCAAATCTTGTGGACTGCGATTTGACCACTTTACGGAAAGAGTTATCAACTTCAGATACCTGAGTATAGTAGTATGTATTCTGCATAGCTAGGGTTGAAGCTTTGGAGTTTGTTGAACAAACACTGTTGGTTAAGCCATTTAAAGAGCATTTGAAGGTGTTTTTTTTTTTCTTCATGTCCCAATATATATCTCCGCCACCCTTTGACGATATCTACACAGTAGAATCAATTGCTTGGGTTTGAGCTCAAATTCCGATTCTCAGTTGCCCTATTTTTCTTATGATCAAGCTCTAGCTTTTTGATCTTAATATCAATGGTCATACCTATTAGATGTGTTTTTTTGGTGTCGATTGTAGAGAACAGATGAATCGAAAGACTGTACTCCACTTATATGCCTAGCAAGTAGTTGCTCTAGCTGATCGGTATCGGGTGTGATCGACTGTATAAGTCAGGGAATTGAGGAATTGGGTAGGTATTTATATCGAGGTTCAAGCTCTGCGGCCCGCTGACCCTGACCATCAAAAAAAGGTGGGAAGAAGGTATCGCTTTACAATTTTGCCATGCCAACAGGCCAAAGGGACATGATATATATATGAGAAGGTACGAAGAATCAATGCCAGAATTTGATTGCTATTGACCAAGGGAATATGTATGCTCTTTATGTTTGGGAGTTGTAGGCATGTACTCAAGTAGTACTCCCCCAAGGTCTAGTTTCGGGTTTGATATCACAAAAAATGAATACAAAGTAGTGAATATGTAGCCTAAGAAACATCCCTCTTATTAACTAGAGAAGATCCTGCAGATATAGAACCTTTGATCATTTTTAATGCCAGTACAACATATGAACAAATGCCGATGAAATCCGAGCTAGCCAAAAGATGATTAGGTAAACCGCGGGATGAGACCAGGGCCTCCACGAACCTCCCGCCAACGTATCAAACAGCACCATCGTCCACAGCCAGGGACCCCAGGCTTCATTTTAACCCCAATAATTCAGTGGGGATCATCTCAAATTATCCACCGATAAGCAAAATCCGCAGCGACCAGACCCAACCACCGAACTCCAACCCGCAACCCAAACCCAACCTCACCATCCATCATGAGCTTCCTCTCCCGCGTGGTCACTTTCTTCGGGCTTGTCCTGATAGCTCACGCGTATGTTACCCAAACTGTTCACTCAAAAGTAATATCTACTTTCCCTCGAGCAAAGCTAACGATCCCTTGTACAGAGGCTACTCGGCCCACGAACACACTGTCCTTTATAGCAACAACACATCCACCGCCCTCCCTCAAGACATTATTATCGAAACCCTAGTTTCCGTACTAATTGTTTCAATCGGACTGGTGTTGAGCGCGCAGAAGTTGAAGCCCATTAGCTGGCGTGAATGGGCAGGCGAGATTGAACGGGACGGCGGAGCGCGCAACCCGTACCTGAGCCTGGAGGAGCGATATGGATTCTGGGATATTCGGGTGAGTTTTTGATCTACTCTGATGCATGACTTACCAGAACTATATTTGGGTTTGGATTTATCAAAGATGTGCATTTTTGTTGAACACAAATCATTGTTTTGGGCTAGGGATATCTGAAGCTAACATTTGAAAATATAGGCCAAGCGAAAGGAATTTGCAGACTGGGTCCGTGGTCAGGATGTGCCGGTCAAGAAGTGATTGTTGAATATTGAGTTTGTGATTATGTGCCGCAGTGGGGGAAGCTGTATAATATGCATTGCGGCGAGGGAATTCAGTTTTCAATTGAATGCTCAGTTTATTGCTGGTTATGACATCCGACTATCTGGAGCTGATGGCCTTGTACTGGTCTTGGAGAATAATTTATGGTATGCGTTGGCGATGCAGGGGTGGCAAACTCTCATCTTGGTGCGATGTACGGAGTACCTTATAAGCGACCGAGAGGTTGCACAGGTATACCACTAGTATGGAGTAGGTACGCCTGGCTTGTGATTTGGGCAAGTGGGATCACTGCCAAATATAGACGCTTTTGGCGCACCCGATTTTTATCCTGCGCCACACAGTTGCACGATGGCGATGTGTACTCTAGGCTATCAATTGAACGCATGACCTCGCCTAAATTGTTGCAATTTGGCTCATAAGCAAGGATATTAAGACTGCCTGTACCGTAGTGAAAGGCGAACTTTTTCAGTGTGATCGGAAGAAATGCTTGGCTTGACATAGAGAATCATACAATGACATGATCATTGCAATTCCCTATCTGGTGGTCAGTAGAAGGCAAGCTGAAAGTCGAGACCGAAGTAAAAATGTGAATTGCAGATCGTTCTCCAAACTATGTATATTGTATACATACAGAGTACATGTATGAGTATGTAGTACTCCATACTCCCTAGTACTCTGTACATGTTTAATATGATGTAGCTGTACGACCTAATTGCACCATATGCACGTCAACAGCACTACCTGTCCGGCTAGTCAGAATAAAGACTATCTGCAGTGCTCTGGGATCAAGCTTAAACCTCAAGGTGCAAGGTACGAGCATAGCATGTTGACCTTGTCTTGATATTCTAGGAATATGTTTCAAGACACCCAGACACTAAGAGAAAAGAAAATATAAATATAGAGTCGGCCTCTACTGGATGGAGTAAACCGTGCCGTTGACTATCAAAAAGACCCACATTCGTCTGATGATCGGAGGAGTCAACGGGTTGTTGATGCCCAAAGCACCTCCCAAAGTAGTGATAATTTGTGTATGGAGTAGAGTAGAATCTGTACGATGTTGTTAAAACTGGATATACCCTTGCATAAGCAATAAAATAATACCATAACGCTACGTTGTACCACGTAAAAGAAAAAAAAAAGTACATTGACCTTGGCATACTTGATTGGATGACAGCCGAATAAAGTGATGTCTCACTTGAACGCTGGTTCAACTTGGCCCCAAGACACGTAGGGTCGCGCCATTTGAGGCTAAAGTACGGAGTACTCCGTATTACTGTTTCTATATACGCGGTTTACATTGAGTGGGAGAAATCAAGAACTGAACTGGAATCAAAAGAGATTCATTCATATGCCTCCGCGCGGTATGTTCCACCTAACAGAGTAAGTAAGCTTTTAGGCTACTGAATTCAGGGATTGAGACACATCTTGCCTATTTCAAGCTGATGTTCGTATATTCGTATATTCGCATATTCGCGATATTATTTGTTATGATTACTTTACCATACAGGGTGCTCGGACGCTGAATTAGCTATTTGGTGTATATCGCCACCATGTCAAACCTATCAAGTCTGCCAACTATTCCAACTATTCTTTTTGGACAGAAAGACAGACGTACTATTCTATATTTGTAATTAAAAGATATTTGCCATGTAGAATTGCAAAGGCGAATGTCTCTACAAACAATCAAATACATATGTCAAAGGGTGGCGGGGGAGCTTACGGGTTAGTGTGACCCCATGGAGAGATAGACAGAAATAGAACTGCAAGACCTTGCAGATCCTAAACAGCGCTAGATTCAGACTCTGATCGCTGACTGGAGCAGGGCATCCATTTCCAAAGCCACTTGGGGCCGTGTGCACTAAACAATCTACAACATGAGACTTGTTTCCCTGGACAACGAAAGCACTTATAATCCCCCCCCAGCCTCTCGCTTTCTAAGATCTCTTTTATTTCTCTCTCCACATTCCCCATATTTTTGATTCATACAATAATTCACCTACCAATAATCTCTAATCCATCAACATGCGTTTCTCTATCGTCTTCACCACCCTCTCGGCCATCGCCCTGGCCAGCGCTCAGAGCAGTGTCACCATCGAGGTAAGCATAAACAAGACTTGATACCACAATGCCAACAACAACATAAGCTAACCTCTCCAACAGACTGTTGACAACCCTGCCACCCAGTACCTGACCCAGACAAACTCCCTTGGCGTGGTGACTGGTCAACCTCAAGCGGTCACTACCCAACCCGCCGTTGTTACCAGCCAGGCTGCCGCCGTGACCTCGCAGCAGCCCGCTGCCTCCATCCCCGCTGGCCTGACCTCACCCGTTGCCGGTCCTGGCGCCACCCAAACCACTTTGTCCACTGCTTCTAGCCACGCTGGTACCGGTTCCTCTTCTACCGGCACCAAGACCACGGAGTCCAAGGCCACTGGTACCTCCACTAGCTCGTCCTCCGAATCTTCAGAATCCTCCGAATCCTCCAAATCCGAGTCTAGCTCTGCCTCTAGCTCGTCTGCTGCTGCTTCCAGCTCAGCCTCTACCGGTGGTGCTGCTATTGCCACTGCTGGACCCATCGGCCTCGGCATGATGGCCGGTGCTGCTCTTGTTGCTTTCCTGTAAGCAAATCAAGAGTCTGTGGCTGGTCAACGGCGATCTTCTGTCTTCTATTATGCTGTGATTTCCACCTTGGTCTCATTTAGGCGGCAATAATTTGGTCGTGGTCGGTTGGTTATGTTGATCCAGTATCTGGATTACAGGAATGAGGGACACGACAATGCGAACATCAGATGAAATTTTTTTTGGGATTTGTTTTTCTCCCCCAAGGGTTCCTATTGAGGTTGTAATTCTTTATCATTGGGCAGCGATTCGATTTGTGTTTCACTGCGTTGTACTCCGCACCTGGAGACACATATTCACGGCGCACTTGTTTCCCACTTTTTTTTTTCTCTTCTATCTTTGTGATCAGCTTAATCCATCACTGAGTAATTACGAATGTTGGTTCCATGCGTATGTGTCGAGTCTTAGTAACTGTAGGTATATATGTATGTTATGGCACATCATGGTGGTAATACGACGCACGAAGTGATACAGTGCTTCAGCGGTGCCAAAATTTATCTTAGAAGTATCCTGATAATACTTTCATATGATCAGCAATAGCTCGCTGGCTCATATTTGCAGCAAAAGCAAATTTGGGGAGTGGCACGGGTTGTGATGCATACGCTGCCACAGGTAGTACATAGTCAGTCACCTTGATGATTGGGCGAATTCGGATTTTGCCTGAGAAGCACGCATTACCCCACATATACCCATTCCAAAGATTCCAAGGTTCTCTCAATGGTACGCAGAGCCCTTGATATAATTGCTGGGGCTGGGATAGGCAAGTATCGTAAATTCTCTTTCTTAATCAAATCTTATGCTAACAAGACTTGTAGATGATTAATGAAAATCGCTTCTGCTAGTATGAGTGATTTGGCTTTTCAATTGGATTGAAGATCCGCTTTCAATGACTGGGATACATACAACGAACATATGGTACTAAGATAATGGGATAACAGGGAGAAAACAGATAAATCATTGAAACGCTAGAATATGATCAATGTGAAAAAGGCGATCTGTAAAAAAATTTGGATGCATTAGTGCAATTCCGCATCCTGTTGCGATTACTCCGTACTGTACGGAGTACTCCGTATAGAACTTTATATCTACTATGTATGCATATTGCCATGCATATTATATGCAATATCCTGTACGGAGTAAAGCGTAATTAAATATGCAGGGGTAAGGGATTTGAAATAGACTTTTAGTAGGATTTCCCATGCCCATATTCTTTAGTCTAACTGTAGGATTTTCTTTAAATTGATTTAGTAGAATTCTGCGTACTGCAATATCCTATGTTGAGAACGAAGAGAGCCAGCAGTTATATACAAAAAGCCTTTCGCAATCGGTATAATGGCCTTATAACTAATGTCACGGTGCTGTCCAGAATGTTCTGAGAGTCAGCGTTATCAAGACGTACTCTCCTCGTGAGAACAAACGTAGCCCATTGATACCCACCGTTAGCTACTACAATAAAACCACTGACTTTCTCAATATCACTTGAGGGTCACCCAACGGCTATAGTCTAGAATAGACAAAGAGAGGCAGTTTTTAAAGACAAAATTCAGCCCTAGCCCAGGCTAGATTAAAGCGCCGTACCTCCCGAGGCTCTTCTGTGGTGGCACTGTACACTCGGGGTGAGTCTGGGCAACCACTCGTACTTGGCCATTTTTAGATAGGCTATAGACTGAGGATTTTACACCTGTCGGGTATAATATCGCACTGTCAATATCCCGAAAACCTTATCCAAGTCATCTAAATCATTGCCTGGGGATAATCTTTGGCATTCAATCCATTGACCTTGCGAAATGACTACTACCACTTCCACCAAAACCAATACATATGACAGACCATGATTATATGAAGCAACCACCCGCATACACCCTTCCGAAAAACGGGATTGTCTCTCATTTGCCAACCTCCTGGATCCCATATGCTCAGCTGATGCGGCTCCATAAACTGACCGGATTTTCCATCTTATATTGTCCTTGCCCCGTCGGCGTCGTCTATGCTGCCGCTCTTTCACCCAGAAAACTGCCAGCCTCAGTGCTTCTGCATTGTGTAGCTCTTCTCACCGCAAGCAGCTTCATCTTGCGCAGCGTTGGATGCGTTTGAGACGATATTGTCGACCAAGATCTCGACCAGCAGGTCGCGAGATGCCAACAGAGACCAATAGCCCGAGGTGCTGTGACAACTACCCAGGGATGCTTGCTTGCAACTGCCTTGCTCTTAATTAAATGGGGCCTTTTGTTCTCTCTACCATTAGAGGCCCTTGTTAATGCGGGGATCACCATGCTGCTGGCTGGCATTTATCCTTTCTGCAAACGATTCACCAATTACCCGGAGGTTGTTCTTAATTTAGTGTTAGGTTGGCCAATTCGCATGGCACCACATTCTCTCAGGGTAAATCCCCTGGCAGATACGACATACCTGTGATCGCTGTCTTTTCACTGCCATTGCTATTCTCAATGTTATCAACGACATGATATATGCTAGTCAGGATGTTGAAGATGACATAAAGGTGGGTATTAAGAGTATGGCAGTGCGCTTCAGGGATTCTGTCAAGCTCACGTTGTCGATTCTCTCGCTAGGAATGGTGGCATTACTCGCCGGGGCAGGTGTTTCTGGGGATACGGGCCCTATGTATTTTGTTCTTGCAGTTGGTGGAATTTTTATCAGATTGTCCGGCATAATTGCCTCTATGGATTTGAAATATCCATCAATTTGCGTCAATTCTGCTAGTCGAGTTTATGTGGCTGTAAATTGCAGTATGGCATACGGGCTTTTGTGGGAGTACTTTGAAGGATACCGAGGACCGTAGTGCAGTACTTTATTTGGATGCATACTCTACTGAGTTGATTGACTATATTTGACTTTAGTAAACAGATAGATGCCTTAGTTAACTATAGAGTTCTTTGGAAAGCATGGATAACTCCATTTGTGCCTGATCAATTAGTCCCCCATTTCTCTTCATTTTGCTTATCTGTAAAAAGAAACACATTGGTAAATTGACCCTTTCATCTTTATTCCTGGCCTTGACAGATGTCTCATCAGATAGCAAGGGCTATAGCAAGGGTCTGGTGAAACATAGGGCAATCCCAAAGAGGTAATATTACAGACGCGCATACTACGCGACGATGAGCACGTGACTGACGCGCTACCAAAAAGGTTAGTGTGACCTCCGCTCAAAACAAACCGTCGACGAAGTAACCATCTCTTATCATTGTGATTGTGATTGTTGTGCTTTGACTGGCCCGGGTCACTTTCTGAATTTGTATTCTTCTCCAACTTACTTCGGCCCATATTTTAATACTATAAACACCATCCAAAGCTCTAGCATGGTAAGTCGTCGCTGTTCAAGTTATTGACACACGTTCCCCAGCAACCAGTATATGCTCGTGCTCTGTATCTGACATGGATATCTAGCCGTCCAATTTGCGCCGGCTAGCTGCCGATCATGCTGCTTTACACCGCGATCTTCCGCCGTACTACCTGCAGCCCACTGACGGTGACGACTTGTCACAGTTGACAATCCTCCTCACTGGCCCAGCAGGTACACCTTTTTCACAAGGATTATGGGAGCTCCATCTGAAGATGCCCGATGATTATCCGAAGAGCCCCCCAAAGGCTACGTTTAAGACAAGGATATGGCATCCGAACATGGAGGAGCTCACTGGAGCTGTCTGCGTGGATACCCTCAAGCGGGATTGGCAGCCCAATCTAACCCTCCGCGATGTGCTGGTCGTAAGTTCGCCACACTAGTGGAATTTCTATAAATAACTAACATCACCTGTTTCTATTTAGACAATCTCATGTCTACTTATCTATCCCAACCCCGATTCTGCTCTCAACGCTTCTGCAGGCGCTCTCATGCAAGAGAACTATGCCGCCTTCGCACACCAAGCCAAGCTTATGACCTCAATCCATGCCCCGATCCCATTGAACCTTAAAGGTGCAGTGACTGAAGCAAAGCTTCGGGGCGAAGAGGCAGGGGCCACAATTGAGGGGAAAGAAGAAGACGCAAACATTCAACGCCCACGGAAACAAGCCCGCACCTACACCGCCACAATGAAGATAACTGCTCGCAACACCACTGCATTCGAAAACTCGTCACAGTCCTCGTATCCTTCGCAATCCTCCTCAAATATTTTCGCCCAATCCACCCCGCCCATGACAGACGACGTGATGAGTGACAGCGAAAACGACGACCCTGCTAGCGCAAGCAAGGAGAACAACCCAACTCTTTCCCCCTCCCCTGTCTATCTCGCGCCCCCAAGTCCCCGTAAAACTGCCTTGGGAAAGCGCCCCCTCTCCGTCCTCTCAATTCCCTACCCTGAAGACTACGATACAGACATGATGCTCATCGATTCCGACAACGAGACCCCCGCCATGACCTCCAACGAACGAAATATCACCGCAAACACATGTTCTCGTACTTCATCACCACTACGGAAAACACCCAAGCTCTCCCTACTCTGTGGGGGAGTCAACGCTTCCGGCCGTCTCCGCGATGAGATGCCAATATTTGAAGATGTGCCCCAGCTGGCCATGCAAGACCCCCTACGCCGGATGAGCGGGGATGGCAAAGAGAACCGTGGATCTGCAACCGCGCGCGGTTTGAAGGAGAAGCGCGAATACCACCCCATGAAGACACTCAATGGCTCTGCTCCACTTTCTCCAGTGCATGCCCAACTACTCACGCCATCACTATCATCATCCTCATCTCTTTCAGGCTCCTCCAATTCGGGAATCTCCAAGAAGAAAGCCATGAGCGGCCCGCACAAACGACTTGCCGTCAGAGTAAAGCCGCGCATTGGCATTCGCCGGCTATGAGAAATCCATCCATTTATTTGGAACTTGGTGTAATATCGATCGATTTTTCTTGCATTGCATCTTCAGTGCGAGTCATTTCAATGGTTGGAAGGAAAGCTGCTTTTGATTTAATTCAAGCTGATTCTTTCGTTTGGTTTTTACTCTCCCTCTATCTACACTTATTTCACTACCCCTACCCCCCGTTAGCGACATTTCTTGATACCCTTGATGGTCTGTTGGATTCAACCGGACTTACAAACTGCATGAACCGAGGAGCAAGGAGAACTCTGTGGAGCTAGTTCTATCACATTACATTGGCGACATGGCTAGGGTGGGCAACGTTGCCCTAGGGTTGCAATTTGCCTTGGCTTGGACAACATATGTGTCTGATCTCCTTAGTTATTTGTTTGAAAATTCACATGACACTGCGTAAATTTCTACATTCATTGATATCCATTATAATTTGAAGATTCCTCGGAGTCGAGTAACACTATAAAGTGGTGCGTCCGTCAACAATTTGACGCAACTTCATGGCAATATGGTTAGCCTTAGCCCCAAGTCAAGCCTTGGTGATCCTATGACCAGATAGACTAATTGGATGCAGAAAGCCTTGGAAGATATAAGTTTGTAATACCATAGATTAATGGAAGGATTTTCTGGGACTATCGAGCTGCAATGTCCTTCCCGCCAAGTCCCTAAACATTCCCAGAGAGAACAAAGAAAACCAGGCAAGCTCTGGCACTAAGAGATTTGCCCAGGTTTCAACTAAAATGCTCAAAAAAGACAAACCGCTTTGCACATATAACAGGATAAGTATAGGAATCCCAAGACACGTCAGAAAGATGATGGGTAAAATTTGGGATAATTCAATGAAGCCACCGAGAAAAAGCGTAACCAAGGAAAGATATGCCGATAGTGATATGTTCGATCCGCGTCGGGATTGGATTATGTCCGTAGGCGTGCACGAGACACAGCATACTCCGCTTGAGCGAAGAATCTGCATGGTGGGCATGCAAAAAAAAATATATCCCATGGAAGAAAACAGAGTCGTGTTTTAAACCTCTACAGGGCGTAGGGGTTGACAGACCGAACGGTCAGACATCTGGAATAGCTAGTTAGCAATGCTCATGCTGGGGGAAAACAGCCCAATGGGAATACATACGGAGGACTCTTGCTTAGGTCGGTCTTCAGGATGATGGGAACACGGGTCATCTCTGTGACATCCTGGATGAACTCTCCATCCACTTCGCGCAGCTTGAACAGGTTCAGGTACTTCTCCTTGTTGGTCAATTTGTTCTCGGGCGCATCACTACTGCCAGAGGCAATCTTGGGGTCCGAGCGAGTACGGTGAGGTCCCTGTTGGTAGTGGCCATTTCGTGTAGGCGACGGCGGCATGCTTTGAGTTGAACGGTCGGCAGAGTTGAGCGACACGCCGGCTGCCATTTCAGTGACATCATCCACATCTTCATCGTCGTCGAAAAGGGCATCGACATCGTCCGCAGACATTGTGCCGGTCTCGGTTTGCTTACGCATAGCCTCGTCACGCTCTCTAACCCGCTCTCTGGCGGCTTCAGCCTCGCGAGCAGCCGCTGCGGCTTGAGCAGCGCGGGAGTTACCGGGCTTGGGGCGCTCATCCTCAGGAATGTATGCAGACGAGGGAACACCTTTCTCCCAGTACAGCTCGAGTACACGACTATCCTTGCGGTATTCAGCCTTCTTGAGCGGCAGCTGGTCACAGTGCACACGCTTTTCAAAGCCGTATTCTGGGATAAGGACGTCAAAGGCAGACTCGTAGACGCAGAGTACAATGCCCTCGCTGATAAGATCGCCGCCAATCTCGCGACTTTTGCGGTCCATTTTACGGCAGGCCTCAATGTGCACACTCTGCTCCTGGGCGTTGAGAGCCGAGTCCTTCTTGTTGTTGCAAAGGTCGGCAGTCTTGTTCAGCGACTCGATATCTTCATTGAACTCTATGATACCCTCGGAGAGCACAGCCTCGAGTTGACGGTGCACAAGGATATCGGTGTAGCGCCGAGAAGGGTTGGTGAAATGGGTGTAAACCGGAACATTGAGCATGTAGTGCTGGCGTACTTCATCTGTGGTACCACTACTGACATAGTACTTGGCACGCTGCATGGCCTTGGCAATGAGAGTCTCCATACCCTGCATCGTGTGTTAATACATGCTATGAATTCATAACGGTGGGAAGAGGAAAAGTACTCACCTTGCGAAGATCCACATCTTGCACCTTGCAGAGAGAGCTCTGGAGGCTGCCACTGCTGCTGGAGTCCATTTCGAAGCCAAGGCGGTTCATTCGCTCAACAAACGAAGTAAGGCGACGAGAGTTGGGTGGGAATTGACGACGCAAGAAAGCTCTCTCCGGCATAGCGCTGACCAGCTTACGAGCAACAAAGAAGTTGGCTTGGTGGCTCAGCTCCTCAACAAGTTCATGTGCTGGGGTTGACTCGAAAATATTGTATTCGACTGGCACATTCTCGTCATCGAGCTGCTGAAGCAGACGCTGCACAGGAACGTTTGAAACGCGGTTACCGAAACGGGCTTCGCGGAACTTGCCGACGGTGTTCTGAGTGCATTTGTTAGCATGGGGGGCAAACAAGGCGAATGGTATAATTATAATAAACTTACGTGCAACAAGCGGATGCTGTCAGCAGAGATGCCACTGGTGTTGACATCAGACTTGCCCTGAACAAGCGCATTGACCTGGTCGTAGTCAAGACGGCCAGCGCTCTTGATGACACCTTTGCCGATCCAGACATCCTCATCCACCACACCAGTGGCTGGGTTGGCCTTAAAGACCACACTGACGGTGAGGCGGTCTTCGCCAGGGACGAGGGAGCAAAGCTCGTTAGAAACGCGGGGGGGCAACATGTTCATGATTCGATCGACCAAATAGACTGCAGTACCACGCTTCTTGGCCTCACGATCAACCAGAGAGTTACCCTTGATGAAATGAGCAATATCGGCAACGTGAACACCGATCTCAACCTTACCATCGGTAAGGTTCTTCACATGGAACGCATCCTCGAGGGACTTGCTGTCGGCGGGGTCAATCGTGAAGATGGTCTCTTCACGGAAGTCACGTCGGGAAGCCAGAGCATCGCCTTCGCTGGAGACAGACCAGTCTTCCCAGCCAATGCTCTTCAACACAGCATCGGAGAAGTCATCTGAACCGAAGTTGTTGTCACGGAGCAGAGCATCTGTCTCAACCCGCAAGTCACCCATCTCTCCAAGTTGCTCAACGAGTGTGCCGAAGGGGTGCAGCGAGGTAATAGGCCACCTCTTGATAGAAGCAACAAAGATTCGGTTGGCGTAGTCCTGGTGCTTCTCAACGAAATCCCGAGGTGCCTGCTCTGTGGGGATAGCAATAAGTGGAACACGCTTGTCGGTAGGTTTGAACCAGACAATTTTTGGCTTATCCTGGTGACGGTCATTGTGGGAACGGCCATGGGCACCATCTCTGGCTTGCCGCTCGGCCTCCTGCTTCTCTTTTGTAGCCTGGCTGCTGGGACGCAAGAGACCTAGGGTTCCTGAGAACATCTGGCCCGGAACACGCTCAATGACTGCAACAACATGACCGGCGTACAAAGGCTTCTGCTCGTCACTGATCTCATCCTCTTCACATAGAAGAAGACTCTGGCCCTCGACCTCGACATCGTCGTTCTTCTTTTGGGTAGGACGCTGGCGAAGACTACCACGGCGACGAATGCTTCCATCCGGGCCAACTTCCTGTCTATCGCCGGTGGAATCGGAGCGACCAAGCTTGTCATTTCCAGCATTGCTGTTGGAGCGCGCATCAGTGATATCCTTGCGCTTCTTCTTCTCCTCCTTTTCTTTCTTCTGACCCCACACCTCATCGACATCGAGCAGCTCGATTGCGACATAGTCACCCTCAAGGGCACGGTTCCGGTCTTTGCTACCGCAGATGAAGATGTCGGCATCTAGGTCGTCGGTAGTCACATACGCATCGGAACGGTTCTTTTTGTTGACGCGCAAAACGCCAGCGACCAACTGTCCATTGCTAAGGAGTGCGGGCAAGTTTGCCTGGGGAAGGTAAGGAGTGAAAAGGGTCTTCCGCTGCTGCTGCTGCTGTTGCTGCTGCTGTTGAACAGAGATCTGCGGCGGGGCATGCTGGCTCGCCTGAAGGCCACCCATACCTTGGGTGTTCTGCTGCTGAAGTGCTTGGAGCTGAGCCAGCTGGAGGGGGTTCAGTTGCTGATTACCGAACATCTGAGGTGCCATCATGACTTGGCCTTGAGGAAGTTGGATAAGCTGAGGCTGGCCAAGCTGAGGCTGGCCGCCATACTGGAATTGACCAATAGAGCCCATGGACTGGTTCATCGAGCTGCGCGAGCGGTGGCCGGGCTGGAATCCTCCCTGCTGTTGACCAATGGGTCTCTGCTGATCCTGGCTCTGGGTTTGGTTGTTGGGCTGACGCCAGTTGCCCTCAAAGTTTCGCGAGCCTGACCGAGCATGGCCGGTCTGGCTAGCTCGCCGTTGATTATCAGATTGATTGGTTGAGGGCTCACTGGCTTGAGGGAATTGGAAGCCGCCAGCACCGCGACCGGAAATGGAACCTCGGTTACCACCGATGGCCATCGATTGGCTGCGGCCGTGGCCACCAGCTCGCATGTTTCCGGCCCGCTGGAAGGCGGGTCCCTGGGGCCCCTGGGGTGCCGGAGAAGTGCTAGTTGCGGGCTTGTCATCTGAGGAAGACTGGTTATCAGAACCACTTGCACCAGGAGCAGGAACTGGGAACTGGAATCCCGAAGCTGTTCTCTTCTGTTGGGCTAGCTCAGCGGCTTTCTTGGCCTCAGGAAGAGCAAGCGAGTGGCGGCGCTGGTGACCACCGCCGGGAGGACCCCCACGACCGCGGCCGGTATTCTCATTCTTGTGGTTATTGTTGTTTTGGCCCTGCTGGTTATAATCGGCGTATCCTGATGCTCCGGAAGACGGAGCAGGAGGTGGGCCCATGGGAAGACCAGGGAGAGCAGACTGGTTGCGACGGTGCGAATGCTGGTTGGGTCCATTCATTGGTACTCCAAGCTGTTGCTGTCCGCCCTGCGGGAACTGGAATGCATTCACTTGCTGTGGGGAGACACCGCCCATAGAGGCACCGGGTTGAAACGAGGGCACCTGGCCCAGTTGCTGGGGCTGCAGCAGCCCCATGTTAACGTATTGTTGGTGTGTCGCAGCAATTTGTTGCTGTTGCTGCTGGAGCAACTCGATCTGTTGTTGGATGGCCAGTTGTTCCACTGTAGACAAGTTCAAGTTAGTCATGGGACTATGGTTTTTATAGTGGGCGGTCACAAGGGCGGTCACATACTCATCAACGGGGTGAGCTCAGATGGACTTCTCCGGTGAGCAATATGGAACTTGCGGCCACCAGGGCCTTGAGGCCCGGATTGGCTCTGTTGATCCATGATCCCAGATGATAGAAGCTGGAAATTACTGTAGAATGTAATATGTGTCTTGGGCGGAGTGGATCTGGCGACAGGAGAGACTGGTACTGCGCCAAAAGGCAAATGAGCCGAATGAGATGGATCACAGGTCGACCAAAAGGAGTCTGTATGTGCGGATTGTGGTTTTCAATATGTGAATTATCCTAGAAGAGTGACAAAGAGTGGATCAGTAAGGGTGCAGGTTGGTAGAAGGAACAAGAAAAAGCAAGAAGAGAAAGAGATAAGGCGATGTCAGAGCGAATATTCAAAGTGTAAGTCTAAGGTAAGGGCGGACTTAAAACGGAAGCTTCGATCTCAGGGGGGAAGAAGCAGACTTGAGGATGACCTCACAAATAACAACCAAAAACCAGCAAGGGCAATCAAAGCCGGGTGAAACTTCCAAAAGCAAATGTGTGAAGTAGATCACGATCCTCTTACCTGCAAGATGAAACTAATGACGACCTCCAAACCCTAGCATTCCAAAATGACGTCTGCAGAGTTCAATGTGGGATGATCGCTTTTTTTTTGTTACAAGTCCAAGAGGCGACGAGGGGTAACCGGATGATAGCAAGTAGAAGTCGAGGCAATTGCACGTCCAAGGTAAATATTGGATCGGAGCAACACTGTAGCAACGGGATGAAGCTTCGAACAGGAGTTGGAAGGACCGAGGGGATGGAGCTGTGCTGGAAAGCACGACTGCAACCGACAAAAAGGGGAATTCGACAAAAAGCACCTCGATGGATAACCGGGGTGGACTTTAAGCGAAGAAAGCTGTTGGAACAAGCTTGTCAGGATGATCCCCAAATTCTAAGACGGGATTCAGAGTTGATCCTCGAAGAGAATGACAGCAAATACTGAAATTAGAGGGAAGGATAGAATAGACGATGAAACCATCGACTAATTCGACTCGAAGGAGTGATAGGGGGGAAGAAGAGAGGGATGTGATAAGAACAGAGAGAGGGGGGGGGGGAAAGGAGAAGAAGAAAGGTGATGCTGGAGATACAAAGAGGGTGTGGGGAGAGAGGACCATTGGTACGGAAAGAAGAGAGTGTGTTCGGAAATAACCAAACAACGTTTTATTACAACCTTTTAGTACAATTCTCATGGAGTGGATCATGTAAATACCCTAACCGTTATCCGTCGTACTCCGTTCCATTGCCGTGGATGATCGCCATTGCTACCACTTCATCATCATCCTGATGCATCCGTTAAACTGCTCTTTGAGTCCCCACTTCAGTATTTAGTATGATCATTTCAGTCTTGCACATATAAAATGGGGAGCCGGCGGCTAATCTACACACCCAGAAACAGGGACACTCAGTGCTCCGTACATAAATTCCAATATAGAACAACTAGTGGTGGGTTGGCTACATTTAGTTAGGGCCTTTTTAAAGCTAGAGGGAACAATATCCGATCCGAGATCTAATAATAACTGAACATAGTAGAGAAGCTTGGGTAGTAAAAGCTCAAGTCTGGTATCATCGGAGAAACCTGATATTGTATTTTCTTCACCCAATTATATGATATAAACTAGATAGTGTAGGGCAAAATGGATGATGCTCACAGTGATGTAAACGTCAACGCTTCCAGGCGGGAGCGCGCCAGGGAACCGAACCGGCTCGCGGGTCTTCCAAGGCTGATTAGTCATTCCTCTTGGGCGGTCTAGAAGGCCATTTTCTTTTGGCAAAATAGACTGACATATGCTGGCAGTGATAAAAATAAGTCTAGGGAATTGGCTAATTGATGTGAGCTGTTAAAGGCCAAATCGAATTGAAATCACTGTTTCCTGTACTACTCCATACGTATTTCAATCTTCCCAAGTACTAGGGCAATCGTGTTTAATATACTCTGTACATGTACGGAGTACGGAATACGGAGTAGCCTGATATCCATGTGTTCCGTGGCATAGTAAGGCGGTGATGAGAAGGCGGTGAAACAGTGTTTCAAATTTTGGAGGCACTATGTATTAGTAAGATTGAACTTTACAGGTAATTTATTTTCTTTGGCTTCAAGATTGAATATTTGAGGAAATATTGATATAGTGAGAAGGTCAAAGGTACAATGTACGTTGAACAATTGAGCTTATTATTGGATGGTTATGCAATGCAGCCAAACGCTTGATTTTGTTTGTGCCCCTCGAAAGCTACATGCTAATTCCAACCTTCCCATAGCTTCGACCTCCATGGACCCTCCCTTCTACCAGTTTTGACGCGCGACAACGTCGAATTATTCGCTCGCTGGACGCGCAACTTACTCTCCTCCTACCCCGGAAATTTGGGTACAATTACTCTCACCCTTTACATTTCCTCCTTCTCCTTCCTCCTTCCTCCTTCCTCTTACTCTCAAATTCAGATTGATACCTCTAGCCACGCCAATCTTGAACCTCACTTTGCTTTGGGATCTTTTTCTATTCTCAAGGCACTTCAGAATTCTTCTGACTACGGATATGGTCTCTGTCACTTGAGTTCTCCATACCCAGTTGACGTTCCATTCCCCCTCACCAGTCCTCCGAAACCTCTCCAACTTTTCCCCAAACACCCACCACTGGACCACTCTCCAGTGCCACTCTTGAGAACAAAGCAATCATTTATTCAAATGTCAACTCCCACAATGACACGCTTTCGGACCCATGTCCCACCTTTGGACAGCCCGTCGAAGCAGCTCATGCTTGACCTTGTCCGCGATCTCGAGCAAGTCAAAATTTTTGACGCCGACCTGAAAAAGGTCCACGAATACGAGCGAAAACTTTTCTACGAAAACCTCGACCGGATTGACAATGAGCGTGAAGCAGTCCACACAGCCGCTCTCGACCAGGCCGCCGCCTTCCACGACAGCGTCCGCGAAGAAGCGGAGACAACATTGAAGGACCACCTCCGAGCAGAAGAGGAAGAGCGCCTGCGGAAGGAAGAAGCGACCCGCAAGGAACAGGAGCGCATTGAACGCGAGGAGGCCGAAAAACTGCGTCGCGAACAAGAAGCAGCTGCACGTGCGGAGGCCGAACGTCAAGCCAAAGAGCAGGCCGAGAAGAAGGCTCAGGAGGAGGCAGCCGAGAAAGCCGCTGCCGTTGAAACTGCACGGAAAGCCGCGATTGAGGAGAAACTCCGCAAGGAACGTGAGCAGGCTGACGCCCAGAAGCGCAAGGAGGATGAAGAGGCCCGGAAGCTGCAGGAAGAGGCCGACCAAAAGGCCCAAAGCCAACAACAGCAGAAACTCGGTGCTACAAACCTGTCAGCTGAAGATATCCGAGTGCAGCAACGTTATGTTGAGCTGCACAAGACCCTCAAGGAGATGCGTAAATGGCTGAAGGACATTGGCCAAGCTCAGCCTGACCTAAAGACGACCATGGGAAATCTACGGCGCTCTATCAAAAAGTCTGTTGGCCAGCTTCGGTCTGGCACAGGTGCCAACAAGCAGCAGGTTCGAGGCCCCCCCCCCCCACCCTTCACCCCACTCACTGGATGTATCTGTCTGGATACTGATTACCAGAATGAAAACAGATTATCCAACTCAAAGCCGAACTTGAAAAGGCTCTCGCCTACCCGGAGCCAACGGTAGACATCCGGAATTTCATCGCATTCCCGCCTGAGGAGATTGCCAATTCGGAGAATAAAGTACCTGCAATGCTCATCTACGGGTTGAACATTCTTGCAAAGAGTTTGGTATCTTCGCTTTTGGCTGAGGCCTCTATTAAGCAATCCCACGCTGAGCCGATCGGCATCGTTGCCGCTCAGATCTTCTCGTTCGATAACTTTACGTACAAAGGAATGCACATGTCCGACATCATGTGGGCCAAGTACCGTGTTGTGTGCCCAGCCCTGTGGGGATTCACAGGCAATGACAAAACCGAGGGAGGACGTCGTGCTCTGGGTTGGTGGCGTTCTGCGGATACCGGCTCATGGGTCACCGAACAGACACACATGGACCGCATGACCGCTCTTGGTGCAGGATATGCTGCTATGACTCTTCGAAACTTCGCCAAGTCGCCGCGCCGGAACCCGTTCCCTAACACCATGTTCTGGGCATCCATTCATAAGATCTTGGCTATTCCACCTTCAGAGCTGCAAGAGACGCAAGTTGCCCTCCTGGCTGCACTGCTCCGATCCTCAGGAGAAAGAGTCTTGGGTTTCTTCGGACAGTATGGTCTCGCTCTGATGCACTATGTCATTGTTGACCTGCCCCGCAAGCTCCAGCGGGAGACAATGGCTGTCACACAGCTGAGTACACTCAAGGAGCTCTACTTGAAGGAAAAGAACTTTGCACTGTAATTTGGGTTGGCGGGCGTTTCGGTGGGAAGGGGGTTTGGAATTTCAGGGTCACATAGCTAGCCTCGACAGCGATGGCTGGAGGCAATAATAGCCACATGGCGTTTTTCTTTCTTTTTCTATCGTCTAGATCGGCGATCATAGTCGGATATCATCATGCCCTATATGAATCATGTCAAAAATACTTTGTACGATAGAGCTTGTTAACAATAGCCGAAGCCTTACATGATACACCCGCACACCGTAGAAAAAGACCCGTGTAAGTCTAGCCACAATATAACGTTGGTTGCATTTGCATTCCACGCGGTCTCGGCTAACCCCAGGAACTACCAATCCACAGTTGTCATTGATCTAACATTCTGACAGGTCCACCCACATACCTACATCAATATGTAGGTAGGGCTCGCACGGAGTACATGACCAGTACCTTAATCTCAATCCCAACGAACACATTGGCTCTACCTGTCCTTTTGTCACCCATTCACATTTTCAAATTCTATCTACATGCGTGCGACCTGCTTAGACGGAAAACCGATTGCCAATACTGCTACTGAACCGGGTCCGGGCATCGATCTGGATTTCGAGCCGAAGCTGGGCTAGGCATGCCGGCTGTTAGATTCGGGCCTCCCGAGGGAACATCAGGGTCGTTTTGGGCAGAAGACATATGGGTTTGAGTGTGGAATTATAGATATTGGTAGCGGTGATGCGAATTCGAGATGAGGTCATACCTATTTACGTTGTACATACCCTTTTGTATTTGCTTTTATATGAGAATCATAGTTTAATTTTTAAAGATCTGCAGTCTGTTTTTATACTGTACACAAAGCTAGATATACCCTTGATATTGGGTACTATGTAGCAATGGAAATACAAAAAAAGCTGAGTCTCCGTTAGATGGAAAGTAATGTGTCTTCGAACTTCCTAGTAGTGAATTTCCCAGTAGTGACGTTGGGATGTCTCGATATGGTCCAGGATAGCAAACAGTATCACAGCGCCACCCCTTAATGGCCATTGACCAATCCACAACGAGAGGCAACCCTGGATATCCTGCATGGAATATGCATCTGCATTGACCATGGTCATTAGCTAAAACCTGCAGGTGGCATGAGCTATCTCAAACACAGTTTGGCTGCAAGGGACAAGTTCTGGGATGCACAAGCCAGACTGCATTGTGCCTAGAGCCGAAACAACGGCCGTGAAAAGAGGCCTGGCTGGCCAGATTCTAGTGAACCACAGGATATTCGGTTCCAAAGCCCATCTCTCTGTGGGTTTCTTCTCGGAGGCCATTAGGATCGACAATACTGTGGGCGATGTGGACCAAACGCGATATGGTTCTTCGCCATCCGATCGATTCCCCTAAGACTCTCCACATGGGGGCACGTTTCCAGGGATTTGAATCTGGCCACCTGGGCAATATCCTTTGTCAAGGTGACATCATGCCTGGTCATGAAAGATATCAAAGAAGCATTGAAGGCTGAAATTTTTAGGGAATTATGATCCGGTAGAAGAATAGAATATAAAGAGCTAAACCTGAAGGATAGATATAACTTGAAGTCCACACGAGACAATATACAAGGGGGAATAAAAAGAAAAATAAACTAGTCCAGACCTTTAAAGGGGAAATGTCTCATCCATGGTTCCAATTATAGCATAATCAATGCTAATTGGTTTAAACTTGACCCCTATAAACCCCCAAGTGGGGATTTCCCTCCACCTTAGAAAGTCCCACCCTGTCAGCCTGTCAGGGCCTAAACCCTCCCATTTTCCATCTCCAAGCCTTTGGGTCTTTCTGGTCCCTGACGTACCCTCTTCCACTCTTTTATAAACCCTTACATTCTTTACATTCCTTTTTTGTTACTTCCTGGTCGAATTCCCTCCTTTTATCGACCTCAATTCACAATGCGTACCTCTGGTCTTATTTCCCTCCTGTTGGCCGCTGCCCCGGCCCTGGTATCTGCTAAGGGTACTCTTGGTTTCTCCCTCGGTGACAAGAACCCCGATGGTTCCTGCAAGTCCACCAGCGACTATGAGGCCGACTTCGATGCCCTGAAGGGCCTGTCTACTCTCGTCCGTACCTACTCCGGCACTGAGTGCAAGACTCCTCAAAACATTCTGCCTGCTGCCAAAAACAAGGGCTTCAAGGTCGTTCTCGGCATGTGGTATGTCTTTGTTATCCCCCCCTAATTGGAACTTTTTTTTTGACCGGGCTTTTATTTTTTTAGGGTTGGCAAGCCTACCGATACCAAGAACCTGTTCGAGGAACCTTCCTTCAAGGGAGATTTCGCCGCCATCCAGAAGGCCATCCCCGGTTATGAGGACGTCATTCACGCCATCACCGTCGGATCCGAGACTCTCTACCGTGGTGACTTGACCGGACCTCAGCTCCACACTTATATCAGCCACGTTATGGATAATGTGCCCAAGGGTATCCTTGTCGGCACCGCCGAGAGCTGGAACAAGCTTGCTGACGGTACTGGTGACGCCCTGTTCACCCAGGAGCCCGTTGTGACCTATGTGTAAGTGGAAATGAAGCCAATGGAAGCTATCGCACTAATACTGACCCCCTCCATAGTTTGGCCAACGCTTTTGCTTACTGGCAGGGTGCTGCTGCCGATAAGGCCTACAAGACCTACTTCGACGATATGGTCGGTGCCATGGAGCACATCCAGAAGATTGCCGGTGACAACGCAGACAAGATCAACATTGTCACCGGCGAGACCGGCTGGCCCACCGATGGCGGCTCTGACTACGAGGATGCCAAGGCGGGTACCAAGAATGCGGAGAAGTTCTGGAAGACTGGTATCTGTGGAATGCTCGACTGGGGTGTTGACCTCTTCTACTTCGAGGCCTTCGATGAGTCCTGGAAACCCGATACCAAGGGTGACAACGGCGAGATGAAGGATGAGCAGCACTGGGGTCTGTTCACTGCCGAGCGCAAGGTCAAGTTCGACACCACCTGCCCCAAATAGATGTGTGACCATTTGTTCGCATCCAAGTGTCTTTGCTTTGATGCCTTGCCCGCGACTAGCGGTTTCTCTTTCAAATTGTATTGATTTATTCCGGGAATATTCATGTCCTACTCCAATGGAAATATGGTTTAATTGTTGTTGAGTGTATAAAACAAACCATAACATGGGCATTGCTGCAGCGTTGCGCTGGGTTCAAAATTCAATTACATCTAGAATCTCAGGGTCTGTGGTATTTACGCTGAACATAACTGCTATCGAGGCCAGAAACGGTTGCCTTTCCACCCATGTATTCATTAAATCACATGATTATTTGAATATCGACATGGTCTAACCTGAATGGGATTACTATGTACTTATGTAGTTCCTTCGAAGCCAGGCTGTGAGACACCTATAGTTAAGAACTGGGTATGTACCCTGATACCGGACGCGCACTTCCTCCGCACTCTTCAACGATTATTATTAAAAATGGAGCAGCCGGCCTTTATCTTCTTGAATATGACAGACGCGGCTACTCTCTCCCCGCCGGCTGCGAAGCGAATGAGGGCGCATATCACGAAAACCAACTTCGCCAAACGGCGCCAGCATGCTCCGCCGACCAGAGCAGAACAGAGAGAACAGAGAAAAGATCAATCGCGGCTGCTGAGCGAGAGCGAAACGCCCGCCAGCAATCAGAACATCACTATATCGTCAACCATCCCCACTGACCCCAATTCAGCTCGTGGTACAACGATTTGTAAGCATCAATCACTAGTTAAGAGTTGTAGAACATTGACTCATGGTCGACAGTCCACAAGCTTCAAGAACTAGTCTTTCTAGAAGGCAGACACTCGCCAGGCAGCGCAAGGGAAGCGGCATGGTTTAATCTTATTTCCTCAGACCCAGTGCTAACCGAAGCGACACTGGCGGTGGCGGTACGGCACTGGTCCCCCAGCGCCCCATGGCAGTTGAAAGCATATCGGCACTCATATGAAGCGGTCCATCTTATCAACCAGCGAATCATGTCGACGGGGACACGGACGGACGGTGTCCTCGGCGCAGTCACCACCCTAGCATTCGGGGCGACCCTGGAACAGGATGACGTGGCCTGGAATATTCATGTCATTGGTCTCGCGCATATGATCAAAGACAGAAAATCTCGCAGCATGAAGCCGCCGCCATCATGGATGACAAATTTGATTGTCCAGTTAGTGCATGCAACCCTCTTGGAATGAACCCACGACTGACTATTTCTATAGAGACTCCGTCAATGCCATCTTCAATTTCCCACGACTGTATCATGAGCACATTGTCGAAGCCTTGATTGATTACGATGACCAGAGAATCCCCATAATCAAAAGAATATGTGACAGTGTGATCCAGCTACAGGAAATGATCGAGTCCCATCATCAACACCAATTTGATCCAACTTCGGTGGCCCGAGAGATCGAGGAGCCACTGTCCCAGCTGCATTACGAAGTACGGGCTCTCCGAGCCACCGACGATGTATATGTCCAGGCCACCGCGCGAGCGATCGAACTGGTGCTCTATCTCCTCTGGCCATCGCAGTCGGGAGCTCACTTAACCCTCCTTGCTGGGGAACTGAAAGAAGCAATATGTCGATTTCCGATCAAAGGCTGCTCCTACATGAATTTTACTTCCTTTCCGCTGATGATTGGGGCTATTGCTGCCGACAAGGACTCGCTCCCTAGGGCATGGTTTGTTGACCGATTGACCCGGGAAGTACGAGCGATGCAGTTGCGTGGGTGGAACAGACCACTTAGCCTCCTGCAAAACAAGTATAATAATAACAACTCCACTCTTATGGGGCGATTTAAAGCTCTCTGGCAGGAATTATACTATGTCGCTAATGAGCTTAAGGATTGAACGAAGAATAGGACTTACAGTATGCCTGACCAGGCCATGGCTTTGTCTCATTTACTTCTAGGCCAATCACGAGGATTTAGCCCCAGAGAGCTTACGCTACGTTGTCAGCAAATGAACCGAATGCTTCCGTAACCAATAATCCTACCTAATGTGCCACTCAATCTGATTGTTCTAATTAGGAAAATCAGATTGGATTTTATTTGAAATCAGACAAGAACCATAACGTGCTTCTAGAAATATTTTGATACAATCATGAGGATTTAGTTCGGAGCTTATGCTGCCTTGTCGGCAAATGGACCGAATGCTAAACCAATCACTTTAAAGCGCCACTCAATCTGAATTTCCTAATTGGGAATATCAGATTAATTAGGAAAACCAGATCGGAAGTCGACTGAAATCAAACAAGAGCCTTCTCGTTCTTCCAGTAATATTTAAATAATGTCCTCGACCCCCTCCGATTCTGATATCCTCTTCTATCACCACTACAAGCCCCTTCATCTCCCCCAAACCACGACGACGACTTGAACCATGGCCAGACAATGGGTTCTAACGAGCCAGGAAGGCTTCGAGACCTCCCTGGAGTATCAGCAGGATGTCAAAATACCATCAGCCCACGAATTGGGTCCCCGTGAGGTTCTTGTTCGCATGCATGCTGCGAGTTTGAACTATCGCGAAATAATCATCCCAGGTCCTGTGGTATGCTTGAATCCCACCTGCACAATGCCGTATTATAAGCTAACCTTATTGAGGCCGCCATGGGTCCGATCACGCCACCGCTCATTCCAGGCTGTGACGGCGCTGGCATAGTAGAAGGCCTGGGGTCGTCTGTGCGCGATTTCAGTCTAGGCGATCGAGTACTCACGCACGTCGCTTCTAAACTCGCTGAATCTCGTGGAGACGATGCACTGGCGGGCCTAGATGATGCGCATGCCTGCCTCGGTCAAGGATCTGATGGTACGCTTCGATCCCATGGTGTTTTCTCTGAAGCGGGTCTTGTCCACGCGCCCAAGTCTCTCGACTTGCTTCCTGCTGCTACGTTGTGCTGCGCATGGGCTGCCGCGTGGAACGGCCTGTTTGGTTAAAAGGGTCGGGAAGCAGGACCGGGCTCGTGGGTGCTTGTTCAAGGCACCGGCGGGCTTAGTATTGCAGCTCTGCAGCTCGCTGTGGCAGTCGGTGCGACTGTGATCGCGACCACATCGTCTGAGGAGAGGGCGGCTCGTCTAAAGACTCTGGGTGCAACGCACGTTATCAATTACCAGGTCAATCCGAAAAGTTGGGGTGAGGAAGCCCGACGCCTGACTCCTGATGGAAGAGGCGTGGATTTTGTCGTCGATGTTGGTGGCAATGAAACCCTCCCTCATTCGCTGGCGGCTGTGCGGGTGGATGGAATTGTTCTAGCCATGGGTCAAGTTGGGGAGTCCACCGTCGATGCTGTGCCAATGTTCGCCGCTCTGCTGCATACGTGCATTGTTCGTGGCAGTCTGGCCCACAGCCGCAACCAATTTCGGGAGTTGATTCGCTTCATTGATGACCACAAGATTGTGCCGGCGGTCGATGATGTGGTATTCGAGCTGGCCGAGGCAAAGAGTGCATACAGGCGTCTCAAGAATAAGAAACACTTTGCTAAAGTTTTGATCAGGATTGATTGATCAAAACTTTAGCAAAGTGTTATATCAATTCGTGCTATATAGTAATCTCTTCTTATAGCGAAATAGAATACGGAAATGCCATTTCATCAAGATACAAGTCCAGCTTTTCAAGGCGATAGATATTGAATATTACTAGTATGTTGTAGTAGAGAAATAACCTTCAGCCAGCAGGGGTTCCCAACTGCGCAACAGGCATAGCCCGGTGCCCGTAAACAAAACAGTAACCAATCAACATGGAGGCACAAACACCCTGGGACTCCTTTACTGAAAAATACACGCTGATTGGCTTATGAACTGACAGCTCATTAGTCATACTGCTAATATGGCCTCTGGATGGTACGGTCGGGTCGAATCCATGGAAAGCTCCTTTTCTACCCCTGAATCTCCAATTTCATTGTTTACATTTTAAAAGCAAGGGGAAAGCCATGAGAACACAGTATACTCCGTGCAATCCTTAACTTTTCACCTGGTAAAAGGGTCACTTAAATCAGATTCAATGTCAGATATCTCCGTACATGTGCGTTATACGTACTTTGTACTCCGTACAAAGTACATGAGTAGAGGTAGCACTGTCAGGCCAACAAGACAACAAAGCTAAAGCCAACGGCCTCGGTCTGTGCTAACCAAATAATAAGCGTTGAATGGACCTATAGTACCCTTGACACCGCATTAGCTCGCGTTACCCACAGTCTAGGAGGTACCCAGTACGGCGATCCAATACCCGTGACGTCCGTCCTTTTTTTCCCCTTAGTTCCCCATCCTAGTCTTCGATGTTTTTCACTCGAGCGTGCTTCTGACCTCTCCATTCTTTTTATTTCGCAGAGTTTGCCTATCCAAAAAGCAAAAAAGACAACCTGTACACTATCTCGCCACAGGTTGTCTTGCCAGCGGTGGTCTTCAATTCCGGTTTGATTTCCATGCGTCAACATTCTGGACGATAAGCGGAGCGGCAAGCAAGTGCTTGCTGCAGGAGTCGACACGGAAGGTGTGTGTGTATGCATTGATTCTGCCTCCCTTTTGAAACCTCGGGATTATGGAATTGGCCGCCCTACTCCGCACTGCCACGCGATTTAGACTTCATTCTTCAACTCCCTTGATTCAATCGCTCTCGACCCCTCCAAATATGCCAGTCTAACCACCCTGGATGACTACAGATTTAGATCACTCCGTCTCTTCCGCCACCTCGGCACCTTCTCCACAGTTCCACTCGCGGGACACGCGCCTTGTCCGTGAATCGCGTCTGGCTCCCTCATTACTCTTGTCTTCTCCGCCATCAGGAGACTCGAGCCCGTCGACCGTTGGTTCTCCCGGTCAACGAACCTCTCCGCGGAGTATCACCCTCGAGCCCCCGCCTCTCCCATTCCTATCCTCATATCGCAGAACCGAAGACTCTCAGCCCTCTTCGCCGGTCAATCGCGAGGCGGAAAGCAGTATCTATTACACCACCGCGTGGGGATCCCCATATGCAGCACCTAGCACTCGGAGACTGTCAGTGAGCAATAGCCAACAAGAATCCGCTGGGGTAGACCGCGGATCTAGTCCCATCTCGCCCGTCTCGTCAGTAGCCAACCGCACTGAATTCCCGAGATCTAGTGCCGCCAACGACGACACACTTGCACCCGTGGACCATAGTCTCGCTACCAAGAACGGAGAGAAATCAATACGGGACTTTACGCAGGATTGGATCAATCAGTACCTTACCGGTCAACCTAGAACGGAGCGCAGCAATTGGCTCAGCGACGACTCAGGAAGTGAAGCGCCATCCTTCATCACTGCGAGAAACCACTTTGCCGACGACACTTCGGACGACTGGCTTGGTTTAGAAGACGACTTTCGGTCCGACGATCTGTTGAGAACTCCGACGCTCTCTGATTTCGTCGGGAAGAAAGCGGCCGCGCGTGCAAAGGTCAACAAAACTTTGCACAAACGCGCTGATACCCTGCGCCAGGAGGACTTTTGGGGGTTTGCTTACGATAGAGATCCACTACTAAGCAATATGTCCGACTTAAACACACCTACCCTTGAGGTAAACTCGCCGGTAGAGAAGCCGTTACCTCCTCCGCCCGCAGACGCGACGGAGGCCACTGCAGATATGGAAGACCCCTTCAACCCAGTTCCATTAAAAACACAGGTCTCTGATATCAACGGATCAGTCACCCAAACGCCACGGCGGAGAAAGAAGCTGGTTTGGCATGGGAAAGCCTGCATAATTGAGCTGCCACATGACGATAAGAGAGGCTCGGAACATGGGTATCGTCTCCTAACGCCCGCCGACGTTCAACAGCGAATGCAAGAATGGGAGACCAAAGGATACGATGTTCGTGGATTCACCATCGGCGATTCCGAGGATCCTTCCATAATGACAACGCTAGGAGGCCTCAGCCGACCCCTATACCCCGACCCATATGACCTCCATGAAATTTCCAAGAGCGAACCGCTTGTCGTCAACTTCCCAGACAGGGCTAAGTGGGAGGCTTATATTACCGAGCTCCAAGAAGAAAAGCTACGCGCTCTGGGAGTGTCATTCGGTGACGATGAACCTGAACAATCCATTTCACCCGATTACTCGCTCAACCCCAGTGGTACTCCTTTCCCTGGCCTTGTCGCATCCTCGCCAATGCCTACTGCATCTGCAGCGGGGAATCCCCTCGGCCATATTCACCCATTTTCGCCTCACTTTAATCAACCAGCAATGCTCCCACCCGGTGCAATGGGATCCATGGCATCACCTGCTTCGCAATTCGGTATGCAGACACCATTCATGGGGGCGGAGCAAAATATGATGGGCGGATTCCCCTTCCAATTCCAGCCTACGCTTCCTGCTCAGGGATCCATGACCCCCCAAGGCTTCATAAACGCTCGACAGGCAACTTCTTCGGTTGGCCCAGGGGCAATGGGCAACTTTTCTTCCATGCTATCACCGGTGTCTCCGCTGCATGACCAAGGGTCCTTCCATACCGGATTCAATGATAAGGGTGTTTTCGATGATCAATTTGGCCATGGTATGCACCAGGAAGGCCTGCCGTACCAGGCTCCCCAGACTCCGGTCAATGGACACCCTGATCATTTCCACACATCAAACGTCGAAATTGCCCAGCCTACACCTCGAGGCCACGGCCATAATCTGAGCGAAACCCTGCAAAGGGGACTGGACCAGATGACACATACCGATTACCATCTGGAAGACTCGATCGACCGCCAATTAGAGGATGATTATCGTGATAGCAACAGCCATGCAGGTCTGAATCCCGGCATGCTGAAGTCGCGATGGGGATTGCCAGAAAATGAACACCACGCACAGAACCCTTCCCACCTCCCACTTCATTCCTTCGCCCAGCACCAACTCCCTCACCAATTCTTCGGAGACCAATACCAACAACACAATGGTCATGATGCTTCTGATCTCGATACAAACCCCAGTGTTGCAGGTACACCGCAAACTCGGCAAGGGCCGTGGCACGAGAACCAGGCTAGCGGCCACTCCTACCATGGAGGCCATCAATCGCAGCTCTCGATCTCATCGCTCAACGTTGCAGCCAAGGAATTTGATCCTACCGCATCGTTCAATTCCCAGCCTGCGCCGTTTGGCAATGATCCATTCCAGTTCGGCGGCAGGGGCGAGCAAGGATTCGGCTTTGCCCCGCCTCCCTCGTTTGCGCCTGGTACCAGCCTGAATGGCTCAATCGGTCCCAAGCGGAACCACAATGCCAGTGGTAGTGGCACATTCAAGTTCTCCGCCGCATCGTTCAATGTCGACGCACCTGTTTTCAACCCCAACCCCTCTATCAGCCTCAACTCGGATGCCAGCTCCACGCAGCCTCTGGCTAGTCGCACCAAGATATTCGGTGACATCGACATCAGCGAGATCTCCACACCCGATAAGAAGTCCAAGGCTATTCCTATTGTGCGACCCGATGATATTGAACAGGATAGCAATAGAAAAGAACAGGCTGTTGAAGACGATACCAATGGCCGGCCTGTTCCTATCGACCGCCACAAGCGTGCGCGTCGTGGTGTTGGCCACGCTGAAGGCGAGGCTAGATATAGTATCTCAACCAATCCTCTAGGCGAGGCGGGCAATGCTCAAGCTTTGAGTGCGCTTTATGCTGTGGCCGAGGGTAAGGAGAATGTCATGCCTAATGAGGACAATCCGGTTGAGCGGACAGATACCCCTGTCAGCGAAGCTGAAACTTGGACTTTGTTCGATGCGAAACGTGATGCTGAGAATATGTCTGAAACTGGATCACCAATCCGGGCGCAGACTTCTAAAGACATTGTTGTTGAAGAACGCGAACCGAGGGAACCTGCTGTAGGAGATACTACGTCTGTCACTGTTTCGAGGGGTGTTGAACATGCTCCTCATGGATCTAGGACCTCGGTCAAAGGCACTACGCTGTCGGCTAATGCCCGGCCTTTCGAGTTCAAGCCTGCTGTTTCAGAGTTTGTTCCCACGACCGTTCAGCCATCTAGCCTTGCTGAGCCAACGCCTCGCGATGAAAATGTCATTGAGGAGCAGTCCATCGAAAACTCTGTCAAGAGTCCCGCTGAAAGTAAATCCATGCAAGCCGGACTTATGGCTTCTCGCTTCGCTGCCACGAGCCCACCTAAGGCGACCACTTCGCCGGATCACCGTGCTGGGTCTGAGGCCAATACTCCAACCCGCGTGGAAACACAATTTATCACTCGCCAACCTAAGCATTACGACAGCCCATGGGACTCTGAAGATGACTCGCCTGATGACGAGGAGCTGAATGCAGTTATGGAACAACTAAACGATGACGACGCAGATGTCGGCATCGAGCGGCACGCGACTCCTTACCAAACAATCCACGCAACACCCTTCCAACCGAGACACGACCACTTCACGGAGTCGATGGGTGGTCCCACAAAAGAACAGCGCTTTGGTTCTGCGGAGGCCCGAAGTGAAGCCCCCAGCCCAAGCCCCGGTGGAGTCCCCAAGACCTACAGGCTCAGCATTCCCAGGCTTGGCTCGGACATCGACGCCAACAGCAATGCTACCTTCTCGCCACAGAAGAGCCTCATCTCTCGTCTCCAGTCCCCTGTTCGCCATCTTATTACTGAGAATGACCATGTCAGTGACTGGGATGACATGATCTCCGCCGGTGAAGACGAGAAGTTCTTGAACCGTAACCGCTTCTTCGACCGTCGCATCAACGATCTTGTTGGCTCCGCCATCGACGAGCGCTTAGGTCCTATGGAACGTGCTTTGGCTGTCATTCAGCAGTCTGTGGCTTCTATTGCCACTGATACTGCAAGCAGAAAGGTCTTCCGCGGCACATCCGCCGAGATGGAAGACAGTGATGCCGATGATGAGGATGATGATGCTGAGGAAACTTCGATTCGCGATCGTTCCCCCCACAATATGAGAGAACGTAAGCTGGAGATGCTCAAAAATGTTGTCATGGAAGCTTTGGTTACCCATGACATTCCTCAGCGCATTTCCCCGCACTCCAGCCACAGCGAGATGGCGCAGCTCAAGGAAAGCATTTCTGAACTGCAGGCTCTCACGATCAAGAAGCTCGCTCAGGACCCTGTTGGTGATATGCGTGAGATACTCGAGGAAGCCATGGCCAAGCAATTGGCTCAGCAGGTCGCCTTGCAGAAGCCCCCGAGCCCGCGTCTTTCGGAGGCCGAGGAGATTGGTGCTGACAGCCTTATGCTTCAGATCGACGGCCTAAAGAGCATGTTGCGAGTTGCTGATGAGCGTGCTGAGCAGGAGTATAAGGATCGCCGCGATGCGCAGGATGCTATATCCGAGCTCCAGCGACTATTGAAGTTTGCTGAGGAAGATGCTGCTCGCCACAGTGCTGCTGCAGAGGATGCCGAGTCTCGTCTCCTACAGTTCAAGGAAGAGAAGATTCCCTACTTTGAGAAGATGCAGTTCCGCACCGAGTCTCTTTTGGAAGAGAGCGAGACGCTCAAGGTCACTATCGCTGAGCTGTCCACGAAGAATATCGCGCTTGAGGGTACCCTCGACGAATACCGTCTTTCCAGTGATACCTTCCGCCGCCAACTGGATACTTCCAAGGGTGAGAACAAGTCTCTTCATGAGACTATCGATCACCTGAGAACTCGTATTGAGGATAGCATGATCTCACGCCAGAATCTCACTGAAAAGTTCGATCGTCTTCAAGATGATATGCTCAGTGTCACTGCTGATATCACTCGTGATCAAGCTTCCTGGCGCAGAAAGGAGGAAGAGCAATCCGCTAGGTACAATGAGCTGCGCGCGTCGCACTCTCGCGAGCTCCAATTGCGCGAGAAGCTCGAGGAGGATGTCCGCAAATTCGAAATAAACGAGCGAGAGGCCACTAAATTGAGGTTCATCCAGGACCAATCTCAGCGAGAGAATGCTAGACTGGAGGAACTGATTACCAGCCTGCGGGCGGAGAACCATGACTTGCAAATCCAGGCTGCCCGATTTGAGCGGGAGTTCATCGAAGCCCGTGAAAGTAGCCATGCCGAGATCCAACGCACTCGCACCTCGATGGAAGCAGACCTTGAAGCTTCTAATAGTCAGGTTAATATTGTGCGTGCCGAGCTGGAGGCCCAAATTCTTCGTCTGGAGACCCAACTTGAAAATACTCGCATGGATACAGATACTGCTCGCGAGCGCTACGAGCTTCTCCTCGAAGAAGCCCAGGACTCAAAGGTTACCGCCCTGGCTGCTAAGGACCTTGCCATCGATGAGACGCGCAAGATTCACGAGCGCGTTCTCAATGACTTGCGTGAACGTCACGCTCGCGCTTTGCATAACTCTTCGGAGGATCGTGCACGCGGTGAGAGTCATAACATGGAGCGCATGGCTTTGTCCGAGGACAAGGCTAAGCACCTGCAAGAGCGCGTGAACCTCCTTGAAGAGAAGCTTGAGATCGCTCAAGCTGCTGCCCGTGCTGCTGCTGAGGCAGCCCACAGCGCCAAGGCAATCCCCATCCCTGCTCCAGATGCTGCACCCTCGCACTCGCGGGCAACGCCATCCATGTCCTACAACAAGGGATCTGCAGAGCCCGAGCGAATCTCCCCTCAAGCCCTGCGTGAGTCAATCTTTGTCCTCCAGGACCAGCTCCAGCAGCGCGAGACACGCATCGAAGAGCTCGAACAAGAAGTTTCCGCAATTGATAAAGACGCGCCAAATAAGATTAAGGAGAAGGACACCGAGATTACCTGGCTTCGTGAGCTCTTAGGCGTCCGAATCGATGACCTACAAGACATAATCCAGACCGTGTCCAAGCCCGCATTCAATCAGCAAGCTGTCCGCGACGCAGCCATCCGTCTTAAGGCCAACCTCCAAATGCAGCAGCAAGAAAAGGAACGCCTAACAACCGGCAACCTCCCCTCCCTCGCTGACATTGCCGCCTCACCCCGCTCCCTCCCTCTAGCCGCAGCCGCCGCCTGGGGAAATTGGCGCAAAGGGCGCGAATCTGCCACCAACTCTTCTGACCAGACCCCGTCAAAGCCCAGCAATGCGAGCACTTTCCTGTCCGGCCTTCTAACGCCCCCGAGCTCCCACGCCCGAGCGAACGGTACTGGCTCGCAGACTAGTGCTGCCGCGAGGTTCGCGCAAACTCGCCCCCTGAGAGGCCCAAGACGTGGCTCGGTTCGTAGCCAGGCGCCTATCACGGAACCGCCTCAAACGCCGCCTCTTCTCCGCCGCTCAAGTTATGACCATGACGCTGAGCCGGCGCACTACGAGGATGGGAGCTTCGCGGATGAGAACGAGAGTACCGTGGACGGGATGGTTTCGGCTTCGCCGAAATCGAGGGACGATGACGGCCCATTCGGGCCTCAGATCGACGAGGCTGAAGCTGAAGAAAGTGATATTCAGATTCAGGCCGACGCTGACGTCTCATCTTCGGACGAAGCCTCTACTGAGGAAGAGTGATTCAGCTGCCCTTGATCATTACCTGTAGATTGTTCTGGACTTTTCATCTCATCTCGGTGTTTCCTTGTTTTCTTTTGCTTCCGAAAAATGACTACAGAGCGATTCATCGATCTGTGATACCTTTGCTTTTTATCGTTTACTGCTATCTCTGCGTTTGGTGCCAGCGCCAATTTCTCGAATTTCTCTCCTCTCGTTACATCCATATTCCCCCTTTCGACATACATCCCTATCTTCCGGCTTCATGGCCGTTGATCAATGTTTGCGTTTTCGGATTTGATACCACGCCGTTATTTCGCTTGCTTTCCTACTTCCCCGTCCCCTCCCCAACCCCCGAAGACCTTGTACATTGAATATCCTACTTTACATTTTTTTCCATGTCCTATCGTTTGCATCCCTTCTATACATACTAATAGTCAATCTCTGCCGCTCTTTACTTTCTGATTGTTCTATATTATCCATCCGCCCCCTTTTGTGTGATATCGTTGTCGGATGTAGCCGTGTTTATAGTCACGCTTCCCCATTGCATCTACTAGCTTCTTGTAGCTTATTACTGTTCAAGTGTTTATTATTTCCAAATAAATTCAGACTACTTCCTATATTGTTGTCATAGTAATGTCCTCGTTGAAGTGTCAATCTCCCTTGTAGCCGCATGTGAGCTGAAGGCCTTGTCTGTTGCAGATATCAAGCCTCTCGTTCAGCGAGATTTATGGCTCACTGGGAATCAAGTTAAGCCAAAATTCACATCCTCTGCTGTAGGTATTTGGTTACTAATAGAAACTTAGATATATTGTGTGGTGTTTGCTTACTTGTTGCTTGAAATCGGTCAGTTAGAGCTTTTTTGTTATTGCTAGTTAACATCAGTAGGTTTGCAATTGATACACAGTGCAACAATATATATATTGTGGTACATCTTGCCAATTTTCAAATCTAGATGAATGTGAATCCTATGGGAGACTTGATAAATTCAATAAATAGATATGGACAGACCAATTATACATATTCTAATATAAATCCACCTAAGAGTATATATCGAGCCAAGAATCTTAAGGCGGAGCGGTGTTTATTGAAAGTGGTCCGAGCGCTGCCAATTGACACCTTGCGCGTTGACGGCCAACACCAACATCACCATCCACTCACTCGTCAATTCCCCCAGACTCACCGGAGTCAGCCGAAACCTGCAATTATGCGATTCTCAACAAGCACCATCCTGGTCACCGCGCTGGGGTGGATCACCGCCGCGACCGCACACACTATCCAGCTTAAGGCTCACTCACGAGAATGCTTCCACGAGTCACTGCACCGCGACGATGTTATGACTGTCACTTTCCAGGTTGGAGATCGGGAGTTTGGAGGGAGTGGAAACCTTGAGGTTGATTTCTGGGTATGAAATATTCCGGTCCGGGTTTTGGTGTTGGGGTGATTTGGTTGTCGCTCGGGAGTCCCCTTCTGCTCCGATAGTGGCTCTGGCATGGGGCATCGGATCCAGAAATCGAGAGATCTACAATTTCTGGAATTCGCCCAGCTGCTCTATCGGGATGGAGGGACTATTCAAATTGAGAACGGAAATGCTAACGCTGAGTTCGCGGTAGGTCGAGGATCCCCTGAGAAACCGCCAGTACTTCAAGCAAGCCGTTGCCTCCGATGATTACTCCTTCACCGCACAGGCGGACGGCAAATACAACTACTGCTTCAGCAACGAGGGCTGGACCTCGAACTCCAAGGAGGTTTCCTTCAACGTCCACGGAATTGTCTACGTGCCCGAACACGAGATGGCGCAGGATCCCCTCGAGGTCGAAGGTGAGCGCAAGGAAGAACAACGGAAGAATATTGAGACTGATCCTCTGCTACTATATAGTTCGCAAACTTTCCGAGGCTTTGTCGCAGGTGAAGGATGAGCAGTCATACATTGTTGTGCGCGAGCGAGTACACCGCAATACCGCAGAGAGCACCAACGGCCGCGTGAAATGGTGGAGTATGTTCCAGCTTATGGTGGTTATTGGCGAGGGTGTGTTCCAGGTGTGGTGGCTCAAGCGATTCTTCGAGGTACGTGGATTTCTTTGATCGAGATCTAGGACGAGATATTAACACTCGATATGCAGGTCAAGCGCGTGGTCTGAACCATATTTGCCGTCTTCTATTGATCAAAAACATCTCCTTTTCCCTTGTGTTATGCATTGACGAGCGGCAATTGTGGATTTTGGTATTCCTGGGCCAGTTCGTTTTCAGCGCGATTTACCAGGATAAATTTATCACGTTTTCACGTCACAGTGTCATGCGATCATCAAGTCTATTAATATATGTAAACCTATACTACCACAGTAACTAGATGATATGACTTGTATACTTGCGTAGTGTGTTTTAGATGTTGGTCCTGAGGGTGCAGCGGCCGGCAAACCGCAACAGAAAACTGCAGACTACGTGAATTTAGATCTAATTGATACATATGTAGTAACGCCGCATGTTTCCGCGAAAAAGGCTCTATACAAATTTCAAGGGATCCCTTGCAATCTTTTTTAATTTCGGGTATCCATACTTGACCCCGCAACTTAGTACTAGAGACAAAGTACAATCGCAGTTCTCTCAATGCAAGGGAAGAAAGAAATTCAACTATCGAGAACCAGGCCGTGTCACCACCTTACATGGAATTCTACCTACTTTGTAGGTACATGTAGATAGTGATGGGCCTCGAGGGAAACTCCAGCTTCTCTTTGAACAACCCTGATCCCAGCGATCCGCTCTTTCATGTTTGCTGGGGCCGACAGTTGTGTTCAAGCTGTCTTATTGATGACGTTTCCTGCAGCTGGTGTGCTATAGTATGTTAAACCCTCCTTTGCTGACCCTGATCTGTTGACGTTTTAATCGCAATGGTCTCCCTTCCTGATCGCTTTCATTCTATATGCACAAGCTCGCCACCATATGCGTTTTATATCCTGCTCCCTTGCGTCTTAGATCCCCAGAATGGAGAGAGGGGGTTCAAGGCCACAATTACCACGGAATAAATTATTGCCTTTGCTTTGACTCGATCAGCAAGATTAGACGCATGATCTTCTGCTCTGCGCTGGAAGAAGCTGACTATTGATTTCTATGCCATAGTCCTCAACCTGTGTTCCAAACCCGTCGCGGTTTCCAATATTTGCGCCTTTCGGCTCGGCAACAATATGCCCCCTTGGCTCCAAGAAGAGATGGGAGCTGAGAGCTCCGCCATTTGGGTGTCACGCTAGTACCCTGACTGTTATGTCAGTAACAGGCGCTGTGCTTGCGACAGTGGCGTTGGGCGCGGTAGGGGTTGGGTTGGTTTGGCTTATACGCTGGACCCGGTGGCGTCGCAAGGGAGCAAAGCATGGACAGTCCGACGAGGAAGAGGAGGGGCCATCTAGGTGGCGAGATTGGAATTCAGGATTTGCATTATCTGCTGGTCTCTTTTCTCACTGGAGGCGGATAGAGTGTGTAACTGAAGAGTGTGTAACTGAAATCGAGGAGAGGGAAGGAGAGGAGACAAGACCACTGTTGTAGGAAAATTAAATCAGAGGCGGCGATTGCTATATTTACATCTATAAGAACATGGAATGCTAACAAAATCCTGGAAATATAAGGTACATGCAGGCTATTCGGGGTTTTCTGGTGTATTGTTGTGCAACTTGCTATACAAATCAAGCCGCGCAATTGATCATATCGCGTACAACTAAAGCAATCTCCTCCGCAGTCTGTTTCTTCCTTGGAATTAGATGCCCCGCTCCATGATCAAATAGATCAGCGCTGTCTGGATCACACATGTTGTACAGGGCCATTGACCCGTCAAGGAACGGATCCGACGCACCGACAACATGGCAGGTGGGAATAGTGATCGGTTCTTCAATATAGTCGTCAGCAGTAAGAAGCTTACCAGTTACTGGGTGCACTGGTGGCCATCCGCTGAAAAGAATCGCCAATTTAAGTCGCGGTATCCGACCAAGTTCTCTCTCCCTTCGTTGCTCCTCGAGAATAAGTGAAGCAGCAATTTGAGCGCCTTCAGAGAATCCAATCACACCATCGATGTCATTTTCATCGTCAAGAATGCCAACCAAACGGTCCATGACCTCAGCGATACACGAGAATGTGGGATCACCTGCTGCCTTTGTGGCGGCTTTCATTGCCTCTTCCGGGGTGTCGCGTTTCGGGAAGTCGCTCATGTTGGTATGGACCAGTGCAGGTCCATCGACCTTGATGAAGGTGTAGTTGGGTGGCGGACCAAAAAACCCTGCAAATTCTGGGGGAACATGTACTTCAGTGGTTCCCTGCGTGTAGTGGAAGCTGGCATTTCCATTGGATGCGAGGGCATCGCAGAACGGGCCTGGACCCACCATTAGTCTCTTTCAACATTCATCGCTTCAATTGGAGCTTACCTAGCTGTGTTTTGAGAGCCTATTATTTAGTCAGCGTCAACTGGATGATTTCATTCCACGTGAAAAAAATGCTTGAATACCTTGGCGCTGCAATATCCTCCTGGGAGGCAGAGAAACTTCATCACGATGAGCTACTGGGGAATATGTTTGGAGAAAAACGTGAGGTGAAATATCTCTTGGAGTGTTCTATAAAAACCCCGTCGATGCAAGGAGGTACCAAGAGATTGTGCCATCAGGAATCTGCAGGGTGCTCGGGGACTCGGGGATTTTGACTCTGTGGATGGAATGTACGGAGTACGCACCCTCGCCTTAGCAAGGGCATTAGAACAAAGACTATCCAAACCATCCATACATGGGCAATATCAGATACTGGTCCCGATCTGCAGTCCTGAAAACCACTAATGAGAGAATGAGCATAATCTCATGCATGGAGGATCCCATTGATGTGCCTCAGGGCTTGCGATTTGCTGGGTTCGCTATCAAGGAAAACAGCCCTGGAGGCATATGACTTCTCTCGGCCTATAATTGCTTGATTGAAGGTTAAATCCCTGTTTAAGCTGGGCAAATATCGTGCAGAGATCGGTATGCACACGCTTGGATGGTCATGCAAGGGTGATTTACACTCTACTTTGGACAGCATCTCGACGCCCTTTTTGTTTGTCCTCTGCCTTTCACGAAGTACTTGGATGAACCGATTGCCAGTTTCGAACACGCTGTGATTGTACAATTGTAAACATTTTTTTTTCTTCTTGCAAATCGATATTCGTTTCTTCTGATTTCTTCTGACACTTGCTGGACATTGATGGTGATCACACTGTCAGGTACATATTCGACATCACCAGCCTAAACAAGATTGAATCTATCGATCAAATATGCCCCTTCAACAGCCCTTCGAGACTGGAGCACCAGTTATTCAGAACCCAGCAGCCTCTTTGGACGAAAACCTTGACAAGATCCCTGATAATGTTACCAGCGATGAGCCCAAGCGGATGGCCATCATCGGCATGTCTTGCCGCCTGCCAGGAGACGTTTCGACAGCCGAGGAGTTCTGGGACCTCTGCTCTCGAGGCCGAAGTGCCTGGTCGCCAATCCCAAAGACCCGATTCAACGCTGATTCCTTCCATCATCCTGATCCTGATCGACCGGGCTCCTTCAACCCAGTAGGTGCCCACTTCCTGACAGAAGACATTGGCCTATTCGATGCACCGTTTTTCAACATTACACTCCAAGAGGCACGATCAATGGATCCGCAACAGCGCATTTTCCTTGAATGTGTGTATGAAGCGCTTGAGAATGCTGGGATCCCGAGCCAGGATATCACCGGCCAAAGGGTGGGAGTGTTTGCAGGCGGGTCATATTCGGACTACGAAATCAACAACACCAGAGATATCACAGCTATCCCCATGTATTGTGCAACTGGAACGGCTATGGCATTGCAGGCGAATCGGGTTTCACATTATTTTGACTTGAACGGGCCCAGTGTTACGGTTGACACAGCTTGCTCTTCCAGCTTGTCTGCTCTGCATCTGGCTGCTCAGAGTATTCGGAACGGTGAATGTTCAATGGCGATTGTAGGAGGATGTCACCTGAATATAACCCCCGAGCCTTTCGTCTCGATGACACGTTCCAGGTAAGTGCGACTGGCAATCCTCCTGGCACACAGAAGCTGATTGGTTCTCCTTCAAAGACTACTCGCTGACACTGGTCGCTCATATTCATTTGATCACCGTGGCACTGGCTTTGGTCGCGGTGAAGGTGCTGGATGTATTATATTGAAATCTCTTGAGGATGCAGAGGCTGCTGGCGATGCCATCCGCTCTGTGATTATTAACAGTGGTCTTAATCAAGATGGACGGACCAGAGGTATTGCAATGCCAAATGGCAAGGCACAGGAAGCACTGATGCGTCAAGTCTATGAGGAGGCACGCATCGACCCATCATTGACAGGATTTGTGGAGGCTCACGGCACAGGAACTAAAGTTGGTGATCCCCTCGAAGCCACTGCATTGAATGCTGTATTTGGAAAAGGACGGACTCCACGCCAACCGTTGCTTGTGGGGTCTGTGAAGTCCAACATTGGTCATACAGAAGGAACGAGTGGTGTTATTTCTGTGATAAAAACGACCCTCGCACTTGAGAGAGGGTTTGTACCCCCAAACTGCAATTTTGAGAAGGCCAACGATAAGATACCAATGGAGAAGTGGAATATGAAGGTCGGTTTAAGGCAAGACTACAAGTATCAATGAACCCAGCTAAAGACCCAACTAGGTTCCCAACAAGCTGACGCCATGGCCGCGTGGCAAACCGTATGCTAGTGTTAACAACTTTGGCTTTGGCGGGACAAATGCCCATGTTATTCTACAGCGTGGGCCCCGACACGGAGGTGACCTTGCGGCAAACAATGATCCTCTGAAGCGCAAGTTGTATGTTGTCTCTGCATACCATAAACAAGCTGCTATCCAACTTGGAAAATCGATTGGAGCGTATCTAGATCTCTACCCAGTGGTTTTCAATGACAGCACTCTGGATAACATGGCCTATACACTGGGACAGCGACGAACATTCCTGCCATGGAGATTGGCGTCTTCTGCAATCATTGGACAGGAGCTGACTGCATCGCTGTCTATTGACGCAGTGCCTGTTCGTTCTTCCAAAGAACCTACTGTCGGCTTTGTGTTTACCGGACAAGGTGCGCAATGGCACGGTATGGGCAAGGAACTCCTGAGCACCTACCCGGTTTTCAAGCAGACCATGAAAGACGTCGACGCTTGCTTGAAATTACTCGGTGCTCAGTTCTCAATCATAGGTATGTCTCAACTCGATCCGACACTACCCACAGAGATATTGGCAGATACTAACGTCCCACATACAGATGAATTGCTCTTGACTGACCCTAGCGCAAGCTCTATCTCTGCCGCATACATGAGCCAGCCTGCGTGTACCGCAGTCCAGTTAGCATTAGTTGACTTGCTCTCATCCTGGGGTATTCGTCCCAAGGCAGTGGTGGGCCATTCTAGCGGAGAGATTGCAGCAGCCTATGCTGCAGGCATTCTGAATCTCGAAGAATGTGTTCGCGTGGCGTATTCTCGTGGTGTCGCAGCAAACCTAGTTGCAAACGACAAGTCTATCAAGGGAGGTATGTTGGCAGTTGGAGCTAGCGCCTCAGATATTCAGCAAATCCTAGATGCTATGCGAGGGAATCAGGCTGTTATTGCCTGCGTGAACAGTGAGTCAAGCGTGACTCTGTCTGGAGATGCGGAGGTTATCACCGATCTGCAGGCTGCCATGGACAAAGAAGGGATCTTCACCCGGAGACTGCAGGTTGATGTTGCTTACCACTCTCATCACATGAAGCTAGTATCACGGGAATATCGGACCCTGCTCGGCAAGATTGCGCCTCGGGACTCCGAGGTTCCATTCCACTCGACGGTTCATGGAAAATTGATTCCAGGAAGCTCTTTGAATGCCTCCTACTGGGTCGATAATTTGGTTTCCCGTGTGGAATTTGTGGAGGGCCTCAAGAGCCTTGTGACCGTCGATGAGGGGAATACACCTATCAGTACATTGATTGAAATCGGCCCTCACCCTGCCCTGCAAACACCAGTCAAACAAATCGCCCAAAAATATGCCTCAAATTCCAATGTGCAATACCTCCACACCTTGAAACGCAAAGTAGATGACATCGAGGCCGTCCAAAACCTCGCTGGCTCACTGTTTACACAGGGTATGAATCTCAATTTCCAGGCCATCAACTTCCCGAACTTGAAAACAACTTCAAGGAAGCCAGCAGTTTTGACAAATCTGCCTAAATATCCGTGGAACCACACAGAAAGATACTGGTTCAGCTCACGGATAGGTGATAACCATTTCCATCGCCAATTCCCCAGGAGTGATATCCTTGGCTCATTATGTATGGAGAATGTTGACTTTGAGCCTCGATGGAGGAACATCATTCGTGCAGATGACCACCCTTGGATCCGCGAACACAGGGTACATGACAGCAATGTGTATCCAATGACCGGATTTTTGGCCATGGCCATGGAGGCTATCTCACAACACGCAAAGTTATACCATATTACTCCTGGAAAGATTGATCTTCGCGATATCTTCATTAGCCGTGTTCTCACCATCCCGGACAACTCATCCGTGGAGACAATGCTCTGCTTGAAACCATCCCGAGCAGAAGCTCCTAGCAAATCAGTCCTCGGCTGGCACGAGTTCAAGGTTTTCTCGTGGGCCGAGGGTCGCGGGTGGGACCAACACTGCAATGGTTTCATCATGGTGCAAGAAGCCAAGGATGTCAATCCTGTCGATGGGTCTCGGCAGCAGCTCGACAAGACTGTACGATTCACGCAACAATCATTGAACATGCGAAATTCATGTAACGTGCCTGTTGACAGCAATGTCCTCTATGAGAACATCACCAGCGGTGGTATCCATTACGGTCGTCTTTTCCAAGGACTGGCCGATATCTCTGTGAGCAGGGATAATCAAGCCATGGCTACTGTCCGTATTCCAGACACGAAGACAGCGATGCCTTACGAGCATGAGACCCCGTGCATTGTGCACCCTGTTACGCTCGATTTATGTAGTCAACTCATGTGGGTCCTTCGTGGTTATGGCGAGCCTGGGCCGAAAATCACCCATGTGCCGTCCCATGTGAAGCAGGTCTCCCTTTGGCTGTGCCACGAAATGAGTGCTGGCACTGTACTGCAGCTGTACGGTAGCAAATCAGGAAATGAATCGGCAAGCAACCCTGAGACAAACCGCATATTCGCCACTGCTCCCAGTAACCCAGCAAGTCTGCTGATTGATATCAATGGTATCACCCTGGTGCCGGTATCAAACGATATCAAAGGTTCAAAGGACACTTCACCTGACCAGATTTGCTACAAGATGCAATATGAGCCCTGCTTCGATTTCCTCTCCGCTGAAGATTATCGACAGTTACCTCGCCCTGAGACTGATGTGGCTCAAGGCATTGAACGTATGCACCAACTCGAATCGGTGGCAGAGTACTACCTTGCACAGATGGTAAATACAGTGACAGAAGACGAATTGTCGAACTTCGAGCCCCATCATCAGCAATTCTATCGCTGGGCCAAGAAAACCTGCCAAAATGCGGGCACTAAAGATGCCTTGCCCCTTGAAGTTCTCGAACAGAACCGAATTTCCAATGGAGCGGGCGAGTTAACATCCAAAGTTGGAAGGATACTTCCTCAAATTCTCAGGGGCAAGGTAGACGCCTTGACTGTACTTCTGGAGGACGATGGAATTGGAAGGCACTACAGTGACCTTGACGGTCTTCGTGAGGCTTATGCTAATGCCTCTGTCTGCATTGACAAGATGGCACATCAGAACCCTACGCTCAACATCATTGAAATTGGTGCTGGAACAGGTGGTGCTACTATGCCTATTTTGCAAAGTTTGGGCGGAAGCGAGGGAGGACCTACACCACGGTTCGGGCACTATACCTACACCGATATTTCTCCTGGCTTCTTTGAAAAAGCCAAGACAAAGTTCGAGAGCTGGGGACATCTCATGACATACAAGACACTAGACGTGTCAACTGATCTCACTGTCCAAGGCTTTGACAATGGCACATACGATGTTGTAGTTGCTTGCAATGTGCTGCATGCTACTTCCGACATCAGTCAGACAATGGCCAACATCCGAGGCCTTTTGAAACCTGGCGGCAAGCTGTTACTCATTGAGGAGACCGTTCCCAAGGCACGCCACTTCCCATTCGCCCTCCTCCCTGGATGGTGGCTGGCCAATGACAAATTCCGTAAGGACGGACCGCTCCTCACTGTCGAGGGATGGAGCAATGTGATGAAGGAGAATGGCTTCTCTGGGGTTGAGTTGTGTGTTGAGGAATATCCCGGAGCATCTTTCCAATCTGGTTGTGTCATGACATCCACCGCTAATAGCCCAATAACTGGCCCTAAAAACGCTGGCGATGTTGTGATTCTAGGCATTGATTCGATTGGTGGTGTATCGTCTCTTGCCCTCGAATCTGGTCTTAGAAGGATGACTGGTGTTGACCCAATCACCGCCATGGACTCTGATGCGGTTGATGTTAGCGGGAAGTGGTGTATTTTCCTTGGGGGGATGGATCGCTCGATCTTATCGCACCTCACTCAACAAAAATTTGAGACCCTGCAGCGTCTTCTGAGTCGGGCTCGAGGCCTGCTGTGGGTTATTCGTCACACCAAATCTGACCTGGAATCCCTTGGCGCGAACATGGCAATTGGACTGGCTCGCACTGTGAGATCAGAGACTGGCCTTCAGTTCGCCACACTCGACCTGGGAGAGCGAGAGAGTATGTCTGATGCTGAGACCGTCAGCCACATGCTCAAGGTATTTAACGGAGCCTTCTGCCAGAAATCACAGCTGGCCCAGAACGACTGGGAGTTTGTTGTCCGCAATGGCAAAGTTTGTGTGCCTCGCTTGGTTGATAACAACGCATTGAACCTAAGTGTCCAGCAAGAGACACCAGATGCTCCTCCCCAGATGCAGCCTTTCAAACAAGCTCGGGCTTTGCGACTTGCTGCTGGAGATGCGAGGGGTCTTGATGAGCTTTACTTCACAGACGATGTTTCCCGGGATGGACCCCTGCCAGAAGACCACATTGAGATCCAGGTCCACAGCACTGGTCTCAACTTCAGAGATGTCTTGATGGCCATGGGGCAGCTTCACGGCGACAGACTCGGGCAGGAATGCAGTGGGGTCGTGACTCAAGTAGGAGCTGCGGTGTCTGACTTCAAGATCGGAGATCGAGTCTGTGCAATGTCACCCGGTTCCTTGTCAACCTTCACTCGTTGCCCGACCTCCGGGTCCTTGGCCATTCCCCGTGATATGCCCTTCGAGATCGCAGCTTCGATCCCAGCTGTGTTCTGTACTGCTTACTACTCCCTCATTGACCTGGGGCGATTGACTAAAGATGAGAGGGTCTTGATCCACGCCGCCGCAGGAGGCGTTGGCCAAGCTGCAATTATAATTGCCCAGAGTGTTGGAGCTAATATTTTCGCAACCGTTGGCAGTGTCGAAAAAAAGAACTTCCTCATGGAAACTTACCAGCTCAAAGAAGAAAACATTTTCTTCAGTCGTGACATGTCATTTGCACAAGGTATTCAAAATGCCACTGGCGGTCAGGGTGTGGATGTTGCTCTTAATTCCCTTAGCGGTGATGCTTTGCAAGCAACATTTGAGTGTGTTGCGCCGTTTGGTCGCTTCATTGAACTCGGCAAGCGAGATATAACGACAAATTCTCGATTGGAGATGGCTCACTTCAACAAGAATATCTCCTTCGCATCTGTTGACTTGGGAATGGTCAGAGAGAAGCGCCCGCAATTGACCAAGCGCCTACTGCGTGATGCGTTCAAACTGTTTGTCGATACCAACGCCCAGTCCAGGTGGTGTGTCACTACTCTTCCCATCTCAGACGTTGAGACCGGCTTCCGGGCCCTGCAGGGTGGACAAGTGATCGGTAAAATGGTCGTCCAAGTGACGGATGACTCGATGGTTAAGGTATGTTTGCTCAGGTCTATCACAGTCGCTTTTAGAGCGAATGATCGCTAATTCATAATACAGGTCCACCCCGCTAGAAGGGACGAAAACTTGCTCCGCTCAGACGCCTCATATGTTATCGTTGGTGGAACTGGCGGAATTGGTCTCAGCATTGCTAGTTGGCTGCCAGAGAAAGGAGCCAAGAATCTTATTCTGGTTTCTCGAAGTGGTGTCAAGACTGAACAGGCAGAACAAACTATCCAGAATATTATCCACCAGGGTGTCAATGTGAAAATCTGTCATTGCGATGTGGCAGATAAGCAGAGCGTGGAGCAAAATCTCCTTCCGCTCCTCACTCGCATGCCTCCCGCGCGTGGTGTTATATTTGGCGCTATGGTCCTCCGGGTGAGTTCCCCAACATCAAACACCAACCCATACCTCCGCTAACCCATTTTTCAGGATACCCTCTTTGAAAAGCTTAGTTTCGCGGACTACCAGACCGTGATGATGCCTAGAGTCCACGGAATCTGGAATGTTCAACAGTCATTGACAAAAACTAACGGAAGCGTGGATTTCTTTGTCTGCCTCTCGTCTGCCTCTAGTTTTGTTGGTAATATGGGCCAGTCCCCCTATGCAGCCAGTGGAACCTTCATGTCAGCGATCGCCCAGTACCCCGAGACAGCCAAGATGCGTTGTTCGACGATCGATCTGCCCATTGTTCGCGGAGTCGGATACCTCTCCGACGACCAGAAGCGTGAGGCAATCTCCAAACAACTTGGTACGGAGTCCGTCGATGCAACAGATATCCGTGGTCTTGTAACTGCAGCAATCCGCAACGAGTTCGACGACTCATGCGAAGGACACTGCATAGTTGGCTTTGCAGCCGTCAAATCCACACCTGTCAGTGAACAGCCGTTCTGGGTAAACGATACCAAACTGTCTCACTTGTTGCGGCTCTCCACTCTCGCTGGTGCAGGTCTACTGGTTGAGTCTGCGCAGAACGGTACTGAGATTTCGCCGGCACTTGCTATCCGGCAATCGAAGACCCGCGAAGGGACCGAGGCCATTATTGGAGTTGCTGTGCTAAATAAGATTTCCAGCATCCTTACGCGTCCGATGGAAGAACTTGATCCTGCTGCACCTATCTCGGTTTATGGTCTGGATTCGCTGGTTGCTATTGAGATCAGAAACTGGATCACCCGCGAGTTGGAAGCTAATTTGCAGATCCTGGAGATTTTGACGAGTGAATCTGTGCCAGCTCTTGCTGAGACGATTCTCAAGAAATCTGGTATACTTACTCCTGACCTGAAGGTGGAATGGGGTCTTGATGGAATGGAAGGCCGAACTGCCTAAGAATGAATATTTTCCTTATCTTCATAATCTTTAGTTTCAGAATATATCCTGCGAGGTATTGATTTTCTGCTTTCATCTAGCAATGGCTTATACGCTACCGTTTTTCCTTTTTGTTGATCATATCTTGTTGGCTCAAGATTGAATTTATACCATTTATGCTTCAAATTTGCTCCGCATGTGATCTTTAAGGAATTAGGGAATAAATAGTGGATTTTTGTAGATAACCCAACAAACGGTTTTCCAACATTCCCCCTTGGGTGTACTATTGAGGAGGAGAGAAAATGAAGGGGGGGGGGTTTATACTCGTAGGTACATCGCGCCCTCCAAATCTGTGTGGATGCCATCATGGGTTGGACTCACCTTGTACATGTCCCATCGGATTTAGAGGCCCCCAGTCTCCCCATAGAATGGTAGCTCATCTATAGCACCTACTGGCAAACCTACCTCTCCCAAATTGAATGATTGGCTTGAATCTTCTCTTGCGTATGAGAGCAGCTTGAAGTAGGCACTCATCAAGGACCCGGAGCAGAGCTGGTACTTTGAATACAGGAGGGATTTAGATGTTATGGATGCTCGCTACTAGAATACCTGTTCCGTATAAATGCAAATATCGCTTGGAGAGTATGGTGTGTACATGCTCATGAATCGATTTTCTTTTTGTGTAATCGAATGCGATTTGTTTATCTCCCCTCTGACAAATATAGGGTTAACCGTGTTCAAACCCTTGATCCTTGACAACCAAAATTCTAGATGTTCGCTATCCATACCCGAAGTAAACATACGGCATGGCCGAGATATTAACTTGGATATCTCATGGTCTAGACAGGGACTGGCCACGTGTATAGATCTAATGTTCTTTCTTGGGAAACAACGCCCTCGGTTCTTTCTTTTCTTTCTTTTCTGCAAAAAAGTTGACCCATTGGGGTTTTCGATGGTTTCGGATTCTCTTGTTACTCTCTCCCATTCTTGAAACACCATGACGCCATTGCCACCATTCAGAGGTTTGCCAAATTGTCTCTAACAGAGTAATCCCCGGCCCCGAACATCATGGACCAGAACGTCAGAAAAGAAGATTTCCCGCTTTTTAAGTACAGTGAGTTCGACGTGGTTGCTCTCTGTCGACTCGCGGGCACTTTGCGGCGAGATGTTGCGTGCTCATGCGACTTGAATCAGCGTCCGAAACGAGGCGGCTTCAACTGGGCCGTTTTCGTTGTATTTAAAGACGGCCTTGAATGGGTTCTCCGCTCACCAGTGGAGAATCACCCCGAGATGTCTAGCGAGAGTGTCTCCAAACTTCTTGCGAGTGAAGCCGCTACGCTCAAATATCTCAAAGCCTACACTGACATACCTGTTCCTGATGTTTATTCCTATTGGTAAGTGAGCTGCAAGATAAATACTGTGCATGGAGCTGATCTTTGAAAGCGCTCATCGAGACAACCCTCTCCGGATCCCCTACATTTTGATGAGCAAAGCCGAGGGCAAGACCTTGGAAACCATGTGGGGGGGAAGTGATCTTCACCATCGTCTGGATTCACTGGAAATCAACAAAGTTATGTATCAACTGGGCCGCATTGCATGGAAACTTGCTCAGGTCCGCTTTGGCCAAATTGGGTCTATATATGAACAAAATGGATTTTTCGTTATTGGAGAATGCTTATCAAAAGGTCACATACAACATAGGCGACATTCCTTGAAAGGAATTTCCCGTGGACCATTTATCAACGAAAATGATTTCTATACCAGCCTCATAGGGGCCTTGATCAGGCATGCTGAAACGCTGCCATTGGTGCACCATTGCTTCACTGCACCGGTACCCTCTAGGAATGACTATCCTACTAGGGATCTCTGGAATGGTGCCTGCGATCTTTGGAATGACTTCCTCACCATTGGAGAAAAGGTTGATGGCGCCGCGAATAGAGTGGACTATGTCATTGCTGCTCATGCGCTCAATCGTTTAATCTCTCAATATGTGAGCAACTGGGCCGAAATCACGTCCCCGGTAACCTTTGCGCTCTGCCACCCAGATCTCACAACGAACAATATATTCGTCGACGATCAATACAATATTATGTGCATCATTGACTGGGCGTTTGCCACGACTGTGCCCCTTCCTTTCCTTTTGGCACCACCCGGATTTCCCCAGTCGCGGCACAGGTTAGAAGATAGATTCTGCCTTGGTTTCAGCGATGGCTTCAAAGATGCAGCGTTATTCAACATGCATCGTCCATCAGTGGGCTTGTCTGTTCCCAAAGCTCTTTATTGTGTTAGAAACAGCCAGTTTGCTTGGTGTCTCTCAAGGTTTCTAGCATTTGATTCCACTGACGACCTTTCCCTTTTTCGTACCATGTGGGAATCAATCTACCCGTCAGGCCCGAAGCTCGAATCGTATTTCTTTTTACAAAGAGCTCAAACCTATTACCGAAACTTGCACAAAAAGATCAAAATCGAGGATTTGCCGGAAAGTCAGATCCAAACGTCAGAGACTGACCTTTTCACCAAACCCTTGATCTTCGAGAGATCTTTGGCTCGTCATCTGACCATGATTTCGGACTGGGGATTCAACTATGACCCATCGAAATTATCTGGTCTCCGAGATACAGAGGAGATATTCACAACTGAGCCACGGCTTTGGCGATGGGTTATGGAATTCCAAAGACAACAACGCGACAGGTTCCGCAGTGAGGAGCACAACTAATGACAGTTCGGCAGCGATGGCTGCCCAAATCTGATCCATACGGTTGATAGGGAGCACGCAAGTGTATTATTAGAACAAAAAAAGCTATAATTATGCCCATTGAATCCATGTTTCACTTTCTCAGGCCTCAAAAGACCTACCTACAACCAAAATGATCGGAAATTTCTTTTCTGATGAAACTTGTTAGTCCATTGTGACTGTTAACCATACTCCATAGCTATCTTACCAGGGGGCTTTATTCTTGGTGTACTCAAACGAAGTCTGTCGGATTGGTTTGCCGAATACAATCGAAAGGCTCATCAATGAACCAAGTATCATGTTGCTGATCATGCACAATGGGATAGGTAGTGCCAGGGTTACAAATTTTGTCGATTTGAGTCTTCTCACCCGCACTAATAGTGAACCAATAGTTGTTGGTATCGTTGCTAACCTTCTCGCATTTGTAGAAGAACCCTGTAACCCCGGGGCCAAAAACATCGCTGCGGAAGTCGATGGCCAACTTCTTGTTGAGATTGATGTTGTCGCAGTCCTGCTTCAAGCCCTCTACAGAGGCTGTCTCCGCTGATTTGCTGGTATATCCTTTCGCCGTGTGTGTGCCGCTAGCTGACCATGTCGATGCTGGCAGGGATAGCTGCTGGGCAACCTCAGCTAGTAGCAAGCTGTTTGAGACAGTTGCCGCAGAGCAGTCGATACCGGCACTCATGATGCCGAAAGTTTTGAGTAGCATTGAGCTGTTGATCTGAACCATGTTGATCTGATTTCAAGTTGATTGTGATGTAGTGGGTTAGCTTCTTACATTTCTGGGGGATCTGTGATTTAAATGGATTTTGCACGGGGATATAATTCCCCCTGAGGCTCCAATTTCCTTATGGTGGGGATCGAATCTATCATTCAAATGTTGTTTTTTTGGAAAACAGTTTCTGAAAAGCGTCCGGAGACATCGTGAACATGATGTAACGGGACGACCCATCCCCCACGTCCAAATTAGGGGCTCATAGCCGCGTCTATGATGCCTTGTTGCAGCACAATCTGGGAATCGCTCATTCAGATAACCTAGAGGTCAACATTGAGCTCTAATTTCAAAATTGAGGCGCGCAAGCACTTAATTTTATATCCACTACTGTTTCTCAAACCACTGGCAGAAATGACTCCCAAGTTTTGACGAATTTGGGAAATATTGACATTTGAGGCACTACAATAATATTCCGGTTACCCTTGGCACTTTGTACCTTTATCCTTTCATCATTACTTGACACTGATTTTTATGATGCTTGCAGTTTATATTTTTTAATTGAAATGTGTACTGTTTCGAGCATATGTTATCGAGATCTCTGGGACGATCTGGATAAAACGACTCGACCCCACAATTCTTTCTTCCTTTCTCCTTTCTTCCTCGTACTTCGTATCTTGTAATGAATGCACTCTTCTCTTTGAGACAGAACTGACTGGTAACACGAACCATATTATTCGCGACAGTCGTAGCTGACCTAGTTCCATGTTAGCCGCCCGGGAGGCAAATGATCGAGACGTGGTGTTTGTCGATTCGACCTAATGTAATCCGTATAGGTATTTGAGTCGCTTGAAGCTTGCACATCGAGAATACTAAAGCTTTCATCTAGAATTTCCTTCGCGGCAGCAGCCTCGATCGGCAAGGGCCAAGGCACATATCCAGCCGATCTGGAACGTTTCTCGCGGGGGATAGGCCATGTGTAGGGTGAGTTACACTCCGAATAGAACCATGTAAAAAGTTCATGTCGTTGGGGACGGGACAGAAAACCATATCTGCCTCCAAAGCTTCGGGACAGCAACAGTCAAACGGCTATTAGCAGTCGAAGTCATCCATCCCACCGAGGGGCTGTGTGTAGGTGCCAAGAGACTAGCTGTTCCGGATGCGGGCTCATAGCCTAAGGATTTTTAACTGTAGCTTAGCTGAAGGGGTCAGTGCAGCCTCGCGCGACCAGGCAAAGCGGCTCTCACCCACTTCTCACCTGGCACCTGAGTGTTAGCTGTTAGCCGCACATGCCACATACCGGTGAGTTAGTAGTGCTCACTAGCAAATTTGTATTCAATAATAAGTTTGATTCTCCTAGGCGGCCCTTCTTTCTCTCTCCTTTTGCTTCATACCGTCATTTGGATCCGAGGAGAATGAAAAACTTAGTACGGGAGGGGGAAGGACGCGTTAGTTTAGGAAAATACAGGATATCCAGATGTAGAATAGTGGTGTTCAGGGCATTCATCAATGCACTCAAGTGATAAAAAAAACAACTACAATATGAGGACCTGTGGGATTGACGCCGAAAATGACCGCTTTTGACGCCAGAAACGGCTGCCTTTCCACCCGTAACTTTGGACGTCCAGCCGACACTCATGGTTCATGCTTACGAAGGGCGTCAGCCGGGTCTCCATTCGCTGCATAATTTTGGGATCACCCGAGTCTGCTGCAGCCTGGTATTGAATACGTGATGCAGGCATCCAGCGAGGCCAGTAGCATGTGCGGTATTTTATAACAAAGAATACGGAGTAGATCTGCGCCATCAGGGGCTGGGCAATGTAACATCATATGGGGCGAACGAAATGGAGGTTGCGGAGAAAAGGATAGCACTTATGACGGATTGACTAGCGTATAAATGATAGGCTTAGAATGTCAGCACCGCAGAGTTGGTTGTAAAAATAACCACTATTTGTTGAGGCTCAACCGCCCATAGCCACAATGACAAAACCCGTTTTCCTCTCCACTTCCCCGCCATCACCTAAAAGAGCCTACTCGACACCGAGTTACTGGAGACTACTTCGGTGGACCAAGTGATATCACAATGGCAACTCATCCGCCATATTCGGCTTTACACGACGGCCAGAGCGAATCTGATCTCGAGCTCGAAAGGGTTGAAACCCAAGCCAGTCCTCGTATGTCTGTTCATAGGCATGTCAGCGAGACTGAAATCGGCGTCTCAGAAATAGACGGTATGAATGTGCATACACAACTGCAAACAGACATTGAAACGAAGCAACCTGGGTTCGATTGGAGCGGCTCTTGGGTATGGGAAATAGCATCTATTACTCTAGCCGTCGTGGGCCTTGTTCTTTTGGTCGCCTTTCTTGTCTCGATAAAAAACACCCCATACGCGAGCTGGCAATATACCGTGTCCCCTAATACTATCGTGTCAATCATCGTCACCATTACCAAAGCCGCAGTGCTCGTCTCGGTGTCCTCATGTCTCGGCCAGCTGAAATGGAACCTATTTCAAAATTCAACTCCGCTATATCATATGCAGGTTATTGACCAGGCAAGCCGGGGACCCTGGGGATCCTTGGAAGTTTTACTGAGGGGAATATTTGGGTCGAAAACAGGAAGCCTAACTTATGCTGGGGCATCTCTTACGGTTCTGGCTCTTGCAGTGGATCCATTTGCGCAGCAAATTTTAACGTTCCCTTTACGAACTGTTACTATACTAGATCCCACTGCGTTTACCCAAACCTCACAGAAATGGTACTCTATAGGGGATTCGGATGCAAGTGACGTATACCTTGAGCTCCAGCCTTCCCTTTTGACTCCAATAATAGGTGGACTCTTGCAGATATCTAGTCCTCTTGAGCCTCAATGCGAGGCAAGCTCTTGTCAATTCCCAGATTTTGTTGCACTGGGGATGTGTAGCAAATGCGAGGATGTCACATCTCAAACAAATCAAAAGTGTCAGGTACCAGAGTACTCAAATCATTGGGATTATTCCCACCCGGCCTTTAGGGAAACCCCTATGAATTGCAGCTACCAATCTCCGAATAACTTCTCTTTCGATTTTCATGGGTTTCAGTCAATGTCTTACGGGTTCGGCAATGTTACGTACGACAATATCACGCTTCGTATGAACCATTGGAGTTCCCATCCAAGGAAAAGGGACCCAATTTTCGACATTCAGACCCCAATTGTCTCCCTTACTGAGGTGGACTATAACAACCCGGTTTTCTACACTCTATCCAACGCGACAGCTCCCCCAACAAAGCCATTAGTAACAGAATGTGCTATATACTTTTGCGAGCGACGATACTCAGAGAGCGTATACCCATCTAGCGCCCAAAACAGCAGTCCAATGCATGTTATTGATACACAGCAGCTTGTTGCTATAGATGTCCGTGAAGAAAGTCCCACTTCTTTCTCAATGAATTCCGTTCACTTTGCACCCCCAAACGGGTCGGCAACCCTATCAAATGACTCGTCCTACAGCATCGATCATCAGACGTTCAACGGTTTCGAACCGACAATGATGAGGATTTTCAATAGTACGGTTGTTTTGACTGGGAGCGTATCAACATCAAATTTGAATCTGGAAACATTTCTGCGCAAAGGAAATCTCAGTCAATTACTCGATTCAATGTCCACTAGCGTCACTGATGTCCTACGCGCCAATCGTCGGGGTTACAAGATTACGGGGAAGACATCTCGAGTAGAGACATTCATTCATGTTCGATGGCCGTGGATCATTCTTCCGGTTATTGTTACCCTGGGATCAATCGCGCTGCTTCTGGGAACTGCAATAGGAAGCAAACGCCGCAAGGCCGTGCTGTGGAAGTGTATGGTGCTTCCGTTATTATCAAGCCATCTCCATACCACACCGGAGAATGAGATCGCATCTGTGCGCAGCGTGGATGGAATGACTGAGAAATGGAAGAAGATACGCGCTGTAATGGTAGAGGATGAAGGGCCACTTACATTCAGGGAAAAGTAACAATGTCCCTGCATGCGGTATATGAATGAAGATGGAATGCACAAGTTATTGAGCGAAGCTGTAGACGGTACATTAAGCCCTCGTAAAATATGCAATATGTTATCATGAGAAAGAGTGCATTAAACTAGAAGAGCAAAGATGGGGAAGAAGCGAGAGAGGGATACTGGGGGTTCTTATATTAGAAGATCTCGATATGCAAACAATGCAAACAAGCCTCTCCTTCCCGATTAGGCTTAGCAGCACTTTGAAGAATAAAGAAATAAAGCAAACGATGAACGCAAACGATGAAGTAGCAAATGATCCCTGACATGTGACAATGCATGTGACACCATGTGGAGATTGTCAGATTGTGACACAATGTATAAAAAGATATATAGATCCAGCCCGTAGTACCAGTAGATAGCTAACGGCGAGCTTTGCGTATGTTGTGATGTGAAGCTGTGAGATCCGATCTAGAAGATGGGAGGAGAATCAAATATATGGTGCTAAACCCAAATGGTAAAACTGACCGGACACAGTAATTCACAGGTCCCAATATTACGAATCTGAGGAGATACCGAATTGATGCCGAAAATGACCGCCTTTCCACCCGTGACTTTGAACGTCTGCGCTTAACATAGCATATTTACGGCTCCTACGATAACTGTCGGAATATAACATGTAGTACGGAGTACTGGATGGAAACAGGGTATTGTACCCAAGAATATCATGTGACAACGAGGACCCCGCATATGTAGGTATAGTTATCCATAACTATACCAATTACAGAGATGTCAGCACGGATTGTCCAAAAGGCGGATTTTGTCATATTTACTAGTTGGATTTATGCAGATTCATTGACCATACCATGCCTTGCTTTACAACCAGATTTCTGTCAATTTAAGCCTATTGTTCTATCTCTTGCGCTAGGGAATTTGCCAACAGAGGGGTATGCTCATAGAAGCGTGTCTGGCCACGGATAACCAAATTGCTGTCTATTGGCAAGAATATAGTCTAAAATATATTTTCTCCGTATGTGATCACATCGTTCAGGTACAACAGCGCCTCAGCCGCCAAAGATGTCCGCTCGGATCCCTCGCGGGGACCAATCACTAGTCTTCCTATTATCGAACGAACGCCCCTGAGTCCTTCCAAGATTGTTCTAAGTTGTTCCTAGGCTGTTCCTAGGCAAGTTTTAAGCTTTGGATTATTTGCTATCTTTGATAGGTCAGTTCAATTATCTTATCGTTATTATGTACCTGGGTACTTCCTTTTGGCGGAGAGCTCCGATGGCCTTCTGGACTTTCCGAGATCAGGTTCTATGTTAAGACCTGGGCATAACCATTGATTTAACTAAGAAGTCTACAATGGGTTGTGTGGAGATCTCCGACGGGGTCTGTTTGATAAATCATAGATATGATGATGGGCTAATATAGTGGATTGAATATAATCTCCTCTATCAATGTCCGTCTAGTGATATGGATATGCCTGTCTCTCGCATCCTTCCCCTCCCTTGTGTTGGGAAATTACATGCCATTGACCAATTAATATGGATCTCTCACCTCGAGCTGCCACTTTTGACTGCGGTCCAAGGCTCCTGAGGGATATTTGGACGCTCACTGGTATCGCCATTTTCATAGTCGCCTTGAGGGTAACTGCAAAAATAAGAATTCGGAAATGGGGCTGGGATGACATTCTCATGGTTTCAGCATTGGTTAGCCTGCTCGTGTCATATCTCAGGGTTGTCTTAATTTGAATATCAAAACTGACCTGTTGCCTGGCACTTAGTGTCTTACTATAGTCGGATCAGCTCTGATTACGGTGGGCACCAAATATGGTTTCTGTCGCCATGTTTGGGACCTCGACACAAAGAAGGTCGTTCCAAAAGTTATCATGTTCGACTATTTGACACAGACATTTGGCATTGCTGGCGGTACTTTGGGTCGGATTTCCTTCATTATCTTCATCATTGGACTACTGGGCACCAGAAAATCACACAGAGTGATACTGTGGATCATAGTTGGGTTACAAATCGTGACTAACTTGATATTAATTATCATTTTATTTGTCCAATGTCCAGGACATGCTTCCGCCATCTGGGCACAGAATGGGGAGCATAAATGCTGGGATGTCCGCGTTCAAGCATACTACGGGTACTATCAGGGCTGTACGAGCTTCCATTCATTGCGCTAATCCCCACATGACTGAGGCTAATAATCGACTCTAAACAGCGTTTAATTCGGCGACAGATCTTTATCTGGCAGTTTTTTCAACATATATATTCTGGAATCTGAATTTGAAGTTAAGGGTCAAGATAGGCTTGGTCATACTTCTTGGATTGGGCATTTTGTGAGTAAATTATTCAGGTCCTATCTTAATAGAGTACACCCGGCTAACACGGCCATCTTGGATTCAGTGCAATGGCAGCCTCCGTTATTAAAGTAGTGCAAACCCAAGTCCTCGCCCACGCAGCCGATGACCCGACCGTCGCGACCGTCAACTACAATCGCTGGTTATACATCGAAGCCTACCTAGTCATCATAACAACATCTATACCCTGCATCAGATCCCTAGTAGGGTCTGTTCGAGGGTGGAAAGCTGGAACAGGACAGAGCAAATATGAGCTGAGTTCGCCATATGGTGGAAACTCCATACCTACACCTAGATCCCGGAGATTGACAGCAACAATTCCCGGAAAGTCGATGATACGTATCTCTGATAATTCTAGCGCGGATAATATTTTGGAATGGAATAATAATGAGGTTGATGGAGTACGCGAAATGACGAACAAATCGATACATGTGCATGTATAGAACGTTTGAGTTTCATGGATCTCAAGCTTCATGCAAAATTTGACGATACACTTGATAGATATTTGAAGCCAGACAAGTTGTAGTAAGATTGTAGATACCAGCAAAGTATGGCTTTGAAAATTTAAACCTGTGAACTAGGAATAAATAAACCATTCGTTGAGCCCATAGTAATGTAGCTATACACCGGATTTTAGGCTGAGATAGCTTCCACTTTCCGTTTTGGCAGTCATCCCTTGCCGCTTTTCGATGAGTCGTACATAGTATAGATTTAGGCTGCTACTCGTGAACTTTGGTGATCCTTAGTGATACCAAATAGGTAGGTCGGTACCTCCTTGCATCTAGGGTAGTTAACCCGTGGATTATGATACTCATAGGTGAGTTGCCCAGGTGAGTCGTTCAAAGAGATCATATGTACCCAGATTTTTCGCACTTCCTCATCTCCTGCTCTTCCCACCCTTTATCACTTTACTTTTATAGTGCACCCTGCCCTTGTGTTAGGAGTTCTATCAGTTTGGTAATTCCACGAAATCAACTGTAGTTTCATCAAAATGAAGGTATCCCCAACCTTCCTGCACCTATCTGTGGGGCCCAGCACGCAAAGCTAGCTCAGTGGAGAGCTTCCCCTTGTCTAACGTGCATTTCTGGGGTATTGTCCTCTGCTTATCATTACACTCTGTTTGTTGCATAACAATGCGCATGTGACCGAGTTCACAACCCACCTGCAGCTTCCAATTGTGACCTGCGATTTGCAATTTGCAGACCGTAATTGTAGTGCGGTGTGACATAGCCTGTCCTCCCTTTGTGTGAAAAAGTCCTACTTTTCTGATGCTTCTGCTAACTGCTTTCTTACAGCAGAAAGGAATGTGCTCAACCTAGTTGAGTACTGCTCGGAGGAGAATATATCCCTCGCACCGCCCTCCCCACTGTCATCGCCGCTCCTGCAGCGAAGTACTACCACTCGCCCCACTGGGTGGAAATATTGGTTAGATCCAAGGATGACCACTGAGTAACTGAGCTATTCAGAAACGCAAGTCGTCATTTTATAAAAGGAGTGATTAGCTCTCTCCCCTACAACACTCGGCTTTGCCATAAAGAAGAAATTATATATAGATGAAAGGGAGAAAAATACACTAGAGGCCCATATTTTACAGAAACAATATACACATGTAATTTTAAGAGCCTGTCTCCTTTCGACAATATGACTCTCTTTCCTTCACCTTGTTGGCTCAACAGATAGGGCTGATAGATATCATCAACCCCTGTTTTTCTGGACAACAACTGATGGACCAACATAGTCCTTCCTCCCCTTAACAACATACATCCCGAGACTGATGATGAAGACTCCCACGAAAAGAACCACACTCCAGTTAAAGCTTTCCGCTGTGACCTCGACATCGCCTGGCCATACGGACCAGAACAGCGCAAAACAGCAATAAAACAGTCCAATAATATTGATAGCTAGGCCCCACCGCCCCAAGTCCCACCGACGGGGTGGGAGGGTATCAGGATGCCAGATCTTGCGGTAGATAACGCAACTGATTGAGATAATGTAGGTGTACATTAGGGCGGCCACGTTGAGAGAGATAATAGCGTTGAATGCAGTCTCGGATCCGATGTTGATAAGGGATAGCGCGCAGCTGATTATGCAGGATAGAGCGATGGCATTGGTGGGGATCTTGCGCTTTTGGTCGACCTTGCCGATCCATTTGGAAAATGGGAGGCCGTTGTCACGGGCAAAAGCAAAGGTTTGTCGGGACGTAGAGGCGTTGAAGAGGATGTTACTGAAGATAACGGGTAAAAGGATAATAGCCGTCAATCCGTTCACTCCTGCAATTGAGGTTGCCTGTTGAAAGACGTAGAGGAATGGAAAGCCTGTAGGATCATCTAGGGCATCTTCCACTGATGGCATAGCGAAGAGCAGAGTGATGATTAGGACGATAGCCATAAGACCGTTACTGAAGTAACCCCAGGCAATAGCGACAGGTACGTTGCGACCCGCATCTTTCACCTCTTCGGACATATGTGCAGTTGCATCAGAGCCTATCTATTCGTTAGTATTCTCGGTATATGCTCAAGACCTATTTAATACATACTCAGAGAGCCGTAGATAGCCGATATCTGTCCGATCATCACGCTTAATCCCATGGTGGACCAACCTCCAAGATTTCTCCACTCTGTAACGAAGACAGCTTCGGCGGATTGGTGAGGAGCCATAGCCCATAGAACAATGATGATGACTGCCCAGGAGAGCACATGAAGAATCATCAAAAGGTTGTTTAGAATGGGCATTATATCGCATGCGAAGACATTCACGATAAAGATCACTAAGACCATCGCAAAGACGAGTAGGGTGCCCTGCCAACTCTGGGGTTCATAATCAGGGTTTCGGACGCTGATTAATCCCTGAATAATAGTTCCAGTGAGGAATGAGCCAGAGGCTGCTCCAGCTTGCCATGCTAATACTGACATCCAGCCTATATACAAGAAATTGATATAAAATCAGCCAAACGCAAAAAAAACCCCGCCATCTTATTAGACGCCATGGAATACACGTACCTGTAACATAACTGAGGAACTTTTGGTATCGAGGCGAGGACCACTCAGAAACCCAGTGGTACTGCCCGCCAGATGTTGGTGCCATTGACGCCATTTCCGAGATCGAGGCAATAATGAACCCGAACCCAATGAAGGTCCATATATAAGAGTAAAACAGACCCGGCAAGCCTCCATTGTATAACCCTTCGTAGTTAGAGCTGAAATAAAATTTACAGATTAGAACCAAGCTAAACATAAGGTCTGTAGAGGGATATACTAACATGAGAATAAACTCCCACGTTGCCTGCAAAACTGACGCAAAACTCAAAGCCGCCAAAGGTCTTAGGTTTCTCTTTTTAGTAGTGTTAGATAGAGATCAATGCAGCACATAACAGAGAAATTTTACCTTAAATTCCTGCGCCTTTCCCATCCGTTGCATGTCATTGTCGTCTATAGCCTCTGCCTTTGGATCATGATCTGAAGAAGAATGCCGATCCATAGATTGCAGCTCCGTGTCCTGTGCCAAACCGGACGGCTTGAAAGAATCCATGATGTTAGTCTGACAGCGACTGAGCTGTTTGGCGGTAGGAGGGGGACAGAGGAAGATGGAGAGAGAGGGAGAGAGGAACGAAAGAAAAATGTAAGGGGAAAAGAGATCAAGGGGTAGTAAATCGTATTAAAGATTCTTCAATAAACACCTTGGCGGGACACAGCGATAAACGATCCACAAGTCTTGTTCATCAGAGGGCACACAGTATAGGTGGGGTATGCCAATACTTGGCCTAGCTTGGCCTAATCTATTCTACTGAAGTTCAGTTAGAATATCCCTGATTAGCGTACTGGGACTACAACTTTATTTTTATGAGATAGTAACAGAGGAAAAGAAAAAGAAAAAAAAAAAAAAAATGAAAGGAGAATCTAAGCATGTATAACATATATTTTGTACAGAAAAAAAGTGCCAGAATGTGCATAGTACGAATGGCACGAGGGTGGGTAGTATCAGGCTAGAAGCTCTAAGTTGCATGAGCCTAGTTCCTTCGCGTGCTGACGGGAGACACAAGTACCACATATTCTCTTCAAGCGAGATGAGGCAATGTACGCTAAAAAAAAATCGATGAGTATTCGACTTTCTGATACCAAATTTCCTTTTTTTCCCCTCCCCCGCTGCGCCGCGGTACCTTTCACAGCTACTACTTAATATAGTATCAAATACTAAGAAGTTCTAATCTAGTGAGTACTTTCTTTAATTTTTATTCTTCTTATAATAATGCTACATATTTAAAGGGAATATTCAGTAGGGATACGGGTATATGGGTGTAATACCTTAGCTGCATTACAATGGCATTTTTCCCAAGTTCTACAGGGGTATTGTCTGATGGATATGAACCCATGTCCACTACTCCCTACATACCCTTGCAGATGAAAATCTCCACATGTCCTGTTACAACATGCACCCGATGCATGGTTCTTTTGGCTCTAAGAATCCGATTGGTTTCAATTTTGATTAAGTATGTTTCCACGGAATACATACGGACTCGGCCTGATCTGGTCTTCCACGTTATAACCCTTGTCGCCCAAAATCTTGATAATTCACCTACCGCCCTAAGAAGAAAAATAAACAAATTCGCCCCCAATTCATTGGATGGCCCCTTGTTTCTACATGTCTTCAAATATATTCTAGGTGTCCTGTCGATTGTCGATGTTCAATGCGCCTTGTTAGACAACCATCATGACGGCCTCTTCGCCTTTGCCCCCCGGCGTAAGCCCACCTCTCTCAACAGATAATCCCAACAACCATAGCGGATTGATCGTAGTGATCACCTCATTCTATATCCTTCTGATTATTGTTGTGTTGGTTGCACGAATATCCGTTTCGTTCCATAGGCGGTTGATGCAACATAATAACCTTTTATTCGGCTTTCTCATAGTAGGTTCATTCATTTGCAGAGCAATTTGCAGATACGTTTGTGACTCCTCATACTAACTATAAAGCAGGTTGTGGCAACCATTCAAGCAGCGATAGTGTTGACGCAGGTTCACCATGGCTGGGGTATCCGGACAAAACCTGGCGAATCCACCAACGATCGAATGCTCAAAACCGGATACGCCGCCGAAATCCTTTCGATAATTGTTTTGGGCTGCTCCAAGATATCGACTTGCTTATTCTACGAGACTCTCTTCTCACAGATACAGAAGGTGTTTATCCGTGCAAATTTGGTTGGAATGGTTGCTTGGACGGTTCTCTCCGTGATACTACTAGCAGTCCGCTGTAGCCATAACCCATGGGTTGATATCAGCGCCGCTCAATGTAGCAGTTTGGTGAGACAACACTTCCCGGAAACTCTATAGAATGTGTGAATACTGAACATGGATATGCTATAGTTACCCCGATGGCAAGCAATTACAGGTATTGACATCGCCACTGAGTTCTCCCTTTTTGTGTATACCGCAATAGCAGTACACAACATTCAGATATCAACAAGGAAAAAGCTGGTGGTATTCCTAGCTCTCGAGACCCGAGTACTGTAAGTACATTTTTCGTATCCCAAATAGATCTAGATTCTCACACAGGCATTCCATATACTAACGTCTTACTTCCAATGTACTAGTCTCATCCCCCTCGCTGGTCTCCGCCTATACTATACAAAAATGCAAATCACCTCGGATGACCCAATCCTCGTCGGCGCCTTCGCGACCGTAGTAGCGGAAATCTACCTTGCGATAAGTGTGTTATGTGTTGTGAGCGCATTCTTCAAATCTTTCATCGCAGTCTACGAGGATAGCAACGGGATCTCCTACACAAATGGGACTTCTTTATCACAATCAAAATCGAGGAGACTAGACTCGAGGAATACCATTACGCACAAGGACAATAATGATAATTCTACAGGTGTTCTGCGCGGCTGGGAACGAGAGGAGGATCCCATTATCGCTTCCACTGATGCGAAGAGTGGTTTGAAGATTTATACATCGGTGCACTTCAGTGTTAGGGATGAGAACATCGAGTTAGCAGATCATGGAAGTGCGGAAAGGCGCGATGGTGGATTTTAATTGTTATACTAGAGTTGAGCTTCTTGCGTTTAACAGAATACCCTAATCACGACCTCTCCCTTTTGTCACGGGGGTTTCCTGCATCAATTCGATTTCTCAAAAATAGCACCGGGTATCAAACCGCCTGTTTCTCGAAATCAAGTATCAAATTAGCCGGAGGATGGCGTGTTTTGCCAAAACCTGACTAAAATAGTTAGCTGCTGGGCAATCAATCCCTGAGCGCTATCGGGATTGGCGCTACATGCAGAAAATGTCCACTTTAGGGGGCAAAAAGAAAGAAAATAAGCCTCGGTCTGACGGAAAAGTTGGTGCGGATGTTTGTCTCAGTTCCCAGGAGCTATCTAGTAAGCTTGTCTCAAAACATTTATGGTCTTAAAAAATTATTAGCGATCCCTGAAGTCTAGAGTTTACCTACAACATAGGTTCATAAATTGGAGCATCCTAACTGGCTGAAGCAATTTGGAAAAGTAGAGTTTTAGACCAGCCTTAGTGGATCTGATTTCTTGAAGCATGGATTGTCTTACGTTGCTATGGTCGGATTCGCCCTAAAGTTTAGGGACTTTGGGTATAGATATAGATCCATGCCATATCAAAATTTCAGCTCCATGGCTAGTCGTGAAGGGTAGAATTTAAACCCAAATTTGACATCGCCAGATTTTATTTTCGTACAGATCTACCCGTGTACCCGCAAAGTATGTACGGAGTATGTGCTCCGTACTCCGTATCAGTACGACATAGTGCGCTTGGCACGGCTATATGTACTTTGTACATGTGTGGAATAGCAAAAGAGACTAAAATATGCTACCTTGAAAAATACCGCTTTATGCAAGCCACGCTGGTATGTTTGGAACCTGGGATCCCGACGGGAGGCCCCGAGGTCTTGCAAGAATTATATTAACACCTGGGCAGTGACAATAGGCTATAACAGCGAATATGTTTATATAGAATAAAACTATATAAAATCAGATATTTGCTATGTACAACAAAAATCTTTTTCGATCAGAAAGTGTTGCTGGTTGTAACTTTTCGATGTTAGGATCTTGTGCGACCGTTCGCTGGTCTGGTGAGTGATGTGTAAATTAATGATGTGCATAGTACTCCGTACTTAGTCCCGTAAGAAATTGAATATATTACTACGGAGTAGTGTCGCCAAGCTCACTACTGCCCTTCTCGGGCATGGCAAGGTATCATAATATAGAGCAAACGCACTACTATTCAAATTTTGCATAGCTAGTCTAGAAAGGGAGATGATTCTCCGCAACTCCATATGTATATAGTGCTAAACTCCGAGATCACCTGGGCACTGTAATATTAATAAATGTATAACGTAATTCATAGGCGAATAACTAACTAACTAGTTAACTAATTATGTTGCATGGAACCAGAGTGAAAAAACTACATATGTCTCTACTGAAGAAACTTCGGTAAAGTTTTAAATCATAGCTGACTTGCTCACCTAGAAGAATAACTACATGTAGGTATCGGAGCAGGCTTGTTGCCCCGGGCGGATAGGGCCATTGATCTTCCTTCTTCTCACCAGTCAGCAGCTCAATTAAACTGGTTTCCTTTCCACCTTGACATCTATATAATTATGTAACACAAAGTTTCGATGTTTTTTGACGTTTTGTTAAGAACCCTTGAGATAACACACAGCTTATTTTGTCTTATTGATGGAAATTATGGCAATTCAATTCGTGGTATCGAAAGGCCCTTGCGTAGGCAGTGGTGAATCACCTAAACAGGGTCCAATCGATGTGAAATGTGGAGCGAATTGATCTGCAGACCCTCCGGCATGTTTCCCATCTTAGAAGACCAACTATAAGACTGATGAGCCCGGTGGCACTTCTCCGCAACAAGATTTACCCCGCGCAATGAAATCTTCCGGGGTTTTAAACCAGCTGCAAGTAATGGGGATACATACGGAGTACTCATGTGGGGAGCCTTCACATTTTATACATGTATACTGAACATTCAATTTATGCCTTATCCCACCGGAAAATTCCAACGTTAAAAGGGACTGATTATCATGGCTCTGCACTCATGTTTCAGACAACGTCTGCAGAATAGCTAGGCTCACCCTACTATTGTTCAATCGACTAGCCTTTTATCGAGACTGTTTATCTCCCATCGGAGCAATTCAAAATGATACACTGTCAGAACTGGCAGAAACCCCTCGCGGTATTCGTTTACTTTTTTATTTCTCTTTCCTCTTTCGTCAATGGGCAATCTGACTTGAATGTTAAGGATATTGGAGCCCAGGCTTTTGCATTCAACCTTGGCGGAGTCAAATTGACCCAAGACCGCTTCCTGGAAAACCAGGGCCGTACCCTGAATTATTTGAAAGAGATAGACGTCGACAGGCTACTTTATGTTTTCCGGACGACCCACGGACTATCTACACAGCAGGCAACGCCTAATGGTGGCTGGGATTCTCCGGATTTCCCGTTCCGTTCGCATGTCCAGGGTCATTTCCTCACTGCCTGGGCTCAATGTTATGCTGTACTCCGTGACCAAACATGCTATGACCGAGCGATCTACTTTGCCGCCGAGCTGGCAAAATGTCAAGCCAACAACAAGGCTGCTGGTTTCACGGACGGATATTTATCTGGCTTCCCTGAATCAGAGTTTGCAAAGCTCGAGAACCACACCCTGGCAAACGGCAATGTCCCTTATTACGCGGTACACAAGACCCTTGCAGGTCTTCTTGATGTCTGGCGCTTGACAAACGATACTACTTCTCGAGACGTCTTACTGTCCTTAGCTAGCTGGGTTGACAAACGCACTGAATCATTCAGTTACGGTGCAATGCAGGAGTTATTACAAACAGAATTTGGCGGTATGAACGAGGTGTTGGCCGACATCTATCATCAAACTGGTAATGAGAGATGGCTTACCGTTGCTCAACGATTTGATCATGCTGCCATATTCGACCCCCTTGCGGCCAACAAAGATCAGCTTGACGGTCTACATGCGAACACTCAAGTACCAAAGTGGATTGGGGCTGCTCGCCAGTATAAAGCCACTGGAGAATCTCGCTACCTTGATATTGCCCGCAACGCCTGGGAAATCACTGTCGGATCACACACGTACGCCATCGGTGGTAACAGTCAAAGCGAACACTTCCATGGTCCAAATGCCATCGCTGCTTGGCTTGACAATGACACATGTGAAGCGTGCAATTCGTATAACATGCTCAAGCTTACCCGCGAGCTATGGCTTCTTGATTCCGAGACCTCAAAATATTTTGATTTCTACGAAACCGCCTTACTCAACCACCTGTTAGGCCAACAGAACCCTGCCGATCACCATGGCCACACCACTTATTTCACCCCCCTCAGCGCTGGAGGTCGCCGCGGTGTGGGTCCTGCCTGGGGTGGTGGTACTTGGAGTACGGACTACGACTCATTCTGGTGCTGTCAAGGAACGGCACTCGAAACAAATACCAAGTTGATGGATTCAATCTACTTTTACAATGACTCGACCTTGTTTGTCAACTTATTCATGTCTTCTGTCCTGGAATGGCCGGAGAAGGGCATTACCTTAAAACAATCTACGACTTATCCAGTCGGAGATGAATCAAAACTGGAAGTTTCCGGCCATGGTCACTGGAAAATGAACATCCGCATCCCTACATGGGCATCAAGCGCAGAGCTGACCCTCAATGGGGAAGCTTTGCCTGATGTTAAAGCTACTCCGGGAACGTACGCTCAAATCTCACGAGAATGGGCCGATGGAGATGTCGTTGAAATCCGCTTCCCAATGACTCTGCGTACAGTGGCTGCAAATGACAATTCAAGCATGGTTGCTATTGCATATGGGCCAACTATCTTGTGTGGTAATTACGGCAACGACGCACTGAGTAGCACTCCTATTCTCGCCCTTGACTCTATCAACCGTTCCGGGGCTTCTAGCCTTGACTTCACCTCCATCGCTGACGGCAAAGTTGTTACACTGAGTGCTTTCTATGATGCTCAGGGGTACAATTATAACGTATACTGGGCTACCACAGGAAGTCTCCTCGCTGCATAGAGGCTCAGTACGGAGAAGGGCACGGTTAACAACTCAAGACCTACGTCTTTTTTAGTAGCACTATTAACACAGATGAAAATCTCATTCAAAATGCACACGTGTTCACATTGAAATTGTTCAGAAAATTTCCAGCTTGGCCATCTAGTAGATTTTGAGAAATCCTCTTTGTACAGTATCAAAATGGACGGTCGCAATGACCGTATTTTGCTATAAGGAACTCCTGGTCATTTGTCACAAACGCTTATTGACAACGTTAATTCAATCGCCGACAGCTATTCCTTCTCGGCGTAAGATCCCCCCGAAACCCCAGCCCCTCCCCCACCGAAAGATATACAAGCCCGGAACTCCCAAGATGAACGGAAACTAGAGCTCAACGCAAAAGTATGGCATCAGCAGAAGAACAAAAGGTACGAGATTCTATCTTCAGTTATATGGAGTAAATTACTGACGCATTGTGGCTCAAAAGACAATAAACGAGCTCCAGGCGAACTGGATCTGGGTTCCAAACTGGACCGACTCTTCAAACACGAACACAGCTGGACAGATAGTTCACTTCACGCGTAATGTTAATTTATTGTCCCGAGCGACGAAATCTGTGCTGCATTTCTCAGCCGACACACGTTACAAGCTCTATGTGAATGGCAAGCATATTGCCGTCGGGCCGACTCGCAGTAGTCCTTTGATCTGGTACTATGATACACTGGACATTGCGCCCTACCTAAAGGAGGGACATAATGAGATTCGATTTGTGGTTATCCGGTACTTCGCGGCTTTGAGGAGTGCAATGCCCTTTGTGCGGACGGCTCTTCCAGGATTAACCGTTATTGGAAATATTGAGACAGGCGATGAGGTTGTCAATCTTGCTTCTTCCGAGAATTGGATGGCATCTGTGGATGAAAGCATCCAGTTTCCAATGGGATTGGCTGACGATGTGTTCCTTCATGTAAGACTGGCTCAGGATCGAGCATCTCCCGAATTGAACTGACATTTCTTTTTCATAGATCAGCGAGCGCATCGCTCCTGCAACCCCCGGTGCTGCTGTGACACCATTCGCTTACAAGATGAGGACGCTCAATGGCGATATTCCGCCCTGGAATTTGCGCCCGCGCTCTATCCCCATGCCTGAGTCAACGCTAGCCATTGTAAAAACCATCAGAGCATGCAACAGTCTGGTTGATATCAGCGATTGGACAGCCTTCTTTGCGAATAATAATTCCCTCGCCCTTCCTGCGAGCTCAACTCATACGCTTGAAGTGCAAGCGGATGTCCATTCGACCGCATTCGTTCGATGGGCCTTCAAGGCAACCAAGAAAGCTTCTTATATCAGACTTAAAGTCACACACTCAGAAGGGTATGAGCTCGAGCCCCGATCGTACCCTTTCTTCCGCTCCAAAGGCGACCGAATGGATGCAAGTGTCGGCCATATTGTCGGACCATACGATGAGGTGAAACTTGATATTCCCGGCACAGAAACTGCGATCTACGAGCCATTCTGGTTCCGAACCTTCCGTCTCATGAGAATAGAAATTACTGTAGGCCCTGAGCCAATTGAGCTGGTATCCTTCGATGCTACCCAGGTAAATTACCCCATGGCGGTCAAGGCCAGCTGGAAGGAGCCCGGCGACGCCCATAGCGAGCGGATCTGGGACGTGTCCATCCGGACAATGCGAAACTGCATGTTCGACGGTTACTCCGATTGCCCGTTCTACGAACAATTACAGTGAGCCTCTCAAACTCCTAAATTCTTACTTCGGCTAACGATCCAGATACTCCGGAGACAGCCGATCTGTCGGTCTATTCCACTACCTCCTCTCAGGTGACGATCGACTGATGCGCCAGGCGATTACAAACTTCGCCGCTTCAGTCACACCCCAAGGCCTTACACAGTCCCGTTTCCCCTCACACGTGCCGCAAATCATAGCCGGGTTCTCCCTGTATTGGATCCTGCAGGTCTGCGATCACCACCTATATTTCGGCGATACCCGCTTCGCACGAGGGTTCATTCCGCGCATCGACGGGATCCTCGACTTCTTTGATGCTCACATCGATGAGCTGGGTCTGGTAAGCGGACTGCCCGAAGTTGTTTGGCAATACGTTGATTGGGTGACCACCTGGGGTGCCACGGATAACCATCCTGACAAAGGAGTACCGACCTCCGGACGGAAGTCCAATAGGCACACTTATTTTAGCATGCTTTATGCGTGGGTTCTGCAGAAAGTTGCTGGTCTGGTGCGTGATGTTGGTCGGCCGGGGCATGCTGCTGAGTATGAAGCGAGGGCGGAATCGCTACTAGGGGCCATTCAGGCTCATTGCTATGATGGTAAATTCTTTACCGACTCGACGGCTGACGTTGCCGATGAGCTGTCATATTCCCAGCACTGCCAGGTCTTTGCTGTTATCTGTGGAGCGGCGAGGGCCGAAGACTCTGCGCGAATCTTGGCTGAATCGTTTACAAATGATCGCTTCTCAAAGTGCTCGTATATGATGCGGTTCTATGCTTTCCGGGCGCTTGCTTTGGCTGGCGAGGATCTGTATGAGTCATTTTGGGAGAGGATGTGGGTTCCTTGGCGGGGGATGCTGGCAAATAATCTCTCGACTTGGGAGGAGGATGATGTCAGACAGAGATCTGATTGTCATGCTTGGGGAAGTGTGCCAATTTATGAGTACTGTACTGAGTTGGCGGGTGTTCAACCGGTCGCTGCTGGTTCGTCGAAGATATCTTTCAGACCTAGGCTTCGGTTGACCGGGGCGTTGGAAGCGAAGGTAGCACTAGGTAAGGATAACCTAGCTACTATTTCGTGGAAACTCTCCGGAAATGAGAATATTGTGGAGCTTAGGCTTGAGAAGGCAGTTGAGGTCGTGAGCCAACTACCGAGAGGCAAGGAAGAAGAACATGGGGTTGTGGATTATCTCAGGTTTGCTTTTAAGGATTAAATGTACTACTAGTTAGCAGTAAGTGAATACACTCAGACAGTAAGACAGCGATGCCTTGCTTGTTTGCACTTAGTTCGACCCCTCTTTGTCCTCATCAAGCATATACGGAGCTTCGTAGTAATAGGTAGTTCATCATATAGATTCATTATTGCTTCCCCTTCTCCTAACGACGTAGAGTGTGGGTAAATTCACAAGCAGTATGTTAGTGTCTTTTTCAAGCCACTAGGTAATAAACTCAATGATTTTCAGAATTATATTGATCCCTCAGCCAGAAAAATGTCTACAGTACCTGGAAGAGCAGCTAAAGAGATACGATAATATAGCTCAATTTGAATATAACTAATGTAAACTTCTCAACTCAAATAGCCCATAGTTTCCTATTTATACCTTCCATCTTTGCCTCTCATCATCCTCGCACTCAAGCTGCGACCATCTCATGGTGGTTGCGTTGCTCATTTGAGCGCATCTGTACTTCAGTGACATACCCCTTGAATTTCCGAAGGTTAACCTTCTTATCAAACCTTGAAAATGAAATCTGTTAGCCAAGTCCATTAAAATAATATGAGAGAAAAGGTTCACATACATTTCATCAATCTCAGCCGGTGTTCGGCGTGTCACTTCTGGAAGAATGAACCAAGCGATCATTACCGCAACTGCACCTGTACCCGCAAAGCTGTGGGAGATAGCCTGTCAGTATTTTGCAGAGGAAAATTGGACTTCAACGAGATGACAGAGGGCTTACAAGAAACCAGTTTTGACACCCCAGGTCGAGGTAGGTGCATTGTTGATCATCAAAGGCGTGCAGAAACTGAACATGATAGCAACCATGTTCGAAGATGCAAGGGCCCAACCTGCTGTCCTTGCACGCAAGCGTTGCTGGGGAATCTCAGTCGCATAGGCATAGCCAATAGCCGATGCACCACTGGTGGTGAAAGTCGCCAAACAAGCGAAGAAGATCTATTACCATCAGTAAGCTGGCAGAAGTGTGCTAAATATCAAAGACTTACCAGAAGTGAACTCGTTGATGGCTTGGTATAATCGAAGCAGCCGATAATTCCGAGGCACAAAACCGAGACGGATGTGACCGCATAGGGGTAGATAGTCAATGGACGACGACCAAGCTTGTCGGTAGAGACGGTAGTGATCATCATAGATATCAACTGGACACAAGACAAAATCACAGTTACCATGAATGGATCGTTGCTGCCAGCATATTGGACTAAGGCAATATTAGCAGCGTGTCAAATACAAAATGATTAGTACTCACAGAAATATGTAGCGTAGGTGTTGAACACGGACAAGCCGACCAGCTGCTGGGCAATCTTGGGCCAAGCAGCAATAAAGAAACGAATGCGGTTGCGGCCCTGGAAAACAGCCCATATTCCCACTTCGGAGTTGCGCTCTGCTAGTATACGCTCCTCCGCAACTGTAGCAGACATGACTTGCTGAAAAGGATGTTAGAACATTGAAGTACGATTGACAGGGGAACAATGACGCACGATCTGCTCATCAACGTTGTATCCATCAATTTTTCCGTTGTACCTAGTTAGAATTTTGGCTGCGTTTTCGATCTTGCCTTTGCTCACGAGCCACCAGGGCGATTCTGGCATGAAGACAAAGATAACGCCAATGATACCAACCATGGGCCACTGATCGTACGTGGTAATTGTTAGTGTCTATGTTAACCAAATTTAAGAGCACTACTAACCTGTGTATAGATAGGAATCCGGAATTCATATGGATTATGCTTGTTGAGTTCCTGGAGTGCGACTGAGGCGAAGATCTGACCCACAACAAACCAGCTAGAAATAATCAGCAACTAAAAACCCAGAATTTTCAGAGACGTTACTCACAAACTGTACGCGTTGATATAGAAACCTCGCAGCTGGGTTGGGGCGATTTCGGACAAGTAGAGAGGCAGAGTGGATTGCAGCATTCCGACACCCATTCCAGAGAAGAGTTTGGCTGCGAGCCAGTGATCCCATCTTGTTGCAAAGGTTTCAATAAACACGCTCATAACAATAGTGAGCCAGATGATATATAGCGCGACTTTCCGACCGAATTTTTCCGTGGCAAATTGGAGGAGCTGGAGAATGGTCAGTCACTTTTCAGATCAGGTAGGTCTGGAGGTTGGAAAGACGTACAATTTGACCGACAGTTTGGCCAGCAGATTGGATGCCACCCCATGCGGAGATGTATTTGCCTGCGATGATCGATGTACCCGGGGAGGCCATCTGTCGAATGAAACCTTTGTTGGAGACAATACCGCCATTAAGATTGATTTCTGTAATCAGATCAGTATACTTCATACCTACTAGGTCCCAAAAGCAGTAGCTTACGGTAACCATCCAGCGCTGCGCTAAATGCTGCAGTCATAGCAATTAGCGACACGGTCTTGAACCGTAGCACACACTGCCAGATAGTAAGGTCATCTTCGCGAGATCGCATGATAGGCCCCACGCTCTTGGTAGGCATGGTGTCTCCATGGTTGGAAGAAGCATCCTCAATATCTTCCACGTTGGCCTTGGAAATATCCATCTTGGATGTACGTAGACGCAGTATGTACCCAAGAAAAGAAAAAGTCACAAGTTCTTATCAAGTCAAGACAGCTGGTAATCTTTATATTTCAAGCTGCTTGCCAAGCTTAGCGCGCTAACAAGGATTGGTTTGCCCACGTGCTAACCCTTTTAGATTGGAGTTCTACGCGGGGGAATGGAATCCGGGGTTGTGGAGGTCAGCTACGTAGACTACCGCCAATATCAACTCAAAAATCAAAAATTGTAAAGCTGAGCTTGCATAAATGGTTCATTTGCCGGCTCGCTAGTTTACAAGTTCTCATAGGTTGTTTTAGCAGAAGTGGCTGGTGTGGCTTGTGCGAAAGCATCCTACTGACAACCAGCGGCAATTGTTTCGGTCTGAATTATACCGAAGTTATTAGCTAGTGGCTAAACTATCATTGATTGAGAGGCCAATGTGGTTTGAAAATAAATGGCCTGGAGGAGCTCATTGTGGATCTCAAAGAGTTGAGTCATGTGTCCCTACATGTTTGTTAGTGTAACCGAACACTCTCCCAAACAATCTATCTTTTCTAGATGCTTTTTATTCTTACTTTGCTACTTTGTACATATAGAGTACATCGCAAATGGTTGAAAGGAGATTTTGCTATTGAGTTGAACGGCTTCTAGCATTGAAACTCCAACTAGCCCTAACTAGATAATCCCCGGTGGAGTAATGAAATGATTGGCTGATATTGCCGTAGAAAATTGGCTGCCAAGATCATTCGCAATAGAAGATTTCGTACCTGAAAAGTTATAGATATATTGAGTATATGATTGAATTTGGTAAATACTAAAAGGCAATTCTCTCTAACACATGTCTACGAGTCTACAAAAGGAAACGAAGAATACCTATTTCTAAGGCATCAAACCTAGGTGAAGCCAATAGTACACCGCCTTCAATTCATAGCAACCGTTACATTATTTACTAAAATCATATACACCAGACTATTTTAATATCAAATATCAGTTATATTCGAGTAAAATGCTTACATCTTCCCTGGAATCATACTATGTACGGAGGACAACATATGTACATCTACGAGGTCAAAGGGTTAAAAGGGTATAAAGAAGAAGGCGGTAAGGCAAATTAGCCAATCATTTCATTGTCACGGATAGTTAGTAGCCGTTGGAACCCCGCCCCCGCTTCCTCCCCCCGAACGTAGTGGCGCCTGCCCTATATTGTAGGTGGAGACCCAATCTTCAGACTCCAGGAATGGAGACCCCGAGCTCCTTCTGGGAAACTAAGAACGAGTAATTAAATGTAAACTAGAAGAGCTTCCGAAGCCGCAACAGTGAAGGTTGCTTTCCCGCCAGAGACAGTGACTGTCTCCACGGTCTCTGTACCCTGAATAGTGCAAGTGCCATCGGTAAACTTCTGGCCTGCAACGGTCGGGCTCTGACCCTGATCGACCCGAGATGTGGCATAAGCCGCAGTCAGTCGTTTAGCAGTGACGGTGGAGGACGAAAGTCCAGACAAGGTGTATGTCTGAGACGTGCGCGCTCCACTGGTGGAAATATAGTAGTCAGAATTGTAGAGAAGGACCCGAACAGGAGTGCCAGCCTTATAGACAGCGTAAGCTGCGTATGCTGTATCTTTGCTATCTAGGGCCGCAATCTGATCGGCGTTGGCGAGCGCCATGGTGGCGAAGTAAGCACCGAAGTAAGGGGAGCCCATGCTGTAGCGGCCCCACCAGCAGTATTGGCCTTGAGAGACTTAGATTGTGGCAAGGTAGATGAGAATTGCCGGATTACTTACAGTTTCCAATGGTACCCTGGTGGAAGTAGAGGGCATCTGTGCCCATGAGGACGGTCTGCATCACGTAGTCCAAAATCCACAGAGCAGAACCGAAAGTCGGGCTGATACCACCACCGCCTTGAGTGGCTAGATGTTTGTTAGCATTTCCGTTGAGTGATAGTGAACGGTAACGTACCGGAGTTGGTCTCGCCGAAGACATGCGGCTTGCCTTTGGCAGCAGCGGCAGAGATCTCAGCAGCGAAAGGCTGGACCTGGCTGGCAATATTGCTGTGACCCATCAGAGTGGCTAGGTTGTAAGTTCCAGCCCACTGAGGATAGTTGTGAGAGCAATACTCCTTCACATAGTCATTCGCATCACCTTCTTTCGCGGCAAGGCTAGCGATGCTCATCGGTGAAGTGCCGAAGTAGACACCCGCTGAGATGATATCAGTTGCGGAGAGATTTCCGCACACTGCATCTTGCCAGCTGATTTGGGATGCTTCATCTGCTGCAGCTGTCCAGGGCGCACCATTGGCAATGGGATCGCTATTAACGAAAACTGAACGCCCAATTAGCGTTTACACAGCCAAGTAGAAATGATCAAATACCTACAATTGGGCTCATTTCCCAGTTCAATGGAGTATAGATTGTCCATTTCGCTCTTGGCGAGAAGAGCGGCCGAGATTGTATTGGAAATATCATTCAAACGGCGATTCAATCCCAGTGTGACCTTTCCAGCATAGGTTGCTGCCAACGAGATGAATGATGGTCCGTAAGTTAGATTCATAGGCGCATCAGCTGGGCTGGCCACTGTATAAGTGACATCCTCTGTGGACGAGCTATCGTACGTTGCACGGTCTCTAGCATACTGTTAACAACATATATTGAGCAATGATAAGGCCATACATACTGAGTTGTGCCTCCAATTCTTATAGGGGGCCATGTTCCAGTCAGATCCTTCAGGTTTTCTAGACATCTCATCGTTGATTTGACGTCTTTAATATAACCAGGGAACGTGAAGAACTCCAGACTTCACAATAAGTAAGTATATGTAAGTATTCCCATCGATCATTGCAATTGAGACTCACGATACACCAACTGGAGCCTTAGAGATCTGCCCACTTGCCGTTGAAGGCGGGGATGCGGGAACATCGAAGCTCAAGCCCGAAGCCGAAGCTGCGAGGCCCAGAAGCGAGGCCGAGATGGGGAGAAACACCATGACTTAGAATATCGTTGATACTAGATGAGTTGAGTTAGAAATCTGAATGAATTTCTCTGAACACCCGAGACAAAGCTCTGAAGTATATAAGCCACAATGCAATCCGGTTTCTTCAAGGACACAATCCGGGGACCCCACACTTCAGCCACTAGTTTCATATTCTGGCCACGTTTTTTTTCCATACCACATGATAATTGACCGAACTTAACCCATCTGATAAATGGCGCCTATATTCTGTTCCTCATTTGGTCACACCGACTATTCAGATCTTGCAACACCCGCATATTAGATCGGCTATTGATGGGCTGCATTAACCCGACTCCCGGATACGAGGTATTCACTACTCAGCACGTGGTTCTTTGATGTCAGAATCCCTAGTAGCATTTTATAAGGTTATCTATCGCTCTGCCACATGATATCATCCCTCGGGCATGTTTATGGCGATGGCCCGAAGCCCGGTACATCGCCTATACTTTGTCCTTCAAGATTCAATGTTCATAGACCGACGGTGTGAAAATGGCTCATCTTGAGAATATCGTATGAATTTTCCGTGCCATCCTCGGATTTTGACTCTTGAATGTTGTGTGCTATAGGCGTTTCTGCAGGGCTAAGACTGCCACCTAAACGGGATGTTGCTGATTGATGCGACAATTTTTGAAATGATTCTTTGTCCTTGATCTAATGTGCACATAGACGGGACAAGATATGGTAAAATGCTAAGGTTTTATCAGATTCACAGCAGCATTTTGATAAATCTTTGCACCATATCATAGGAGAGTCATCTACTATATGTGCTGCCTTAAAAGTATCAATATTAAAATCATACTTTCCTGTATATAAACTGGAGTTAAGGCAAAGATAGGGTTCGCTTTCTATTTGAGGGCTCATCCCTTCTTTTCCATTGAGATCCAATGGCTTTTGGAAAATAAATTTGCTGTAATATGCGAATTCTATTCGGGGATAAGTCTCTAGTCAGATTGGGAGAGTTGATACTCACCAGTTGGTCTTATTGAGGAAGAAGCCAGAAAGAGGGCAGTAATCTCATCTGGGATACGAGACTTGTATCACCGCCCTCAGGCCAACATCACCTCATCACCAAATCAAAAACAAGAACTTTGCCTGAGGGAATCCAAGGCACAATGTGGCCGTTCTCAACATATCCGGAGACGACAGCCAGTGATTTATCTGGGAAAACGTTTGACTACATCATCGTTGGTGGTGCGTCTCACTCCCCCTGACCAAAAGTCATCAAATCGACTAACCCCAAATCATTTCTTAGGCGGTACGGCTGGATGCCTAATCGCAAACCGTCTTTCCGCTTCCCCAAACGCCTCAGTCCTAGTTCTCGATAAGGGCCGCGTCAACGCCGGGGTTCTCTCGCGGATCCCACTATTTGGCATCCTGCAAAAAGGGGTTGTCCGCTACCACGCCGAACCTAATGCGCACTTGCGCGGGCGACATGTGCAACTTCTGGCTGGTGAAATGCTAGGTGGTACCAGTCGCGCTCATTCCATGGTATGGAGTCCCGGAGGCCGGCCTGAATTTGACGGATGGGCGCTTGAGCTGGGATTGGAATATTGGAGCTGGGAGAAGGTAGCGCCGGCCTTTGCGAGGGTTGAAAAGTCAATTCAACGGAAAGGGGCAGGCGATCTAGGGCTCATGCCGTATGTAGATGCAGCGATGGGAAGAGTAGGACTAGGTGATGGAGGGGGAGAACGAGGCACCCAAAGATATAACCGCAGCGAGGTCTCGGTTGATGCAGATGGGAACAGAGTCTCTGCGTTGACCGCATGGCTGAATGCCTCGGTCGTGAATGAGAGGAAGGGGAGACTAACGGTGTGTACAGGCGCGACAGCGACAAAGCTCGAGTTTGCGGATGACAGAACTAGAGTTACAGGTGTATGGATCAATCCTGGAGGGAGTGCAGACATTTTGGTCAAGGCTCGGCAGGAGGTGATTTTATGTAGCGGCGTCTTCGGCACGCCGCAGCTGCTAATGCAAAGGTCGGTCGCTTTTCCCTCATAGCCTCACCTCTTGATACTAACTGCGAGCAGTGGCATCGGCCCCAAGGACCATTTGTCCACTCATAAAATTCCTGTGGTTCATGATCTTCCTGCAGTGGGTGCGCATTTGACTACCCACATTCTTGTCCCAGTCATGACAGAGCTCCCACTTAAACACACACTGCATATCATTCAGACAGCGGCTATTGTATGGCATTTTTTGCTGTGGCTCTTCGCCGGGTCTGGAGTGCTTGCCTCTAACGGTCAATGGGGCGCCGCATTTTTGCACTCAGATATGCTCGACGAGGCAACAATGACGTTCGTCCCTCCTGAAGATGGTGAGAAAGAAGTGACTGATCTCGAAATCTTGATTGCCCCAATTAGTACGCTCATCGAGCACGGTGTCCCCGGAGTACCTTGCATGACCTGGTACGCGGCTCTTGTGCAGCCGCACACCACCGGCAACGTTGAGCTCACATCTAGCTCTGATGCGAAATCGCCCCTTAAGATTACACTCCCATTGCTGATCGACTCTCGTGACAGCGTGCGCCTGCGTAAAGCTGTACGGTTTGCCATGCGGTTGGCTGATGAGTTTTCGGGACCGGAGGTTGGATATCCACACCCGGCACCGTTAACGTTGGCTCCCGGGATGGGATTGGAATACTTAGATGGACTCATGGACAAGAACAAGAGCAAGAGTGAGAAGAGAAAGCTTACAAAAGCGTTGCCACCACAGAAGCACGCTTGGAGGACAGTGACTGATATGGAAATTGATGAATATATAAAGAGGATGGTTACAGGGAGCTATGATCCTGCTGGCACATGTCGGATGAGTCTTACAAAGGAGGAGGGTGTAGTAGATCAGAGCCTGAAGGTATATGGAGTGCGCAACTTGCGAATTGCAGATGCAAGTGTGCTTCCCCGGTGTGGGGGCGCTTCGATCTCGGCGTCCATTTATATGATTGGGGAGAGATGCGCTGAGTTTATCATGAAGCAGGATGGTTTTTCTTCCTAGATATACTAGAAGACAATTTTCACTACACAGTGAACCTCAGTCATAACAAATTGAATGAGACGGGGTGAAAAATCGGTTACATCGAGGGGTTCGTAAATTCGACGTCTTCATACATCACTGTATCTAATTATATATATCTAGTTTACGTGCAAATTTATACTCTAGAAATTTACCAATACCTAACGCTTCCCTTCTATGCTTAACCTCCTCACCTATACCAACCTGTCATATTTATAGAATGTTTATAATTGACTGGTTTCTAGCCCAAGTGGAAGAACCGTATCAATCAAGTTTGTCGCAGGGGGTAAAATTCGGTATTATTGTAGATTAATTGAGATACCGGCACGGAGTACCCGTTCATGAAAACCGGGCATTTCAGAGTGTTTATTGTAGTCTGCATGGAGTCACATGGAATACATTATCTTGAAGACATCTGTTGTACAACATAGGCGTGTCTAGGTAGAGAGATACTTAGGTACAGTGGGACCTCGAAAGTATTAAGCGAAACACTTGTACCTTCGCATACCGCCTTATATGTAGGAGTACAAAATGTGGCACAATACTTCAGATGTCCCACTGTACGGAGTACATACATTGTCATTTTAGAAGCCCGTCGGGCTTCTAAGAATGCGATTCGGCATACGACCTTCCATGGAATCAAGGAACCTTGGAATGCCCATGGGTGGAACCTATGTGGAGCCCGGTAGTTACCGAGGTCAACCTTGGAAAGTTTTGTCACGGATCGGATCGGAGCGGAGTGGAGTAGGATAGTTGTCCGATAGTAATCCGGCCTCCTCCGCACGTTTCATTCCACACCCTAGCAACGCATCCGTTCTGCGGTCGGGACTATGTCCCATCGCAATTTACCAAGCTCCGCTCACACAGATGCGCTAGATCCCTTTGGAATGGATTCCCGCCAACTTAGCACCCACCACGCCGAACTTACGCGACCACGGTCACGGCGTGCGTGCGACGAATGCCGAAAGCGGAAGCGAAAATGCGATAGCGAATTACCTTGCTCGACCTGCACCCGCTATGAATACACGTGTCGATATGAACATGGCAGGTCGCATAGAGGTACTCGAGCTGCGCACACTACCTCACAGATGACGCCTAGAGAACACCCAACGTCAACGCCTGAACATGTTTCCACTAATACTCCAGTCCCGACGGGAGGCCTTGAACAACGGGCGAGCTTTCTGGAGCGCGAGAAAGGAAGGTTTCTGAGCCATGCCTCATCTATTACTCAAGCAAGGTCTTTGGGATTAGGACTTGAATTGCCTGACCCTCCTCGCCTTCATTCATTTGGGTATCATACTGGCATTCGGAAAGAACCCGAGAGTTCCTTGTCAATTCGGCTTCCACATCTTCTGTCCTGGGATCAAGCAAGCAGCTGTATTGACATGTTTACATCCGTCATTCATCCAATTTTTGGCTTTATGAAAATGGAATCCATCTTTGAAAGGGCCCAGCGACACTGGCAGGGCCGACTCGAGGGACATCCTTTCGAGGCAGTGATTACTGGTGTTGTTGCATTAGGATCTTTATTTTCCAATTATCTCGATCAGGAAAAGGAGTTAGAGATTGTACTTCATGCAAAGACTCTGCTTGATGACCCTGTTATCAGCCGTCGCCCCTCGCAGGACCTAGTCATGGCCTGGATTTTAAGAACCATTTACTCCCGCGCAACTGGTCGACCCAATGTAGCGTGGCTTCAAAGCACCACCACTTTACATTTGATTGAGATCACCGGGATACACTATGATGAAGCACCAGTAGCCTCTTCCGTAGAGGGCATCAGTACATCAACCCGCGACGACTCGGATATACGCGCACGAATCACTTTGGTTGCACAAAGCCTTCACATCATGATTGCGTATGACTTTGGAAAGAGTATAATATACCTTGATCCTGCTGTATATCATCATATCCGACCGCGTCAGGGTGATTTCACACTGCAACTATCTGAGCTTACCAACAAAGTCCCCACTCTAGCGGCTCACGCAGACCCTATGATCAACCAGGCCCAGCTTTTGCAGGCCATGGAGCACTTAATGGCAGCAGCAGTAGATCATGATTTTCTACTGCTTGCGAGGGCGGAGCTATGTTTCGCCATTCACCGTCGTCTTAATATTCTGGGCCTTGGTCTTACTAGACAACAGACCAAGCTCATAGTTGAAGCAGGTACTGCGGCTCTACCTGCAGCTCGACGTCTGTCGGCTCAGCTCTACCCATGGTGGAATGTTACGAATGTACTATTTCAGTTTGTATGCGTTTGTCTCTCAATTGGTACTACAGAGACGCTTGCGCATATCCAACCAACACTCGAAACTTTCCGGTCTGTTATTCAGCATTTCAACACCCATCTTACCCAGGAGGCCTTTAACACATTGATACTATTAACTGGTGCATGCCAGGGGGAAAAGGAGAAACAAGTAAAACTTCTTCAGCTAGCAAAGGGAATGCGATTAGGAACTGATACTTCGTTTCAAGGCCAGGGTGATTTGGCGATGATTGATCCACAAGGAACGTCTCTCTTCGAATTTTACCACGAGTCATCATTCGTTGATCTGCAAACAATATTCAATATCTAAAATTAGTATCTACAATTATACACAAACTGTAGATCTATATCTCATAAACCATCTTCCATGTCCGAATTATCCGTTATGGCCGTGGAGTGGGCCTTGTCACGCTTAGTTAGACTTCGAATGAAGAACATGCTAGCAATGGCAACTCCCAGACCAGCGAGACCAATGCCCATGTAGCTTGCACCTCGATAACCTCTTAATGTGTCGCTGCCACCGCGGTCCACTTGACTTTGGACGGTTCCAGCAAGGCCAAGTCCGATCGAGATGGAATAGTTCACAATGGTGTTGACGAGTGAGGCAGCAAGTCCTTGGTGCTCCCGTGACATGCTGTCACTGAGGATAAGTGTCCCAGACGGAAAAGACATGTCCCTAGTAGAAGATTAGTACATCATATACACATACTCAGTAGGAGATTGAAGACTATATACTTACATGCCCCATGGGGTCAAGATGGAAATAACGAATGTTTGGGCCCAATATGTTTGGTGAACAGGCAGTGTGGCTAGGAGGATTTGGCCACCTGTAAATGCAAGCATAGCCATCAACATGATCGCACTGGGACGCACTCGAGCGAGAATGAAACCAGTTGTAATCGCAGCGATTGCACCAGACACAGCGGACGGTGCCCACTTTGCAAGCGCTAGAAGAGGGGTATCTCCCTTGATGACTTCCATGAATTCGAAGAAATACAAGACCACAACCCCAAAACTGGACCAACCAGCAGCGACACAGCCAAGTACCCACGCAACATTCTCAGAGAAAATATCCCCAGGCAGTAAGGGGAATGTTGCGTGGAACTCGATCCACAAGAATAGGGCAAGGCATAGGAAGCCGACGATCAAAAGTACATAGACATATACGGTTGGCCAACCGACACTTGGCCCTTGATTCCAAGCGAAATTTATAAGAATCAGAGCGGCAACACCAAGTGAGCCACCTAATAGATCACATTTGACCCACCAAGGCGTTTGATCCGATAGTTTCGGAGGTTCTGATTCAGGAATAGCGAAAAACCCAAGGACCGCAAATCCTATGCAAGCGATTCCCATGATCCAATATGCCCACGGCCACCAGGCGCGCTGAGCTAGGAGAGCCGAGAACACACCCCCGACAGAAAACCCTCCTGGTGCGGTCGCACCGAAGATACTAAACACCATATTCTTTCGAGGTCCAGCGGGGTATGTGCGTCCCAGAATAGCCAGGGCGTTTGGTAGCAAAAAGGCCGGTCCGATCCCCTGGAATGCACGGCAAATATCGAAAAATATTTGGTTTGACCATACGGAAAACCCTCCGAGAAGGGACCATAGGCCAAACCAAAGGAAGCCACCGATAAACATGAGTTTATGCCCATAGAGGTCTCCTAGTCTTCCTGCAACGAGAATGAAGGTTCCCACGGTTAGGCTGTACGCGGCTGCGTACCAACTTAATTGGCCGGGATTGGTGACGTGGAAGCTATGACCAATGATATGAAGGGGCACAATAGCAATGGCAAGACCCGCCTGTGTCATGAATTGAGCACCACACACAACACCGATGAATATGACCTCATGCAGTAAGCTTTTTGGTATTTCCATCGCTGACTGGTTGGTTATCGCCCGAGCGAGATCTCCCTGGTGGGAGTTCGAATGTTCGTCATTCTGGCAATCGTCAGAAGGCTCATTCGAAGGCTTTTCGTGAAATTGTGCTTGTTGTTCAGACATCTGCGCAAGCGATATCTGACGGTAGAGAGATGGGTGTTGGGCTGGTTTAAGGTTTGGCCATGCGAAAGTCGAAAGTGATGACCAGATGACTTGACGGATAAGGAAATTTTCTCTCTCTCTCTGTTTTGATTCTGGGTTCAAGATTTATTAAAAATGGTAAAAGACAAGATTCGACAAGGTTTTGTAAGATCCAACCTTGGAATTCCCACCTGGGCATAATTCGGCCCTAGCGCCCGGACGGATCGGATCGGCACGGGAACGGAGATCGGGGACTCTTAAGGCTGACGTATATTGTACAATTGACGGGTCTGTAGGAAAACCAGGGATTATATATAAATACCTAAGGTTAGACATCTGAAAAAATGCTGGTCTTGAAGCTCCATCTACCAAGAGAGTTCCTGCCGTTTTACTTCAAACATCTATATCATTTTTCTCACCCCTTTTGATATCAACCATATCTTTACAAGTTTCACTTATACACGATGATGAAAGCTTTGCGACTTACGAAATAGCTCGAGGCTTCTATGCCAACCCTTTCACCTACCAGTCTTCTGATTCCGACTGTTGCCCCAGGCTTCGCTCTCGTCAAAATCAAATATTCATGCATTGAACCATCCGATAGAGCTAACAGCATCGGCGCATTCCCGAAGACAATTTTCTCCCGCATTCCTGGTCGCGACTACTCCGGCACAGTGATTGAATTGAAGCAGGATTCAGGTGCGAGACGCTCCGAGTGGATTGGAAAGACCGTCTACGGAACTGGCGGTGCCGAACTTGGTTTCAACATCGATGGCCCACATGCGCAATACTGCCTCATCCCCGAGAACATGCTTATTGAGAAGCCCGACACAATTTCTCTCCTTCAGGGTGCTACCGTTGGGGTTCCTTTCACGACTGCTCTGCGGTGTCTTACACGGGCCAGAGCAAAGCCAGATGACGTTGTTCTTGTTCTGGGTTGTTCTTGTTCTGGGAGCCAGCGGAGCTGTAGGATCTGCTGCTGTCCAACTTGCTCAGGCAACAGGGTGCAGGCGTATACTGACCGCAACTCGAAACAAAGACGAAAATCCAGATGTCCTGTTGAAAGGTGATATCGATACGGAGCTTCAGACCAAACTTCCCTCCCTCACCGACGGAAAGGGCGTCGACGTGGTGGTCGATACTATAGGAAATCTTGATATCATGAATACTGCCATCCACGCTTTGGCTATTAAGGGTCGGTATGCATGGATTACCGCACTAAAGGGAGGAGTTCCCATGAAGTTAAGTCTGGACATTTTTGAGGCCTATCGAAAGGAGATTGAGCTTGTGGGCTGTAACACCGGTCTTGCCACAACCGAGAATACAGCGGAAGAGATGAAGATATTGACCCATTTGTTCAAACAAAATTTGATTCATCCGCAAGCTGAATCTTCAATGAACTTGGTTGACTTGGATGATGCCATTGAGAAGGGCTATAAGACATCTCTAAATAAGAAGCAGACCGTGTTGACGATGGACTAGATGTGCTTGAATAGTTCTGCTTTGCCTTTCTTGTATATGATTCCTCAATATCTAACAATCGAAGTTCATTCCTAATTCAGAGACGAAATTTAGAAAATACCAAGTTTAGTAGTAATAGTAGTTAAGCGATATTCTACATTATTACAAACTAAGGCGGAGATAACTCATCGCATTCGGTCAGAAACCGAGAGGAATAGCTCGATCTCGTTCCACAAAAGAAGATAATACATAGTCCGCATTGTATCCAGCACGGATATCAGCACAGAAGATGAAGCTAGATTGCAGATGATAACAATGCAGAACTTCGATAGACTGCACGGCCTAACCTTTCATGCCGAAGATGCCTGGACCTCTCGATATTTCTTCAATGCAGGAAAATCATAATACGGCACATGACAGATGGAAAACGAAAGTACTTCCGACGACCCAGCGGCCGTGTCAGCAGATTCGCCATATCTTTCCACAGAATTGAGCATTCCTGGATTCACTATAAGAAGATCCATCACTGCGAGCGCTTGCGCTAGCCCCCACGTGTTCCCTATCATTCGAAGACACTGTATTACCCACTGAAGCTGTGGATGAGTCGGTCCCTCGACCATGCTGGCAATGAATAGGGGCCAGAGCCTCAGGAAACCGCCTAGGTAGCTCCTTGGTGGAAATATAGTCGCTTCTGGGAGCACATGCGAGTTGCAGGCACCTAGATTAAATGGGAAACTGCGGCAGATATCTGCACCTAGGCGACGTATAGTTGATCGTAGAGACTTGCAGTGCAAATAAAAATCCTGGGATAAAGAAGTAGGCAAACTTTTGGATATCTTCTGAAATTGTGATAATATAAGCTCACTGACCAGGATGCGTACGCAACGGTAGTGGTTCCAGCAATTGGACCCCTCGATGTCTCTGTACATGTGATATTCGTTGTTGTAAGGTCGAGTTCCGTGACAGTAGCGCTCGAAGGAATGGTCTAGAGGCATAATTGTATGGCTGCTATATATAAAATCCGGTGGCAGAGCGGCTAACCAGGCGATAAGGTCTGCTTCAATAGCACAGGCCGCAGTGAGGATCTCTTTGGGATCAGTCAACGCTTGCGTCTGCATATTTGCACATAGATTCGACAGATGACCAATGATTAACATAATCTTAGCGCTAAGAGAATTATTTATCTGAGGGATCATGTCGAGCTTTGTACATTCTAATAAATAGCTGGGCACGGGCACATCGTGCTGGAGACAAGCTATGATCTATGAACGAATTAGCGTTCCCTTCACGGCTTTAGGGAATCCCTCTCACTCACAATTTGGTACCTCAGACGTAGAAAAAGCCGAACTACATTCTCACTTCGCCATTGTGCAGCCCCCCGGTGCTTCAGTAGAGCGGCTGCTCCACAAATATGATTTTTCCAACCGCCGATGCCTTCTGGATCGCTCGACACAACGATCTACTGATTTGGGAATTTGACTTGGTTATTCAGGTTGGAGGGGAATACTCACTTCATACAAGGCCAGAAGAACAACCGCTCCAAGAGTCTGATCTGTCTTAGCCTCTTCAACATTAGCAAGTGCCTGATTGACTAGGTTGAGTGTAGATCCATATTCCTGAAGAGCGGCTTGCCTCAGTGATGGCATTTTTCGAACACGGGAGAGCATGGCGCTGGCAACTGCTATAATGCTGGATTGTATAGCCCGTTGACCTGGTGACCCACTGGAATCCATAAGAAAATTTATCAAAATTTCCGATATCACAAATTTGCTGGGAATAGCGTGCGATTGGAGAAAGAAGCAAATAGCCTCCTGCTTCGAAACTGTGGTGTTAGGATGTGTTTGCACAGGGCTTTGCCTAGCTTGGAGCATCTGTAAGTTGTGATCACGATCAGAACCGAAATTGAAATCTGGGTCTTCCAGGCCCGCGTATGATTTTGTGGTCCCGGAGGATCGGGATGGCATTCGACGTCTAGAAGACGACGATAGGGTAGATGGCGCCGAAGAAGACTGAAAAGAATGTGCCTTCTGCGCGGCGACGGATTCTGTCTCATCGCGATACCCAAGACATTCTCGGTTGCTTTGAGTGCCTTCCCAATAGGCTGGCCGGGTCTGGTCGCATCTGATCTTGCGCGAGCGACAGTTTTCACAACCTTTGCTAGGTTTACCAGTATTTACCATGGTGCGAATGCTCTCACTGGTATAAATAGAGCCAATAGTATCAATAAAATAGTAAGTATCATGATGGCGCGACCAGTATTAAAGAATTTAGAGGCGTTGGATGAATTGAAGATGAAAAAGCCACCTAGATCCATGGATACGTAAGACGCTGATGCAGCCAGCTCACATGCTAGGTAGTTATGGGTCTAATAGTCTTAGATAAAAAATCTAACTTGTATAGGCCAAATTTCCACAATTCTCATTGCATACGCGTCCCACAGCTACGTTTTGTACTCCGAAACCAAGATTCAAAAAGCTTGGATTCTTGCACAACAGCAATTTTGATGTTTCCTATGCATGATATTCACTTCACTACAAGTGCTTTGGGGTCATTCATCTACGGTATATATGGAATAGTCGACCAGGTGATACCATAAACTACTCTGGAACTGCTAAATAGGATTGATATTAGGGAGCTAACCCCAAACTGGATATACCTCCGATACCATGTCTGCAAAACTTGGGTTCCTAGATTGGAGTAAATGAGATGGTTGTCATTTTCTGTTTTCTGTAACTGTAGATCTCTAAGAAACTGCTCAATGGGATCAGATCTAACTGACTCAAGATAGCTCGATGCCTCAAGATGTTTATCCTTTATATTTCTCGAAATTGAAAAACCGCTGGCCCCAAGGCTTTATTTACGACAAAGTCGCGGCCTCTGTTGGAGATAGGGTATGGATAATTGCACCAAGCCACAATCCAAATGTGAGAAACCAAAGATAACAGTTGTGTCTTAGGCCCGAAAAACGTGCATCTCTTCGGCCAATCAGCCGGTGCTGAGAATATACATCATTGCCTAGGAGTCAAGTCTCAAATTCTTACATCTAATCCAGCAAAATGCCACCGTAGCATTTGTTTGGACGCTTCAATGTAATTTCAGTGGTTTGAGTGCACAGACTTCTCATTTGTAGTCTATATGGCGGCCGCTCATATCTTCACAGACAGCCTCTCTTCAGTCGAAGACTGTTTCCGATTTTTTTTTATCACGTACCCAGCGGATAATTTCAAAACTTAGGGGGTTGGATAGTACGGGAGAAAGTTTTTGATATCCTTGGTCAGAAGGCTCATGATTTTCATCCTTACGTGGACCGCAATGCTATCGATGTGTCGAGTGCACGGCTTCTGATAGCCACTCTCTGGAAGATCTTCATTGTGGGGGTTTTTTTATTGCCTGATTTAGCACCTATATAACTACATAGGCATACACCAGGACCATCGGCTTGATTAGATGCCAGTATAGTGGTGGGCTTTTCCTCCCGTACACCTGTCCGACTAGACCAAACATTTCTAATTGCTGGCGCTGAAGACCCTAAAGGCTTCTGATTGATAGATCTAGAAGTATTCATAAATTTAGAAAATACGTTTGACCATTTTGAAAAGAATCGCAAGCCAATGTTAAATTGCATACGGAGTAAACTTTTGAAGAACCCAAGTGTGTGTTGATTGGACGAGCAAGCTGGGAACTGAAAAGCCAAAAACAAAACAAATGGTATAGAAGTCGTATTCAGTATGGTAAATATCATAAAAAGAATTAAATTGAGGGAGGCGTTACAACCTGGTTGTTTCAAACCAAAAAGTGCATACTTTTTTCTTTTTTGAATTCTAGCATTCCGTACTCCGCAACATAAAAGGGAAAAGAGGGACGGATATGTGGGTCCCGCTCCGCTCCCATTTGGTAAATTATGCAAACTATGCAAATCTGCCAAACACCCAAATCAGTTAGACCACAACCATTCGGTCACCATCGATATTTGTTTATTCATTTACCATTTGCTATCCAAACGACCATGAAACCAGCTTGCTAATACTAGCTCTCTTCTGTCCTCATTTTGCTTCGTTGTCCCGATTGACAAATTTTTACGACAGAGCTATTCCTCACTACATTACGCAGTAGCCAAGCATATATAGCTTGAATCCATCTTGCGTCCTCTGGGCTACCTAACACCCTACCAGGCGACGACTCAAGTCTAGAATAATAGGCAATGGAGATTCCAGATGAACTATCTTCATCTCTGCTTTATCTACAATCATTCCGCTAGAATTCATACGAGAAAAGCTTGATGGCGGGAATGTTTTTGCACCCGAATATCCTTTTGGGGCTGATTTCACAATTCCATATTTCGTATGGTGTATCTACCCTGTTATCTCACCACCACAGCTTCTGTGGCTCCGTTCGCCAAGAGAAATTCTCAAATGGCACCTCTTGCTATCTCGGTGGTCAAACTGCTCGCCCTGGTGGGAGGCAGTACTACCATGTCCAGCACTGAGAGCATGTATGTATGTTCCTTCCACGGCGCCTACTCCAACTGGCCAATCCTATTTACATTTGTTTTACCCACTGCTGGGGCAACCTCAATCCCTATTCGGACACACCTGGCTTTGACGGTAAGAAATCGTCTGATCAGTATCATCTCAGTATTATTCCAGACCAAAGTCTGAGTTCAATCATACATTTTCCGCATTGGATTTACTCCCGGTGGGATGGCAGCTACCAAGAAGCATAAGGTGATCCCTATTTGACCTCAAGCGACCTGTGAGAGAACGTCAGAAATTGGACCCTTTTGATAAACAAAGGAAAATACATGATGAACAAGCTTGATGTCTTCTATGCCTACGTTTCGAGTACGTTGCAGGATATAGTCGCCCGTGAATGCAACAATGCGAAACACCCATCCATGACAGCACATCATGAAGTGGTTTCGCATTACATCAATCTGTACAGAAAAAGTCTTCGGTTTGCAATTGAGGGTACTTGTCTTTCTTTTGATACATTTCCGGTTGAAAACGGTATAGGATTTGAAGCCACCTGCACATACAATAGGCTTGAGCTCTAGATCTCTTTCAAATTTGGGTACCACTCTAGGTAAATAAAATTGGAGCTATTCCAAGCTTCCAAGTTTCTTCCTTGGAAGGTTGTTCTATGGGGCCAAACTGGGTCTACCCGTCCGGGCCGCTTCCAACCTTGGAAGTTTAATACTAGTCCCCACCTGGGCACACACCCAGATACTTTGTGGAGTTTGATAAGAGAACCGACGACCTTGAAATAAACAGGCTTTTCGCCAAACTTATTGCAGAAGTTGAACGTTAGACAAGCATCCATTCGTATCTGATTATATTGCTCCAGAAACATATTAACATCCCATATTAGACAACTTTCCAAACCATCCTCCCTGCACAAGGCTGAAATTGGATATTTATACAACCTCGCCAACCTCGTGGAACAACTCCTTTTCCACCGCAACATATCCAATCCACACGTTCGATACACCGATATACTTCGATAAACGAAGTTTCATTTAAGCATCGTCTGTGATCTTCTCGGTGACAGTACCATCATCTTGAATAAGAACCTTGTGCACATTAAGGGAAGCCTTGACAGGGTTGGGCTGTTGGTAGACCCACTCCAACTGTTCCAGAGTTCGGCCCTGGGATTCGACACTGTAGTGGCAGGAGTTAGTATGAAATGAATCTGACATGTGAGAGGATTGAAAACGGAATCGGAGTAAGCGTACCAGAAGAAGTACCAGAAGACGGACTCGACAACATCCCAGCCGACAAAGATCCAGAAGTAGTTGGTAGAAATGTTTTGCAGACCAATGGGCGTAGCAAACTGACTGATGAAACTAATGCTGCTGACCATGAAGCCTGACAGAGCCAGACCCTTGGCGCGAGTGGTTGTCTCCAGCGCCTCGGCCGGAATGACACCCTGGAGGGGAGTGTAGGTGAACGAGAAGACCACGTTGAAAAGGTAGTAGAAAGCAAGAGCAGCCTGACCCTTGGTCTTGCTAATGATACCAGTATTGGCGACCTCTTGTAGGATACCAGCATTGATAGCTAGGGTGACAGCGCATGCTATGTGTTGGTTAGCGAGGCTGGTCAAGATAAAACTGGGGGAAAAGACGAGCGAGACTCACCAAGAGTACCGAAGATAAGAACAGGACGACGGCGCATTTTGTCACAGAAGTACACGGCGGTCAATGCACCCACAGCGGAGACAATAGAGTTGACAAGGTTAAGCAACAATTGCATAGAGCTGGTCTCGTATCCAATAACCTTGAAAATAGTGGCATTGAAGTAACCAAGACCATTTCCAGACCACTGTCCAAAGACAGAAATCATGATCACCTGTGCAAAACGCCAGCGTCCACTCTTGGTTGTGATGAATGGTCGGTCTAGTGAGTAGGAAATCTTGGTCAGTTGCTATTGCGAACAAATATTCCTGATCATATCGGCATTGCAAGACTTACAATCCCACCATCTCTTGTCAATACCGTCAATTCTAATACCTTCCCTCATTTCCTCAATCTCAAGAAGGACCAACCGAGCGTTGGGGTCGCCGTTGCCGTGATACTTGACCAGGAATGCTTCTGCCTCCGCGTTTCGGCCGTTGGCGATGAGCCAACGGGGTGACTCGGGAATGAACCAAACAGATACGATAACAATGCAGGCTGCGAAGCACTGGCAGATAAAGGGAATGCGCCACTGGTAGTGACTGTCGATGAAGTTGGTACCGTATGTGATGGCGGCGGCAGGGATGGAGCCACCGAACCAACCACAGTTGTAGAAACCTGTCATAGCGTCAGAACTGATGCAATGCTTAATTTATTCTTTTCGACGCGATCAGGATACTCACCAACGGCACGACCACGCCAGTGAGGCGGGGCGATTTCAACGGCATAGGCGGGAGCGGAGACGACCATGATTTGAATGCCGACACCGAGGACAAATCGACCGACAACGAATTGTGCCAGTGTCATACCAGTAGAGATAATAATAGATCCAATGATAATGACCCATCCACCGATAAACATACACTTGCGACGACCAAGCCTGTCGGAAAGGATAGCGCTGATGGGAGTACAGACAATGGAGCCACTGGTGAGAATTAATATCGGTTGTCATAATATGTGTAGAATAGAGAGCAAACGTACACTGTGTAGAGCGAAGTAACAAGGGAGACCTTGGGGCCATCCATTCCGGTTTTGAAGACCTCTTGGTAATGGTTCATGGCGAGGATAGATCCCATCAGAGATCCTATATTTTGTTAGTCAATGCAATTTTCTGAGGTTGATAAAAAGGTAATTACCATCATAACCGTTGGCACAGGCACAGCAGAATGCGACAAAGATACAGTCTGTAATGGTAACACCCAATGTTAGTGTCTGAGGAACATTTGCTGCATTGATCAAAAGGTTGTAACTTACAGTACAAATGAAGGGATTCCTTGCTCCATCTTTTAATTTTAGTCTCCTCAATGGCAGCGTAAAGATCTGCCTGTATGTTTTCGAAGATCTATCAGTATTTTGTCCGCAAACAATTAAAAAATTGGGAAACCACTGACATTCAGGACCTCCTTGGTCTTTGCGCCGTGACGCCTGGTAGCCTCTGTAGTATGGTCTTCAACGGCAGAGGAGATGCCATACACCTCCTCTGATGCCTTCTTGTCGTCCGACATGATTTCCGCGAGGATTGGAATCGACGATGTCAGTAGAAGATCCAATCAGTGATAGACGGGACTGGCGCGATGAATCGTGAATTTCATGAACAGCGGGGCGGGGTGTGGTTCTTATAATGTTAGAATCTCAGATCACCGAGTAATTAAGAAAAAGACTATAATCCATTTTAGGAATGACTGGGTCCAGTCTCCGGTTCCCCAGACTCCATTTGCCTTGTGACCACGGGGCCCCTGTTTTCTCCAGTAATACACGCCTCTAGTTGGTGGCTTTTTCAAATACCTCCGCGTCCTGATGGGAATCGGGACATTCCCCAATCATACCATTTGCCCCCCACTATAGTCGCCATATTTCGATTTCTCGCATTCAAAAAAATTAGGGTCTGACTCCTGGATGATCGGGCCTGTTTTCCGCTTAGGTAGAAACTTGTTCAAAACATTAAAACGGTTGGGGCTAGAAAGCCCCTTTTCGAATTTATCTAACTAGTCTCAATGCAAGCACGACAAGCGGACGAGCCTCGCGAGCCTAGAATTCCAGGCCAAATACTTACTAGTTACAATGCTCCTCGACCAATGTTAGGTACATATTCACATGACTTATGCAAGATTGCTTAATTTACTCGACACGCCTCTTAATGTGGCGATGTGTCAATGGATTGTTTTGAGGTTGTCTTGTCTATTCAGCTTGACAACTCCACATGTTTTTGCCATCTACTGAGGTCGCGTGTCACGAAAAATGAGTTTTCGCATGATGCCATGAGTATCTCCATATTCAAATCCTTTGTCTCATGAGGAAAAATGTGTAAACATTGCACGGAGCCCATTATCAGCACGGAGGCCTCTCCGTGTTGGATCCTTCACGGGTCCTACCACCCCTTCCCCCACAGTCCACTAAGCTTCTTATAGTCAAACTGACAGCTGTGTTAGCTACTTCCCTGGCTTATGTCCTTAGATTATGGTGGAAATATACCATTCCTTCCATCATCACGCTTCATTAAACTTCGGCCCGAGTATCCCATGAAATGTTCCCCGGAAATGCCACTGGATCTAAACAGACCGTGCGTTACGCTAGGTTTGCACAAACACGAATACAAAAATTAGATGGATGTAAACTCGCTTGATAGAGCGCCATTCCGACGGAGGTTGGACCGAAGACGAGGAACGCTGATATCGCAGCTCCGGGCCGAACTAAGAATTACTGGAGGTGACACTTCCGAAACGGAGATGGCCACGGGGATGGGTCGTGAGACACAACAAGGGCCTAGGGTCATTTCAGCCACTCATACCTCCGTACGGAGCACTCCCCAGCGAGGCATTATTTCTCGGAGTCACCCGTGATTCCTTGGCGGCATTGGAATCATTAAAAGGGGGATTTTCCCCAGAAGGCTGGGGAAGATGTACACTATCTACCAACCATTTGTCGGAACAAAACTCCAAAACATTCTCATCACACGTCAAAAGACGTTGTTGGACTAGGGAAGAAAACCCCACGAGTGGATATCGCGGAGTCCTGGGGTCGGGTGTCCACCCGGAAACAAGCTTGCAAGCGACCGGCCATCGGGAATCAGCGGGCCTCGGCCCATTTCTCAAGTCGGACGTGTATCGCAGTATAGTAATCGGTACTTTTGGTCCTAATTGGCCTCTGCAGAGTTTTTTATTTGTTTTTTTTTTTCTCTAGATTGTTAAAGTATATACACCGTACTCCGTATATAATAATGAATTGGGCGTTTCTAGCCACACGGAAAAGTTCCAAGGTTTTTTTTGTATGTATTGTCCTTTTCACTATACAGCCCCGGGGTTTACGCCTGATTACAGTGGCTGTAAGTTCCAACACCACCTATAGCCCCACCTATATACTGCCTATATAAAATGAGCTGGTGGGCTTCATCTATCCCGAATTATTCCAAACAGACATCTATAAGTACTCCGTACGTAGAAAGAATATCTAAAAAATACACGAAGAAAACACATGAAGAAAAAAGCAGGGGGCAAAAAAGAAGAAAACAGACATCGTAGTATAGTCTAAATTATACCATCTTAAGTATCATCTTAACCAACCTCAAAGGTTTATATTCAGATTATCCAAGTCCTATATTGGTATTACTTATAGAGATCATATAAGCAGCGAACTATTCTATTCTATCTCTATATACATACCTAACTCACTCTACATCGATCTTTATAAACTCCTCATCGAAGCTAGTCAATAAAAGCAGAATATCAGTCTGTGATGGTGTCCAACAAGTTGTCAATAGCTGTAATTCCTTCCTCCAGCTCTCTGATACGTGCACCGCACAAACGCAGCGCTCCATGATCTAGGTAAGGGCTGCCGCAATCTGATAGATGCCCTTACCGATATTAGAGGTCAAGGTAGGCGGCAAGGCTCTTGCGGATGATTGGTTCTCGGATTAGAGACTACTTAAAAAGAAGTTCCAGGAACTAACTTTTACCAAGTCCTGTTCCTTGGCAGCAGCAGGGGTGTGTCTGGATACAAGCCACCTATGGGAGGCTTACAGGGATGGGCTCTTCCGTATGGTCGCGAGGTAGATGGCTTGGGAGGCTAGAAAGTTGAGCGTAGCCATTAAATTAGTAGATGCAGGGGTAAATCTTACACAGGTGGCGTTTTAATAATTTCTGAGGATGGTAAGAGGCGGGTTTTACTCTCCTCACTTCGGATAGAGATTCAAGCTTCATCTTTTCCTATTCCACCTCAATCCTTGAATCGCCCTCAAGATGGCTGAGTAAGACCCTCGTATTATCTATAAATTAATTGGCTACTGTGATTGCGAATCTAACCGAGCCTTGATCTATTGTACAAGTTAAGATCAACTGGAGACACATCCATACGATGACCAACATGCCCAAATCGGGCCGTAACGGTCTCACTACTGTTGAGTAACTTCCTTCACCCTATCTCTTGTTGTTGGTCCAGTTTGCTGCTCGATAGTCTCTTCTGGGTATCAAAATCTATCCGGCCTTGGTGGTGCTTTAGTCGCCAACCAAATAGCCTATGGATGAGTAAAACTCGTAGTGTCTTGTACCTAGTGAGCTGTAATAGACATACCAAGGACATTTGCGTCAGGGGTTATTAAGTGTAATATATATATATCCAGTTACAGTTGTTCGATACGCTGCATTGCTCAAGTGGCGCACTTACTACTTACCAACGAAGTTTGTTATCCCTTTTTCTGTTTATGAATTCCTTGCTGTCTTGCCTTTTCCTGCCCTTCTCTTTGTGGCTTGCTCTTGGTCTCCATGAACCTATATTACATATAATATCCCTTTTTTTGAAGCCAGATATCTATGAAATCTTCTTCATATTCATCTCCTTTTTCTATTCAAGTAGCCAGCATAATGGTTAAAACTGCTCGTTTTATGTATCAGGCAAGCCGAAGACTTTCATAAACTGGCTCTTCCATTATAGGCCGACGAGAAAGGTCAGCACAGCATAGGGTCTCGGTACAGGTGGCAGTCGGTGCGTTGGACATGCGCACCTTCCCTATTCTCTTCCACTCCTATTTCCTCCTATGTTCCCATTTCCCCTGTCACATTTCTTGCTTTTTTTATTTTTTATTTCTCTATCTTTTATCTTTCTTCGTTTTCCCTCTTTCTGACAATCCTTTCTTCTTTCATATCCTATTTCACAACCCCCCAGCATGTCTTTCACATAGCTGATACCAGCTTCCATATTTTCGGTATTTACTTCATATCAAGTGGGTGTGAACCGCAAATGAAACTGACCAGGGCAATCTACGGACCCACCTCCTCGGGCAGCTAGAAGGTGGTAAGTCGCTTTTTGGGGCTCCTCGTTTGATAATTGTGGTTAGATCGCTAACAGCTTCGGCGTGGTATAGCTGAAACGGAATACTCTGAAGCTTTCATAATTATCATGAGCCACCAAGCATCCCTAATACCGAGTCCCTAATACCGAGTGGCCGGATTTTTCTAACATACCTTTCTATCTGCGACAGCCTGACACTGTTGCAACCATTCAAGGCATTTCAAGAGAAAGAGCACCAGTCGCTTGATAAGCGTACCTTTATAGGAGCACAGGAGCCTCTTATTGGGGAAAAGAACAGACTGAAATTTCAATATACTATCAGTGAGCTGATCAGCGCTGAGGGGAGAGTTCGGGTGTGGCCTTAGGGGGCACAGTCTGACATACAAGATACAATATAATAACTGAAATTGTATTGCAAATTACTCCTCTATGGTCAAGGCTTAGGAAAATAGTGCGAGAAAAATGGTTTTATCACAAGGGCGAGTTCTGGCTCGGTATAGACAGTCGTCCGTATGCTAAGTATAGTGTGAGCCAAACTATCTAGGGAAATTGTTCTATAAGCATGATGATTTGAAAATTTAGCACAGTTCATAGTAAGCTTATTTTAGCAGCCATCTACTTGCTCCTCATGAGCTCTGGATGTCGAGAACTTTCCCAGTATCCTATTTCTGTTTTTTTTTTTTTTTTTTTTTTTTTTGCTTTAGTCCCTCGCTTAATATTCCTTTCTAGATACCAACATCTATCCGGTCCTAGTAATATCCAAGTTGCTAGCCACATAGCTTTTGGATGATTAAAATACTTTTCGTGGTGATTTATACCCAGCCAGTTGTGAAGGACGGGCTTAAGGACAATCTTTGTGGGACATGATCGGCTATACTTGTTATAGCCCTGAAGAGAGTTTGCAATATTTACAGTTGTTTGATGCGGCATTGAGATACTTACTGCTTGCAAATACAGTTTGTTCATCCTTTTGCCTGTTTACAAATAGTCTGTTGACTTTCTTTTTCCTGGCCATCTCTTTGAAGCTATATATATAGCTTCATAGCCGCAAGTATTCACCATGTTTAAGGATTGGGTAATCTTACTTTTTTGGCTTCTACGCCTAGATACTACCTACTTATATCTATTATATTATTATAATAACTTTTAAAACTCGACCTACTAAGGCTATATATAATCAGATATCTTCTGTTTCGAAGTTAGATATCTCTCAGATTGATCTAATATATACCTCACCATTCTGTTCAATCAGCAAAAAGGATGCTTTGCAATACTGGTCAGAGTCCAAGTTTTGGTACAGACATTATGAATAGGGTAATTAACCATGTCTTCCATGATAACTGTAGAAATTGCTCACTCTATATCTCAGGTAAGCTGAAGATATTCATCAACTGAGTCAGGATAAAGACTCTACCATATAGTGAAGCCAAATGTCAGATAATCCTTGAAGGCTGAGGGAGTCTTGGTGAGTGCAAGGTTTGTGTTGGAGATGCGCACCTTCTCTATCCTCTTCAACTCATCCTTTCTCACAATTTCCTTTTTCCTCCTCCGAATCTCATTTCTTTTTTTCATTCCCCTCACTTCCTTCCTTTCACCTATCTTTCATGTTTCACATCCCTTCTATTGCTTTTAACCCTCTTACCAACTTTTCATTCATCCCAATATCATGGCATTCCCTATTTTCAGACCAGCCTTCGTTCTTGAAGTGGGTATCGCATATCAATGAGATGTGAACTATCACTGACCAGAGCAATCTATAGGCAAACATCCTGGGTCAGCTGGAGACCGGTATGTCACTCTTCGGAGCTGCTAGTTTGGTATCGCCATTAGATCACTAATAGTCTCGTCTTGCTATAGCAGGAACCGCGTACTTCGACACATTTGTTGCTGTGGTGAGACACCAAATCCCTCATACCGATTGAGTCCCATTTTTCTAATATCTCTGCCTGTCTGCGATAGCCTGGCACTCGGGCCACGATCAACAGCGTGGCTGGCTTTGTGCCTGTTACCGCTGTCACCGCAGCTTACGTCGATACAGCGTACACGGAGATCATCCTTGGTGAGAACAGCCGTCTCGAAACGGCTATGCAGATGACGTATGTTTCAGCAAAATTTGCTAAAGAGAGATTGCAACGCAGATAAATGCTAACGCTTTCTTTATATAGCACGCAAGAGGGTGTGGTGAGCCACTACCCAGGGCTTTTTTAACCTAATCACATATTTAACTATCTGCAGGCCATTAATATGCATATCTCCGGAAGCTTTAAAATCACTTTCAATGCCCTCAACGCAGCCCGAGAGGGGGTGTTGGGAGCAATCGGATGTATGCCTCCTTGTTATAATATGTCATTTGTATCAAAGCTCATATTGCTAACCTTGGTTATCTATAGTGGCTAACTTTACCTTTGAAGTAAGCTGAAAACATTTCTAATAAAATTCCTACCTATTCGCAGAGCGGCTGACCATACAAGTCACTCGAGCATCGACTGTTCGTCGGAGAGGGTTACCTTTTCATGGGGTCAGATAACCGCCTGGATGCTCGATACAGCGTCAGCGTGGGTGAGGTGGCCCGCCAGTGACTTGGGAGAATGGCCTGCCTAAGTGTCTGGAATGGAGAGGCCCCGGAATCGACTCGCTGAAACAAGGGGGGAACGAGCCCGGCCAGGAAGAACTTGTAGCGAACACAGATCTAACTCGGCTTTGTCAGCATCATACATATTCTTTTTTTTTTCGGAATCCGATCTGCTACTATAACTACAGGCTCCGTTATTGCATACCTTGAGGATCAATATCATGCAACAGGGTCCATAGCAAATCCAATGAAGTGCAAGTTAGAGCTATAATCAGGGATGAGAGAGTAGATGGCTCAAAGTTACCAATTCAAAGAATAACTAACTATATATTGGCTCTGTTAATAAGTTAATTAGTTCAAACTCATTTGGCCTGGGGGTAATTCAGTTGATGGGAGATAAGATATCTTCCTCTGAGGCCTTCGTCATGTGTATCAGATGACATGGACTACAAAGTCATAGATACTTTGTTAAATATATCGGAGAAAGTAAAGACTTTTGTGTTGATGAACTGTAAGTTTCACAAACCCCATGTGATGTGAGCTTTGGTATCAATATATGTTGCGCTTGCTTATGTCGACCACCTGCCCAGAATAGTCAATTCCCGGGGATACAGACCAGAATCAGTTATAGATCTAGTGAAATAGATGCATCATCGTCGTTTCTATATATAAAAAAAACAACAACAACTATGTATAGAAACCCCGCTAGGAATGGGAATATTAGTAGGAGGTAGACATGTCGGCGTTGTCACTCTAGGACAATATGTAAAAATCAGAAACCATACAGAGGACCTTCCCGTGTATAGGGGTATAAAAAATATAAAAGGTATAAGCAGGGATTTATCTGACATTTTTACAAAGTACGGTTCAATTGTGGCCAGACGACTAGGCGGGGGCACGTGATGGAGTCATTAGTTGTAGGTCTCGTGAGCACGTCGATCCGGGGATATATCAGCCTATAACTATAAATTTGATCATTTGGTGTGTTAGTTTAGTAATTTAGTACAAAAGGTCGGAGTGAAATCAGCTTTATAAACTCTTCACTTTTTCCCAAGAGTCTCCTATCCATCATTTTCTGATTGGTTATGCGTTCGAGTTGGGAGTTCGGCTGCCGCACCCGCCTAGTGACGTGACCGTGCAGATTAGATCTTCCGTTTACCCAAAAATATTCTCTTCAACCTATTTGCTCTCTTGGTGTACCAGTTGGTTTAGAGGACTCATGCAGTCAATTTTCTTGCTGCTGGGCCTCTTTGCCGACGCCATCTCCGCCAGCCCCTTGGAGCAACAATCGTTGGGCCGTATCAGTCCAACGGAGCTGCCTACGGGCCTGGCGGAGGATTTGCGCAAACCTGTACGCGGACGATTCTTGCATATAACTGGTGAGGGGAATATTCTCTATCTTCATGTCCCTGTTGTGTAACACCACGCTGACCAACAGATTTCCATCCCGACCGTCTCTACAAGCCCGGAACCTCGATCGATCGCTCGTGCCACCGTGGTAACGGCCCCGCGGGGTATTTTGGAGGGGAGGGCACAGAATGCGATTCACCTCTTTCACTTGTTAATGAAACATTTCGCTGGATTGAAGAAAACCTGAAGGATGAGATTGATTTTGTGATTTGGACCGGCGATTCTGTCAGACACGACAATGACGAAAAGCTCCCTCGCACGGCAGATGAGATAATGGAACTGAATGAATTCCTGTCACAAAAATGGGTCAGCATTTTCGGTGCGGAGGAGGCTCGTGAGACCACAAATGCCATGCCCAAAATGTCGATCCCTGTGATCCCGACATTCGGTAATAACGATATTATGCCCCACAACATCTTCAACGAGGGCCCGAATAAATGGACAAAGCGCTTTGCGGAGATATGGAACCAATTTATCCCAGAAGATCAGCGTCACACCTTCGTTGAGGGTGGTTGGTTCACTGCGGAGGTGGTCCCCGGTCGGCTAGCAGTCATCAGCCTAAACACCATGTACTTCTTCGATTCCAACAGCGCGGTAGATGGATGCAACGCCAAGTCGGAACCTGGATACGAGCACATGGAGTGGCTGCGGGTGCAGTTGAAAATTCTACGCAGTCGAAACATGAAAGCCATCCTCATGGGTCATGTCCCCCCAGCCCGGTCGAGCGAGAAAAGGAATTGGGATGAGACATGCTGGCAAAAATATACTCTCTGGATGCACCAGTACCGTGACGTTGTTGTTGGTAGCTTTTATGGCCATATGAATATCGACCACTTCATGCTCCAGGATAGCAACAAGGTCAACATTGATTCACAGGTCGATGAGACTGTGTCAATCAACTCAAAAACCGACTACCTTGAGTCACTCCGAAACCAGTGGTCCTCATTGCCATCCCCTCCGTCCGGAATTTTCGAAGAGCTTGACTCTATGTCAGATTTAGGATATCTCTCCTCGGAAGTTGAATCGGCGAAGAAGGAGAAGAGGGGTAAAAAGAAGGAAAAGAAGAAGCAAAAGTTCCTGGATAAGATTGGAGGCCCGTGGGCAGAAAGATACAGCGTATCGCTAGTATCTCCCAGTTTGGTCCCGAACTTCTTCCCCAGCTTGCGCGTGATCGATTACAACATCACGGGACTGGACGATGTCGCACCTGGGATGAACTTGTTCACACGTGAGGTTGACGATTCGACCTCTGCGATTGATACGGAAGAATACAGCGATGATTCCTCAAGCACCCCCGAAATTCAAAAAAAGAAAAAGAAGGACAAGGACAAGAAAAAGAAACCCAAGTTCAAAGTCCCGGAGCCCCCATCCTCAACCGCTCCTCCCGGCCCTGCATACTCGAACCAGGCGTTCACGTTGCTTGGCTACACTCAATATTACTCAAACCTAACAAAACTCCACGAAGAGATCGCGGCAGGCGAACTAGGCGAGGATCCTCGTATCGACTACGAGATCGAGTACACCACAAATGATGATGTTTATCAAATGAAAGACCTGACAGTACGCAGTTTCTTCCAACTCGCAGCTAGAATTGCCGAGGAAGGAGCTGAAGAAAAACAAACGGGCGACATCAATAGCCCAGGTGCTGATTGGTCTGTTGCCAAGAAAAAGAGAAAGAAGTCAACGAATCATGTCTGGCGGGCTTTCTTGAGGCGCGCATTTGTTGGATTTGAAGATCATGACCTGGATGAATAAGGCGATTTTGTATCAGCAATTTTTTTTTTTTTGGATACTTTTGCATGCACAATACATAGTAGCTTGCGTCTCAGGCTTATACAGTGGAGACTTGTGGATTCACAAGGTGTTATTCTAGATCAGAACTCCAAACAACCATTGGATATGGAAACATGAGGGAGTGAAAAGTACAAAACGAATCAGAAAAAGCAAATTACCAATTTTTGCATTTTTTTTCAACGTACATAGTATTGTACAATTTACAATGGACTTGTCCTAATTGAGCGATCAGCACATTCTGGCGGTGTAGCAGCTTGGACAACCTGGACAGTTCGGATCTCTGTAACACAACTGCAATGATGTGCACAGGTATTAATTCGTCTATATATCGAAGGTATGAGATGTTGTACAATGAGCACTACGAACTTCTCACTTTCCATCAAATAGGTGGATTTCCATCGGGAAATGCACCACAGCAACAGCCACTGCCAGCGTGGCAGTCCGTGCTATCAAGGTTTTAGATTAATGCCCAGGTACATTCAGAGTAATCTGGCCCGAAGACTTGGGCATCTATTTAGCTGGGTATTATGATCCTATCATAAATTAAAGCAGAATGAAATCATTGCTTCCCAGCCAATCTGTGATGGCGCCCTAGTTATTTCTTGCCTTGAGCCGCGCTGCCACGTAGCAAGCCCGTTATTACCATGTAGTTAATAGGACTAAATTGACATTGCACACAAAATCCAGAGTACTAGTGTAGGACAGCACATCATTACATATGTAGAATTAGAGTTAGACAAGTTGGCACTATTGCAATTCCTACTGTAGACTTGGTTTATACAAGTAGATCACCTCCACTTGTAGCACATATGTTGTAATCCATTTTGTCTAATTTTGTACAATCTGTTCTGATTGTGGGACTCCAAGACAAGCTAGTAACAATTACTATTACAGTACACATATCCCAAGTCCAGCCCAATCTCTTCGTCATATCAGGGGAAACCACCACGCAGCTAGCATGACCTTGCATTCCTGCATTGGAAATCTCTCAATTCTCTAATTCTCTTTTAATCCGTGGACTTCGACTCCAGCCCTAACACCTATAACAATTGCAAAGCCCCAGCCCTCCTAGCTCGAGCCCCGAGCTAGTAGCTTCATACCCGAGACAGCTGGGCACAGTCCCCAATTCCTTCCCCGCACAGAGTTCGCTGGCACTGAAAATCATCGCATTTCGCCTACTCTACTACCCCCTACTTTGCCGGCCACACGATGCGTCAAGTCTACTTGCAATCCAGCCACGAGCTCCGTCAACTCATCTGCTCCTTGCGTTGCTAACCGAATTTCTCAGCCACGATACAGTGTGAAAACGACATCCGGAACTCGGCCGTCGCTAGACCGAAAGAGGCAATATTGATTTGATTGATCGGACAGCATTATTTCGCACTGTGTCTACTACAATTTGAACAATTTGAACATTATACACTCTGTCGCAATTGGACTCGGTACCCGCGTCGGGAACGAAAGCCATTGGCTGTGATATACTCCGCGGTCTGAACAATCACCGCCTCCTCGGGTACCGCTGAACCTTGCAGCTTGCGCGGAACTTGCAGCTCTGGTTTCGGATATTCTGTGTATTTTGTCGTTTCCATTCGGCGCGTTTCTGGAACAGTCTGAGCTTTTTGTGCGCCAAGATCTTGATTTCGCAGGTCAATTGGTCCGCGGTTCGGGGATACACGCGTGGTTGGAGCATGATTCAGTCCCTGCGTTTGGTTATTGTTTGAAATTCTGTTTGCGCACTTTTTGGTAAGTCTGAGCTGTCTTCGCTTATCCCCTTGTCTGTTAGGATATTTCCAGCTTTGCATTTTGAGTTTTCTTCTGGTCAATTGGTCTCCAAACTTCCACCGTGCCTGCTGTTTGAGACCAATGACCAATATGGCTGACTCTAGCTACTCAGACTTCCCAATTTCTGGATCGTGGGCTTTATGGATGGCCTCCTCCGAAGTGGACCAGAAGGCCCTGGGCAATTTTGCAGCCGTCATGGGCCTCGAAAACCCTCTACTCTCGGCAATGCTATACAAAGTCCTCGGCGTCTCCGTCATGCTATCAAAAAAGCTTCTTAGAGCCCGCAAGCTACGGCGCCTCGACACAACACGGGAAACAAGATCCCTTCAGCTGTACCATCACATCATATGGCTCTCCCGCGAAGGCCTATTAATACTGGAGGGCTACATCCTTCCCATGGTAGACAGGTTTGTCGAGCTAAAAGTGCTCGCCTACAAGCTCCGCGCTTCCTTCTACCATATTTTTGTCCTATTCCACAATCGCCCAATTTTCACTCCCGACACCGATACGACAACCCGCTCCAAACATGACTCCATATACGGCGCAGATACCCTAACCGCCCTCGGCGTCTCAGACTCCAACTCTAAAATGAATACGACATCAACACCAACATCCCGACCCCCAGGCCTACCAGTAATGCAACCAGTACAGCCACCCCAACTAGTCTCCTCCTTCCTCCTTCCTCCATTAGACTACACCGCCACAGCAACAGCCTGCTTCAACCACGCAGCAACTCTTTCCGACAAACTCCTACCGGGCTCCCACCCTCTCCGTCTCTCCGTCAAGCTCGAATATGCAGCCTATCTATACGACTGCCTCCAAGACCCCATCGCCTGCCGCCGCCTCGCAAAGCAGGCCATTGCAGACGTCTACAATGCCCAAGAAGGCATGGATGACGAGAGCTTCGAAGACGCCGCAGAAATCGTCAGCGTGCTAGGGAAGATGGTCAAACGCGGCGGGAAACCCAGCTCCAGTACCGGCACCCCGGGGAGCAGTGTCTCCCGTGCTGGGCGCTCACGCAGTCGCAGTAGCCAGGCGCCTAGCCATCTCGATACTAGCGTGCCGACTACTGTCTCGCCAGTGCCGGTTACGAAATCTACCCCTGTTTCCGAGGCTCGGGTGGGAGTGAACCACCCAGCTGTTCCTAACGCTTCTATGATGAATCCGATTTAATGGGGATATAAATGTGCATGATTACAATTTAGTGGGCATGAAAACGTGCACGATTAAACGAAAACTAATGCCCCAATCCCTGTACTTGTCTTTGGCATATTGCGCTCCTTTTATACGTGGGATGTATTGATTTTTTTTTTGTTTCTACTTTCGCTAAGCATGTGTGTATATGGACATCATGCATTTCTTTCGATATTTGTAGATATACGCTACGCTTTGATGACTTTGATTCACCATGGACAAAGAAATGACGTGCTTTGTGCTCTATACAGTTGATGATGCCGTGTTGTACATGTTTTTGTGGTCAGACACCCCGGCTTTAACAAAAACGATAAATGGGTTAGTACACCGCGCTAAAAAGCCCTTGATGAAGCGCTTGAGGGTTGATGTGATCGAAGCAATATACTATGTACCACATGAGCTGGACTATCTACCTAAGAACATTTACTCCTCACCTAGTTGATCTTGCTTCACTTTTCTCTCTCTTTCAGCCAACAGCTCACCCTTCTCTACAACATCTGACACAGATGACGAGATACTATACACACCGGCTGGCAACACCAGTACCAATAAGACGTTCCCAAGGTTGTGGTATCTCAGAAAACTGGCTTGAGCCATCGATCGTTGGCCTCGGGATGGAGCACGGAAGCACGTCTGTATTTTTCAACATATTTGGGCCGTTTTCTGTCAACCAACCCTTGTAAAATGATGGGAAGACTGTATTTCCAAGATTATACCCAAGTCTGCCTTTAAGTGGCTTCCAAAAAGATCATTGACGAGACAGCCTCCTCTATGTTCCCATCTAAGGCTGGGAGCGAACCGACTAACCCTACCGACAAGGGGGCGACGCCAAGCTCATCCCCAGCTATCACATCAAGTCACTAATTTCCATCCAACTGATATCCACCAACGCTTTGAATCTGATCATGGAGCAGCCGGGAAAATTCTGGAACAAACTGTTCGATATCGCTTTGAGCTTACAGCACTCCGCTAATTGACTACAATTCACCTGGTAAGCCTACAACAAACTGAAAACCCCCATAACCTTCAACTGAAAGTACTCTGCATGATGATGATTCGGGGCCTTTGGGAAGTCCGCCAATCGACTACGAGCCCGCTGATTGATTACGGGTCGGTTGGCAACCCAACCCTTGATCAAGCTGCAGACCGGCATGGAAACGACATGAGAACACCTGTTGATCACTGTGGCGAGGGCGAAAACCCCCTCTATGAAGCCAAAATCGCCATAGAGCTACGTAAAGCCAAAGTCGCAGGTCGAGACGCAGCAATATGACAACCGGATGAAGCGGCCTCCCAGAGGAAGAAAGAGAATTACATGCTCAAGAGGCCCGTGGAAGACTTGATTCAAAGGGTTTCATGCGCCTTGCCCTCCGGGTACATCAATGGTTGGGGTATGGAGTATGCTGCAGTTGAGGAACTGTCGGTTGCGGGAAACGCCGGGGTTTCCAGTGCTAGAGTTCTATTGAACGGGGCAAATATACTCAAGAAAATGTATTTAAGCAAGTATCTGGGAAGACTATCAAAAATACACCACAAGGCCACATATGCAGCCGACGATTCTTGGCTGTTAAGTACATATATGTAGTCTTTGGTCGACAGTCTTGCGCAATCTTCGGATAATTCATCCAAGGGATGTTTAGCGATCTACAAGTTGCGTCAAGCATGAATGAAAATAAACAGGGAAGACATGGAGTACAAAGTAGGTATGCTTGACATGACCAGCTTCAGTTTTCAGTCTACAGATGAGGGCCAAGTTATATTGGTAGAGCGTTGCACGTGGACCGTGATGCCGATCAGCTATTATTTGTCAAATGTTGGTTGCCTCGAGTGATAGACTTGGCTCACATTACAGTATGCATGAGAGGGGATACATATTATGGAGGGAAATATAAACAAAATAGCCGACGGAAAATAACCAGGGAAGTTCGACTGTAAAAATCCTGTTTTTCCTATTTTGGAATGATCGACAACACAGGGGACAACAATGCCTCAGGCCAACATTCCTGGAATCAGAAAAAAGGAAAACGTCTAAACTGTCAAAATGTCACCAACATGTGGTAGCATTCTTCTTTTAACGTAGGATAATCTTGTACATATCTACATTTCAGATCAAACGGCATATTCGAAATGAACCCAACCTTGGAAATTATCGTTGCACTTACCAAGTGATCGACGTCATTACTCGGAGCTCTGTGCGAAAAAAAAAGAAGAGCCAAGGAAAACTGCATCCACCTACCCTGAGGGCTCCTTATCGCATTACATTAACCCGTCAAATCCACCTGAATCCACTCGCATCAGTGATTTCTTCATCTTTTCCCCTCTCCGAGCTCCTGTGCACCTTCCCGAACACCTACTAGGTAGACCAGCCCCCCTGCGCGTCAGCGCGTCGCTCAGCAGAAACGCTACATCTCACGGAACGTTGTATTGAAACGCGAAACGGTTGAACTCTCCCCTCCATGGCCTTCAAATTGCCATTCTTGCTTCTCCTCGATTCTCGTGAACCTTGAACCTTAAGACACACCCTTTGGAAGCTCCTGGACCAAGCCAGGGAGCAGGGATGATGCGGTCTGGCTTGCACAAACCTGGCGCGCTCCCACTCCTCATCCTGATTGTGTTCTCACTGCTCACATTGGTGCCATCACTACCGAATCTCTACCACTCGAAGTTTGCCGACTTCAGCTTCTACACTGGTGCAGCTCGCCGTATGTACCCCTTTTCAGCCAAGCTCAAGCTCATTCGAGTCAGCTAACCAAGTTAACTACTCAGAGGTCCCCCTCCTTCAGGATAGCGTCACTGAATTAACACAAAAAGCACACCCCCTCAACGAGCCTCGTAAATCATGGGTTCTCGCAGCGTCGCATCGATCGCGAGGCAATCGCACACCGCTTACCGCACGGGTTGGAAATGCCGCTGTGGTGCCAGCTAGCGAAACGACTGCTGTCGCAAATAGAAGTCGACTTTCGTCAACCCACGAATCCTCGTTTTCATTCGGCCGCAGAGCGCGCGCATTCAGAACCTACTTCATCCAGCAATTAGACGACTACCCATTCCTCACGTCATTCTCCAACCGCAGCGGAGCTGCAGGCTTGACGCACCCATATACTACCATCACCATCAACGAATCTCTACCAACATCTGACAAGTCTCCTCTAAGCATCCCACCACATAATTATTCCTCCGAGAGCATTCAGGGGCCACTGCTGCCCTTTTCAGCCTCCCTCCGTGATATGTGTCAGCAGGCCTGCCATGTCGCCATCGATTTCGGAAAACGCGTCGCACTCCACGGAGCAAACTATGCGAAATCGTTCTTCGTTTCGGAGCAGATCACAGCTGCTCCCACAACATTAATACCAAATCCCACAATTCCTAATGCCTCAAATCAAGAGCTGCTCACGCCATCTGAGCAAGAACCACCCCAACAAAAAGTTGGCGCTGACGATTCCACCGATGCTGCCGCTGGTCGGCACTCGCAGGAACTCCATGGAAGCTGCATGGCCGTTGTTATCGGTCTTATTGCAGGCATCATGTGGTTTTAGAGCAGGCTGTTTTGGGTACTGTTACTTCATGTCTGTCTGCCTGATATGTGTGATGACCTTTCTTGTTTTTATTTGGCTTGGCGCATTGTATTAGATACTTGTAGACAATTGGGCCGGTGGCTCTGGTTTAGCCTCCCGCTGGAATCTAATAATCACATTTACCATTTCTTGTCTTGGCACAGCTCCATAACTCTAGAGGGTTTTACTCATAGGTCCGATGTTGCATCAATTTATGAAGTCAAGTTAAAGACGCGGTACAGTTATGATGTACCTATAGGCTTCTTGGTATATTTCTTGCTAACTGATTCTTGTCGGCAAGGGCTGTTTCAGGTGTCGTAGGAACTCCATGCACCAAGCTCCCAACGGTCTGTCTCTCGATATTGCCCACGGAAGGTATGGAACGGAGAAAGTCAGCGACATTACTTCCACCTTTCCACTCAGCCCAATCTACGGCGTTTCTCCCTAGGGAACCTCTAATAGGAAGTGATACTCCCTACTAAAAACTAGTACAAACTGAGCACATCTCCAGTCACGCAACGAAGGGGGAATGCTACAACCTAGGCGGCTTTGTGCTTGCGTTCTGACCCCTTACATTCGCTTCAAGTTAGACAACTTTCAGTTCAGTCTTCTTCGAGAAGGCGCCAATTATCTATGTACTTGTTTAAGCCATACCTCCTCTATGTTGTATTTAATTAGGTGGAGTTGTATCATAATATCATACTTCGACGTGTTCTGATATTAGATGTAATCTCATCTGCATAATGAACTGTTTGTGGGAATTAACGGAGTTTTCATCTCAAGTCCTCGATAAACTTCAAACCCACATTCCTAGTATGTTCCATCATCTTCCAATCGCTGATCAAAACTTCTTGAAGAAACAACCTGATGGACTGAATACTTGATGACAGTGGGCTAACCCGATGTGGTATATAGTGGGTCTTTTTGTGGGGGTTGATTGGTTGTTCGGAACTATACGATCCATCCATGAATGCACCTGAGGAACACTTAATCCCATTATCACCGAGAGGAAACGTATATAGAGGACCGTCGCTTCTGGGTAAAATGGAGAATATATCAATCAAGACTTCATTGCTTTCTTCATTGCTCCAGTTACCTCTATCGAACACCTTTACCCAAAATGTCCAACAATCAACAAGTCCTCCGCTCTGAGATCGTTCTAGAGAAGTATGGCAAGGCCCTTGCTGGAAAAACAGGTAATCAAGATTTCCCAGTAATTTGCAGAAGATCAAAACGCCAACAGACTTCCTTCCTTTTATAGTGCTCATCACTGGCGTTTCCGACGACTCCATTGCAGGCGAACTCGCACTTCAGCTTTCCGCCGCCGATCCAAAACTGCTCATCCTGACTGCCCGTGCCGAATCCAAGGTGGCAGGAATTCAAGCAAAGATCAAGTCAGCCAACCCAAATGTGGAGACTCGCTTTCTCAACATGGACCTGAGTGACTTGAGCGCCGTGCGAAAGGCCGTCGGGGAGCTAGCTGATGTGACCCACATTGACCACCTTGTCTCCGTCGCCGGTGTGATGTTCCCGCCTTATAGCAAGACCAAAGATGGATTTGAGAGCCAACTGGGAGTCAATTATCTGGCGAACTTCTTGCTCGTGAAGTTGCTCCTACCAAAGGTCCGCGCTGCGGGACCAGATTCGTCTGTGGTTATCATGGCCTCGTCCATGGTCAGACAAGGGAAGATACACTTCGATGACTATAACTTCAGTGTGGGTTTGTTTTACGGGTTGTATTTAACAGTACTGACATTCTGTTTCCGTGTAGGATGGCCGAACCTATGACCCTAGCGTCGCATATGGCCAGTCAAACGCTGCGAGGGTCATGTTTGTCAAGAAACTGGGTGAGAAGTTGAAGAACGAGAAGATTCGTGTTTTCAGTGTTGATCCTGGTGGTAAGTCTTCTGCCTTCTTGCCATTCAAAAGATCTAGCTGACCGACATTAGCTGTTGAAACCGGTCTGCAACGACACTGCCCTCCCGGATTTATTGACCAGGTTGCCGAATGGAAAAAAGCCGGAAGTACGTAGCGCCATTTTGTTGAATGTGTTATTTCTCACTAACTGACCTCTCTAGCCATGGTTGATATGGATGGAAAGCCCTTCGAAATTCCCCCATGGACTACTACCTCAGAGGGAGCTGCTACCGTTATCACGGGAATGGTTGACCCTACTATTGCAGGTAAGTAGAGCAACTCGGCAATCCCGTATTTTTGGCGTCATTTTACTAATCATGTCTTCATCCAGGGTTCAATGGCTCGTACCTCAGTCGGAACGCAGTCTCAGATCACGAATTGCACGCCCATATCAACGACGAAGACAACTGGATCAAACTCTGGGAGCTGAGCGAGGACCTGATCCAAGAGAAGTTTTCGCCGTGAAGGATGTGAATTTGAAAGAAACTTCGACATCTTTATTATACATATAGGATTAAATGTCACTCGATATCTTTTAGCACGATGGCCTTTTCCCCTCGCTGTTTTCTCCAGTAATTAGAACTTTTGATCATGTCGGGACAGTCTGTCGCCATCCAACTCCATTTCCTAACCAATGACTCCGAGGCCTCATAAGCAAATGGATCCCAAGCTTCGCCCCAAACACGAATCCCGACATCTGGCGAATCGCCACAAGCTCCATAAAAGTCGCTGCATACTTCGTCTTCATCAATTACGTCTGCCCTGGCCAAGAGAGCCTCGCGTAGAGACAGGATTGGAATTAAATCGATCCAGGGGTGGTGGATGATTTTCTTTTGTTTCTGAGATGGACACAGGCTTGCTGGGAGGTATAGCGTGGATGGACCGACGAGATTGAACTGTGATGCGAGGTCTTCATTGAGAAGTTCAATTGTGAGGCCCATGATATTGGCATTGATTAACATAGCTCGAAGAACGCTGAAGTGGGCGGCGCAAAAAGTGGGACTGGATAAGAGAACTGGGTGTTCAAGCATATGCAAAATTTTTGCATCATGGAGTTTGGCCGCAAACTGATCGCGCTGGGCAGGGTTGAAGTAATAGAAATTTTCTTTGTTTTGGCGGGGAAGCGACGATAATTTAGCAACTTGATGGCTTGTTGCTGCTTCTGTGGATGAATTTTTTTTTGGGATGTTTGAATCATTGATATAGATAACCCATTTCCTATCCGTCGTGTTGTGTTGTTTGTGATTCTCTAACGCCTTCCTTCTTCCTGTTTAAAACGTTAGTTTGAACACTTGATAGTTGGGTGGCCGGGTGTGGCGAGTAGGAGTGCCACCTACTGCTAGCACGTTGATTAAGGCGATTTTGGAGTCGTCTTCGGGCTGCGGGATCTAACATGTTTATCACATTATCTGAAGTTGTTTGCTCAAGAGCTGACGATTGGTCGACTTGGGCAGCCATTATACAAAGCGACTGTAGTTTTGAGAATGAAGTGGTAAGACGCAAGAAAGTTTGAACAGGGGTTCTAATACTGAGTTCGGAGTTAGGAACAAAGAGGCGCCTTAGGTCCGAGATAGACATGGCACCGTAACTGGACAACGAAATGCAAATATTTTACAGCTAATCTACCCATGTTTCGTTTTTGATCAACATGAAGAGTAGTATCGCTCCAGTTTCAATTATTCTACTAGCCTTTAGGGAACCCGGAAACACATCCGACAATCTGTTCAGTCCTTCATATTCATGACGTAGCATAGTGGCCAAACATACAAAAGAATAGCTAGCACTCTCCTATGTCTTGGAGATAATGTCTGCTTATAGAAATTCATCTATCGCATCATAAAAAGTCTTTGGCCGTGGTCCCATTTATCGCTAGTTAGAACATGGCATTTTCCAAATTCCGGCGAATACTCACCTGTGGCTGTTACAAAGATTCAGAGTCTGAAACAGATAGCAAGACACCCCCAACTGGGAGTGGTATTAGTGACGAAGATGAACCGTTTAGTGGTTTGAGCGAGGTCGCTGCTCCGGTTCCGGTTGAGCGTACAACTGAAGAGGAAGAAGCGCGACACGAATCACTCGATAGCAATATCTCTCGCTCACATTCGCACCCTCATCTCTCCAACAATTGAATGAAGTGAACAAAATTATATGGTTCGGGTACCCTTCGTGCGTCTTGCATCGGTGATGATGTGACTAATATACCCAAGAACGACTTTCCGGAGTGCACAGTGGCATTTCTGTGAACTTGATAACAATGTTCCCGGATATCAAGCACTCCGAAGATGCCCTTTTAGTCTGAGAGACTTTTGCATAGCAGAATACTACCCCACTTTGGATTGAGGCTCTTTCTAAGGTTGTTTAACCATGGCGGGCCGCTGCATTTTGCCGCTAGGTTAATTATGAGCTTAATTATTACTTTCCACTCTCCGCATTGTAGAGGGACCTATGTGTATATACAGAATGATGAATCTAAATTGAAATCAGATATCAAAACCCGCCTGAGAATCGCGAGGCCATATTCCCACGGCCAACAATCCATATATCCGACTTCGAGACGGGATGTGCAGCTTATCGATCATCTCATAATATTTAAGGGAATTTTCTTTCTAAAGAGCTGTTTTTAGATCTCTAGTTGAAAGGGGAAATGGAAAATAAAGATCCCACCATTCAATTGATTGCTTCGACTACTTTCACTTTGTCCAAACAGAGACATTATACCCATCCATCAAAGATATATACTCAGGACCGGCTGCAACCCACCCTTTAATGCCACCTGAGAGAATCAAACTCTTAATCTCTCCATTTTGTTGATCTTCGAGGTAATCCGCAAACCAGCCTGCTGCACGAGTACCTCGGCCTGCAGATGAACCTGAACGCAGATCAGTATACGCCTTGCAGGAATTCGTTAGTGTATTTATTAAGCAAAGCTCACCACAATACCAAATTACGTATTTCACAGTGCTGTTCGATACAAGAGAATATAATGTTGGGATCGTGGGGTATAAACTCTGAGCTGGCAAATTCAATGACCCTTGGATTGTTCCTCCCTTTTAATACATCAGCAGATGAAGACACCATACCTTTTTTGAACTTTTTCATACCTCATAGTCTGTGCGACGCAAGTCAACAAGTACAAAGTCTTTGCCTGCTTGTTTACCCTCTTGGATCCACTGCAATAGCTCTTCTCGCGATATGGAGGGTGCCGCGCCCCTTGGTGGGGGATATGCAGCGTGCCATGGGATCTCGGCTGACATTATGGTTAAGATTGTGAAATTGATAATTGAGAGACTTAATACAATACTGACTCGACTCTGCAGGTAGAATGCCTCGAATACCCCGCCTGTAAGGAATGTCACCCCCACAATCTTATTGGTCAAGATAAATTCTATACTTTGTTTTTTTCAGCCAATCAGCGCCCGTCAGTGACATATCTTTGCCATCTAGTTCTATGCAAAATATCCATCGACAGATCTGAGCGAATATAAGATTACATGCCCTGCTGTCTAGTATATTCATTGTCTTTCAATCATCTCTACTCAATCAGCCAATAATCGAACAATATTGGGTATTCCCCATGGCGTCCATACGACCTCAGACATGTTCACAGGTCTCCTCCAGTCTTCCAAACAACCAAGCAAAGACATGCGACATTGAAAAGCAAAGTCAAACATCTTCCCCAGATGAGCCACCAAAGAAACACTCGATGTTTTCAAGTCTCGGTATTCTCGATCGGTTCTTGGCAATATGGATTTTTCTTGCCATGGCCATCGGAATCATTCTAGGCAACTTTGTCCCAAGCACAGGTCCAGCCCTACAAAAGGGAAAATTTGTGGGAGTGTCTGTTCCAATTGGTACGTGTAATCAAATCTCGATGATTTTGCGGTGGTTACTAACTGAATATGTATCTTCAGCTGTGGGTCTTCTCGTCATGATGTACCCTATCCTGTGCAAGATTCGATTCGAATCCTTGCATCATGTTTTCAGAGAGAAGACTATTTGGATCCAGATGGCTTTCAGCATTCTTCTCAATTGGATTATCGCCCCTTTTCTTATGGTTCGTCAACCAATACTTCCGTGGCACAGAACCCATTGCTGACTTCGTTTCATTAGCTGGCCTTGGCTTGGGCGTTTTTGCCCGATGAGCCAGAATTGCGACAGGGACTCATCATTGTTGGGTTAGCACGATGCATTGCTATGGTAAGCTAAACCACCGAGTAAACAGCCTTTGAAAGCGAGGTTATGCTGACCCCTAGCTTCTATCAGGTATTGGTTTGGACAGGACTAGCCGGAGGGGATAACGAATATTGTGCCATCCTCGTCGCTCTTAACTCGGTGCTACAGATGGTTCTTTTCGCTCCAATGGGGGTGTTCTTTATCAGCGTCATCAGCGGCGACCCAGTCACATTCGAATATTCAACAGCCGCTCAAAGTGTTGCGGTGTTCCTCGGAATACCCCTAGGGGCCGCAATCGTCACGCGTTTCGTACTCCGACGAATTTCCCCGAAATGGTACGATGAAACGTTTCTTAAATGGCTCAGCCCATGGTCTCTCATCGGCCTTCTGTTTACAATCCTTGTGTTATTCGCCTCGCAAGGCCGCCATGTGGTTCAGCAAATCGTCTCCGTGGTCCGAGTCGCTGCACCACTCATCGTTTATTTCCTGATTATTTTCTTTGCGACTCTCCTTGTGGCATACAAATTAGGATTTGGCTACAAGCTAGCGGCGGTGCAAAGCTTTACGGCTGCTAGCAACAATTTCGAATTGGCAATTGCTGTTGCAGTGGCGATGTTTGGCGCAGATAGCAACCAGGCTCTTGCTGCGACTGTTGGGCCTCTTATAGAGGTTCCTGTGCTGTTGGGTCTGGTCTATGCTGTCAAATGGATAGCCAGACGAGTTGGCTGGGATGATTAAGACCAAAATATTGACTAGACTATCAATAATCAAATAGAGAGATAGTATATCAATTTCAACTCACGCGTACTTGCGGGGTGTTTACATAATTCAGCAGTGACATGCCACTTTCGTTTGATTGGACGAGGTCAACTTCCCTTCTCCAGTTCTTTTTTTATTTTAACTCATATCATCCACAGATGTCGGTCTGAATGTCCTCAACTAACCCATTTGTTGCAAAAATCTCCTGTCCAGCTTCAACTATGCCTCGCCCAAAAACCAAGACTAAGGTTTGCTAGCTACAAAATATCCTATTTTCTTTTTTTAATTCTTTCCACTCATGTTCTTCTCGTATAGAGCGAAGATCTCGCCCGAATTCGCAATAATCAGCGTCGATCGAGGGCAAAACGCTTAGAATATATCCGGAATTTAGAGGAAAAAGCCAAAAAATACGATGAGTTAATTGCATCAACATCTCCCCCATCGCTATCGGCATTCGAAAAATTGCAATCCGAAAATGCCTGGATGAGAGGGTTATTGGCTACCCTAGACATCAATTTCAATTCTTTGGATGCACCTCCTGGGAGTATTCACGAGAGCGACCCGAATATGGTATCGGCGGTATAGTCACCACTAGAGCAATCCAGATCTTCAGATTCTAACTATTTCAAGATTACAAGCTCGTTCGCTGGTAGTCTGGAGACTCACCAATCTGTGGAAAATCCAACTCCCATGTCGTTTTGGGAAGAATGGGACTCGTCAGGGCTATCGCCCGACATGGGGCTGGATTTCAATATCCCCTTGCTATCGGACGAGGCCAATAATTTGAGAACTTTGGATCCTCTCTTGGTAGAACCGGCAGAACCAATTATTGCGGCTACCCAGTACCATGGGATACAGCAGGGTACTGAAACAAGTATTCAAAGCGATCTGAATACAACTCTGTGCTCTTTAGCTTGTCGATGGGTCATCCAATGCAATACCAAAGGCGTGGAATTGGATGTCTTGTACTTTCGGATGGAGCGAGGTTTTAAACAAGGGAATAGTCCGCAAGAGGGATGCAGGGTGGATAACCAGGTGCTCCTCAAAGTTTTGACAGAAATATCATGAGATATGTCAGATTGGTTTCAGCTAATATGCGTAATCCTTCCTATTGCTTAACTGCATAAATTTGAAACGAGCCTGAATGAGAGTCAGTGTTGGTTCAGTGATTGCGAAATGTCGAAGACTAACCAGCCCATTCATTAAAGTCACACTCCAGCAAATCTCCTCCAGCTGCGTTCTTCTCCTGTGTTCCTCCACAGCACGAAGAAGGCTCCAATTGGTCGTTCCTCTCTCCAAGATCCATTTGCCCTTGAACCAAATCTTTGTAAACATTGATGTCACTGTGGGTGTCGACAATGACGACATCTAAGAAGAAAAGGATGGTTAGCGAAACGCGCAAAATACATTCACCCTTCGGTAGATACCTTTGAATCCCGCCTCGGAGAGATATTTCTCATACTCGTGAACTTGGCTAGCTCCTGCAATGCATCCAACGTAGAACGAGAGGCTGTTGACCACTTCCTGGGGAAGTTCCTTTCGAGTCAGGATATCGCTGATGGCAACGCGACCTCCGGGTACCAGCAAGCGGAACATTTCATGGAACACAAGATGCTTATCATCTGTAGGAACCAGATTCACCACGCAGTTGCTGATTATGCAGTCGGCGGTGGCGTCCGGCAGAGGGATAGACGTGATCGAAGCTTCGATAAATGACGCGTTGGCAGTGCCTGCTTTCTCCGCATTTTTGCGAGCGAGTTCTAGCATGCTCTATGTCATTTGTCTTAGCGCGAGTATCTCAAGTCGGTGATAGATGCCACTTTCTCACCTTCGTCATGTCCACACCAATGGCTTTCCCTTTGGGGCTGACCTTCTTGGCTGCCAGCAGAACGTCGATGCCACCACCACTTCCCAGATCAATCACTGTTTCGCCCTAGAATAAGATATCAGGCAGTCATGTCATAGGCTCGGTCAGCGTTAATATTCACCTGTCGTAAGTTGGCAAGGGCCAAGGGATTCCCACAGCTCACTCCAAGGTTTGCAGCCTGGGGAATCGAGCTGAGATCTGCAGCATCGTAACCGAATGCTTGGGCAATATTTTGCTCGGCTTTCCTCTGCTGGCTGGTGGAAGAGCGATCAGCCAATTCACCATAGCGATCTTGGAGACTATCATAGATTGAGTTGGAACCCATATTGTGGCTCTGATAGATGAAAGAGGTGGTTGGGAAAAGAAAGTAGTTCTTACAAGTCGAAGATCGCAGGATTTATGTTGCAAGGGGCATCCCCGCTCGTAGATGTAGCAGCATGTCACCAGTTTCGATTTCAAAGCCACAGGCATCATTTCCAATAAACTAACAATAAAATGAATCTAGTCTACTCCGTAATATAGATTTTCGGGCATCTAATTGGCTCTCGGTATGTCTGGTATGTCACTGCATTCGATATGAGGAAATGTATGTACCTAGGTAGGTAGGTAGTCCACGGGTGCTGACTACGAAGTATGTAGATATTCTCAAGATCTCAACCGTGTTTCTGTATGTACTTTGGATATATAATAGGCCCATTGTACATGTATACCTTGGGTATGTTTTTAATGATAGGAAAAAAGCCTTTTCACGGGCCGTAGTGTGTATTTAGTTTGGATATATAGTAGGTCCATTGTAGATGTATGCCTTGGGTATGTTTTTAATGATAGGAAAAAAGCCTTTTCACAGGCCGTACTCTGTATGTATGTATGCAGGGCAGTAAAGAAAACCTTCACTTCACGCCTCCTTTTGAAATCATGGCTCTCATACATCTTAGACCAGATCATTGAAATATTTTGGATCCAGAGACATTTAATTCATTTGCAATGGCTCTAGTCACTCTTTTTACCCATTGACAGGTAAACATCCTATAGTTGTGGTAGCATTAACGTCAAAATACTGCTGCAAGATCAGCCAAGATTAGCAGGCTGGCTAGATCATAGATGAAAATACAAGAAAAATAAAGAAAGAAAAAAAGAGGAGGTACTTCCAGACCCACGAACCTCATCTGTTGGGACCGCCACCCCCTTCGAACTTGGACCCGGTCATAATTACCCTGAGGGTGTGGGGGCCTCCTCCATCTACCCTGTTCAGCCTTAAGAGGTGCAGCGACCTTAACTGTGCCCTGGGGTCATGAAGCCCAGAACCAATTGAAGATATACACGCTCAGCATCCCATGAGGCAGACTTCAGAGCCCCCATCCACTGAGCTAACCGAGGCAGATCTGGAAGTGACAGCTCATCTTTGAAGTGACATATATAGGACCATTTCCTAATTGGGACATTACTGGTCAGAGTTCGATTCCCCCACAGGATGACTTTTATTTGCTACAACTTACATATGTAGACTTCTACTCAAGCAACCACTAATCAGATGCCACATCTTTACATATCAAGAAAACCATTTGAAATCAGTCTCATTTGTAAATCTTACATACATAAGCAAGGTTATTGTCACATCCGCATGAATATTACTGCTAGTAGACCGCCTAATTCTCGATGTAGATATCGATTGGCAGACTTTCTAGCCAACCAAGGGTCTTTCTACGGCCCACAACACCAGATTGACTGTTTCCAGGGAACCTCTCGAACGGCACATCCAATCTGAGTCTATCATAGATTCGGTTCCAGATAACCGGCTCAAAGGTAATTTCGTTGTCGGTAACAATGCCACTGGATGAGACAGACTGTAGGCTAAGCTGGTCCAAGACAACACGAACACGTTCGATCCGTCGTTTCAACTTTGGGGCTTGTTGGCAACTTCCTTGATAGTTGCGCAACAGAATATCGATTTCCTTGAGCTCCTCAGTCATGGTCGTGAGCGACTTTGCTGTAGCTGCAGCACTAGGTAGGCCGTACCAGGTGCCGTTCACAAGAAGCGGGGCTGTGCGTGCAGCAATCAAGATTGTTCCAGCGGCGTAGAGATACTCTAGCTGCTCACATTTAGCATCCTCATCTCCCGCGTCGGCAAAGGATGCACAGAGACATTTCACAATGTCTTGCGCAGCGGTCAAACATTTGATAGCACTGTAATACACCAGACCGAGCACAGGAGACGCATCCACTGAATCGACCCCCTTGCTGGTGAGATGAGGACTCGTTTCACAGGCACACATTTGGGAAAGTCGCAGGCTCAAAATGAAGAATGGACGGTGTTGACGGAGTCGGAAATACATAAAGCGCATATGAGCCAGGAGACACATACGACGAATGACAAGATCCTTCTGCATGGTAAAATCGATGCCGTGGCCTCTCCATTCCAGAATTTTCGGCAGACCATCTTTCCAGCTCGAGAGTTTTTCGTTCAGTTCCTGGAAGCCACGTAGGTCCACAATGGAAAGCCATTTGATCGGGCATTCCATGCGAGTCACACGTAGATCGTTTTCAACGGTGATCAAATCGTCGGTGAATTTGAAAAGGGAAACACAGGCAATGAAGAAAGAAGGTGTGGCGTGGGATTGCTCCGTGGTTTGCATGCCAGATACCCCCATGTTCTCAGTAATATGCGACTGCATCGGCATAGGTGACTCATCAAAAGTGTCGAGAGATTGATAGACAATGCCAAACTGGAGACTGAGAGATATTTTCTTCGTCCAGAGATACTGCCATACCAGCCGAACCTGCTCCAGCGATTCTTCGTCCAGGGCGAGACATCCACCGTGCGTTGTATGCATCTGAAGGGATTGCGCTCTACTGATAGCCAGAGATAAGATGTCCCAAGCCATTTTCAGGTGCCCGGCCATATGGAGATAGTGGATTTGGAGAATTTGGTGCTGGAAAAATTTAAGCGAGGGTCGAGCGTTTAACGGCTCACCCTGGTTAGATAGAGCTGCATCGTACCATTTGCGGCCTTCCCCGAGATCCACATTACGAGTGAGGTGGCAGGCAATTGCAATGCAAAGCCCGAAAGTTGGGTCAATAGCTGTGAGTGTGATCTTCCCATGATTCACAGCCAGGGCGAAAGCGGCTTTTAGTTGATCGAGATTGAGGATTGGCATGAGAGCAGCCTGCTTCTTCATGAAGATATTCCAAAGTTTTTTCGGAGTTTCGAAGCTCAACGGCTGGCTACCAGAAGTAATACGGTTGGGAGTCGGGACAAGTGCATTGTTGGAGTTGGACGACTGGGTTCCAGAAACAGCACGCTTAGGAGATGGGGAAATTATGTCGTTAGACTGGCTGTCAGGACCAGGACGTTTCTTGGTCGCAGATTGGACGACAGGTGACGCCATGGTGTCATTAAATTGCGACGACTGGCTGCCAGAAACAACACGCTTCGTGATCTTGCGTGTTGTTGCGGTTAAATGAAACGACATGGTGTCTTCAGTTAGATCAATGGATTCAAGGGGTGTGGATAAAGATGAAGAGCGAGAGGATGAAAGAGGAGGATGAGATGGTGAAGGAGACAGAGAGGCGAAAGAGCTTTGTTTACGATTTAATGTTCTTGAGGGTGTTCCTGGCGTGTTCGAGGAAGGCACGCGTGGAGAGGTAGGCCTGGGTGGCACTTTCCCTGTCAATGTTGGAGTTTCTGCTTTCACACCTGGGCTGTTCAAGTTGGCATTGACCATCTCTCCGTCCGGGTCTAAAAGCTCCACAAATTTCCTACAGTGCGCACGAGTAAGCCTGGATTTGGTTGATATGGCTGTAAGGACCTCGTTGCGGAGAAATCCGATACGTGGGTCGTTCTCGTCCAAGCCATAAACATCAGGATTCAAAATGATCTTTTTTAGGCGATGGAGAAACACATGATTGCGGTTGGATGTCGGTGCCGCCAATATACTTGACAGACACTCTTCAACGCATATGATACGCTCTTGCATCTTCCTCTCCTCGGGGCTCATCAATGGCCCATATAAGAAGTTCTCAAAGCGACTGAGAAGAGGACGAGAGCATCGGCCACCTTTATCCAACTTGGTAAATGCAGATTCCATGAGGTCATCTTGTTCACGCCACTCGACATCCAATTCAACATCCTCCAATTGAGAACTCGTAGGTTCAGTGCTTGCAGGTTGAATGTTCGAGCGTTCAATCTTAGCTTTCTTGAGTAGCTGTATGATGCTGCGCAGAGCTCCCGCTGCAAGATTGCGATGTCTTGTCCTCTGAAGGTTAATTTCGGTGGTCAAGTTGCATCGGAGCTCCGTTTCGTCTTCATGCAGAGTAGGAGATATATTGCGCAGGCGCGGTGGAAGCTGCAGTTCACTTCCACTGGACATACCGGTGCCAGCCGGTGTGACTTGATCCCGTTGCAACGCAGATTGCCTATCGGGGCTTCCAGGGCCAAGTTCGGATGTCTTGTGCCGTTTCGTGGGAGGCTGCTGGGGCATCTGTGTCTCCTGGGCGTGACTAGAATCATTTTGGGTGGGCAATCCCACCACAGCGTTGATAATTTCAGTTGGTTCAGAGGAACTGTCCGCAGCTCTTGGCCTTTTATAACCAATTGCGGGTAAAGCAGAGGCATTACTGGACATTGGTTCTGAGAATGAGAATGGAGCACCAGTTTTCTTGGTGATTCTGTTCTCAGTACTTTTGTTCTCGGTACTAGTGATGTGAGATTAGTCATTTTGAGTCGGCCAACCTTGGAAGCTGATAGCACAGATAAACATACAATGTTAAGACTGCAGAAGAGTATGAGCATTCAGCTTCCAAGCCCATGACCTGACAGCTCTCGCAAACTATGTAAACAGTCAATCATCAATACACTTCCAATCCTCGTTGCCTGCAAATCACGGAGTAAATACCTGGCTTAGTGCGGTCACAACGCTTATGTTTTGATTTGCATCTCGTACAAGGAAGACCCAGTGGGTGGGTTGAGGGTGCTGGAAAGGCCATTGACAATAGAGCCGATGGTGGCTGAGAGATGTCGGCGTCATTCACCATTGTCAGATTCAATTGAGTGAATAATTAGATCTATCAACCTAAGAGTATTAGCCTGCATTTCCCAAACTTAGGATGATAGAATTAGCCCGGCTGGGTTGACTGTAAATTGATAGAAACAGCACAGCCCCCCATATAAAGCCAGCAATAAAGGGCAATTTTTTGGAAATCACTGACCAATATTGATCTAAACTAAAACTGAACAGCATGAATATGTTAGCTGTTTGGTTCGCGAAGTACACCAGGTTCGTGGTGAAGTGAGAACAACCATTTCCGTGAAATGCGAAATATGCTACACCAGCACTACAACCTGAATTTGAGAACTGCTTACCGAATTGTGCAATAATATGTTGTTTTGAAATGATTCACTGAGGAATAATAGATGAAAACGCGTAGAGGCGCGTGGCAGAGTTGTGAGGGTCACAATAGCAGATAGTTGGAGAGGTCAGGTTATGACGAGAAATATCAGGAGAAACATGAGTTTCAGATCCAGTTCAACCTCATCACATCAAATCAGGACCCTAATAATATGCTGCATCTTCTTGAATAATGACAGCGATATCGGGAAAGACTACCTTCGATTAGTACTTTGTAGTGGTTAGGGGTGGTTACTCCCTTACCGCCTAGCAATCCTAGGTACATAATGTATACTCGCGACACCCTCGGTAATTCTTATGATATATCTACAAGTATATAAGAAAATTAAAACCACGTCACAAGAGAAAACAACTGAGTTGTGGCAAATACTACAAGTACTATGGCATCTGCACCAAATACCCAAGTGAGGTCAATTTAGGTAACAAAACTAATTGGGACTCCTGCGCACAGCAAGTATATAATTGACAGATTAGAATCTCCGTGGGGAATAGGGAAGACATATGGTGTACAATGATGGAGTGCCTGTGTATATCATAGGTATCCTGCCGTGATCCACCTGATGGTCAAAGATATTTTAAATATATACGGAGTACATGCAGAAGTATAGCCCCTTATTGTGGAGTACACAAGGTAGCTATATGTAGGACCTGCCAGCAGAACTGGATAATCAACTATGCAGAGATAATGGAACAAGCGCCACGTGTATTACTGTGTCGGCATCACGTTGTTGATTTCTCCAAATAGGAGCGTCCCCCCGGGTGTGCAGTGCGCAGCTTTCACTAGTAGACCCATATCGATTGGTAAAGTTGGGCATAAAATTCTCATCCAAAACAACATTATAAGGACTGTGCTTTCTCCGCTTCGTCTACCGACCGCTCAACCTCTTGCTCTGTCCATCGATGGAACAATTTGCGCGCATCAGAGAGGCTGGCCTCGTTGGGCAAGCCGTTGTGAACCGACTGAACGTGGAGGACTGGAACATCGAACTCGTAAACATCCTTCCAAGATTTGTTCACAGGTTCCATGATGTCTGCTTCGACATATTCAAAGGAGCGCCGTTTCTGAAGCTGAAGCACGGTATTTTTGGCAGTATCGCACAAGCCACAACCCACGCGTGTAAACAGCGTCAAGCGGGCTGAACTGAGAAGGAAATGCGTGGGAAACATGGAGAGGCAATGTCAATTATGCAAGGAGTGAGTTGAACCACGGAGTTTGGAAATGGCCGGTGCCGTGACGCGAATGCGGTCAGAGAGTTCTCCGCGATGGAACATTCGAGCTTTCCCGCTAAACCCTATTAGGCAACCTGCGCCATTCTCCCCAAAACACATTACAATCTTCTTTCTTGACTCAGTCCCGTCAATTCCATTATAATCTACATTGCTATACATCATGGCAGGCAAGTGCGTCCACAAAGCGTGTGGAAAGACCTTCACCGACCCGGAAGAAGACTGCGTGTATCATCCCGGTCCCCCAGTGTTCCACGAGGGGCAGAAAGGTAAGTACCTTGGTGTTCAAGCCATGCCAGATCTACGTTTCATGAGTCCACTAAACACGGTGGACCGTTGCGGAAGCGCAACGTGACACCTGATCTTGTCTCTGACTTCTACTACGTTTCTACTCCGCGATAATGCTAACTTCTCAGGCTGGAAATGCTGCAAGCCCCGCGTCTTGACCTTTGAGGAGTTCCTCGCCATCCCGCCATGCACAACCGGCAAGCATTCCACCGTCGATGACACACCCGTTCCCGAGCCCTCTAAGGCTGAGGAAGTCCTTGCTCCTACGCCTGCTGAGCCGAAGAAGTCAGAACGGCCGCCTATCTCCGTTACCCCCACTGTCGCATCCACTGCGCCGCCGGCGAAGCCAGTCATCGAGGAACCTGAGTCTGATGATCCTGATGCGGAGATCCCAGCTAATGCCACATGTCGTCGGAGAGGTTGCGGTGCGTCCTATACAGGGTCGACTGCTCGCGATGAGGAGAAGTGCGTCCACCACCCCGGCCAGCCGGTCTTCCACGAGGGCAGCAAGGGGTGGTCCTGCTGCAAACGCCGGGTGCTTGAGTTCGACGAGTTCCTGAAGATCCCCGGCTGTACGGAGAAGACGAGGCACCTGTTTGTTGGCAAAGCCAAGCCCCCGGGCGAAGAGAAGGTGAACACAGTCAGGTGCGTATACAACAAGACAGACGCGGCTAAGCTCTACTATTCGACTTTGAAAACATAAAACTGACAAGCTTTCGCATTCTACAGAAACGATTTCTATCAGACTCCTACCGCCGTCAACGTATCCCTCTACCTGAAGAAGATTGACAAGCAACGGGCCAAGGTTGAGTTTGCAACCAAGTCGATCACCTTCGATCTTCCTACCACAGACAACAAGCGCTTCCAAGATACATATCCTCTCTTCGCACCAATTGACGCAGAGAAGTCAACTTTCCGCGTGCTGGGCACCAAGCTAGATTTGAGCCTGATCAAGGCCGATGGCACTAGCTGGCCGGTGTTGCGCAGTGACGACAAGTGGACAGGAGAGCGCATCCAGATTGGTAATGCTGGACATGCATGATTGAGATGATTGAGGACATGTAAAAAATCTACACGATAGAAATTTTCAAAAGTTATGATGGTGATGACAATTGAGAATTTGTGCCCAGTGGTATATATGTATAGACATTCGCCCGTGACGCATAGTGTACGGTACTAGTGAGCAAGGTGCTCGGCATGCCGACGACAACCAACATCTCGACAAGTAAAACCCGAACATTATGGATTTTGTCTTAGCGAGACACAGCATCGCAAGAGCTCATAAGCCTAGCGAGGCTTCTGAGGCTCTTTTTATGATGAGTTGTACGTTTACTTGGTATACCGTGCGCCGATTACCATGAGAATCCGAGGAATATTGAATACTAAAAGTGTTACAACCTCTTGATCCAGTTAAATACCAGAGGAAGCAGATTGAACTCAGATCACATAAAAGTGACTGAAAAAAAATGGTATGTGACGCCCTCTCCACAGCTAGCACCCATGGGGCTTCCCGAAGGATACCCTAGCATAGCCATAAAGTGATTGGGAAAAAGAGAGACGCCTTCACTCTCCAGGGCCGGGAACGGAAGAAAACCCATGTTGGCCGAAGCCATCGGATAACCCTCAGCAAGCCACATTGTGGAGCCCCGTTGAAATTTACATTAAGTTATGTAAACCTCTACTGATGATGGAGAGAAAAAAAAAAGAGTAAAGGCGCGGGCGAAGCTTCCTATTTATGTGTCTGGAAGTCGATATACGCTAGAGCTAATTGGGCTTCGGTGAAAATATTTTTCCATTTCGTTGACTAATATTGGATTTTATGACTAATTTCCCTTTTCGTTGGGGAATCATGTCGGATTTGGCATGTAGGGCTAATCTCAGGGCTTCATCTGTGGATGTGACTGTAGAACCCCCTTGACTTCTTTCATGTGATTATCCCGTGACTTGTACTTGGCATCAAAGCAATCTACATCGTACAGTTAGTATGCTTTAGTTACCACGCCACCAAATTGTAATTTAAACAAGAAATACGACATCGTTCTACAGATATCCAATCTTCCAATAGGCTCTCAAAAAAACCAAAACTTAATACATCCTAGTAGTGGCGGGGGACAAGTCTCTTTTGCCCATAAGGCCCCAGCAAAATAATCATATCTTCCAATCACGGGTCGGGAGCACGAGACCTCCCCTCGCTCTCATTAACCTCCCCGCCATCGATACCTTCTTCACTCCCCTGAATTTTTTTGTTCTACCTCCTTAATACAGAATCCGCATTTCCACACTTGCGCTCTCCTTCTTTCTGGAATTTATCTCTACTCGCACATTGCGCTAGCAGCCTGGCCTTGTGCAATTGCCTAAATCCAGAATCCAAGGACCTTGTCACTGATATAGAGGCGGTGCCTCTCACGAACTTGTGAATTAATTAAATAGCACAAGATCACCCAAACCAACTCGCGCCCATACCCCTTTTTCCACCGCGACACTCAAGTTCAACATGGGCTCGACAGAGACTCAGACGGCCATAAGGCCAGAATTCCGATACATTCCCCTATCCTACAGCCATGCGGACTCCCAAGCATCTGCTCTCAGGCTAATCCTGACCCTCAACCCCGACTGGGAGGGTCCTGGTAACAACATTCAGTTTGTGCGGTTCACCGACGGCATCACCAATACCGTGCGTCTCTCTTTCCTAGTGTCGCTTTCTACAGCACCAGCAATAAGACCATCTAAATCCTACCGAGGCTAACAGCTCCCTAGCTCTTGAAAATTATCAACCTGAAACCCGGCCTGACGGAGGAACAAATAGACAATGAGGCAGTGCTGATGAGGGCGTACGGAAATGGCACAGAAATCCTCATAGACCGTGAAAGTACGAGCAAAATCCCCCGACGGACAATCTTCGTCAAAACCCTCACTTCTCAAACAAAACACAAGCCCCTCTGCGCCTTTCTTGCCCATTGCGACATATGCTGAAGTAGATCAATTATCCTTAGGAGAAACCAAGTCCCACGCACTCTTGGCTAGCCGCGGCCTTGCCCCGCCCCTCCTCGCTCGATTCAAAAACGGCCTGCTCTACCGCTTCATCCGTGGGAGGCCCTGCGGTCACCAGGATCTAGTCTCCCCGCCCATCTGGCGCGGTGTCGCACGCCGCCTGGCGCAGTGGCACGCTGTCCTACCTAGTAACGCAGCCGCGGCTGTCAAGGATACCTCTGTGACCGAAATCGCGGACTTCCAGGACGATGAGATCACCGTAATTCAGCCTCGGCGCGCGGGCCCGTCTATGTGGGCTGTGCTGCAGAAGTGGGTGTTGGCTTTGCCAGTCATCACGCCTGAACAGCGTGCTCGCCGGTTGAGTCTGCAAGCAGAGCTGCAGTGGGTTTTGGATATTCTGGATGATGGAAAGGGAATTGGTGAAGACGGTGTATGTGGCTCCTGGCCTCGATCTGCTGGAAACGCGGATTGCGTTATTGACTATATGGCTAACTGTTGGATTTACAGCTCGTTTTCTCCCACTGCGATCTTCTCTGTGCAAACGTCATTGTCCTTCCGAGCGAAAATGGTGTTCCAACCCCCAAAGACGGTATTGCGCCTGTCAACTTCATCGATTATGAATATGCCGTCCCCGCACCCGCAGCCTTCGATATCTCGAACCACCTTGCTGAATGGGGTGGCTACGACTGCGATTACAACATGATGCCCACGAAGTCTGTGCGCCGTCAGTTCCTTACTGAGTACACAAAAAGCTACTGTGAGCAGCGCGGTCTCGATGCTTCATCCCAGGCTGAGATTATCGACCGGCTGTACGAGGATGTTGACCGCTTCCGTGGCATCCCGGGTCTCTATTGGTGAGTTGAGTGGATACGATTGGAAACCTAGCGTCATAGCTATATCATGCTAATATCTCTCAGGGGTGTTTGGGCACTCATCCAAGCGCAAATCTCCCAGATTGATTTCGACTATGCCAGCTACGCTGAGGTCCGTCTCGGCGAGTACTACGCGTGGAAGCGCGAGGTAGACGGAAGCCGCAAGCAGGCTGGGGAGGAGATGCCGCTGCGCGAGGCCCGCTGGGCATCGGAAGCGTAAAGCCTCCTCCAGTTCCGATTCCGATCCTCTCCTATTCCTACGAAATGACGCCGATCAATCCTCCGGCACTTCATTTTTCTGAACACTTTGTCAGCGCTATTAATCTCTCATGATTCTGACAAAATCCCACCTACGCCTTTACCTCATTCTTGCAATTGCAAGAAACGCTTAACATGGTACTCCAGAAATTCAACAATATCTTCGGAGTCTACCTACGCCGAAACCTAATATAACCGATGAAAGCAAATCAAAAGCCGTGGTCTTGGACGACCACAGACGAGGTTGGACCAACAGGTCTGACCCAAGAGAAAATAAAGAGAAAGATAAAAGCACAACACGCTACTCCGATTGCGGTGTAGGGTTGGAGCAAAAGTCTCAGTTGTCTGTCAAAATAGATGGTGGTTTATCTCTTTGCATTGTGGCCATTTTCCTCGTGGTCTTGTGTGTTGTCTTTCAACAACGTCATAGCTGGGGTGTTCTACGGTTAATATGGTTTCTTTTTTCCCACTAATTTTTCCTATTTATTGAATGAATTTATCTCCAAAGCATTTCGCTTGTATAGAGAGACAATTGTACTTGATGTTTCTAAGATTGTACTTACATGTAGTCTTCTATACTGTGAGCTTGGACCGCAAATTCTCACTCAACGCCAGTATCTTGAATATGAGGTTCGCCCTAACGAGTGAAGGTCTAGATATTATGTTGTCATTACTTCAAGGCACATGACGCTTACATATTTTAGGTTGAAATTGGTGGTGAAAAGATGTAAAGTCGAAGTTGTAAATGGAGTTCTTTAGAAATATATATCCACGGAGTACAGCATGCATATATAGAATATTAGAACACATACCATCTCAACCACTCAACAGACACAACCATTCCTCACCGTATTTCTAAACTCAATGAGATCTAACCCCTACCCTTTGGATATCCCTAAGCTTTCCACCAATTTCCGCTGTTCGTCGCGTGTTCAAGGCATTATCTGGCTCAGTACCAGCCGAAGCAACAACTCCTTCAGAACATCCCAACAATCTGGAAGCTAAGTTCATCTCCAAAAAGTCTTTCAGTTCTCCCCCTAACGCCTCGGAATTCTCAATATCCAATCTAACACTCTGCACCTACGTAGACAGATCAACAAACCCAATCTCCGAGCGCAACAATCCCATACCTCCAAACACAAATTCAATTGATGGAAAAGAGTAATATATTGTCTCTGCCCACGCAAAGTATCGTCCAAATCCCGCAGCGCAAGATTAACCAGAACCTCCGGGAGTAAATCAACAGGCATTCAAATCCATCTGTCCCAAAGTGGGTCCCAGCGTCTCCAGCAACGCGCCTACAGAACTTATTACTAAGCCCGGAACTACCCGTGGACCCGTGGACTTATTCCTAGAGGCCGGGCGAACGCGTCACACCGGGGATCTGGTCGACGCGCGCGAATGACGCGTCTGTCAAATGCGTCTGCACGGCGTGCGAGAGCATGCGCTCGGTGATGTATTTGCCGTTCGCATATCCGTTTGGCGTTGGGAGGGTTGTTGTGATACGGTTTTCCGGTATGGTTTTGGATGTTGGGGTGGAGGTTGTGAGGCTTATGAGGTTTGTTATGTCGTAGAGGTCTGGGATGAAGGCTGAGTGGAAGATTGAAGTTTACTATTCATGCCTTGTGGGTTATCACGATTGCAGTCTTTTTAGAAGGTCTGGAGGGACTCCGTAGGTAGGCTGAGGCCTGGTTGGGTGGAATCAGCGTGCTGATTGAGGGCAGGTGGTAGAAGTTATTTTTTTGTTGTGGCTTGTTGCGCTATCTTTTTTTGCAGTTAAAGCAATGCATATGCGACATTGATGGGCTCTTTATCAATGTGTTCAGAATGTACGTGCCTAAAGTCCCTGTCGAGCTGGTCAACAAGACAACCTGGGATTGTATAGGCGTGTCGAACTATCGTTTGCGGCGGAGCACTGCCTACCAAGAGATCGTCTCACTTTGCGAGCATTATACCACCCCCTACTTCTTATGTGAGGATCCAAGAGGAATAGATGGTAATATCTATTTTTATCAGATAGGATTCTAGCTCTTTCAGTTCATTGTACGGAGTACTTTGTAGGTAGTAGTCCATCGAGGTCTTGGCAGTGACGCAAAACAATAAGAGCCAATGAAGTGTTCCAAAATCTCGCAAAGTATCCACTTGAACTATATGATGAGAGTCCATTCGTTTGTTACATATGTAGTTTATTGGATGTAATGCTTGCAGCTTCCTAATTGGAATGTGGTGACTGGAAGCCGTAATTTACATGAAAACCAGACTGGGGAATCGAACCCTGGCCAGTAATGTCCCAATTAGGAAATGTTCCTATATATGTAACTTTAAACATAAGCTGTTACTTCCAAACCTGCCTCGGTTAGCTCAGTGGATGGGGGTCTGAACTCTCTCTTGCGATGCTGAAGGTGCCAACCTGCTAATGCCGTTCGGCATTATTCTTAAGGCTGACCAAGGCAGACGGACGATGTTCTCCACACCCGCAGGGTAATTATGACTGAGTCCTACTTCAAAGGGGGTTGGCGGTCCCAACGGGGTAGGTTCGTGGGTTTGGAAGCACCTCCTCTTTTTTTTACTTTTTTTTTTAATATTGATATATAATTCATATACGTAAGTAAGTCTCTGACATGACCTCTTTGGGACTTCCTCAATGTACAGGGAAATCCTCCAAACATCCGAACCATCAATTTCTAGTTGGCTAGAAGCGACCTTTCGACGCCTCACCGTGTCTTTTCTTTTTCTCGGTGGTCCCGAAGACAGCGAGGGACATCAACGTCTTTGGAGTGACCCCATGCCTTCTTGCCTGAACCTAGTTGCCTGGCCAAAATGAGCCTTTCTGGCCCCGACAATACTCTCATTACTGTATCAATTCTACATTGCATGTCTGTCACATCGGACTTGTGAATCATCACGGAAGAGTGGGGAGAGGCCTCAGGACTTCAACCCGATAATCCGCCTTACCGCAGCTGCTAAAAGAGAGGTACGTCAGCGTATCCCAGAGAGGTGGAAAAAACAGTGGGAGCGAGAGAGGACATCAGCTCCTGCAAATTGCCTGGTATAGGCACCGAATAAGGAGACACTTCATCTGTACGAAGGTCTGAGAAAACCGCATCGCGCCATTCTGATCCAGATGCGCACGATGAGGATCGGTTTTCGACACTTCTTGTTCAAAACCAAAGTATCGGAAATAGACCAATTCAGTTGTGACGCCGGCTCACAAACACCGAGGCATACCTTGATGCAATGTCCGTTGTACACCAGGCTTCGTGTGAAAATGCGGAGACAACTCGATAAAGTGGGAGTTAAGGACGTGCATCACGACAAGGTCGTATCCAACCCGTAGGCTATCCGCTACGTAGCCAACTTTATACACCGAACAGATCTCCTCCAACAGTCTCAACATATAGGGCTCGGGGAGAACGACGGGGAACTGATAGGCCTTGAGGCAATGGATCTAGGTGTTGGAAGACGATGGGTATCAGCCAATGACGAAAACGAGGCTGGAAGACGAGAAACCCAGCCAGAGTCGACAAAAATATCGGGTAACTGGCTATGAATAATACACCATCAATTGAATTTGGAGCGAGGGGATGATACAGGGAGGAAATGGAGATATGAAGAAATGGGGAAATGGAGAAATGGAGATAGGGAGGGAGAGAAGTGGGAGATGGAAGGGTCTGAGCCAGGTCACACTAATACCACCAGTGTACTATGCGACAATGACATCCGTTTTAGTCTAGTTGTCTGGTGCAGCATTTACGACATACTGGGGTTGGATGTTCCCTTCAATAGATCTTCGGAGGACTGTGTATCTATCTGTAGGATCTACCATTCTAGGCTGTAGAATGACCTTCGGCTGGATTGAGACCCTTCCAGTGGATCTGGATATCTAGGAAAAGTAAACGCTGAGCTAGGTACCTCTAGTGATTATAATTAATGAAATCTCCTTCCCCAATGAGCTCACAAAATATACAGATAGCCGCAGCTGGTCACTGTTCAAGGTTTTAGAGTTGCTCTTCATATTAAGCCTGTTAATATAGTGTGTGTGTCCTAATCCACCACTTTGAACTCTTTATTTAGAGCGAATTGTGTGCAACAACTTGCGGATATTCGAAGTCGGGATAAAAATTGGTAGCCTTCTGAAATTGCAAGTATTTTGAGGTTATTCTGAATCCCTAATGGAATTTTGTGCTTTATAAGTCATGATTCGTAGAAACAATCATCGAGATGATCTCTTGGGATGCTTAGCTTCCACCTATCATACAATGAGGATGTCGCATTGCGAAGATTGGGATTGCTTTCGAGCCATGTCGATCCAAGATGAATGGGTTTCAGGCTCATTCCACCAAGTCTCAACGAATGAGAGTACACGCGCTCTGTCCAGAGTGCGACTGATACGCATGACATTGCCGAAACATTCCTGAATAATCCTTTGACCGGTAGGATATCCTCGAAGTTCAGTTCCAGCCATGAAAAGTGGCCAGACAAGGTCCTGGGCGAACATGCCGTCGCGAGTCTCGGAGAGAAATTGTACATAACGGAGGATTTCATCCCGAGACTTGCGAACATGATCACTATCAGTAGCATCCTCCGATAAAGCTTGGTGGCTGTAAATGAGAGTTGCGTGGTAGTACATCCACACTACCAGTTCAAAGCCATGTTGATCAGCTTCAGATGAGAAGTGAATGGATCCACTGAGACGCATCATGCTGCTTCTAGCCGACTCAATCTGCGAATGGATGTCTTGCATTGGGCCATATAATGAATCTTGATCGATCGACCCACAGAAAAACCTCAGACGCTCAAGACGGGTGATTTGGTCAATGACCCGAATGAAGTCAGTGAAGACTGCGTTCTTGGCACTAATAGGTGGAGCCTTGGCCGTCATGCTGTAGTTCTCAAATGTCGTCAAATCAGCCCACACGGAAGCCTCATAGAATTCTAACATGAGAAACTCTTCGATGGAGGCCAGCTCGTGGTGCCGGCTCGATCGGTTCCCTGCCGCCAGGATAATCTCCCTCGCAGCGGAGAGATGAACCCTCCACCCGGCGCCTTGTGGTTTCATAAACTCATTATTGCAGAGAAGAATCACAGATGCAAGGGTGTAGGCAGAGGTTGTGCTTGCTTCTAATGCCGATGTAGATGACGTGGAAAGGTTGTTCAACTCTTGAGCTAAAAGGACAAGAGACTTATTTTGATAGCTTTTTGACATCTGCTGGAATGTTCCGTGTCCCAGGTCATTTGGAGGATATTCCGACGCGAGGTCATGGGCGGCGATAGCGAGGATGGAAGAAAGAACTGTTTCAGAGCTCTCGGCCATTGGCAGAATCATCTGACGCCATGCATTTTGTTGCGGAACCCACGCAAGTCGATGGGCGACTCGGTCGTTGAACCAGGAGAGCAACCGTGAAACATGCAACGGTCGAGCTTGCGATAAGCAAAATTCTGAAACGGGGGATGGAACATGCTTCGATGGTAAGAAACGTGTCGTGGAATGGCTGTACCGATCTAGAGCATTTATGTCGCTGCCAGTAGTATGCGTGTCTATTAGACTATCCGACGAAGGATGGGGTGAGTGTGATACCGTGATAGGAGCATCGAGGGAAGGAAACGCTCTGCCCCGCAGACTACCGCGACTGGCGACGCCTTGGACCCATTTGAGCTGTAGGCCGTAGCCAGGGCATTCCATATTGCGCTTCCCGCATTTACGGCAGCCGGGAAGGCCCCGATCACACTTGATACGCCGCCTTTGACAAGTTGGACAATCTGATAATGTTAGGATGCCCCGCTCTAACACGAGATGAGATCCGTACCTTTAAAAGCCAACTGTTCCGTAGAACCTGCGGACATTTGTCTATTCCATTCGACTTTCTGCCGGGAACCACAGAGAACCTTGTAATCGGACTAGGGTGTTGATATGGACAGTGCTTATTTTCGAGTCATGGAGTCATGTGATACACAAAAAAGGGAATTTGATGCCTTTGGGGAGTTGAACTGCGCTAAACCTATTCAGGCTTTCACATGGCGTGCTCTCCACTTGAGTGGATCAAATCATAGCATACTCCGTACTCCGTGCAGTATATACAAAATCACAAATGATATGTAAATACATGGGGAAATTCTAATTGTTTCGAACTATTAGTCTAACTACTTAACTAGGTAATTTATAGCGATTCTCTCATAAGTAACTAATGTAGACATCAAAATTGAACGCCAAAAAAAGGCTAGAGGGCCCCATAATAAACTCAATCCTTCCGTCTTGGCTGCCTCTTCTGGCAAGGATCGCTGGTATCAATAGAAGTACAGAACGACTGTCTGTTTCTCTGTGTGTTGTTTCTATAAGCATTTAAATACGAAGTAGTAAATAGAACTTGCATGATAATAATCTCCCTTGCCAGCATCATGAATCCTCTCAATCTTGAGCTTGCTGCTCCTTCTATCCACTATATCAATAGCCAGTGCCATGAAAAGCATGAACTTTCTGCCTTGTCAGGGCATGTCATTCTCTCAGCAACTTCATTTTTGCCCCTGATCAATGTGACTGAGGTCCACGTTCGGCTCATTCAAGTTTTTACATCCACAACCGACAGCAAAAGTACTCGGCGGATTTCGTGTCCTTCATTCTACAATCGAACGAGCAACTCAACCCAGCTTGAACCAAGCATTGAACGGACCCTTGGAGATGTTTCTCTGCCAATATTGTCTAAAGAAAGATTTGAGACTTCTCCAGGGAGCATTGTCTCAAACTCCTACTTCTGCCTGGACATTCCAACGAATATACCCGCAACAACAAAAACGCCTCTTGGAACCATCACCTACACGATAGAAGCCACAGCAGCGACATCAAAACATAGGATTATCACCCACCGTCGGCCCTTAAGACTCAACCGCCAGATGATTCAGTCTGATCTGACAAAAACTCAACATCACCTATCCTTCCCAACCTCGAACGCTATACAAAGAATGACCCTAACACAAAATTCAACACCGAGGTCTGGGCCGAGGATCTCATTCACAGCTACAATCCATACTCATTGGAAGACAGCCCCAGCGGATCGAGAAACAGAGCTCTGTCATCTTGTGGTACGAGAGCTGAGGTGGCATGCCGAAGAGATAGTCAAGGTCATGAGCAAGCCTGACAGCCCAGATGAGAAATATTCTATCTGTGAACGACAGTCGGTGCGCAAATTATGTGATGGAAGTATAAAAGGGTACTGGGGATCTGGCATCAATCCATACGTCAAACAACTGCATGGATATAATGTCGAGGGAAAGGGAGGAGAGAAGCCAGCTATTTGCATTCCGTTTGGGTTTACAATTCCAAAACGGGCAATGGCTGTGGATGACATTGACCTTGTCGCATATGGGATCGGCACTGATAGGGCTGACCATGCTCCACAGTGTAGTTTTCCCGAGGAACTTTCTTTCCCCTCGGGCAAAATGGTAAAGGGAATTACTGTGCACCATCAGTTGAAGATCGAACTTGTTACAGGGGAAGATGTGTTTCATACCGGTACTAGCAAGCTTGTGGAACGGAAACGGTTGCGGACTATTGCATGTTCTGCAATTCCATTGAATGTCTGCGAAGTATCTATCTAGATACAAGGATATGTATGGGGGTATGGCTTGGTTGATTGACTTGGTTGTATGGGTTCAGCGTGTGCTTGTACTGGGTTTATGAGAAGCGATTCAGTTTCCCCCTCGAGTCAAAAGATTCGGTCAACTAATATTTGAAAGAAAATTATAATCGATTTTGCCTGGGCAGCTACACTCGAAAGAGGTATATATTTGACCAACGCTATTGTTCCTATATGGATAAGTACTCGATGAGATCATCGGAAAATGGTTACAATTCCATCCAATGAAACAACAGGCAAATGGTCGACGTCCCCACAAAATCTACGGCAAAGCGCTCTGCCGGGCCAGGCAAAATGCGGAGAGAACACCAAAGGAGAAGAGTATAACAAGACTATATCCGACGTGCAATTATTAGACGCTTACAATTCAATCTCATCTCTCAATATTCAGCCATCCGATTCCACTTCACAAACCACTTTCGAATCCCCCAACTCCGCTGATACCAGAACAACCCAAAATGGGCAAATCCATTCTCCTAATCAACGGCCCCAACCTGAACCTTCTGGGCACACGCGAGCCGCACATCTACGGACACACAACACTCTCCGATGTAGAATTAAACAGCCGCGAGGTTGCTGCTAGCCATGGTGCCGTACTCGAGTCCTTCCAGTCAAACCACGAAGGCGCAATCGTGGACCGTATCCAGGCGGCGCGTGGCAAGGTCGACGGTATCATCATCAACCCGGGTGCGTACACGCATACCTCCGTTGCGATCCGTGATGCCTTGCTCGGAGTCGCTATTCCATTTATTGAGCTCCATGTGAGCAATGTCCATGCGCGCGAGCCCTGGAGACATCACTCGTACTTCAGTGATAAGGCTGCGGGGATTATTGTTGGTCTTGGGGTTTATGGGTATAAGGTTGCTGTTGAGCATGTTTGTGTTAATTTCGAGGAGAAGGAGAAGGAGCCTAAGGCTGCATTGTGATTGTGTTGGGAATTCTTTTGTGATGGCATGCTTCATACGAACACGAGTATCGCCAACTACTACTGATGCATTGAAGCATTATGTACTTGCTTACATGCAGTTTTTCAGACCTCTCTTTGCCAATTTAAGTTTCCTTTCGGCTTTCAGATCTTGGTTCCTTTTTTCCAGTGAAGCTATTTAGAAAGCTTCATGGTAGTAGGTAGATCACCATCCCCACACTCCCTATTTTGCCTCATCTAGTGCTCATTTGTTTTGCATCTTGATGACCAATCTGCATTTCAATGTACTTTTCTATAAAAATGTATAGCACATACCACCCATTGAGAATATTGGAAGGTCAAGTAGACTTTCCATAATCTGCTCCAAACGCGACATAGTGAAAGGCAATATAGTGGTTTGATTGTTTGCCCGACATGTCTGTACCATTCCTTGTTTTCACTCCTCTTACTCTTCTTCTGCTACTCCCTTTTTTGGATCGCATCTGTCGCCAAACCTCCACAATATATTCCACGATCTACCTATCGACAATCTTCACGATGCCGCCGTAAGTTACCTCGAGGGATATCAGCATGGGAAGCAGTTGGCGCTAACATTTCTTGCTAGAATAAATGCGGACAACGCTTTTGCAGGTCCACTGAGACCGCGGGACCGTGTTCCCCCTAACTCAAGTCCAGAATAAGCCGAAATCCTATCTCTTTCATCAAGTCCGAGCAAGCCCACCTAAATCATGAGATCTTTCTCGCTCGTGGCGCTGAACGATATCTGGAAGCCAGCTTCGACATTCTGGAATTCACTCTTACCGCGATTAACGAGGAAACCCGCTTAGAGCGTGAGCTTTACCTCGTCAGTAGTGTTAAACAATACCTACAAGACAATACCATCACTCTGGAAGCCAATTTTGGCTCCACAAAAGAGGAAACAAGCCAGTAGCATGAGGTCACCTTCCCCTATGGTGCCGAAGGATAGATACGAGATAATGCCACTATCTTAACGGCTACGATTACCACCATGGACGAGTAAATCCAAGAGTTGACTGAGCGTATGGATAGAATTGAGGAAGGTCTCAGCTCCCTCGGCAACACCATTTTTGAGTACCTGGAGCAGGAAGAGCCTGTCAAGTGAAGATGAGATCGATCTAATTTCAATCAGGGAAAAAAAGTTATCTTGGGTTGGGAATTCAACTATTTCAACTCATTCTGCTTATTCGCTAGCTTTAAGTTTGATTACTGGCCCTGAAGGGTGTTGAGGTATTGCGGCTATCTACAATCACTACTCAGCCGTCAGAATTTCCACCTACTTTTCGTAAGAGAATAGATAATTTGGGAGATGAATTCTTAGATTATCTACATAGTAATCTCATATTCGTCATGGGATTTATATTGTACCACCAGTTGCTTGGCCTGTAATAGCTTTGTGTATTGTGGCGATGTGCCGTGCATTAACACATACATACATGCACAGAAAATAGTTGGGACTCCGCTTTGAGGTTTCTAATGTGAGAACTGAATATGCAATCCAGGGACTAGATGTATAGCTCTTGCTCTTCATGACCCAGATGGGTAGCGGACTAGAGGCTAACGAGGCCGGCCAGCGGCGATAGGGTATCCCCACGACATTCGGATCATTGGAATAGAGATCCGACAGGACATCATCGCTTGGGGGTTCCTGACATGGCAAGAGGCTGGGACTCTCGTCGCATATCAGAGGGAGTGCCATTATTGGGTAGCTGCTGGGTCTGTGCTAGCAAGAAAGGCTCGATCTGACCAGAGAACGAGTAGAGCTCAGGAATACCCGCATCAGAGACAAAACCTAGGTTTTGCATGAATTCTGGTTGATTGTCGGCTCTATAGGGGATTAAAGTCAGTTACCGTGCAAAGAAGACAGGAGATGAATGCTTACTTTTCTGCACCATCCAAGGACGCCAGCTCGTCAAATAATGCATCGAGATCAGGAGCAATCCGCTGCCTCCGTGGACGTGAATAGCCATCCATATCAAGAAAGCTGCCACCTATATTGAGTGATGTGTCGTGATATGCCGTTGGATGGTATTGTGCACTTTGATGATATGATGGCGAAAGCGCGGTGAGCATCCCGGTACTATTATGGGATTTGCTAGGTGCTGATGTAGGATGGGGATTTCCATTGTTAAGAGGGCCATCCAAGTGATCTTGTTGTGGAGGATTTTCAGAAGCGCCCCCAACGGATGTTAGAGATGACGGCGTGTGAAGAAGAGATATGTCTTCGATATGTTGTGTGGTTCTGAGCCAAGGCGTGGGGAGAAATGGGTTTTCAGGGGCAACCGCGGAATGTGTATTATTTTGGGGTGAATGTGTCGCATGTGTGGCATGAAAGAGATGTGAGGGTGTGGGTATTGGGAACGATGACGGGATCGTTATATCTCTACCGTTAGAGGTATCAATATGCTGTGAAACCATAGGAGAAGTATCCAAGAGCTGAGGTCTGTGGGATACATTTTGACTAGCAGTTTGTTGGTCTGGCATAGTCCACAACATAGAAAGCTGGGAGGAAAGATTCTGGACGTTGTTTCGCAACCCCATATCAAGATCTGACGGGAGGTCTCCGGAAATAGATCGCGGAAGGCCAAATCGAAGGATGAGACCAAAGGTTGGTGCAGTGGCCGAAAAGCTGTATGTCTCCATGTAGGCCTGGAGCAATTGCAAAAGCCTTTTCGAGCTTTCTGTAGCACGATTTTTGTGAGGCGGTTCGGGTATGTTCTGATCATATTCACGGATGGCAATTTGAGAGCTGAGAGCAATGACAACACTTTCATATGTCATCTCTAAGATGAAAATATGCGGGGAAGCCAGTCTCACAGGGCGATTTTGTAGATCGACACGATAGCTCTTTGGCAATGCTGTTACCCAGCGCTGTAATTGCAACTCCAGTTGCTCCAGCTGGGATCGAGATATAGTCGGGTCGTGCTTGCAACAGCATAGATCATTCAAAATGGATACCACGCTGACGAGGCGGTTAAATGTGCTCAACGCATGAAGAGGACCTCGCTGCATAGATGCTCGTGAGGACTGGGCGGGGCGTAGCCCAGTTTGATCTTCCCAAGGGTGCCATTCCTCGAGACCATCCTCGCTGATAGAGCCTACCCTGGCCAGGTCTGCCTTTCGAAGCGATGGGCATTGCGAAATTGATTCAGCAATTAGGGTCTCGAGAACAAAGCAACCCAAAAACACATGTTTTGCTCGACCAAGGTGCTTTTCATCAGCCGTAGTTCTCGATGATGATGAATATGGAGTTTGATTGAGACCTAGTATATGCGCGATGCGAACAGCCTGACCAACAAGCATCCAGGAGCCAGTTGATTCTTGCTGTCCGAATTTGACTAAACCCAGGATCAACAGTGCTTGCACGTGCCCGATTTCGTGTGGGCCACTCTCAGGTGGAATGAATTGTCGGGCAGTAATATACATTTGTGATGGGGTCATTTGATCACTAGGTTGCTCTTCCACGTGGTTGGAGGCCGAGATAGAAGCGTACTGGAGGGATGCGAGAGTGAGAACAGCCCACAAGGCCGCGTGCTCTCCAGACCCGGGGGTTGAACTCGATGAATATACATTGCCTTCAGTATATTGAAAAGCGGTGCGGAGTATGTCGTGCTTTTCGAGCACAGGGAACCAACACTGCGTGTAGGAGAAATACACATCAAATAGGGGCCATGCGTTATAGGGGAGTTGGAGAGGGGTTTTCATGGAGAGCGATGGAGGATAACCAGGATTCGGTGGGAAAGCGGAAGACGAGTATCCGTCGTCTGGTGTAATTGTTTGAATACCGCAGTCTGTAGTCGGGCGTGGTCCTGTAACTTTCCTAGGAGAGACCCCGACTGCTGTGCGAGTCGGCGATACTCCTGGTAATGGGGTTTCACGAGTTTCCATGCCTTCCGGGATCTGCCATTCCTGTGCTTCAGCGGAAGAAAGAATGCCTTCAACATCTAAAGTTGTCTCTTCCTCGCTATATGTCTGAAGATTTCGCTCCCTTTCCTCCTCCGGCTGCTCCAGTACTATCAGAATGCGTTCAATGTCTCTGAGTACTGTGCTATTTTTGAAGGAAGCCAGCAATGCATCAGACCCCTCCGTTTCCTTGCCCATTGTAGCCAGGTGGCTTGGAAGATTGATTGATCGCATCAAAGCTCGCATGACATCTTCACTGCCTTGGATCCTTTGGAATACCAGCCCCCAAAGTAACTCCAGCGATCGAATGTAGCCTGTGGGCAGGCCTCGCTTCTTTGGATTGGCCTTATAGGTACAGGGTCGGCAGAGCGATGCACAAGTCGAGCACACTGGCTGTATTCCATCGCATTTGTCCTTTTTCGATCGGCAGCTATCGCAGGCCCGTGAGACTCGCTGACGCTTTGGTTCCCCCGTTGCCTTCCCATCATCTTCTAGGTCGGTCCATCGTCGTTTGGATTTGCTGCTAGCGCCGGTGGATTGCCGCTGTTCAACGCTCATGGTGATTGATTTGCGATCCACTTAGAAGACTCGGGCGCATGTTCTCCAAAGTGATATGCGTTGAATCTTTTGCCGACAGGCGACTACACGGACAGTGGGCGACTACGCCATAAAAGGTAGCCCCACTCACTGGGGTGTAATAGGATTTTTGAGGAGCGATATAGGGACCGAAGTGCGACGTTGAGGGAGATGCAGCACAAGCCAAGTTTGTTGCCAACAGGATTCTTCCGGGGAAGGTTGGATACCTGGCTAGCGGTGAGCCACTCACTGTCTCGCAAAAGGTAATCGCGTATGTACTGAGCCTTAGGTCATGAGATTGAAGTTGATTTTCGAGTAAACTAGCGGCGCAATTCGGACTAGGCCACTGGAATTTGGATAATTTCCCCGAGCCGTTTTGCACGTTCGTATCTGAGCGCAAGTCCCCCGCGGGGAAGAGGAAAACCGAATGTCCCCGGGTGAGTGCTCGTCCGCCTTATGTAATGGTAACGTATGGCCTCCAGACCGGCGCGATTTTGACGAGTATTTTGGTCCCCGCAAAACTTCAGAAAACCCGCTTACCAAATTGGTTCGTTCTCTCCACATCTCCGGATCCTCCACACACGTGTATCTCAAGACCTTGCCGCAGCCTTCCATCCCACCTTTCCGTCAGTGGTAATGGGCCCTCGACCACCCTGCTCCTGATCATATTCCCGCACGTGGGATCCTCCATGCATCATGTCCATGTTGGTACGCCCGCCGAAGCGCAAGCTCCACGAGGTCGAAACTTTAGGCGATGGGCCTCGAAAGTACAGCTCAGGCGTCGTGCCTTCTCCCAATGTCCACCTTCTATCCCGACCCACTTCTCGTCGATCGAGTGAACATAGAGAAACATTTGAAGATTCGCGTCCATCGTCGTGGAGAGAATTGCACTCGAACCGCGGATCCCCAGTACTGTTTGAACATGAACATCTTCGGACACCACGCACCTTCAGCCCGAATGCATCAGTCGTGTTGATCGGAATCCGTGGTACAGGAAAGTCAAGTCTGGCGGTCATCCTTGCGGCAACATCCGGACGACGATTGATCGATGCAGACCGCTACTTTCACCAGAGTGTGGGATGCTCCCGTGCTGTATTCAAAAAGGAAAATGATGGACCCGTCTACAGGCAACAAGAAGCCTTGGTCTTTGAGTCGATGCTGGCAGACAACCAAGAGGGTTGTGTGATTGCGTGTGGAGCTGGATCGATGGAACGCAACGGCCAAAGACTTCTTAGGGAATTTGCGCAGACACATCCGGTTATCCACGTTATTCGCGACCCAGAGAGCATCCAGTCGTATCTCAAAGTTTGGGATACGCAAAAGGTGCGACATTTCCTAGAATTGTCAGGCCCGATATATCGAGGGTGTTCGAATCTCGAGTTTTTCAATCTATCAGAGGCTAGGAGTGATGATATGTACAATGATAGCGACCATTCATCACCAGCGCACAGAACCGAACCTAGATCCCATACTCCCACCCCGTTTTTAACGTTGAAACGAGTTCAGCGGGACTTTCTCCGCTTCATTGCCTTCATCACAGGGGATATTGCAGAACTTAACAGCCAACATGCATCTTTCCCACTGTCACTGTTGCCCGTGGAATCCCGAATGTACACATCTGCAGTGTCAGTGCCATTCTCCAAGGTCTGTGAGAAGGATATGGATATTGAGCAGCTGGAATTCACTGCTGATGCCTTTGAATTGGCAGTTGATGTAACAGACTCTTCTTGTCAGTCAGGCCTCAACTCAAGTCTTGCGGATAGTATCAGCCAGGCAGTAGCAGTCATTCGTCGCAACATCATTGTGCCGCTGATCTATCATGTGGAAAGCTATACCATCAACTCCGCGGGATCTTCATCTCCTAACAAAGTTCCCGTGAGATCTACAGATGAAACCTACTTAAACCTCGTCCGACATGGCTTACGGCTCTCCCCTGGTTTCCTTACAGTAGACCTCACCCGGGATGACAATATCATTTCCCAGATCATCTCTGAAAGTGGGCGAACTAGGATCATTGGCCACTTCGAAGCCTTCCATCCTCTGCCGGGGGGCTGGGATGGTGATGAGTATATGAAACTTTATGAGCGGGCCAAGAGCCTAGGATGCGATATAGTCCGAATGTGCCAACCAGCCGAGACACCTGAAGATAATCTTGCAGTGCAACGATTTCGCCATCGCATCCAAAGCCTGCCTGTTGCTGGTCTTTCTCTGATCGCCTATAACACCGGCCCTCTCGGCCGCATGTCTCGCTGCTTCAACCCTATCCTCTCTCCAGTCACACATCCATCCTTAGAAGTGGAACTTCCAACTCATCTACGATCGTGTATCACAGCCCGGGAAGCACAGAAGGCGCTTTATAGCTCATTCGCCTTGGATCCGATGCAATTTTTTGTTTTTGGCGCCAATACAACATATAGTATGTCGCCCGCGATGCACAACACTGCTTTCAAAATCTGCGGTTTACCGCACAAATACTCGATTTGCCAATCACCAACTTTACGAGGGTTAAATGACCTTGTGGAAAATCAATATTTCGGTGGATCAAGTGTCAGTCTTCCGTACAAAACAGAGTGTATCCCTCTGCTCCACTCCATGTCTACGCATGCCCGAGCCATCGGCGCCATCAATACCCTCATCCCAATCCGCAATCTCGATGACCTGGACGACACACGTCTTCAGGAATCTTCCGTCTTTCTTCAAAAGAGCCGTGCCGGCCCTATCAAGGGCCTTCATGGTGATAACACCGATTGGATCGGAATTTGCAATTGTATTCGCCGCGGTTTGTCCCCGGCAAATGCGATACGCTCGTCATCAGCAGGTCTTGTCATCGGATCTGGCGGGATGGCCCGCGCTGCAATTTACTCTATGATCCATCTTGGTGTGCAAAATATCTTCATCTACAACCGTACACTCGCCAATGCAGAGAGACTAGCCCACCACTATAACCGGCAAGATCTCCATTCAAAAGAGGCTAGAGGGTCTGGTCGTCCCACAGTTCGTATTATCGCTTCATTATCCGACCCCTGGCCTGCAGACTTCAAACAGCCGACCATTGTCGTCTCGGGAATTCCGGCTCATAGCATTGGCGGCGAGCCAGCACCAAACTTCCACATCCCATCACAATGGCTAGGGAGCCCGACAGGTGGCGTTGTTGTTGATGTAAGTTTACATTTACCTCTTATACCAACCCGAATGCGAGATTTCATTCCTAACCAATTTCTCTAGCTGGCATACAAGCCCCTCAATACCCCTCTCATGAAACAGATACGAGCCCTATCTCATCGCGGTTGGGTAGCTCTGGATGGTCTTGATGTTCTGCCGGAGCAGGGTTTCGCTCAGTTCGAATTGTTCACCGGCCGCCGCGCTCCCCGGCGCGTTATGCGGAGCATTGTGCTCCAAGAGTACAAAGACGATGAAGAAACTAGTGACCGTGAATCGATACAAGAGAGGTTACAGCAGATGGACGGACAACCGACTTGAATATCGCCAGCTGCTCCCATGAATGATGATCAACTGTAGCAAGCGGTGACGCTACCCAAACTGTGCCATGACAACCTCAAATTATAATGAAGATGTCGAGGCTTTGCCGTCGCATCTGCATTTATCCGACGATGAAATGAGGGACAGATGAGTGCAGCCAATACGAAGTTTGGTAGGATGCCTCTGGTCCAATCAATCTCAATGGAGACAAGCGGATTCTTAACTCTTTAGGCTCAGTGTAATAGCGAGTCAAAGGCAAGTTGGCGGCACACCCGCACCAGATGTTCAAAATATGCGTGTATTCACTGCCTTTTCATGTATTAAATCAGCAGAACGCGCAACTTTATGCCGTAAATACGGATTTCTGAGACGCCACGACGCACGAAGTTTATGATTCCTACTATATTTGTCAACCAGAAACAGATCTTTCGTCCCAAATCTAGTCTACAATAAAAAGTTGAGATCACCACACTCAAATTGCTATACAGTAAGGGGAATCAATACCCTGATTCATTTAACATGAAGTCCTAACCAGATAGTGGATAGATGGTCAAAAGGTGGCGAGAGTGTGAACTACAAAAGGGAGAAATAGTCTTGAGCAATATCTGCTCATGAATTTTTGGATTTCGTTGCATGGATTTCATACCCCAAATTCTGGATCAGCAAGGCCTATTTTACGCTTGCGGAGACTGTAGATACCAAAAGTTCTCATCTCCAACTCCGCCTTATTCCTGGATTGAGCTATGTAAACTTGGTCAATTTCACGGATATAGCCTGTAACAACGAGGTGAATCAAGTCCACGACATTCTGCATCCCCCTTTATCGCATGCTCGCCCATCTCTCGTCGGACATACTTGCAGCCCTTTTTTCTCCGAGAGATGGTGTAGAAAAGATTGTCCATCCGCTGCTGGCCACCGGGTCGTGTCCATTTCGTGTCTCACAGAAAGTTGTTCTTCCTGTTCCAACACAGGGCAGCCGGGATGAGTGGGATCACACATGATATTTCCGAAATGAAGGACTCCGTGCGAAAGAATATAGTTGGGCTGCAGAAGTTGATATCCCTTCATGCATGCGTGCATATCCGGGCGATATAAGCAAGCATATTGAGCACTAATTCATGCATATTGCCCCTTACAGTATATACTTAGCTTTCTTATTGAAGATATAGCAATATATGTTCGAATCTATAAATTCTACTAAAGTGGAGAAACATCTCGATAAGCAACTCCCGGGGCCGGTTATTGGCGGTTATTTCGACCTCCAATTTTCACCGGGTGACTCAAGGAGCTAAACATTTACCCTTCAACCTTGAAATCTTTCCTTACATTAGCGATTTTCATACACCTCTTGTGCCCTCATATTCCCGTTAACCTATTACACAATGGCTACCGGACCCTTCTCCCAAGATGAGCTGGATGAAATATACGCTTTCGCAGTAGACTTGGGCCGCAAAGCAGGCAAGATGCTCATGGAGCGTGTCGACCAGCGTATCTCAGGCGCCAATGGCTCCTCTAGCGCCTTCGAAGAGAAGGAAAGCGCAGTAGATATTGTGACACAGACTGACGAAGGTAAGATGACACAGCTGCTAAAGAATATCGGACATTGTCGCTAAAAATCCTACTTGGCAGACGTCGAAGTATTCATCCGGAGTGCCCTGGAGGCCAGATACCCATCTCACAAGTTAGTGCTTCTGTCGTAGCCCAGTGGCAAAAAAAGCTAAAACAAAAAAACTCCTAGATTCCTCGGTGAGGAGGCATATGCCAAAGGCCAGTCGCGCGACTACCTCATTGATGAGCAACCTACATGGTGCATCGACCCATTAGATGGTAAATCAGGACATCCAACACCGTGACTGACTGTCCACGGTTCCAAACCGGCATCGTAAGACTCTCAACTAATATACCCCACCCCCTCCTAGGAACGGTAAACTACACGCATATCTTCCCCATGTTCTGCGTCTCAATCGGCTTCATCGTGCAACACAAGCCAATAATTGGTGTAGTCTATGCCCCATTCACAGATCAGCTCTGGTCTTCTTGCACTGGGCGCGGAGCCTGGCTAAACGAGACTCGTCGCCTTCCACTTATCCACAACCCAATTCCACCTATGCCCGCCAATGCGCCTTCACAGTGTATCTTTTCTTGCGAGTGGGGTAAAGACCGTCGCGATATTCCAGATGGAAATATGCATCGCAAGATTGAGAGCTTTGTTAATATGGCCGCAGAGGTGGGTAGTCGGAATGGGAGAGGTGGTATGGTGCATGGTGTGCGCAGTTTGGGCAGTGCGACGCTTGATCTGGCGTACGTTGCCATGGGGTCTTTTGACATTTGGTGGGAGGGAGGTTGCTGGGAGTGGTAAGTTTTGGCTTGTTTTCCCTTTCGTATGTCTTGAATAGTCAGGGTGCTGACTATGATAGGGATATCGCTGCTGGTGCCGCTATTCTTTTGGAGGCCGGTGGACTTATGACTACTGCTAATCCCCCAGAGAATGTGGATACGGCGCCGATCGAGGATGTCCGACTCGGCAGCAGATTATATTTGGCTATTAGGTGAGTCCGGGCTTTCCTCCTTGTGTTGGATCTTGCTAATAAATGAAATTTTAGACCTGCTGGTCCATCTGCCACCGAGACAGGCCGTGAAACACAGGAGCGGACAGTGCGGGAAGTCTGGCGCCGAGTCCGTAACCTAGAATACTCACGGCCCGGCGCGTGAATGGCTTCAAAGCGGGTTGAACTGGGTTTATTCTATATAGACGTCTGGCGAGATATATGTATTTAGATATTGGCCTTATGGTAGGTAGAATAAGGTGATATGTATTCCAAAATTGGAGACGCTATCTATATATACGTAGACAATGATACTTACAACTACTTTGCGCTCTATACAATGATTAAAAGAAAATCAAAATATGGTCATTAGAAAGAAATCACAGGCTGGACTTCGCAGATGCCCGTTCCGCAATGGTCTTGGAAACAAGATCCTTAACCTCCTGCACAAGGCCAGGGGTGCCAATGACATCCTTTCCAGTCCAAAGACGGGCCTGCTCGAGACCCTGCCAGATCAGAGCCTCAGAGCCGAGGATGACCTTCCACCCACCGGCAGAAGCCAGATGAGCGATCTCGGTCCAGGGCGTGGGGTGGTAGCACATCTCCAGGATGACACCCTCCTGTTTCTCCGCATTGGCAACAGTACCCAAGAAAGCCTGGATGATAGCGCGAGAGCGCAGCTCCTCAGGAGACTTTGGTGGGTAGTTGGGGATACCGGAGACGATAGCCGCGGGAGATTCAAGAGAGGCAGCCTCGGAAGGGTCGGTGACCGGAATAAGAGGAGCCTGAGCATTGGGGTCAGGGTTACGGCGACGATCTTCTTCGAGGATGTCGGCGACTTCGGCGGCGTCGCGGTTGACGATGTAGATGCGACTAGAGCCGAGCCAGCGGCGCATAACGTATATAGCAGTGCGGGCAGTGCCGCCGCCACCGATGATAAGCGCGGGCCGGCCGCGGAAACGTGATGGGTCAGGGGCGTTCTGTGTGAGGGCTTCCCGGATGCCGTCGCAGTCGGTGTTGGTGCCGACGTACTGGCGTTGACCGGTTGTCGGGTCGTCGCGTAGGAAGATGGTGTTGCAGGCACCCGCTTGGCGGGCATGCTCGGTGAGATCGTCTAGGTGTGGCATAATTGCGACCTTGTGAGGCATCGTTACGGACGAGCCGACGAACTTGGGATTCGACTTGATCGATGCCAGATATTTCTCAATCGGTGGCGACCGTGTGTAGGGGGGAGGGTATGTCTCCGATGAGCCAGTCACACTGGATAGAGGTATTTGGGTCCAATTGAGACCGAGCGCATTGTAGACTGTCTGATGTAGAGGTGGGGATAGAGAGTTCAGAAGAGGGTGGCCGTACAGATAGGCGACGCCATCGCGGTTGGAGGGGATGGCGATGGGCTCTTCTGGCGGTGTTTGATCAATTTGTGTGACAGACATAGTGAATTGTGTGTATTTGTCTGCTGGGATATGCAAATCTCAAAGAGGGGGGCCTACAATGTTATAAGATGAAATTCGAAATTCAGGCGGAAAATACTTAGCCTCACTATACGTGCGATGTACAATGGATATTTCCTCTGCCGGGTGGGGTTTCCTTTTTCCAGAGTAGTTGCCGCCGCTTTTATTTCAGTCCATCAGACCTTAGACGGGAAACCTTGAACCGAGGCATCTATTGTATACATACCCTGGTTTTTATACGCATGCTCATAATTATGCTTGAGCATCCTAAGCTGAAGCAGTAGAATGAAGCAAGGGGGCTTCCAAGACTTTCATCGCTTATTAAATCTAGCTTACACTACATCCATCGTATCCTGCCCGGGCGGCTGCCTCTATGTTGACCGCTAGATTAAGCTGTTGTCGTCGACATTATTGCTCCATGTCGGGTTCAAAAATTTGAGAGAAGGAACAGCTTAGTACCTTGAGTTTCATTCATCGTATTCGGCTCATGACTTGTTATTCTTCAATTATGAATCCATACATAACGGACCCAAACCAAATTCCCCCTTCTGACCTATATGCGGACTTGCCGCTTTACGGTCGGTATTCTCCCAAACCGGATGACTTTCGCATTGATATGAAATATGTCAACTCTCAGTCCCCAAACTCATTACAATATTGGGCTTCAGTACTTGATCTTTGCAACGAATCTGTGAGAATCTACCCGGGCGAGGAGGCGGGTGGTCGCGACGTGTTCGCTGTTGGGAGCATCATTATCAAGTCGAGCCATCTGCATATGCAAGAGAGTGCAGATTATTCAGAGATTGGATACTTATATGCTGATGTTAATGAAGTCCAAGCTATTACTATCGCGAAGAACGTCCTAAAACACGTTAAAGTGCCTGACATTTACTTTAGCGGCAAGGTACTTGTTCCCATATCGCTATTTGGTCTTTTATCTATCACTTACACTCTGTTAGATCAATGGTCACCAGGTGTTAGTCCAGGAAAGACTCCCAGGTGTTGCATTGACCGTTGCATGGCCGTATCTATCGCAAGTTCAAAAAGAGTCCTTCAGACAACAAGCGCAGGCGATACTTCGACAGCTGCACTCCATTAAGCCTGCAGATATATGCCAAACCCGCTCCTACATCGTGGCTGATCCTGGAATTCTCACCAATGGCCGTATCCAACCCCTAGAATACGATATTCTGTTCTCGGATACCAATACCGACCCAGACATGAGCTTCATGCACAACGACTTTATCGAGTCCAACTGTATAGTTAATAATGACAAGATCGTGGGGCTCATTGATTGGGAAATGGCTGGCTTCTTTGGCTGGAACACAGCTCGGGAGGTCCATCGTACGGCTAGACCGAATGATAAGTCATGTTGGCAAGATCTCTATGAGCAAGATGCCCCTAAGTCTTAGGCCAGTCTTAGGCGGTGGTCCTCTCTGTCAACTGTAATATCCAAGAAATCATGCTGAGAAGTGTTTTATTAGAGGAATTGCGTAAATGTAGGGGTAACTAGTGGGATTTGCGACGAGCTGTCGGGCGGAGAAACATTTTGCTCTTCCACCACCCATCCCACTGCCCTCAACCAAAGTCATTGTCTGTGTTGCTAGAAGAAATGATTCTGTCTATATTATATATTTGTTGATTTATTCAACTTCCAAATTTCATGAGATTACTATTGGCTTAACTGCAAATCTGATGCTTCGTTATTGTTGACTCTGCGCTACTACATAACATCTGCCGGGCTGAATGCTTTCCCACTCCAATCACCCACACCCCACGGGCAACTTGCTTTAGCACGCAGGAAACTCTACAGAAGCTAAATAGGAGAGTGTGTAGAACACCGCGAATGATGATTGGAGAATAGATACCCCCTAGTGCCTATACAGACTGCCCTTAATGGATACTTGCACGGCCGCGCATCTCCTAACCTCCCCGGGGAAAGGCTTTCCCCCCGCCACCCATCTCAGCAATCGATCATTGGCCGTTTCCTCGCTTGCCTATTCATGGATCCATTTCAGTTTATCCAATCATACTAATTGCCTTTCGTTATTTCACACTAAAGGGCTGGATCGTGCACTACATTGCCTCTGGGGTACCCCAGAGAGATCGAGCTGACATGCACGTTGTCGCGGGTTACTGGAGACCCGCCGGGGAAGTCCCCACTCTCTTCGACATCGGACCTCCACACTCGAACATCTTAAGCGAATAATCTCTCCGTCTGTAGACTTGGCTATAGTCCAGCAAAATTTGCATATCCCTCTGAGTCACTTTCTTCGTAGGGAAAGCCACATTGGAGTTGCCAAGAGGCGACAAAGGCAATTTACTCTCATACTCTCAAAACTTGGAATATTCGTTTTGCCGCGCCTTGGCCTTCACTTTTGCAAGGAATTTTGATATCCTGCGCTATACTTTTCTCCGCCCTGAGATCTCCACGATTTCTTCCCCCTTTCTCAACCCCAGATTTTCTCCTCTCTTTCTTCAAGGGCAAATCGACAGCCCGGGACTGGAGTCTATTTAGATCTTGTCTACCCTCGCTAGTCTGTTCTAGAAAAAGTGGCGTGGACTTTCTTTTGGGTTTCCTCTCCTCTTTTCTCCCTTGCACCTGCACCTGCATCTCACCCATACCTTCATACGTGGTGATCGTTCTTCTTAGGACGTACATCCTCCTGCCTCTCTGCATCAAGCATTGGGGATCAAGATCATCTGGTCACAGACGCTCTTGCAATCCTTCTTTCGTTCTTATATATTAAACCGCCACCATGTCTATCCTCAAGGTTGTTGAGGATCGGCCAACGCCTAGTGCGGTCTACAACTGGAGAGTCTATCTTCTGGCAGCGGTGGCCTCTTGCACATCCTGCATGATTGGCTACGATAGTGCTTTCATCGGCACTACGCTCTCGCTTGACTCCTTCAAGAGCGAGTTCGGCTTCAACGAGATGTCTGATTCTACCAGGAACCTGATTAGTGCCAATATCGTCTCCTGCTACCAGGCTGGTGCCTTCTTCGGTGCTTTCTTCGCCTATCCGATCGGCCACTTTTGGGGCCGTAAGATTGGCCTGTTGGCCTCTGGCTTGATTTTCACTCTTGGTGCTGGTCTGATGCTTGGTGTCACTGGTGATCGAGGACTTGGCCTCCTTTACGGTGGCCGAGTTCTCGCTGGTCTTGGTGTCGGAGCAGGTTCTAATATCACCCCAATCTACATCTCTGAATTGTCTCCTCCTGCCATTCGTGGTAGGTTGGTTGGTGTTTATGAGCTGGGCTGGCAGGTTGGTGGTCTTGTAGGATTCTGGATCAATGTGAGTTTTGCTTTTCGTATGTGTCCGACTTGGCTTGTGGGTACTAATACAATATCAATAGTTCGGTGTCGACGAGACCATGGAACCTAGCCACAAGCAATGGCTCATTCCCTTTGCTGTTCAGTTGATTCCTTCTGGCCTCTTGCTCATTGGTTGTTACTTCCTCCGGGAATCGCCTCGTTGGCTCTTCGGACGCGGTCGCCGCGAGGATGCTATCAAGAATCTCTGCTGGATTCGTCAGCTGCCCGAGGACGATATCTATATGATCGAGGAGATTGGTGCCATTGACCAGGCCCTGGAGGAACAGCGCCGTAGCATTGGCGTTGGTTTCTGGAAACCCTTCCAGGCGGCTGGAACCAACAAGAAGGTCATGTGGCGTCTGTTCCTCGGCAGCGCGCTGTTCTTCTGGCAGAATGGATCTGGCATCAATGCCATCAATTATTACAGCCCAACTGTCTTCAAATCAGTAAGTCGCTGATTTATTGATGTGGCCGTTGATGAATGAGGCTAACGATTCTTCTAGATTGGTGTTAGGGGTACCAACACAAGTCTATTCACCACTGGAATCTTCGGTGTAGTGAAGACTGTGGTGACTTTCGTTTGGCTGCTTTGGCTGATTGATCAGGTCGGTCGCCGTAATCTGTTGTTGATTGGTGCAGCAGGTGGTTCGGCCTGCCTGTGGGTTGTCGGCGCGTATATCAAAATCGCCAAGCCAGAAAACAACACGAGTGAGACCTTAAGCGGCGGTGGCATCGCAGCCATGTTCTTCTTCTACCTGTGGACGGTCTTCTATACCCCAACTTGGAACGGTACCCCATGGGTTCTCAACTCAGTAAGTATCCCCAGACACCACAAACATCTAAGGCATTGAACCATTGGTCCAGTACCTATGTAGTCAATTTCACAAGCTTGAAACAATGCTAACGACATCGACAGGAAATGTTCGACCCTAACATGCGTTCCCTGGCACAAGCCTGCGCTGCTGCCTCCAATTGGCTCTGGAACTTCCTCGTCTCGCGCTTCACCCCGCAGATGTTCACAGCCATGGGATACGGTGTATACTTCTTCTTCGCATCAATGATGATCATTTCCATCGTCTTCGTGTTCTTCCTCGTTCCCGAAACCAAGGGTATTCCTCTTGAGAGCATGGATCAGCTATTCGATATCAAGCCCGTGCGGCATGCTCATGGAAAGATGGTTGCCCAGCTGCGTGAGAACGAAGAGCAATTCCGCCAGGACGTCGAGGCTGCCGGCATTGATGTGGGCAAGGTGCGCCCAGAGCAAATCGAGGATACTGCGGCTCAGCCAAAGTTCGCTTGAAACATGCGGCGGTAAATCTTTTCCATGCTGATGTCCTTTGCGGCGTTGGTATACAACTTGTTGTGATTTTGTTTGATAAACGAAGCGCCAGGTTTGCTGAAATGATTGCGGATTGCACATCTTGCGATCTTTGTGTACTAGAGCTGCCTGGTTTATATACACTGCGCTGAACGAGTGTAAAGAAGCAACTGGCTCAATGCATATATACCCCTTCGTGTCTTTTTATTTGCCCGTTTTGTGGCCATCTTCGACATATCGTAAGAAAATAAATGAAGACACCTGCCTCATAGATCACTATATCTAGTAAAATCATATCAGTATGTAGCTAGTTGCTCGACTTCGCCAACAAGTCAACATCAATATCTATAGGTTGAGCCGACCGCATAGCCTTCTGAACAGCCTCACAAACAATCAAAGCACGCAAACCTTCCTCAGCAGTACAACTAGGAACAGCCTCCCCATTGATAACATCAACAAAATGGGCGAGCTGTAGATCAAAAGATGCTTTATCATCTGGAAGCGGAATCTGTTCAACAGTGAGCGGGGAATTCCAGCTCTTCTCGGGGCTAGCATCATAACTCCAGCGGGTTAGGTCCGGCACACTAAGTGAAGCATCCGAGCCAAAGATGCGATAGAAGTCCGAGTCACCACCAGTCGTCGAGCGCGGGATGAGCGGGTTCTCACCGGTGCCAGTCTCGAAGTTATGCGGTGACGGCGTCGCGTCGCAAACCAGGAATGTGCCAACAACACCCGATGCAAAACGCAACGTCAGAGCGGCGCCTTCGTCGGCATTGTGTGGTGGGCTGGGTCGCTGCGGCAGTGTACGCTCTGCGGTCACACGCACAATAGGCCCGAAGAAGTGGTGCATGAGGTCGATGTCGTGGACAAGGTTGATGGGGATGACGCCGCCTCCGCGCTCGTTCGATGCGCGCCAGTCTGTTGGCGGGGCGAAGTATGGATCCGGCTTAAACAAGGTCCACAGACCGTTGATAGCGATGGGGCGGCCAAGAGATCCAGAATCTAGGACAGCCTTTGTTGCTCGTACGTAGGGATTGAAGCGGCGGTGGTGGCCGACTAGGAGCTTGAGGTGGGCGTGCTCTGGAGCTTGGGCGAACTCTAGTAGGGAACGGCCGGTCTCTAGGGTGTCGCTTACAGGCTTTTCAAGGAGGACGTGGACACCGCCTGTGAGGAGCGCCTTTGCAACCGAGACGTGCGTGTGGTTTGGTGTGCAGACGATTGCTGCATCCGGGCGGTGGGGAGATGCAAGTAGTGAGGCCACAGAGTGGTAGTAATTGGTTTTGAGACTGGATGCAATTGCTTCGCCTGTGGGCATTGGGTCAACGAGAGCAATTAGCTCTGTTGACGGGTTTGAGATTACGGATTGTGCGTGACGAGGGCCAATGAGGCCTGCGCCGATAATGGCAACTTTGACGGACATGCTGGTGGTTGAGGGTTCAAAAACGAAGTTTGGTTCTGAAAGAATTGAATTAATTCAATACTTAATTAATGTTGCAACTTGCAGAGCTTAAGCGAAGATTCAATCTGGTGGCTTTCATGTCCCTTTTAGTTGCGGAAAGTGCCCTGGACTCTGAGTAGCATCGACGATTCGGCGCCGGTTCTCCGGCCATGTTCAGACCCGTACGGAAAAGATCATGCCGGTTTTCTGCGGAATTTTCATTTGTAATGACAGGAAAAGCATTTCTAATGAGGAGCCAAACTCCACGATTGAGTTGGAATAGTACTAGGGTGGTCGTAGAGAGGAAGTGGGACTGGCGGGAAAGCGAAAAGGGGGAAGCGTTTACCCGGTCATGTGACATGTCTCTATCAGGTTCTGCCTCGTCATCAAGACACGAATCACAGTAGACCAGGGAAAACGTTCAATCATAAAGGGCAGTGTAGGGGATAACGTTTTGTCGCAATTGTTTTGGTATATTTCCTTTTGATAACTTAGAAATCCCCTAATATCGTTGGTTGTCCGCCTTAAAAGACATTTTTGCTTCCTGAATATCTCTCCGCTTGAAAACTTTAGTTAAAAAAAGAAGCCTGCGCTCAAGTCACCTTTGATTTTTATGATATCGACATAGAAAAGAAGCGCCTATTCAAATAATCCCAAAATGGCTTTCAACCGCCCCGGCATCGCTTCAATGTCGCTTGGTCGGCCCTGGGTACACGATCTACCCGGCAAGTTGATGCAAGCCGCAGCCTATGGCTTCGAGGGCATTGAACTCTTCTTCGACGACCTAGATTGTTATGCACAGCGGGTATTCGGCGGTGATCACCACGAAGCCGCTCGGTCAACACGGCGGATGTGCAAGCGCCTGGGCTTAACAATTATCTGTCTGCAACCATTTTCCTTCTATGAGGGACTCATCGACCGCGCCGAGTCAGACCGGCTCATCAATGAGAAGCTCCCCAAATGGTTCACCCTGGCACGGGCGCTGGGCACAGACATGATCCAAGTTCCGTCGAACTTCCTGGGTCCAGACCCGAAGACTGGTGCTGCTCGCACCACTGGTGACCGCACTGTGATTGTTCGTGATCTTCAGCGCCTGGCTGACTTGGGCGCCGGCGCGGGGTTCCGGTTTGTTTACGAGGCTCTCTGCTGGGGTGATCATATTGATACCTGGGAGGCCTCGTGGGAAGTGGTCCGCGATGTCAACCGTCGCAACTTTGGTCTCTGTCTTGACTCCTTCAATATTGCCGGTCGTGTATATGCCGACCCTGCTGCACCCTCAGGTCGCACACCCAATGCGGCTGAAGACTTGGCTGCTTCGTTGCAACGTCTGCGCACTGCCAACATCGATCCGGCCAAGATTTTCTATGTCCAGCTTGTTGACGGTGAACGTCTTTCTGCCCCGCTGGATGAAAACCATCCTTTCCATGTTGCTGGACAGCCTGTCCGCATGAATTGGTCCCGCAACGCCCGTCTATTTCCCCTTGAGGAGTCTCGTGGTGGCTATCTGCCAATTGTGGATATCGCTCGCGTCTTCTTTGAGGATATCGGTTTCCGCGGCTGGGTTTCTCTTGAACTCTTTAGCCGAACTCTCGGCGAGACCGACCCGTTTGTTCCTGCCGACCATGCTGGTCGCGGTATTGAGTCATATAACAAAATGGCTCGTATCTTGAACTGGGATGAATCTGCTGAAAACATCTCGGTGCCAATCCAAGCGCCCGAGTTACCTGTTCAACACCGCCTCTAGGTGGTCAGTCTTCATTCTTCTTCTTTCCTCTTGTTTTGTATGGCATATTGCATTTGTAAATACCTCTCTCTATTAACGACTTTTGACGATTTTTATTGCTTGACATACTGTGTGTGGGTATACTACCTTCCAACATTCTACAATCAATCCAATACAAATAAAGATTAAATTGCACCGTGAAGAAGTGACAAAGTTAGCAAGGTCGTAGCGGGTATATCTGATAATGTTAGGCTTAACTGATCTGCTTAATTCAATTGCTTATTTAGGCGCTCTTGTTGTTGATCTTAAGGAGCTCAACCTCGCTGCGAAATAGTTAGTTTCCCGATATCGTTACTTATTTGCAGGAACTTACAAAATCAGAGTAGAACCTGCAGGAATTTTGCCAGCCGCCCTGTGTAAAAGAAGAATGTTAGAACACTTTCAGTTGACGGGTGTCATGGCGTGTATAGTAGTAGTCGCCTATATGTCTAGTGTGTTCACTTACTTGTCACCGTAGCCGTAGTCCCTAGGAAATGAAGTTAGTATTGGTTCAACTTTGTTTTGTTAGACATGGATTTTACTTACGGAGTAATGGTCAGGGTTGCCTTCTCTCCCAGGGTCATCTGCATGACACCCTCGTCCCAACCTAATCAAACGAAGAGTATTAGTATTCAATTTCGAAACTGGCGTGGCAAGGTATTCCATTGTTGCAAATATGGATTTCATTGAGATACCACCAAAAAAAAAAACAGAGGATAGGATACCTTTGATGACCTGTCCGACACCGATCTGAACATTGAAAGGGCCACGGCCAGGGGTTCTGGAGCTATCAAATCTATTGTCATAGATAGTCAATATTTTAAATACTCAAATCATAAGCTCAATGGCTCTAGGGTATGGCAGTCAGCTTACTGCTTGCCCTGGAAGCCCTTGTTGGATTTCTTGGCATCGTAGAGCCATCCCGTGTAGTGGATAGAGACAGTATCGCCCACAGCAGGCGAGCCAGAGCCGGTACCGCGAGTAATAATCTTTCTTTCGACGCCCATATTGAATTTTTGTAAATGTTAAGGCAAAAAAGGTAAGAGATGAAAGAAGAAGTGAGGTTCGAGGGGCCAACGCTGATTCGTATTTTTTCTGCAAGTGGGGTGGAAGGCGGGAGCGGCGAGAGCCTATGATCTCCAATATCATGTACAAGGATGCTTTGATTTCAAGAAAATCTCAAATTTTACTATTCATGCCGAATAAATCTCCATGGATTACTTACAGTATAAGCCGTTTGATCTCTATCTGATGACTTAGAGTAGCTTGGCTTCAACATAACGTCCAACTCCACTCGAAGAGCCTGAGGGACTTTGAAAAAGCGGTAGTAGCCTCGTTCTGCGATCTATCATTGTCCATCTGATCGAGGACTGGGCTCCTTGGAGGGAAGCTATCTTAAACAGCTTTAAAAAAAAAGAAGTCTGAGACCATACAACAGCGAGACCATACAACAGGCATGTATAATGTTTTGGTACTAAAAAGATAACGTATCGCATTCCCATATATCATGCCCAATTTTCTGGTTTAGTCTATATTGAGGTTTGCAATACCAAAGTTGGACTTTGGACTCATCGGATACAATCTTGACTTTGATAGAATCGATACGAGCACCCTGAGGAATAATTTCCCCCTGTTTAACGCCATTTGACTCTATTTCAATCATTCTCTGCAATACTGCAGTCACCGCAGAAATCCAAGAATCCTGGTATTTGCACGCATGCAATAACGACACGATGTCCTTTCTTACCAACCAATCGCGAGATTTTACCCCACACCATAGAAGAGCATTTACCACAGATATCCTTGTATAGGTCTCTGGCGATGGTACTTTTTCGGAACTGAACCGAAGGAGGCCTTTTGCTAGGTCAACAACACGCTGGAAATGTGTTGTGTAATCATCAAGCAACACCTCAAGAGGCTCGTGACTACTGGCGATAGTAAGCTTTATATTGAGAGCTAAACTCCACAACTCCAGCAAGCTTAGCATATCGCGGTGTCGTTGTAGTATATTTCCACTTTCCAGAACGCACTTGAGTTGACTTCGCCAAAGCCGAAGTTTGCTCAAGACTGCGATTTCACCACGGCCGATGGGAGAACTTGCAGGCCCTATACTGAACCCTCCCCCTGGGTGGCTCTTCACTAGCTGCCACCCAACTACCATCATGAAGCGGCTATCTCTTGCAAACTCATCAATTCCCGACGAGTTAATCTTTTTGCGGAATTTCCCAATATTGGGGGAAATCAAGCGTCTGTCCTCAACGAATCTTCTTGGGTCCTCACATGTCGAAAAATGTATGTGAACCTGGGCAAAAGCCTGTTTCAAAGCTTGACCATTGGGGCTCTTTTCTAAGTCAACAGCCACCCATTCCTTGAACAGCCTATACCCAGATAGAAAATGGCAGCGGGCAGCAAACAAGTCTTCTTGGAAGAGAGCTAGCATTGTCAGAATAACGCAGGTGACGAGCACTATTTCTTTGTGAATGCGACTCGACTGCTCTCTGACTAGACTATCCCGAAGACAGGTTATCGCCTTGGAAGAATGGCTAAGAGCCAACAGACTTTCTCGATCCTCGATTTGTTTCGTTTGAACCTCTTCAAATTGACGTTGCCGTGCACCCATTGCTATTGCTGCATGGCGGACTGCAGGGTGTTCTTCGCACATCTGATACACCAGCTGCCCCCAGAATGTATCTTCAAAATAATCCATGCATTGGCTTGCCGTGCATTTGCGGAAGTAATCCAAGTGCCAGCGGTCGGTCCAATTGAGATGAACCTGACTCGGATCGATCAGACGAACGATAGCATCCACAGAAGGAGTGTGTGGGGCTTTATATTGTTTATGCCCGGACGTTGCAGTCTGATCGCCTGAATCGCGGGGCTTCTCAGCTTTACGCCAGGCACGGGTCCTTTTATCGGGCACCTGCACATAGCCATCACATTTTCTACCAGTACTCGTGCAGTTTTTACATGCTGGGAGAACTTCGTCACACTTTTTATGCCGAATTCTAGAACAGGATGCCGATCAATAAATTGCTGTGGATCTTCGGGACTGGGACTCTTTCCCAAGGGGCTCATACTTGCAAGTGTTGCATCCAGTGCGGACACTCGGGTGTCTTGATCTTGATCTTCGCTCTTTGGGCATGACATTTAGATCAGCAATTAGCTGGATTTGCAAGGTTGGAAAAGGCCTAAGAAGAGGAGATCCAGGTCGTCATGGGCTATTGCGTGTAAACCCCACTCTTAGCGCTGATCCTCCGGGGCCAGATCTGGTATGTGACCAACTATACTATACCCGGACAATTATGTCTATTATTACTGGATGTTATTATTCATTTTACGGGAATATATTCGGTGCTATCGCAGACTTTGTATATTAGGCATGCGAACTGTGTTTATGAGTGATAGGCCTCTCAATGTAGAGATACCCATCATCCCCTAGATCTACATAGTATGTGCCAGATAGATTGATAATCGTAAGTGGGCCCAGTATATCATTGGCTGTGAAATACATGGCGATATTCATAATATTGCCTACTATGTACGGAGTACTCCGTGCGTTATACTTCATTTGCGAGGTCGTTGTTTACACGTTCAGATCAAAACGTGTTTGGATTATTGGTCAGTATACCGCAGGCTAAAAAGATAAGTACAAAGTACCCAGTAGATCTGACACATTCTGAGACAAAGTCTGAGATATCGGGAATTCTTGACATTTAATCTCCTTCAACTTCAGTGGATGAAAGGATCAACTATTAATAGCTATATATGTAGAGAAGCAACAGAAGTAAATACTAGTACTCAGTTTCCCTAGTATTAGAAAACGAAACAGTAGAACAAGATCGACAATATGTCATTTTCGGGCAGCAAAAAAGACCAAACATCCACCATTTAGAAAGTCAGGTCAAAGAATAACTGTTCTACGCAAGCCGCTCCTCAAAGTCACTCCACTTTAATCTGATAGACTCTCACACGTGACATAACAAGCGTTTCACAATTTCCAAACAGGGCGCCTGAATCTGAGCTGAAGGATCAGGGGTAACGCACCGCCAGACTTTTTTTTCCAAGCAATTCAGCCCGGTAATGTTTTTTTCTAAACTCTGTACAGAGTAGACTTGTGTGAGATTGACTTCAGCCGCACTCATGTTTGGTGAAACCATGTACAGGGCTGAAAATGAAGGAGAGTCCGGAGATAGTGAGAGCGGGAGAAGTGTTTGAAACTAAGTAGCCGTACCGCGGTCAAAGCGATAGTGGAGTGCTCAGATTCGAAGCTGCCTAGGGGAAGAGATCTTAATATCTCTCTTGGTGGTTTGTTCTTTGGGTTGGAATTGGGAGAAGATAATTGTAGAATATCAGATTATCGGCTTCAGTATCATTTTTCAGGGAGATTAAAGCAGATTGGATGAAATTCAGGGGTATCAAGAACCTCATTGGTCATTGCATGGGAAAGAAGTCCCGCACGTTTTGGGCGGTATCGCCGCTATATCGTATATGTAGTAAGATAGATGAGAATAGGTTGGGCATTACCTATGTAGTAGAAATATAGGGAAATGCAAATGAATAATAGGGAAAATCAGATCAATCACGATTTGTGTAAATTGCTAACGTGGGGAAGACCATTTTGTGGCAGAAAGCCCAAAGTTCACCTTCATCTAGTCTCTCCTTTCTCATCCCTCCACCTCCACCCCCTAATCCAACTCTCATGTTTCATTGCTTTTTCTTTTCTTTTTCTTTTTGATTATCGTCTTTACTCCCGGATTTCACTTCCTTCGGCCTCGGGGCTGCCTCCGTCCAATCTTGAAACCAATCCAACGCCCGCGAGGGGCAATCCCCGTTTCGCTTCGCCTGTTGCGCTTAACGGTCACAACACCCGCGATTATTTATCTGAAACACTTCTGTAGCACGGCTAGCAGTGTCTGGTACGTCAAGAGATTTGAAGTCCACGATCCCTGGTCGATAGGCAAATAATTGCCGTCGCTATCATC